TTCTCTCAAAATAAATAAAACCGCATCGCTCTTCGTTTAACGACTTTTGTGAGGTCCCATTTTTCGAATTACTTCCACCTTCGAATACAATAGAAAAGTTCGAAATTTTAAAACAAAATTTTAAAATACTGAATTTGAAAAGTTTTTGAAGCAGCAATACGGAAAGGCTTTACTTCTGCCATAAATAAGCTTTACAGTTGCTCTACCCTTGCTTTACTTTACTCTTGCCTTACCCATGTCCTATTCTTGCCTTACTCTTGTCCTACTCTTTAACTACCACTTTCTTACCCTTGCCCTACCTTTGTTATACCCTTGCCTTACCCTTGCCCTGCCTTTGCCTTATCCTTGCCCTACCCTTGCTCTATCTTTGTTTTGCTCTTGCCCTACCTTTGCCCTACACTTGCTCTAATATGGCCTTATCCTTGCTCTACTCTTGCCCTACCTTTGTTTTACCCTTGCCGACTATTGTCCTACCCCTGCCTTACCGCTGCCTTACTGTTTTCTTACCCTTGCCCATTCTTGCCCTACCAATGCCCTACGATTTCATTACCCTTGTTCTATTATATCTTTGTCTAATTCTTGCCCTGGCTTTGCCTTAACCTTTCCTTCTACTGCCCTACTGTTACCCAACCATTACCCTACCCTTGCCTTACCCTTCTACTCTTGTTTCTACCTAAGTTTACTCTACCTTCCTGAAAGATCCTGAAAATACTCTTTTCCTAAACTAACACAGTAATTAAATTACTGTAATTTCTGTACAAATAAAAATTTAAATTCAAAAAAACCAACTTTTGACGTAGACATTACTTATAAATACCTTTCTATTTGTAAAGAACAGTAGCGTCGTATTCAAATTTATTATTGTTTTAATTTCACAAAGAGAATCTTCAGAAGATTCACAAAAGAAATTACCGCAAATTAATCAAAAAAGAAGGAACAGTTCTATTCAAACCTATTCAAAGTTATTTCAAGTTATTGTTTTACTTTGACTTTATGGTTATGGCTACTGTAAACGTACTTTTCTACTTTTGTTTTAAATTTGATTTTCTTTTTTTATTATTGTTTATTACATGCCTTACTTTTGTCCTACCCGGGCTTTACCCTGGCTGAAAATAAGCTCTGCCTTTGCTCTATCCTATCTATATTCTTATTTTAATTTTTCGCTGATAATATTCTTTCCTTACTCTTACCCTGCTCTTTTTTTGTCTATTTCTTATCATTGCTTTATTTTTGTTCTACCTTTGCTTAAATAAGCCCTATCCTTTCTTTACCCTTGCCTTACCTTTGACATATACATTTGTACTTTGTCTTAAATAAAACTTACTTTAGCTCTACCAGTTTCTTAAATAAGCCCTAACGTCGTCTTCTATTTGCTCCACCATTGTGTTACATTTGACTTAAGTAAGCCTTTCTTTTGCTCTAGCTTTGCCCCACTTATGATCTACTCCTCCTTGTACTATGGCTCTTTGTCCTACTTTCGCTTTTCCTGGCTATAACCCCTATTTTTGCTCTACTCATGTTTTACCCTTGCTGTAGCGGCTTGTCTTGTCTTAAGTTTACCTTATCTTTTCTTTACCTTTGCTTTAAACAAGCCCTATATTTGTCCTATCCTTCCTCTACCTTTGCGGCACCCTTGCCTAACCTTTGCTTCATTGTAGCCTAAAACATGCTCTGTTTTAGCCTTGTTTTTGCCCCTGCCACACCTAATTTAATTATAAATTTAAAATAAAAAAAACTTTGCAACGTATTTTACCGTAACTTTTGCTTCTGTGTGGTATATTGTGCATATTTTATTTATTTTTTTCTTTGTTTATTTTTTGAATTATTTCGTTTCCGTTACCTTTATTGTTTCGGCATTATCAAAGCATTCGCGGATTTGCATATTCGGCCACCAATCTCGGAAAACACTCTGATTTTACCGTTTTATTAAAATTCATTGTTATGGTGTGTTGTTGTTGGGCTAATTTTACGTTTTTTTTTTTTTAATTTATATGTATAGACAATGGCGAAAGATAGCAATTTTTGTATGCCAGAAAAACAAATAATTTTAAAAAAATTTAAAAAAAAATTTATTTAAATTTTATTTTTACCGCGTCCCTTTAAATTTTTTTTTCTGTTTTAAATTTTATTTTTACCCTGCTTCTTTTGAAAAAAATTTATTTATTTAAATTTCATTTTTACCCTGCCCGGTTCTCTCACCAATCCTTGATGATTTCCAGAGGCTGCAGCCGACACCGAGCCAATTGTCTCAGAACCATCAAGACATAGCCGGTGATCAAGAACCATCCTGACCACCGGGTCTACCAAGATACCCAGAAGTCAACGTTGGACCAGGGCCAGGCGGGCAACCAGGACCACTAACAATTGTAAGGACAGCCAGAAAAATCTTTCCAAAACGCAATTATCTTGCCCGGCTTTGGCTTTCTTATCAGGCCTAAACTGTTTTGACTGGCTTTCTTGCCAGACTAAAATTGCCTGCTTTGGCTTTCTCACCAGACCAAAATTACCTTGCCCAACTCTTACCAGACCAATATTACTTATTATTACTCAGCTTAGCGCTCCATATATCATGTGTATATGTATCAATTTCAACCTTTGTCGCATCGTAACCAACCTAAAGTTAGTTTAAACTCATTAGGTTTTGTTAGCTTTCCCAAAACGGTTTGCTACTTTTTACGTTTTTATGTTTATTGTAACATCGGCCATCAAACCGGTTCGGCCTTGAGTTCGAAGAAAAAGGCGATGGACATCTTGAACCTGATCAATAAACTTGATAACGGAAGAAACATTGCTTACATTCGGAGTTTGCGACAAAATTTATTTTTGGGTTTTAAATTGCAGAAACTTTGTTTACATATGAAAAATGACAAGAACTTTCTTTACAAAACTTGAAATAGCAAAAACTTTCTTTAAAAAATTTAAAATGGCAAGAACTTTGTTTACAAAGCAAAAAATGGCAAGAAATTTCTTTAGAAGGCAAGAAATGGCAAGAACTTTCTTTACAACCTCAAAAATGGCAAGAACTTTGTTTACAAACCAAAAAAAGGGCCAAGAACTTTCTTTACAACCTCAAAAATGGCAAGAAATTTCTTTACAAAATAAGAAATAGCAAGAAATTTCTTTACATAGCAAGAAATGGCAAAAACTTTTCTTACAAAGCAAAAAATCGCGAGGACTTTCTTTAGAAGGCAAAAAATGGCAAGAACTTTTTTTACAAAAGTTAAAATGCAAGAACTTTCTTTACAAGTCTTAAATTGTCAAGAACTTTCTTTACAAGACTAGCAATAGCAAGACCTAATGTATTGTTTTCTTTCTCAATCGTATTTTACCATAACATAGCCCACACCACCCGTGTCATCAGCCCAAAACTGTTACAATTTACTGGAATGCGGTAGAAACCAGTTTTTGTAAAAATAAGTTTATAAAAAAGGTAATGAGAAGACGCTTAAACGTTTTCCTTAAACTTTCCAAAAAGTGCAAAACGTCGCAAAACAAAACCATTTTTACTTTCCACTGATTACGAATAGTAAATAATAACATAGTAAAGACACATTAATGGGTTTGTCGCATCAGAGTTACTGTCAAATAACGGACCGAAATTGAAGAACAGCACAAAAATACAACTCAAAAGATTGATACAGATCAACACACAGGGTACAACGCTATGGTTAGAGTACTGCCAGCTTAAACGTATGTTATCTAATCATATCACTTAAACTACGTTAAAGGCTAGGAAAGCCAAGTTTAATTGAAACTTATAATACGCAAGATAAAGTAAACAAGAAAAAAAAATTAGACTATAGTAAAGTATATTACAAATTTAAGTAGATAGTAAGGTATGGCTTGCTTTAAGGTAAAAAAGACTACGGTTAGGCCAGAATACAGCTAAGATTAAGAAAAGAAATGGTTCAGTTAGACAAAAGTGAAGCTAACTTTAAAGAAAGAAAATGTAAAGTTAAGCGATGTTATGGTTAAATATAAAGTGTAAAAAGAAAAATTAAAGTTAGAAAAATGTATGGCTAAACTTATGGTAACAAAGAGTAAGGTTGGACTTGAGTATGGCTAAATTTGAAAAAGCAAAGAGTACGGTTAGGCAAGCGTATAGCCAATTTTAAAAAAGGAAAGACCAAAATTAGGCAAGGGTAAGGCAAAGAAAAGGTCTGTTGTAGTCTGATAGAATACGCTTAAAATAAATAGAACTATGATACCTTTGAAGCTATAGTAACAACTTTATAAAACAAAACAAGCTTGAATATGATATTATAGACCTTGCATTTCAAACAAGGCAATGGCTAGATTAAGTATTTGTTGGCGACATAAAGAACCCGCCATTTTTTACAAGAAAATGCAGAAAAAGTGTGGCGGGTTCTTTATGTTGGCCCTTAATAGAACAAGACATGGCTAGTTTAAGGTATGTTACTAGCTTTCGTAGAGCATGAATAGTTATTTGTTAGAGTAGGCTTTATAATTATATGTTAAAAAGATAATTTTTGAAAATGTCTTTTACATAAATTTCTAACTTTTAATTGATTATGAGGACTCAAAATTTTATTTTAATTTGAAAACAGACCATTTAGCGTATTTTACAAAAAATGTTAATTTTACTGTCATTATTATTATTTAAATTTGATTTTCATTCAAAACTCTAATTTTGCAAAATTTTAAATGTATTGTGTCAAGAAAGCGCAGAATTAAGTCAACAGTCTAATATTTCAAAGCGTTTTTCATTTTTTTTAAATTTAAAAACCTCAGGCTTCTTTTACCTCAAGCTCTAAAAACAAGTTGCAATTTTGTTTTTAAAAACTCACCTCCTTAACTGTGTAATCTCCCGTTTCCGTATTTTAAGTTTCCATTGTTTATTCATCGACGAAAAAACCGACTTCAGCGACCCGAAAGGGTGGGGCCTGTTCGGAACTGTCCTTTAAACTCTTTGTCGCTATAAAAGATGGCGGGCCCGGCGACCAAGTGTCAGTGGTGTCTTCCATTCACAGAAAGAGACCATGGATCTTGAAAATCGCATCAAAGCGTACCGCTTCGTCGCCTACTCGGCCGTCACATTCTCGGTTGTCGCCGTCCTCTCGGTATGCGTCACCCTGCCCATGGTCTACAACTATGTGCACCACGTTAGACGCTCAATGCACAGCGAAATCGCCTATTGCAAAGTAAGGTTTTTAAATTTTTTTAAATTTTAAACTTTAAAATTTTTTTTTCAAAATTTTCAAATTTCAAAATCCAATTTTAACCAAAACCTCTTCAGGGCTCCGCCAAGGACATCTGGTCCGAAGTAAACCAAATCCGCGGCCCAGTCGCCAACCGTACCGCCCGTCAGGCCGGCTACGACAGCGGAGTCGGCGGAGGAGCCGCCGTCGGAGGTGGTGCCTCAACTGGAGGATCTTGTGACAGCTGCTGCTTGCCCGGTCCACCAGGTGCCGCCGGTACTCCAGGAAAGCCAGGACGCCCAGGAAAGCCCGGAGCTCCAGGTCTTCCAGGAAACCCAGGAAAGCCACCAGTTCAACCATGTGAGCCAGTCACTCCACCACCATGCAAGCCATGCCCACAAGGACCACCCGGCCCACCAGGCCCACCAGGACCACCAGGAGACGCCGGTGCTCCAGGACAGCCAGGAAACCCAGGACAAGACGCCGCTCCAGGCCAACCCGGACCAAAGGGACCACCAGGCCCACCAGGACAGCCAGGACAACCAGGTGCTCCAGGAGAGCCAGGAGCTCCAGCCGTCAGCGAGCCAATCGTCCCCGGACCACCAGGACCAGCCGGTGACCAAGGACCACCAGGACCACCAGGCCCACCAGGACAGCCAGGAGCCAACGCCGGACCAGGACCAGCCGGACCAAAGGGACCACCTGGCCCACCAGGACCACCAGGAAACGACGGTCAACCAGGTCAGCCAGGACAAGCCGGACCACCAGGCTCAGCCGGAGAGAAGGGTATCTGCCCCAAGTACTGCGCCATCGACGGCGGAGTCTTCTTCGAAGATGGAACCAGACGTTAAGGTGGAACCGAGTGATGGGCGATCTCTTGTTGCCCTTCTTGGCTTCTGTATACTATCCGTGTTTGAAATTGAATAAATTTTGATGCGGTTTCAAGTTTAGGCTTATTTTTTGAATTTTTGTAAATTTAGGCTTGTATTATTAAGCCTGTCTTAACTTTAGGCTTATATTTTAACGCTGTTTCTTTTTTTTCCTTAATTTCTGCGACATCAAGAGACGAGAAAACTAGTTTTGATTACGAAAAAAAGTGAAATGAAACAAAAAATGTTAAAATAAGCGTGTTAATTAGGTAACAAAAGGTTTAAACTAACAATAAAAACTCAATTTAACCTACTATTTATGACACAATTTAATCGTGTAAAATAAATTGGCTTACAGAGCAAGATAAGCCTATAAATTCCCAATAAAGAATAGGTACACCAATAATTACAAGAAAAGTGCTTGACCTGCCTCGCTTTGAATGACTCCAAACTTTTTATATAAAAAGATCATGTAAATATAAGATCTTCAGCAAAGTACTAAATCACGCCTTCCAGGAGATCCCAAGAAAACCGAGATTAAAAAATGACGCTTTGAATTTTCCGCCAAATTGGCATTGTGTTTTAAGCTTATAACTTTGTCATTTTATGACTTTTAATCATTTTCCTTTGATATACTAGTAGAAAACTTTTAAATGAACCTACATTTTTAAACTTGTAAACGTATTTTGTCTGAAAAGCCGATAAAATAGCTTGAAACACAATGCCAACTTTGCGAAAATGGCGAGAAATTCAAATATTAAAAATTTAAAACTCAAAAGCGCAAGCTAAAATTTTTTATGGGTACTATTTATTTGTGGTGCAAAGAATTCAAGTAAAAATTTGAGCTGATTTCTGAGCAAGGGTAGGGTATTTTCGATGTCAGCTTTTTTCCCTAACCCTAGCTTTAAAAATAAGTTTTTTTTAATCAAGCCCATACATTTTTCAATGTTTGTTATAAGAAACTCAAAAAAGAGCTATTTTTTATTATATGTCCAGCCAGTATAAATATTTTAAGCATTATATCAACTCAAAGCTAAAGTACATAACCTGCCCTGTTCAGAATTATCTCGGAATTTTTAGTTGAATTCTTTGTACCATCAATAGTACCCATAAAAAATTTCAACTTGCGTTTTTGAGTTTCAAATATGAAATATTTGATTTCTTCGTAAATTTGGCATATTTTGCATTTTGTTTCAAGCACTTTAGACAAGCTATGCTTATGACTTTAAAACTGCAAGTTCATTTAGCGGTCTTCTACTATTACATCAATGAAAAATGATTAAAAGTCCAAAAATGGCAAACTCATAAGCTTGAAACACAATGCCAGTTTTGGCGAGAAGTTCAAGACTTATTTTTTATCTCGATTTTCCCGAGATTTCCTGAAAAGCGTCATTTAGTACTTTGCTAAAGGTCTTACATTACATGATCTTCTTATACAAAGTGTCTGAAATCAATCAGAGCAGGGCACTTCAAACACTTTCTTTGTCAGTATAATATTTTAAACACAACCACATTACTTGTTTCCTACCCTTTATTTTTGTGCTTTACCATAGTCTACCCCATCCTATTTTATCCCTATCTACTCTACGTTTTCTTACGTTATTTGAAACATTTTTCACGTGATTTTCATAACTCGTTGGAAAGACGCCATGGCCCGATAGGACCTTGTATTACTACGCGTCTAGTTTTACGACGACCAACATTTGTTAGCCTTTGCTTTCAAAGACAGCATTTAGCTAACAAAGTTACCTTTGAGATGCGCCCTATTGTGGGAGTTTGCAGCGATCTGGTAAGTTTTGGCTTGTTATTTTGGATTTTTTTTCATATTGCATACGGTTGTTGTTGATAATATATTTCATACAAACAGTTAGTAAATTTAACACAATCTACTATTTCAACTTTTATTTTGCCTACAGATTTGTTGGACATAAAAGCGAATTTCCCGATACAAGTCAAAGTCAGAAGTACAGTTACATCTATTGAATACGACGAATGTGTTCGTAATACCTTCAATGACCTAGTTGAAGACGTGACAGGCCAAACTATCATACAAACGGGCTATGCTTTGAAGGTAGGCTTTGTAACCACACAGAGTAACATAGAACAATTTATAGTAAAAAGAGTATCACTAACACGTTCACCTAGTACTGCTTGTATAGTAACATAGAATAATTTATGATAAAAACAGTATTACTAACACATTCACTTAGTACCACACATATAGTAATATATAATAATGTATAGTAAAAACACTACCACTAACACACTCCCTTTGTACCGCTTCTTTAGAACGTTTTTGAAGTAACAGGTACACAAGAGAAATGATGAGTACAAGCAACTAGAAATAATTTATAATTAAAATATTAATATGAAAAAATTATTTTTCAAAAAACCAAAATTCGAAATTTTAAAATTTAAAAAATTGTCATTAAAAATTTAAAATTCAATTTCAAAAATTTCAAAAAATAGTTTATAGCTGTTTTATTAATGGCAAATTAACACTTGCTAAGAAGGTGACAGATGTTTTACTATTTGTCACCCATAAATCTTTAAACGTAAAAACGAAATAATATTGAATCTATTCATTGTCGTAAAAGACATGACGAGAAGGCCTCTACTCTTGCCGAACTGCGTAGAGCCTTTAAGGCTTTTAAGAAAACTACTTTCGTATTATGGAAAGCATACAAACTGACACAACGAGTATAAGTCTTGATGGGAAGCGCGAGCTTTCCCTTTTGAGGGAAATGCCAGATAGCCTATTCGTATCTCCAGTCATTCTTCAATCATGATTTCATTAATCGTAAAAAAATTTGGAAGATTTTTTCAACGAGCTCAATAATAATGATCAACCCACATAAACTCTACATGATTTGGGAGAAGATTCTGAAGACTTAGATCCTGAAGACTTGGATTCTGAAGGCTTGGATTCTAAAGACTTGGATCCTGAAGACTTGTATCCTAAAGAGTTTTGAAGCCGTCGTGTGCTTTGCAACTACAAGTCTCACCGTAGCGCGTAGATACGTAACTAAAACTTATTTTTGCTTTGGCAAACGAGACAAAAAGTTCGTAAATGTGCCGATAGGCACGAGGCTCAACGTTCTGTCGTATATCGAGGTTACGTACCGCAGGTAATCGTAATGAAACTCGGGTTAAGGCACTAAACAACGGGCCGTAAGATCTTGGGTACTATCTTTAATGTGACCAAGAGCTCATTCAGTATTACGATCAATTATCTGAAAGCCACTTATCATGGAATACATCATGACGTTCTGGACTATAATACCTCTATACCATTATGTTCTGGACTATAATACTTCTTTACCACGACTTACTGGACTATAATACCTCTTTACCATGACTTACTGGACTATAATACCTCTTTACCATGACTTACTGGACTACAATACTTCTTTACCATGACTTACTGGACTATAATACCTCTTTACCATGACTTACTGGACTACAATACTTCTTTACCATGACTTACTGGACTATAATACCTCTTTACCATGACGTTCTGGACTATAATAGCCCTAGTTTAACGAACAACATGGCATCCATGGTAATTTTATCGAGGTTAAAAGTCGTGGAGCGACGCGTAATGGAAACAATATGGGTTTGACACAATGGACATGGCAATACATGCTATCAGGTATGGCGCCGTAGGCTTAGGTATACTTTTTCCTCACTTTTTCAACCATTTTTTCTAGTATATAAACACTAAATAATAAAATTGTATTGATTCGTATGTTACAATCATCTCATTTTGATATTTTGCTATAACACTGTAACGTAATATCGGGCTAAAGACTATTGTACCCCATATCTTATCCTAAGAACATTTAATAAACTATTGTAATTAACAAAGTTGGATTGCTCAAAAGTGCAGAACTCACCACAATGTTCATATATTACTGTATTTTTCCAGAATGCTTCAATAACTTTTTTCAATTAACCTAATGACAAAAGAAAAGATATACAACAAAAATATAAAGTTTATATACAAATATATGTACATGTCTGCCATTTCAAATACGAACGTCAAAGTTGAGGCTCTTCGACGGAATTCTTGTTTTGAGCGACGGATTTTGACTTCTGAACAGGTCCTTTTGACTTTGGCATTTTGGCTGTCTTCACATGACTTTTGTTCGACTTGCTTAGCGGCTGCTGTTTCTTTGCTGTTTTGGCACTGTCTGCGGCTAAAAAAAAGAAATTGTCCGTTAGATCTGTTGCCCTGCCCTACCTATTCACTCTACCTTACCTTGTCCCACCCATCCTACTCACTCTATCCTCTAATTTACCAATTTAAACCTCGTAACTTTACAAAAACTAATAGATTTGTCGACTTACTTTGTTCAACCGAGCCAGTCCTCGTCTGCACCGCACTATTCTTCACTGACGGTCGCTCTGAAACATTCCGTGCTGTCTTTGCAAAGACTTTTGATGATGGGGCTTTTTCTCTGAAATCCGTAACTATATTGTTTTTTACTTGGCCTACCCTACCCTAGACATGAGCAACGGGCCGGGCCAGGCCAAGACTGAGCAAAATCAAAAACGGGCCCGGCTCGTTGCTCATTTCTACCCTACCCGACCCTACCCTATCCTACTTTACTCTACCCTACCCTAACAAAAATCTACTGTGGTAAATAATGTCCTCAAAAACCTACGACTTGAGCTTATCTTCCTGTCCACCAGGTTCAATCTGTGATTCGACCAACTCTTCGGCTACAAATTCTATGTGTTCCTTACTTTGGCTAGCTGTTTTGCGCTGAAAAAAGGTCGTATTTTAGCTTACATTCAGAGGTTGTTATCCAAAAAACTATGTATTTTACAGAGTAATACGATCTAAAGATATATGTCAATTTAAAAGATTTAAACACGTATTTAAAAAGCTGTCTAATACCTTAAAAGAGCTATGTTAACATACCATTTTAAGTTTATTCAAATACGCTTTGGCTTTATCAAGGCTGGCACCACTTAAGAAACTGCTGCGTCCTCTGAAAAGTGAAAAAAAAATTAAATTTTTAAATTTTAAAAATATTTTTTTAAAAAAAAGTTGAAAAATCAAAAAAAATTTAATTTTCAATTTCAAAAATAATTTTTTTTAAATTAAAAAAAAACGTTAAAAATCTTTAAAATTTGCCCCTACACCTATTATCGTACGTTGTCGTAGTACCCGTGGTAGTTTCGGTCGATGCTACACTGTGCCCTCGCGCTTCTCTACTCTACAGCCCCTTCTTCTTCGACTTCCTTGAACCTTCTTTACTCCTCGATTGCCCTTCTGTTCCTTCAGCTGATCCAGATTTATATCCACCTTCACCAACATGACCACCTTCACCCATATGCCCACCTTCTATCATATGTTCACCTTCAGCCCTTTCATCAATCGTATGTCCCATTCAAATTTGGTTTTTGAAATTTTAAAAAGTTCGTGGGAAAACGATAAAAAATTTTAAGTAATATTTTTCGTTTTGAAAGCTTAAAAATGAAAATTAAAAAAAAAGTCAAAAAATTTTTATGATGAAAAGAAGTTTAAGAAATTAAAAAAAAACATTAAAAAACGTTTTTAGGTAACAGGGCCAAGCCGGGCTGGAAGATGTGGGCACTAAAAGGTCGAGTACAAATCCAGGTTCCAGAGGCCTTTCTTAGATCTCGCAACAATATCTGAATTTATATAAGGAGCCGGGTCGAAGAAAACAATTTTAATGCTTATATAAGCGGCCAAAGCAGATTCGAAAAAAACCAGTTTAAAGAAATAGACCGACCCGGTCCCTTTACAAGTCTAATTTCAAAGAGCTGACCCGACCAAAATTCTGCCTTCAGTACTAGTCATTATAAAATAAAAGGATTGATTTATTGATGTTATCTATATTTGCTTCAGTTCAAAAAAAGTTTCAACAAATAACAATTTATTAACAAAAACAATAAAAATCTGATCAACAACCTATGTTAATATCAAAACCTATTAAAACTTCATAAACCTAGACCGGCAATCAAAGCAAAAACTGTCATCCTTAAGCCTGCCTGCCATTGTTTAAGACACCGTTCTCAAATCTACACAAGAAACTGACATTCTCTTTATCACAACGTCCTTGATCTCAAAAAAATGAAACCATCTCACAACCTCTTTGACCTCCCTTTAGTGTACCGCAACAACGTGATCAGTGCTTCTGGAGTCATGCCTTCGATTCGTGAAGCCGCTGCCAGATTAAGTGGCCTTAATGAGTCAAGTTTTTCCCTGCATTCCAAGTTCAAACCTTCTACATTACTGTAATCCAGATCTTCTGGTAGTGTCGCAGTCATTTCCTGTTTCATCTCATTCATCTGTTTCATGTAGCGTGCGTGTTGATGTGAGTACATACCATCTAATCGTACTCGTTCTTGAATATCTTCATTTTCTAGCAAATCTACAATGTTTTTGAAGGCGTCGGGGTCGGCTTCGTACAGATGTTGTAGCTTTACATCGTGACGGTGCATCATTTCATAGGCTGAGTGCTCTGGAAAGAAAAAAAAATTGTTTGACGTGGGCAGGGGAAAATCTTTATAAAGAATCCACGGATATAACCCTTTATACAGTGGGCAGAAACAAAAAGCTTTATACTAATAAATAAAGGCAAATGTTGCTCATATGTAGCTCCCAACCTATACCTACTTCTCGCAGTCCCATTTAGCTTGTATCCCATTGGTCCGAGAACTTTTGACCATTGATATAGTGAGATCTCAAAGTCCATTAACTTCTCCTTCAATCGTGTGAAATCGGCTTTGACCGTGCTGTAATGAGCCCATCGTTCCGGCGACAAAACCCCATAGTCTTTGGCTTTTTCGGTTAGGCGGAGATCAGCATTGTCCGGCCTGAATGTGGGTAATATTAGTAGAATAGTTGATATCTTAAGAATAAGTTTTAATGGGCTCCGGCGGACCTAGTTTAGGCCCTTGAAGCCTTAAATTGGGTCCCTTGAGCCTTAATTTTAGCCTTTAAAGGCTTAGTTTAGGCACCTGAAGCTTTGATTTGGGTCTCTGAATCCTGAGTTTTAGCTCCTGGGGCCTCTTTTGGGCTCCTGAAGCCATGGTTTACAATTAGGCCTCTGGACCTTGATTTAGGCTCCTGGGACCAGGTTTGGGCTTCTGGAGCTTTATTTTGATCCCAGGTTCTCAGACCCATTTGAATCAAAAGTTAACTATAAAAAAATAAAAAAAAAACCTACCTCAAATGCAACCTGAACTCAACTCTCGATGTGAACATTCTGTACGGTTCTTTGACTCCAAAATTGATCAGATCATCAACCAAAACGCCCATATATCCTTCTGATCGACACACAGTGAGTGGTTCGCGTGGTACGTATTGACAATTGCTTCGTGTTTTAGATCTCCATACACAATTAATACCTGCTAGTACTCCTGGAATTTAAGATTTAACTTATTTTATCGTTGTAGTGAATTAAAATTCAAAAAAAAAAGATGAAGTTTTACTCCTTGTCGTTCAAAAAACTCTGAGCCCTTTTCAAAGCAAATCTTCAGAATTATTTGAACAACCTAATATCAATAAAAATTTTTTTTGTCGTTTTTAATACGCCAAACACCGTAATTTACCTTGTGAAGCCGCCTCCTCGTACCCAGTAGTACCATTAATTTGTCCAGCTAAGAATAGCCCTTCGACTTTCCTGGTCTCCAGCCAAGGTTGAAGTTGTTTCGGATTGACATAGTCATATTGTACACCATAACCATATTGTAATATCTTTGTATTCTCTAGCCCTTTAATCGAATTGACAATCTGATCTTGAATCTTCTCGTCGTTTGTCATCGTTGAGCCTTGCATGTAAACAACATTACAGTTCAGACCTTCACGTTCGAGGAAAAACTGAAAAATATCCATTTTAGGTATAAAAAAAGGCTATATTACCTAAAGAAAGCCCAAAAATTAAATTTGTTACCTAAAGTAAGCCAATAAAAACGAATTTAATACCTAAATTACTAAAGACTTACTTTCCAATACCTAAATCATTAAAAATTGACTTCAATAAACTAAACTACTAAAAACATACTCTTTACCTTACTTTTACTTAAAAAACTTACTCTGTGGTTCAACTTCGGAAACCTTATGACCTTTGTTTCCAACGAAGGACAATACCTCGGTCCTGTTACTCCTCCAGTCGCGTGTAGATTCTGATCCAAATTCTTGTTTATAATCTCAACAACCTTTTGATTTGTATACCCAAAATGAGTCGATAACTAAAAAATATAATTTTAGGTAATACCCATTGTCCACAAACTTCAAAACCTGATATTTCTCCCAATTGTTTCAATTTTATCCTTGTATCAGAGGTTTAGACACCTAAAACAAGATCGTTTGCCTTATTTTAAGACAAATTCAAGTCCAATACTTCATCAAAAATGTAGCCAGCACAAGTTCCAACAAAATAAAAACAAATTCAAATCAATTTCACCCTAAAAACATTAAAATCAAAGCGATATTACCTGTTGATCCACACCAATCCACACCTTTTTAGTCAAATAACTAAATGGAATTGGTTTCTGATCAGGTGGCGCTTCTTCAAACTTTGTAAAATCTATTGTATCCGCATCTAATCGAGGTGGTGTTCCCGTCCTCAACCTTCCTAGTACAAATCCAAGCCTGTTAAACGTCCTCGACAGTCCATAAGAAGCAGCGTCTCCTATTCGACCAGCTGGTTTTGATGTCATACCTCGATAAATCTCGGCCGATAAGAAAGTTCCTGTTGTTAACATAACTGTATTTGAATTGACTATCTAAAAATGACACTTTATTTAATAAACTTCCAAAATATTAGCCAGAAACAAAAAAGGCTAATAAAGCAGGTAGGATAACATAATATAGCTGTAAAAAGCCTTATGTCTTTTACAGCAAGTAAATTATTTCAACAAGCAAAAACCCTAAACTTTGAAAATAAAACTTTAAAAATACATACAGTTCCATCTCCAAGCACACATCCATAGATTCTCATCTTATTCGTGCTTTCTTCCAACACAAGGTCTTCAACAGCCGATTCTAAAACCATCAGGCCGGGTGTGTTCAAGATCTCTTGCTGCATGTTCTTTAGATATATCTCTCTGTCCATTTGTGCTCTAAGACCTAATACAGCTGGCCCATGAGACCTGTTCAAGGCCTGGAAGGTAATAGCTGATTGATCACAGATTCTCGGCGAAACTCCATCAAAAGCATCAAGTTCTCTAAAATTAAAAACAGTTCGTAAGCCTTATCAACTAAAAAAGATAATAAAGATCATATTTAACGCCATAACATTTACCTCCGCCCAAAATCCGTCAATTAATTACCTAAAAACCAAGAAAACAATAAAATTAACTTACCTCATCAGATGCCCCTTGCCAATACCGCCAAAAGACGGGTTACAACTCATAATGCCAATTGTATTAACATTGTGAGTTATCAACAACACTCTTGAGCCACATCTCGCAGCAGCAGCAGCTCCTTCACATCCTGCATGACCTCCGCCGACTACTATAACATCGAAACGCTTAGATAACTCCGGATCATTAGCCCATATTTGAAGGTATCGACTTGACACAACTTTCTGATGTAGAAAGCCGTGTATACGACGCATTCAACAATAAGATATTATAAAATATTGTTTCGGCCGTGTTTTATTGTTCGAATTTTAAAAAAAATTAGAAATGATAGAGTTGACGCACAAAAAATGTGTCAAGTGTGACACCGTGTAATACTGTATTCTTTGGTATGGTTTAATTGTATATTTCTTTGTATTATAAATTTGCCTGAACTTTTAGTTGTTCAATTGATGACAATTCTGGCCTTTATTTTTGTTTATTCCTTAAAATAGAAAAGATAAAATACATAGGAAGAAAAAAATACAAAAATAGAGATAAAGCCACCGAAAGCACCGTCCAAAAAATAAGAAGCAGTATCTTCGTAACTTCTTCGTTCAAATTCTATCAAAGCCACAAGCTCAAGTCTCTTTAGTAGTACTCGAAAGTCTTTCGACACTGCGTCATACGGTCGATAACACTTACTGTATATCTTATACTTTACATACATGCTTATCGGAATGGCATACGTGCAAAACGAAAGCTAAAAAGACAGTTATTGAGTTTGTATTTACTATAGTCCCAACCAAAGTACTAGGTCTACCTTAGTAGGGGTGAGAAACGGCCGTGTAGGCCCGACCCTACGATCAAGCCGGACCTCAACCGTACTCACACTACAGTAAACAGAATATTGTGAAAAAACAAAAAAAAATTAAAAATTTTTTTAAATGTTATTTTGAAATTTTTAAAAGTTTAAAAACATACTGTAAAGAATTGTTTAAGTCCGTATGTATTGCCAGAAATCCCAAAAATCATTGGGAAAACGAAGTAAGTTGTAGCAAGCATATTCATTATTGTAAAATAATGTGAAATTATATAGGTGTCGTAAAGCTAAATTTTGAATTAAAGTTTCAATTTTTTGAAATAGCTTTATGTAAGTCAAGGCCGACCCGTTTCTCATGTTGGCTCACCCTTTTTGCCTTGAACAATACGAATAAATTGAGGATAGTTAGCTCTAAGCCTTAGCCCTAGCCTGAGTACTAGGCTAAAGACTAGCCCTAGCCTCAGCTCCAGCCTAAACCTCAATCTAAACCCAAGCCCTAGCCCAAGCCGAGCCTAAGCCCTAGCCTACGCTCTAGCCTAAACCCCAGCCTAAGCTCTAGCCTAAGTCCTAGCCTGAACCCTAGTCTAAACCCTAACCTAAGTACTAGTCTGTCCTTATTGTTAGCTCCGGCCTTATATCCTATTCTTGCTCTACCCCTGACCCTAGTTCCATCCTTGACCCCAGCCCTAGCTCTACCCCAAGTCCTATTCCTAGCTCTACTCTTGGCTATAGTCATAGCTCTGGCTCTAGCCATACCTCTAACCCTACCAACTTACCAAGGCAATAAATGCAGTTTCGTCAAAGTTGTAATCTGTTCCTCTGATACGCGGCCAACTTTCTAATACATTTGTATTGCGAAAACCAAGAGGTCTGTTCATATACAGTACTCTAAGGTAGATTTTCGATTGAAAATACAGTAACATTTGAAAGGTATGCTTTATAGAATCAAATAACGTAGTAGATGAAGACTTTCGTAGCAACATTTTAGTAAATGAAAGTTTTTGTACTTTCTATTTTAATATATTACCTTTAAAATGTGAATATAAAAAAAGCCAAAGTCAAAACAGCTAAGAGACAAAAAAAAACTCGAATAAAAAGATTATAATATATTCCTTAGCGCGCGTTCTTCATTAGTTCACTAAGTATGTAAAAAAAGCTTACAAATCAGATCGCGATTTGACGCAAATGCTTATTTTTTATGTTTTGGAATTTAATGCTTTGTATAAACCGTAAGCTGCTTTAAGACTGTATTTTTACAAACCCAATAAAATTCAAATTTAAAGCAAAATATTACATTGAAGATTAAGTTTTCAGACTGATATTACACTTGTTTCATATTGATATTGTACTTGATATCACACCTACCAAGCCGAGCTTGTTCACTCCATGAACACCGAAGAACAACATGAACATCATGGAGAACAAGACTGATGTCACGATAATCAAGTTGGGATAACTCTGAATTCAAAAACATCAAAATTATTTTAAAAAATTGTGAAAAAAACACTTTCAAAAAAGTCTTGTCGCTTTTTTACGTGCAAATTAATAATAAAAAACGACAAGACTTTTTGAATAAGTCTAAGGAGCCGCTAGGTTATAAGATAGAGATACTATTAGGTTGACCAAATAATTCTGTGCCCCTCTCAACGCAAACCTGCAATGTTAAAGGCACAAAATTATCTGAACAACCTAATAAACCAGTGTAATTACAACTGACATGTCAATACCAAGACTTAACATGTTATAAAAGACCAAATATGAACCTACATCCAAAGCCTGATGTAGATTCGTTTCGATAGGTGTTTCCCTCAACGCAGCGTGACCATATGTCATGATGATCACGGCTTGTTCGTATGTGTAGTTTGGATTCAGTTTGCCTTCAATAAACACCTCTCTACATTCGCCGAGGTACTGGTAGAAGACTGAAGAGTTATAGTTGCTGTATCTGTCTTTGCAAATGATCAACCGGTCGTAACAGTCTAAAAATGTGGCCATATACAGCATGGTATGTTGCGATTTATAGGTGTTATGTTATGACATAGTACTAGTGTAGTACTGATATATTACCATTATGATACTAGTATCAGTCCCACCACGAAAACCTTCAAAATCAAAACCTACTCAAGAAGTTGGTTGGTAATCGACAATCAGCCCAAGTCTCTCCATTAGAATGTGTTCGTAGCAACACAAAAACCGAGTTGATTAAGTCCTGTACCATAAAGTCATCAAACACAACATAGATCACTGCGACACGAACTACGGTCAACAATACTCCCAGCCCCTTGTATAACGGCGTTCTCCTGGTAAAGAGTTGAAGCGGAGGTAGGGATGAATATTGGCCGAGTGAGAGTTGGATATAAGCCATGGGAATAGCGACAAACGTCAGGACTAGTGCGTAGAAGGAGAAGAACGACACTAAAATAAGGTTTTTTTACAAAAGAATGTTCCTCCTTGGCTATTTACCCCTCCCAAAACGGTGGGTGACATAGTTTCTCATTTTTTACCCCGTCCAGGCCTGTGAGAAAATTTATTTTGGTATTTTACCCCGCCCAGCTCTACGAGTAAAGCTTTTTGTCCCTACTACAATATCAATGCTGTGAGAAAAGTCTTGGCGTTTTTGGACGTGAAAATACATGTAAATTGATAACAATACTTTTCTTCAGCCCTGATATTATAGTAGACGTTGAAAATTTTTATTCACATCACAAGGTGAAGGAATTCCACCGTCCCAGTCTGGAAAACCCAGGAGAACAAGTGCGTAGAAGGAGAAGAACGACACTGAAATGAGATTTTTGATATGAAAGGATAATTTTTGTGACTTTTACCCCGCCCAGTGTTGTGAGTAAACTGATTTTGATTTTGTACCTCGACCAACATTATCAGTGAATTTATCTTACGCCGCCCAGCCCTGTAAGTAAAACTTTTTGTCAACTACTACAATATAAATGCCGTGAGAAAGTCTTGGCGCTTTTGGACGTGAAATTTTCCCTACAAACAATACCTAAAATTCATTTCCCTACAAACAATACCTAAAATTCAAAGAATCAAAAACAATAAACCATTTACAAGCTCCATACTTGATGCACAACAATGGAATCTTGAATACCCATGTGAAGCCAAAAGTTGAAGCAAAAATGATACCAAATCTTTGCCAATCACTCTCCAATATGAAATGAGCTGGAGCATCCAGGGTGTTGTAGATCAGCGACAAAAACCTCTTCGTTTCCCAGTTCTGGAGACTCGCTTCGAGGAGAATCGACCAAATCCAGCTCATTCAGATTCTCAAAGTTCTCGTTCAAGTGTGATTCATCGACGGACTGAATTTTGACTGCCCTTTCTGAAATTGGACGTATTTTACAAAGTTCAATTAATCAAAAAGAATTTCATACAAAATATAAACGTAAATTTCCGCTTTAAAAAATATTCATGAAAGAAAAGCGTTTTTTGAAAGATTTCGATCGAAAAGAAAAAAACTTGATTTGTGACAAATTAACAACAAATTTTACCTAATTTTCGCATATTAAACCTTTATTATTCCCACCCATTCCCACCCTTTCGTCTCCCTTAACCAAAGAGTATATCTTTTGAATACGCGAAATATAACGGCACGAAAGAGCCGACTGACGGCTATATTACTATTTTAAAACCAATCAACGCACGCTACCTACAATAACATAGTTCAGCCTTTAAGAACCGTTGTAAATAGGTTCTGTTACTAAAAATCGGCAAAAATATAAAAATACGACTGTAAAAAACGAAAGAGGACGTAAAAAACCGTCCGACAAAAGAAATTAAGAGACGGAAACGTCTCTTTCTTCGGCGCTCTCTCGCCCGGTATGCGATTACTAACACTCTCTTCATCAGAAGAAGTGCTCCGTATGTGCTAAAACCGTTACCTCTTCATCGTCATTACGATGCATTTTATAAAAATTTTTCGGAGGTAGAGATAGACTTGACTCCGTGCGTCAAGTTTCAAATAATAAATCAAAAAAAAAGATTTTTTCGTTTTAAATTTACAGGATACTATTTAATTTTTTCACGTTAAAAGTTAAAACTTTTTATTGTGTTTTAAATAGGTTACATTTAATTTTTCCTTAAAATAATTTGCGACATTTCCTTTTAATATTTATTGTTTAACTTAATTGGAATTTGCATAAATATAGTTTGCGAGGGGGAAGATACTTAAGTTTTAACAATTTAGACGCAATAAGAGCACCCAGACTAGACAACTGTAACGGTTTGCTCGACTATGTTGTACACAACTTGTGTACTGTCTTGAGCACCTCTCCAAGCCACATGACCACAGAAAGCGATGGAAACAAATAAGATAAGAACACAGACAACTGGCTCCAAGACAATAAAGACACCGGTTGATTGGACGGTAGCCAATGTTGTCAGAAGATAAAAAAATCCGAGGACCATGTTTCCGATTTTTCGACCGGTTGTCAACGGGACGCGTGGGTAGTTAGAAGGTGGACCCCATGTGCTCAGGTAGGTAAGGGCTGCCATGCCTGAGTAAAGAATGGCCATAATGATGTGAAACATCGCTGGTGTGTGTTGGGTATGGAGCACGGTGATCATGTAGACGAGTTGGCACACGTTGATGATCCAACCAAACATGTACAATAGTCCTCCCTGGCCACAAGTGTTAAAGAAACGTTCCATTTCACTTTGGCTTGAGTTGGAACGTTGGATGGCAAGTAGGCGAAGAATGACGACACCATTGCGACGGAAGCTGACAGTACGTTCGCGTATTTCATGTACATCAGCTTGTTCTCTACGTCAAGAAGTAGGGGTACTCCGGCCAGTGTTGCGACGACGATTGAGACGTACGCTAGGAGATTCTCAATGGTTTTGGCTAGTTGTTGGTATACCGTGAATTCCATTTTCTACAACAACGTAAAATTAAAAAAAAATTAAACAATAATCAACACGATAAAAAATTTCAAATTGAAATTTTTTTTTTTTTATTTTTTATTTTGTTTTTATGTCATCGATGCCCGATTTTCGCACGAGGCAATTTCTTTTCATGCGGGTTTGTTTTGTATTTTTTCATTTAGAAAACTCAGATAAGGTGGATATGGATAGTCTAATAGCAGAAGGGTGATAAATGTAGGTAGGTTGATATGGTTAGATTCTTAGGAAAAGAGCGATAGGGGTAGATTGATAGGGAAAGGCTGATAGGAGAAGGATGATAGGAGTAGGTTGAGGGGGTAAGGCTGGTTGAAGAAGGGCCGTAGGAGCAAATTGATAGGTTAGGTTAAAGCTGATAGGAGAAGGGTGATAGTGTAAGGCTGATGGGAGAAGTGCAATAGGGGCACATTGTTAGGCTAAAGCTGATAGGATAAAGGCGAGAGAAGTAGATATTTAGAAATTTTGATAAGAGTTGGAACGGTGTATTAATAAATTTTCTGTCAATTTTAATTCAACTACAAAATTTTTTATTTTTTGTTGATTTTTTTACCGTGTCACCTTAAGGAATTGGGTTAGCAAATTTAAAAACTTTTTTATATTGTTTATTGATGAATAATTTGAAAAGAACTTGTCTATAACAATTGCAAATGACATTAAGAATTTTATTTGGTTTATGCAAATACGGTACTACAAACTTTTTATTTGAGTTTTTCGTTTTTTTTTTCAGATGTTTTTGACTTGACTTTTTTATTTTTTAATGTTAAAATATCATCAAAAATTTGACTTTGAACAATCGTATTTTATTGTGTAAGACATTTCCATTGGAAATTGGTCGTGTATCAGAGGAACTGATTATACATTCGATGGTATTGTATCTGTTGCCTTGATAAGTGTCTAGGATTAGAGGTATTACTAGGGCCTATGCTAGAGCTAGGCAAGGGCATAAACGCTATCACCCCTGCAATTAACACCTATAACTTTGAGGGCTTGTAACAAGTACCACAGATGCTTTGGCAATCTATTAATAGAAACATATATTTTTTGCCATATCTTTCTACTTTACTATGTAATTTTACGCTCCATCAAATCATATACGTATTTTATTTATGCTTTTCAGTTCTAATATTATCAATACAGACCAAAATATTAATCATAAACATTTATATAAGTTACTCATCATTATAAGTACCATATTAACTTCTAACCCTATTCGCTCTTTCGTCGAATTCGGCCTTTCTTCGATCAGGATGGTACAGTGGTCCCCAGCGAGGGGATGGTTCCCACAGAGTGCCAATGTTTTGTCCCAGTTGTTTGGCTAGTCTGACATCGCTCATCGCAAACACCGGTATGATAAGGATCAAGAGGACTATGGTCAAGATGTACAGTGCAAGTCGAGCGTTGCGAACACCCGAGGTCTCGGATATGATATGATTGTTGAGAAGGACGCCTTGTGCTAGGATGAAAAATATCTAAAATAGTGCTTTATTATAGGTGATAAGTCGTATTTTAGGCTAAGGTCAGGGTTAATATGTTAAAGTTGGACTAAAAAAAACAAAAAAAAATTTTTTGTGGAAGAGTCCTATAATTTTTTTCAATTTTTTTTTCAAAATTCAACAGAGGAGACCAAGCACAACTTTATTCAAAAAAATTTTTTAATTTTTAAAAATGAAAAAATTTACCGTACAAACCACTGGTAACACATGTTTCCACATAAACCCGTAGTAGCGATTAAATGGCATTAACTTGTCTAATATCGACGCTTTCCTACTCCTTCTCATGGTGTATATGTTGGTAAGGAGGCGACCCTCCGAGTAGGGTCTGATGAAGCAGATGGACTGAAATTTTCATGATATTACCATGACAAATCACTCGATACTACACAATCTGATAATTTTTTTACTACTTTATGTTTACAGTACCATTCCAGGCAGTAGGACCAAGCAGGGACGTCGCTACAGATTTTCTCTGGGGGGAGGGGGAGGCCGAAAAATTTTTTTTTGTCCACAGGTAGCTGCTACCTGTGGAATTTTTTTCGGACCGGCTCTGGGGGAGGGGTACTCCCACCCCCCCCTCCCCCCCCTCCCCCAAACGACGTCCCTGGTACCAAGTATCCGGCAGTTGAACCACGAGTATTACGAAAAAGACCAAAAATGGTACTGCTAGGCCTAAAACAGTACCAAAAACACAAAATTAGTACTAATAATAAGCCCAAACAGATATTAAAAACCTCAAAATAGTACTAAAAATCCAGTACTAACAGTCCCAACACCTCACCTGAATCAACATAATCGCCGGTACGATGCATTGGATGACCATGACTGATGTGAATCCTTGCACATCGCCGTTTCCTCTAGTCCAGTCTCTCATAATGGCAACAATGTAAGCCCAGGTAATGTAGGAGCAGTAAAAGAAGACTACCATGGTATCTATGTCAACATGGACGAAATGACGAGAGCTGTTCATTACTGTTTGTATGATCAACTCGCATGTCATGATCTGAACCGTAGTTTTTGAATTTCAAGAAATTTAAGCAAATTCGAAAAATTTTTAGAACATTTTCAATTAAAAATTTTGAAATTTAAAAATATTTAAAAATTTTTTTAAATTTCAAAAAAGCTTACCTGAGGACAAATTTGCATAATAGCCAGGCCCAATGACAAAAGTGCTGATACAAGTGTTGATACCGGATCACTGCCGTTCATATCCAACATTTGAAAGTGAAAATCCCAATCGGATGTTGTTCTTATGATACCTCCTACAAAATCAAAATTTAAACAAAATTTTTTTTCAGTTTCATGTTTTTCAAAAATAGCCTTCACAATCATTCCCAATCAAAAGATAATAAATAAACTTACTATAGCTATACAAATTCGTAAAAATAAAGTCCTCAGGGTATTTCGTCTTGATAAAAGCGTAAAACGTGGGCACGATGGCCAAGAATACAAGTACAAAAATGGTAATATTGCTGATCCATACAAAAACCAAGTCCTTTTTGATATTGTTATTGAACTTGGAAAAGGAGCCCACCAAGATCATCGTTCCATCTACTACTCCGGTTGATATCACTACCTACAATCACATTTTTTTAAGATTTATGGCGTTAAGACGTAACTTTTGGAACTTGACAAGGTCTTACGTATTTTACATAAAATTACCTAAATTTTTAAACATTTACAGTACAGTAAATTAGCCTTATAACAATATAAGTCAGACTTTTAAGGAGTTTTAGCTAAATGACCAAAAATCAATAATTGACATTTCGTCGCACTAAACCAAAAAATCTACAAAAATGTAAAAAACCTTTAAGATCCTATTTCACCGCAATAATTTTACTTCAAATTTCATTACATTTTCACAAAAACCCAAATCAAATAATCAATATTAAAATTCTTGACATTTCGTTACAAAAACTGACTAAATGTTAAAAACTAAAATCTTCAAAAACTCAATCTATGACAATATCCTACCGCAGTAAACGTCTCCACATAAAAATCTGGATTCGTAAAAGCATCGAAATCGAACCATCCATACTGTATGATACCATCAATGCCATGGTTGGCCACTTTGTTGATCGCGTTCAATGGCAAAGCGCATACGGTTACTATGGCACTTATCAGGCATACCTAAAGATTGATAATGTTTTTTTAAAGCAAGATATTACATTTAAGATTAGTTTTTCATACTGATATTACACTTGTTATATATTGATGTTACACTTGATATTACACTTACCAAGCCGAGTTTGTTCACTCCGTGAACACCGAAAAACAACATGAACATCATGGAGAACAAGACTGATGTCACGATAATCAAGTTGGGATAACTCTGAATTCAAAAACATCAAAATTATTTTAAAAAATTGTGAAAAAAACACTTTCAAAAAAGTCTTGTCGCTTTTTTACGTGCAAATTAATAATAAAAAACGACAAGACTTTTTGAATAAGTCTAAGGAGCCGCTAGGTTATAAGATAGAGATACTATTAGGTTGACCAAATAATTCTGTGCCCCTCTCAACGCAAACCTGCAATGTTAAAGGCACAAAATTATCTGAACAACCTAATAAACCAGTGTAATTACAACTGACATGTCAATACCAAGACTTAACATGTTATAAAAGACCAAATATGAACCTACATCCAAAGCCTGATGTAGATTCGTTTCGATAGGTGTTTCCCTCAACGCAGCGTGACCATATGTCATGATGATCACGGCTTGTTCGTATGTGTAGTTTGGATTCAGTTTGCCTTCAATAAACACCTCTCTACATTCGCCGAGGTACTGGTAGAAGACTGAAGAGTTATAGTTGCTGTATCTGTCTTTGCAAATGATCAACCGGTCGTAACAGTCTAAAAATGTGGCCATATACAGCATGGTATGTTGCGATTTATAGGTGTTATGTTATGACATAGTACTAGTGTAGTACTGATATATTACCATTATGATACTAGTATCAGTCCCACCACGAAAACCTTCAAAATCAAAACCTACTCAAGAAGTTGGTTGGTAATCGACAATCAGCCCAAGTCTCTCCATTAGAATGTGTTCGTAGCAACACAAAAACCGAGTTGATTAAGTCCTGTACCATAAAGTCATCAAACACAACATAGATCACTGCGACACGAACTACGGTCAACAATACTCCCAGCCCCTTGTATAACGGCGTTCTCCTGGTAAAGAGTTGAAGCGGAGGTAGGGATGAATATTGGCCGAGTGAGAGTTGGATATAAGCCATGGGAATAGCGACAAACGTCAGGACTAGTGCGTAGAAGGAGAAGAACGACACTAAAATAAGGTTTTTTTACAAAAGAATGTTCCTCCTTGGCTATTTACCCCTCCCAAAACGGTGGGTGACATAGTTTCTCATTTTTTACCCCGTCCAGGCCTGTGAGAAAATTTATTTTGGTATTTTACCCCGCCCAGCTCTACGAGTAAAGCTTTTTGTCCCTACTACAATATCAATGCTGTGAGAAAAGTCTTGGCGTTTTTGGACGTGAAAATACATGTAAATTGATAACAATACTTTTCTTCAGCCCTGATATTATAGTAGACGTTGAAAATTTTTATTCACATCACAAGGTGAAGGAATTCCACCGTCCCAGTCTGAAAAACCCAGGAGAACAAAAATCTTTATCAATTTCCCTTCAAACAATACCTAAACTTCAAAACACAAAGAAAAATAAACAACTTACAAGCTCCATACTTTATGCACAACAATGGAATCTTGAATACCCAAGTGAAGCCAAAGGTTGAAGCAAAAATTATACCAAATCTCTGCCAATCACTCTCCAATATGAAATGAGCTGGAGCATCCTGGGTGTTGTAGATCAGCGACAAAACCTCTTCGTTTCCCAGTTCTGGAGACTCGCTTCGAGGAGAATCGACCAAATCCGGCTCATTCAGATTCTCAAAGTTCTCGTTCAAATGTGATTCATCGACAGACTGAACTTTGGCCGCTTTTGGAGGCACGACCTTGTCGATGAGCTTGTTCTTCCGGAAGTCTGCCTTTCCTTTAGGTTTTTCGTCTCTGGAATTGGGAAATTTATAATTTTTAGCTGAAAAATATTTTTTCCTCGTTTCCTTTATTTTACGAGCTTTTGTTACCTAAAAATCAGTAAAACAGAGGGATTTTAACGATAAAATAGTTTTTGTTACCTAAAATTTTTAAAAGAAAGAGATTTTACACCTAATACGCGATTTGTTACCGAAATTATGTGAAACAAGAAGATTTAGAACAGAAATTTAAATTGTCACCTAGAATTTTTCAAAGCAAGAGATTTCATACCTAAAGCGCGATTTGTTACTTAAATTTATCTAAAAAACGAAGATTTAGAACAAAAACCGAATTTGTTACCTAAACTTACTAAAAAGAAAGGTTTATAATAGAAATAAGATTTGTTACCTAAAATATGAGAACACAAAGATTTAGAACAGAAATAGAAGTTGTTACCTAAATATATGAGGAAACTTACTTTTTCATTAGCACAACGTAAATTCCGAACACAACTAATCAAAAACAATATAAAATAGGTGAAATGAAGTTTTTGAGTAACCGAAAAAGTTTTTATATTGATAAAGACAAATTTACATACAAATTTTTGTTATTTTTGACAAAAAAAAATATTGGAATTTTGTAATTTTGACTAGGGCTGGGATAAATTTGGGTAAATTTAGGGAAAGAGTAGAGCAGGGCTGCAGCTAGGGCTAAAGCTAAGGCTCTGGGCTAGGGCTAGGGTTAATGTCAATTTAGATGGATTTAGGGTTAGATAATGGTAGGTCTACAGCTATAGCTAGATGTAGAGGTACAGCTAGGGCTTGAGCTAGGGCTAGAACTGAACCCAGAGTTAGGTCTAGGGTTAGACACAAAGATAGGGCTAGTATAAACTTTACAAGAGGTGGTTGCTTTTTTGACAATTTCACCAAGTCTACTCCGTATAAAAACCTTCTATGTAAGAATAGATGTAATTTTTTCTATTGTGATGATCGTATTTTACCTTTATTTTTGTTATTTCAACTTCCACCAAGTTTAGCAAGTTTGATGCGAAAATAGCTGAGCGCGCGACAGTACTTGAATCGCGTTATACCAACAAAAGTTGTATAGTTGAAATTGGGATACGCGTCGAGTGTTTTTGTGTAGCGGAAATGGACTCCCAACAGTTATCTTGGACACAACAGGACAGCTACTACTATTTTGGTGGTTGTTTTTATATTTTCTTGGCGGTTTTGGTGTGAAAGTTGATTTACATACTATATAGTATTGATTACAGTATATTTTAGTAAACATTCTATCGATATTTAAGAGAAGATACTGTATTTTCACTGAAATTTGGCGAAAAATGTGCTAAAATTCTGAGATTTTTTTGATTTTTTTATTAGTACTGGTACTAAACTATCCGCCATTTTTTACAACATAGTACTACAGATACAGTACTAATCAAAAAAACCAAATTTCTAAAAAATATTGACCTACAACCCTATAAATACCTAAAAACTAACCTCAAATCACTATGAAACTACTATTCTTCACGATTTTACTCATCTCAATAGACAAATCGACCAGTTGTCTTGGCGGAACTTGTGGCCTAGGGCTAGGTATGGGTGGTCTTGGCTGTGGAATGCCATTCGGCGGAGGATTTGGCGGGCTCGGAGGGTTTGGCATGGGTTTACCCGCTTTATATTCACCGTTTGGGTTTGGGAGTTATGGAGGTAAGCGGTTAATTGGGGGAGGGGGGTAAGAATTTAAAGAAACAATCTAATTTTTTGTTTTACAGGCCTAGGCATGGGAATGCCATTGTGTTGTGGTGGTCTCGGACTAGGCTATGGTGGATTGATTGGAAAGAGAAGTATCAAAGAATCCGAAATGAACATAACTCGAACTCCAACTAGGCTTATTTTCAAAAGACGAATTCCATTGGCTAGACTGAGAACTATCACTTTTACTACTAAAACACGATTGTAATTCGTAAAACATTTTTTTAAATGTAATACTGTAATATTTTTTAATAAAATTTTTGGTTTGATATTGTTTGTTACTATTAATTATGTGAAACTAGGCTAGGCTAAAGCTAGGGCTAGAGATAGAGCTGATGCTAGGCTAGACTAGACTAGAGCTGCCAATACAACTGGGTCTACTTAAAGCCGAGGTTAGGCTAAAAAGTAGTTTAGAAATCTGTAAGGGTAGAACCAGTATAAAATAACCACAACAATCAGAAAGTTTTATTTACACATATAGTACAATATCAAGCAATATCATCGATTTACATTTACACTTCTACATTTCTATAGTACTATCTCTGTGTTTGTCTGGAGTCTCCTTATAATGATATATACATGCTTTCACATTGTCATACTTGATGTGCATCTTCAGGAACGGTGAAACGTACTCGAACATGACTGCTTCTTTGAGTTTGGACGAGTCCATAAAGAAGATCTGCAACAGTAGACCATACTCACTTCGGTCGAATAAGAAATAGTAATGCATGCCATCAAGATACGGGGCTACGAACATATCATTCGTGGTGACGTTAACCCACGACTGGTGTTTGCCTCTCGTGATTAGGGTCACGTTGAACATACCTGAAGAGATGATAAGGTAAAAGGGCAAAATATAAATAGAGTAAGGTAAGGTACGGTAATTTATGGTACGGTAAGGTAGTGGGTAGGGTAGGGTAGGGTGGGGTAGGGTAGGATAGGGTAGGGTAATTTAACACTACAAAACTCACTATTTGTCTTCTCAAACTTCTTCTTCACCGTGACCGACAACAGAATCCGTCCTACCGAGTATCCGTAACCTCTCTTCCGTAGCAACGCCTCCATATTGTCATCGTGCGATGGAATCCAAGTGCCAACAAAAGAATCAGGTATAGGATGGCTATCATCTTTGGCACATATTGCAGGTTTTATCAGGAATAACAACAACAACACCACCGTGTGGTGCATGATGAAAAGTACAAAAGTGAAGATTTTTTATTTTTGATTTTATTTTTAAGTTTTAAACCAAGAAAAAAATTAATTTTTAAAAAATTAAAAATTTATGAAAAATTGAAAAAAATTAAATTTTAAAAATTTCAAAAAGAATACGATTTTTAAAAAACACTTTTTATAGCCAAGGCAAGTAAAGTACACAACCTGCCCCTATCAGAACCAGCTCAAAATTTTTATATGAATTCTTTGTATCACCAATAATACCCATAAAAAATTTTGACTTGCGCTTTTGAGCTTTAAAATTTAAATATTTGAATTTCGCGCCAACTTAGCAAATTTAGCATTGTCTTCCAAGCACTTTTTTCGACTTTCCAGACAAGATACGCTTACAAATTTAAAAATGCAGATTTATCTAATGGTTTTCTACTAGAATATCAAAGAAAAATGCTTAAAAGTCTAAAAATGACAAAGTTATAAGCTTGAAACACAATGCCAATTTGTCGGGAAAATCAAAATGTAACTTTTTTGTCTTGATTTTCTCAAGATTTGAAGGAAAACGCGATTTAGTACGTTGCTGAAGGGGTTATATTTACATGATCTTTCTATATAAAAAGTGTCAAGTCAATCAGAGCGAGGCAGATCGAACACTTTTCCGGTTAATACCTATTTATTCACAAAAACAATTCTATAAGCTCTATATCAGTATCCAAGCAATACCATATCACTACTGTATCAGCAAAAGATCAGTACTTTATCAACAATATACCACCATGGTGCACCACAATATCAGCACCCCAATTTAGCACAATACCAACACCCTATGCCAACTCCATTAAAGTTATTTTAGGTTCCAATCTCTTCTCATCCTTGTAATGATAGATACAAGCCGTAACATTGTTGTAGGTGACATACATCTGGAGGAAGGGCTCTTCGTACTGGAAATGAACAGTTTCTTTGATTTCGAATGTTTGTTCATTAAACACCTGCAACAATAGGCCATGCTCACTTCGATCGAACAGAAAATAGTAGCGAAGGCCATCCAGGTAGTAGGACTTGAACATCTTGTTGATCTGCATACGGTCCCATGATGAAGCTCTTTGTCCTGTTGTTAGGGTTATGTTGAATGTGTCTAAAATGATGTAGCGTAGATTAGGGTCAGGTAAAGTATAATAGAATAGGTTAGGGTAAAATAGGATAGAGCAGAGTGGAGTAGAGAAGAGTACAACACAGTAGAGTAGTAAAGAGTAAGCAGACTAAGTTAAAGTAAAGAAAATCTATTAAGTTGTTCAAATAATAATGTGCTCTCTCAAAACAATCTTTCAGGATTAGGGGCACAGAATTATTTTTACAGCTTTATAAAAAAATAAAGAAAAAAGTTTTGTCGTCTATTTAAGTGTATTTTTCCCTAAACGACAAGACTTTTAAGCACAATGATATAAAGAAATTTTAAACCAATCCTTACTTCCTTACTCTACCCAGTCCAAAAGAAACCCTACACAAAATAAATCAAATTTCAAGCCTAACCCTTCAAATCAACCCCAAAATCCCTCACTTTTATTCCTCACAAACGTCTTCTTCACCATGTTCAACATCAGGATCTGTCTGATCGCCCAACCGTATTGTTTTGCCTCCAGCAGTTTATTTAAATTTTCATCGTGCGACGGAATCCAAGTGCCCAAAAAATCGTCAGGAATTGGACGTTTGTCCTCACTTATTGTAGGTTTTATCAGGCATAACAGCGATAGCGCCACCAATTTCATGGTAAAAAGGTAAGAAAATGAAAAATTTTGAAATTCGTGGGAAAATCAAGCAAAAAAAATTTTTTTTTTAAAATTTAAAATATAAAAAAAGATTATATTACCCCCAAATACCCTCTTCTCTTGAGCTTTAAAGTCCTTTTGAAAAGTCAGAATTAATTTCGAAAAATTTCAAATTTTTACAAATAAAATAAAAATTTAAAATCCAACCCAAATTTAATTTTTGCTTTATTTAAAGATTAACTCCGTCTTCTCCAACATTAAATTTAACTTTACATAGTGAAAAACAAAACAAAAACAAGTTTGTACAAGATGATCGTGTTCACTCCAGTTCGTAAATCGCAATGGTATGCCAGTCCTATTCATATTTAGCAATTCTATGCCACAACAATTCATACAGCAACCATATGCCGTTATAGCCATGGTATCAAAGATGTTACAAATAGCAAGCCACCCATAGCCATCGTGTCACAAGCTGCTCCATACCATATAGTAATATGTCATTCTGTTCCTTATATGCCCATCTTCATATGTCACTTTCAACCTTAAAGGTATGACAAACCTTGAAAGATTTGTCAAACCATTTCCTCGTTGAATAAGGCCGATGGACAACCGAGATGGCGGCACCGGAACACCTCCCGCTGCCCGACCGGTCGGTTGCTTTGGAGGGCGCATATGCAGTGAAACCATTTGTCGCAAAAGTCGCATTGAACCCATTCGATGGCGTTGCGTTCGGCTTCACGCAGGACGTCGCGGATTCGGCATTCCTGAAGAAAAAAAGTATTTTATACAACAGACAACTTTAAATATTAATATACTACCTTCCATATAGATCTTAAAAAGCCCATCATCCTCAATATAATTTTTTCATGCTTTTTCATCTTCATGGAAACTTCTAAAGACCATGATTCTCAAGGTACTTTTTAAAACGTCCCCAGGCCAAAAGTCCCCGTCCTGCACTGTTAAAACTATAAATCCTCAATATAATCGTCAAGATCACTATCCTCAACCATTTAAAGCCCATCATCCTCAATAAAATATTTTCAAGCTCCTTCCTCCTCAATATCCCCAAAAATTTACCTCAAAAGCACACGGCTCCTCAATTTCAGCCGGAAGCGTAAAGCTGCCATCCGATGAAGATACGTCTCCTCTCTCGTCGACCAACCCCAAATCAATTTCCAATCGTTTTTGATGTTCGGCCGCGATTTGCTTTTTCGAGGGTTTTCGACCGACTTGGAGGTTACTGTTTAGAGAATCTTTCCTTGGCTTCGTTTGCTTTTCCTTGTCAATCGTTGGTCGTCGCCCTCGTACCTTCACCTTGACCGGCGTGGCGTCTGATTCCGTTTTTGAGTCATTGTGCTTTCGTTTAGTGTACTAAAAATCCAAATTTTAAGAAAGAAGTGTATAAACATATGTTTGTTATTTGACAATACTAGCTTCTATATCCTTTGTCAAGTTCAAAACCCAGTCCTTTTAAACATTTTCAAATTCAAAATTTCCCCCTCCTTACCTTTCTCTTGACCCTTTCCTGTGAAACCTGTACGTTATCATTCCCAACAACGGAGCTGGCATTCTGAATGCTTCTAACAATCCTTTCTACATCTACTGGGTCTGGGCTAAATTTTGAATTTTGTCCTAATATTATCGCCGGCCTCATCATGAATTCGGCGCCTGGAGCTTCGCGTAGGAAGGCTGACGACGGTTTCGTGGCCTCCAAAAGCTTGGCCATTGAAGGAACTGGTGAGTGATTAGTGGAGGCAGACTTTGAGATTCTTGTGGGTTTTGAAACCGGGGTTTGATATGTTAAGGTTGGTCGTTTGTAGTTATGAGGGGTTGTGGGTACAGGGGTTGTTGTTGTGGTTGGAGTTGAGAGCTGAAATGTTATTATTAGATAAAAAATAAATTTATATGAAAGTTTTCTGTTAAAAATTTTAATTTTTCAAAAGAAATCTAAAAACTTAATTTTTCCAATAAAATCAAAATTTAGTAAGTAGGTACCGTAGAACTACTGTAACTTCTCAACCATAATTAATGTTAAAACCTGCTTTCATGGTCTAGTTACCCATATAACCAGGCCAACCTCACTCAAAATTCCAGCTCCCTACCTATCATTTAAAAAAAGTTACAACTAAAATCCTCTTCAAACCTATATCTACTACAATATCAATATAACCAACCTCATGATTAGAAGTTTTCTTTCCAGGTCTCCCCCTCTTTGCTGAACATGCAGTTATCGGGGCTTTCTTTAACTTGTACTTTTTCCTATTTAACTCCTCAATCTTCTGTTGATCTGCTTCATGCCTCTGTCGTAACCTCCTTCTTTGTGTCAACATGGCATCTGTACTGCTACAATCAACTTCTGCTCTAAACATTCGCCTGTATTTAGCAGCTACTTGACGTCCCATTCCATTTAATACAAACAACCTCCTTTCCAGATTCTTGTATTCCAGATCTTCACCTCTTGACCACGCTTCTGTTGAGGTTTCTGGAGTTTGTTCTGTGGATTCCGAAGAGGTAGAACATGATGGTGCTACAAGATCCTCTTCGTCTTGTTCCTTCTTGACTTGAATCAGCATCGTCGCCAGCAACTTTAATTCTGCTTCTTCTTTGCTCACTAAAACGATTTATGTTGTTTATGTTATAGTAGAATAAGGCATTTTAAAAAAAATCAAAAAAGTAACTTAAAAAATAATAAACTTACCTGCAGGAACGTCTGGATATTCCAAAGGCTCGTAGATCTTCCTGAGTTCGCTTTCTTCCAACAACTTCTTCCTAAACTCATCAGCCTGCTTTTGTGCATAACAACTAATGTCCACCGCAATAAACGGCTTTGGCTTGTTGATAAAACCTTCAGGCTCTTCCTCTTTAATCTCAGGAATCTCATCTTTCAAATTTTCACTATATTCACCTCCGTTTCTGCTTATCCCAGCGTATTTTAGAAATCTCTCTTCTTCATCATCCTCAACATTCAGTTGTCGTTTCGTCTTGTGTAAGTGAAAGTAAAAGTTGTTAATTATGTACTTTCGTATGCGCCGTTTCTCATTTTCAATCGTAGACTTTGTAAAAACTTCATCGTCCTCTTCTGATTCCATGGAATTGAAATGTTTGGATCGGCCACTTCTTTTTGGTATAGGACAGTCAAAAGACATATGACCAGTGGAAGATGCCGGTGAAAACATGGCCGGGCTGCCCATGTTAGATTCCTAAAAGAATTATCTTCATTTTGATATAGAATTTAAAACGAAAAGCTAATTACTTGCCAAGATACATCAACTCAAAGTTTTCATTACCCACAGCAAAAGATAAACGTTCGCTTTTCACATAAAATCATGTTCAAATGTAATTTTCTTCTTTACAATCCTTTCTGCCACCTCACGCGAAAGATTCTTTACTTCCTAAAAGCCAAAGCTAAATAAAACCACTTACCTTTGCAAGAGATATGTCCAGGTTTAATTCAGTCATGTCTTCGTTATGAACCATAAGATTCGAGGTATGTCGTTCTTCTAGCAGACGCTGGGCTTTTATAGGCATGTCCCCAACGTGCTATGATGCCCTATTGTGCTGAAAAGGCCAAAACTTTAGTTATTTTAGAATAAACCCTCAATTTTTAAGTAACACTCGAATTTTACACAAACAAAAACGTCTGAAACAAATAAATTATGATAACAACCAGCTTCAAAATGATCAAAATGACTCTTTGATCGAAAAATCAAGGAAAAATTTCCAGAATTAGGACAGAAAAATAGCAAAACAATAAAATGTTGCAAGAATTTGGAGGTAAAAGAAATAATTAACTTTCGCAGGTCGCACGGTCGCGGGCGCAGACTCCAAAATAAGGTTTTGTTTTATTTTTCGAGAAAAATGTAGAAATAAAGTCCATTTAGGTATTTTCCAGTATTTTACTATGTTTTACTCTCTAAAGTTTATCGTAAAGTAATTTTTCAGATTACAAAATACGTTTTTTAGGAAATTATTCATATCCGCGTTTAAACCTATAAAACGTGTATAATATTCAGAAACCAAAGCTTACTGATAGCTCCCAAGCCTCACTCCCTGCTCAACTGTTATCTGCTGGTTATCCTTCAACGCTTATCCAAGTTTCTAGTAATAAAAACGGACCACTTTGCGATTGAAAACATTTGGAAATGCGAAAATCTAGGAATATCAAAATTGATCTGAAATTGGGCATAAGATGAGTGTCACAGCGTTTGAATGGTCTTGGTAATAAGCACGACAGACATATGTTGATAGAAAAGATGAACGTAAAGTGCTTAATACGCGGTAAGCTGTTTTAGTTTTATGTTTTCTTGTTTTAGGTAATACATAAGTCTGAGAAAAGAATGTGTGGAGAAAAGGGTGGAACGTTAAGTTAAAGCAAGGTAAGTACGACAAAATAATATTTATCAATTAGTATGCAAGATACGTATGGTAAAACAAAGTACAAAGTTCTCAAAAAACTAAATTACGCGCTTAAAATATAGGTATGAACACGGTAACGTACCAATGTGTAGAACAATATAAACACGAGTTTAAATTACTGTTTATTTACAAGTTTTATATAAAAGTGGAGGTAAAATGTTTTTCTTCAAATGTAAGATCAAGAAAACTTTCTAAACGTTTATAAAATTTACAAAATTTCTTAAACTGATTTATGTGGTTAACACCTTGATGCAGGTGTTGTTTTTCATCATTGTCAAGTCCATGCTATTCATATAGCGATCATTTTTTGGCGTCTTGCATTGGTTATGCAGTCTTCAACTATATTTTTGTTCAGGGCATTGCTTTCATCTTGTTTTTGTCATTTATGAAATCTGAAAGCAAGGCAATTAATATATACAAGTAGGCAAAAAAATCGTTTTAAAAATTTTTTGAAGTTTAAAACATTTATAATTTTACAAGAATAGATTAAAGTGTGAAAAATTCGGTTATTTTGAATATAAATAATGGCATGTAAAGAGAAAAGGGCGCGTCTTTTACTCGATTTACGGCAAGACTACCCTCCGAAAACGCAAACTGTGCCCCGTTCGGCGGGGAATTCTCCGACAAAACCTTAATGGGCGCCACGATTCTAGGACTATTAATGCTTTTTGGGTCGGACAATAAAATTTTTGTATTTAAAACATTTTTTATTACCAAATAACTTTAAAACTGTTACTTTTTCGAAGCAATATTGTAGAAGAAGGGCTGTTTAAACCTCCAAAACAAAGTATAACGTTTTACATAGTTTTATATAGCTTTATTTGAATACAAAACTCTGTATCTTCTTTCTTCAGTATTGTTTTATTGTATAGAGATGGCACTGCGTGCAATAAAACAGTAGTAATTGAGCGTGTATAACTGCGGTTACTATGGTTAAAAGTAATACCGGTTAAGCCGGCCATATGCCGTGCCCATCGAGGTAATTAACAACTGTAAGAGTTTTATTTAGGACTTAATGAGGTTTGTTTGTAGGGCTTTGAAATTACATATTCGGCATCAAATGGCGTTAAAATTTAGGTATAAATAAGGTTTACTGTTAGGTTGTTCAAATAATTTTGCGCTCCTATTCAAAGCAAATTTTTGGGGTTGGGGCACAGAATTATTTGAACAACCTAATAAATAATGTTTTGAAAGGTAACGAAGAGTAAAACGTTTTGTCGTTCATATAAATGTCATTAAACGACCAAAAATTTTGAAAACGCTTTAACATTTTAAGCTTAACTAAATACCACAATTAAAAAATGGCGTTTTTTAGATAAAATACTTCGTATCAACGCATATTTTTGGGTTAATTTCTTTTTTAACGTCATTTCCGCTATCAAATGTCAAATCAAACTGCGCCAAAGCGTTTTTCGACTAGTTCTTCGTAGATAAATGCCTAAATTTGTAACAATATTAAGTTTAAAGACTTACCAAAAATTGATTTTGTAGCCTAAAATCCATCGAGGTGGTAGAACACGTAGCTATTAGGTTTTAATGGTAGTATTGTAGCGCATATTTTGCTAAACTCAAGGTAAAGATGCCTTTGAATTCCAAAACTAGCTCATCTTCTGTTGACTTTTATGGAATTTTAGTCGATTTTCAAAAAATTTTATGTTCTTTACTAAGTGTTAGGTACTTTTTGACATTTTTAGGCTCTGAAATTCTAAAATTAAAGCTAGAATGTAAGGTAAAGTACGTGTGTGAGTGAACAACTTAACATAAAATTTTTTCTCTTGAATATAATAGGTTGTTAAAATAATTCTGTGCCCCCTTTCAAAGAAAATGTTTCAGGTGAGGGGGTACAGAATTATCTGAACGAACTAATACTTTCAAACTACGCTTTAAAAGATAAAGAAAAACCATTTTCAATCGATATTGCTTTAAAATTGAGGCTACAATTGGAGAAACTGGGTCAATATATATGTTAATATGGCCAATAGTAATAGATAAAATTAGTTAAAGTAACTTTTGATGCGATTAAACATCAGTGTATATTGTAAGCTTTTGTCATGAAAGGTCTCATGATACAATGCGAAACGTATTAATGCATACCTACGTTTCTTCTTGTAAACACTTACTTTGGCCATACCTTTTTTGTGTGGCCAAAGTAGATGTTTGAGAGTGTAATTATAAGTTGTAATTGTAGGAAAAGAGTTGAATTTGTACTGATAAACGTATCACATCTGTACATTTAGTTATAGCTTTGAGAAACGGTACACTCGAGGCTATTTTAAGGCGAAACGTCACAATAAACAAATTACATCTGTAACTCTTGGTTACAGCGCTTTTTTTTGTACTTTTGGGCATGAAGAGGGTAGTGTAACTTTACATTTTTAATATTTACACTTAGAAGTTGGTAAAATACGAAGAAGCATTTTAAATAAGAAAAACTTGAGGATTTTAAATTTGTTCGTTATGCAAGAGTTTTTGATAGTTTGCTATAGATTAGTTTCGTTAGAAAGGAGTTATTTGTACAGGAAGTGTAATGAAGTGAATAGTAAAAGAAGCCTAATAATTTTAAGAGTAAGATAGGCCTAAAATACTTAAAAAAACAAATTTACAAAAAATTGAGACAATAAAAATCCAATGCCCTTTTAAACAACCCCTTTAAACATTATCAAATACAATTAAAATATTCAAATCCGCCAGTATGAACGCCCATTGCGGTTGCACTCTCGCGCTCCACACAGTGCAAAAAAATTGTTGAGGGAAAAAATAAAGTTTAGGACAAAAAAAAGTCGCCCGAATTCGTAGGGCAAAAGATGTTCGTATAGCGAGCGATCGAAGAGGCGAAAAAAGAGGGGCGAGGCTGCACGCACACTTTTTACCCCTGCCCGTCGCTCAGCTGGTGCCTGGGCTGTTGCTCCGGCCCACTCTCTCTTTCTCTGCACCCGCGCCGAGCCCGTGGTGTTTGGGCGAGCGTCTTCATCTGTGAGGGCGAGGAGCGGCTTGTGACGTTTGGGACGGTTCAGCTTCTTCTTTGTGGTGCTGTTTGGAGGTGGTTAGGATAGCTATTGTTTGGCGCTTTTTGGAGATGGTGAAGATTATTATTTAGTACTGTTTTGAAGGTAGTTAGGACAGTTCTTTGTGGTGCTGTTTGAAAGAACGTTGGTTAAGATAGGTAGTGTCTGACACTTTTTTAAGTTGGTTAAGGTTCTTCTTTTTGGCCCTATTTGAAGGTGGTTAAGAGTCGTCGTTGGATTACTTTTCAAGGCGATTTAGAGACTTTGTTGCCGTACCAATAATGGTAGTTGATATTGTTATTGCTTGTGATTTTTGGAGATAGATAAGATTTTTTTGTGGGGGTAGCGAGTTAAGGGTCTTCATTGGTATTTTTTTGAGGATAGTAAGCTTTTTCTTTGTGGTGCTGTTTTAAAGGTTTTTATGATATAATAGTTCTTGTTTGGTACGTTTAGGAGATAGTTAAGATTTGTATACCAGTTATTCTTCAAGAATTTTGAAGCTTCTGGTTTCTTTTCGAGTTATATTCAGCGTTCCGGAGTATTCTAGATTTGACCTTTTAAAACAATCTTTTGGCGATGTATGTCACGTAGAAGCATGTTTTGACGGTCTTGTTTTTACGTTTTTATCATGATATATCTTCTATCTTCCGCAGCCATCTGGTGTCAGTTTGCTTTGAAGTTGTTTGACCTCTTTATGATATTGTTCTTGACTTACACTTCGGCATTCATCGTCTTAGCTTTATAGTTTATACTAGTGTATATAGACTTTAGGTAGTGCTGTTTAATTTAATTTTAGGCTAAAATACGGTAATTACTGTAAATTTTGTTTTAACTACTCGGATGACTCCGTTCCATGTGTTCCAGTCCGGTCTCTTTCAAAATTGCTTCGTCCGACCCGGAACCGGGCCGATCCTGGGTCTAGTGGGATTCCTTTCGGGGCTACCTCCAACCTCTATTTTTTCTCCTTCTAACCCTTATATTCTCCACCTCTAACCTCTATATTTTCCCTCTCCAACCCTTACATTCTCCACCTCTATGTTCCTTCTACGCGTGACAATAATGTATGGGTCTTTGTTGTTCGTTTCCACTCGCTAGCTTTGAATCAGCGATCGCGCGACTATTACTATTTATGGTTTTCCGGTTATACGATTCTTGTGTTGTTTGTTCACTTTTTAATTATAGGTGGAGGTTTTACGAGGGTGTGGAATAGGTTTAGGGAATGGCTGTTCTTGTAAGTTGTTGTAGAGTTTTAAGAACGTTGTTTTTGAAAAGTGAAAAGAAAGTTTTATAAAGCGAAATGGCATTGAGAGTAAGAAGAAAATAGGATTATTTGTTAGTTTTCGAGGAGTTACGGTAGGTTTTTAAGTATATTTTTTAAGAGTTTATGGTTAATATAGGCTCTAGGGCTTGAAAATTGAAAATCAGGAAAATAAATCCAAAAAGCTTATGATTATCATAACAAAGGTCCAGTCACGCGCCATTTCCTATACTATGTTAGTGTTTTTACAGTTTAGAACAAAGAATATGTTGGCCACAATACAACCGCGGCAACCTGAAACATTCACATGACATTTGGCACTGGTACAGCTAAGAAATGCACCGTACAATGCCAACTCCAGTGATTCAAAACGGGCAACTTTACCCTGTGATTCCTGGAACTTGACGATGGGATTCCGAAGTCACCGGTAGAAGAAGAAACTTAAAACTACATGAGAACATGAAAAAGACCATGTAGTTGGTCATGCGGCCAAGCAGAATCATTTGAATTATCAAAATCAAAAAAAATAAAAACACAAAAAAGCTAAGTCAGTTCATGTTTATTGTCTGCAGTACCTCTACAACACATATAAAGTACAGTAAACGATCAGTAGAGTGAGGACAGAGAGCGACCAGTCGTTGGCTGATGCCACTGGAGTGTCAGGGTCAGTAGTCGATTCAAACTCGGTGGTTGTAGTGGTAGTAGTGGTCGTAGGGGTAGTAGTGGTCGTGGGCAAAGTAATGGTGGTGGTAGTCAGAAATGGATTTGTTTGATTGTTGCAAAACTCCCCCGAGCACTTACACAACGTTCCGTTTATTTTATAACGATTGTTAAAAAACTCGAAATCCGTCACGTTTACACATGTTTGATTTTCCTGAAAAGTAAAAAAATTAAAAAATTTTTATTAAATTAAAAAAAAAAAAATTTTATTATACGAATAAATAAACACACGCTTCAATATTTTTAAAACTTACCGGAAACCCGCCCCTGTAATCACAGTCGCGATGTACTCCCACGACCACTAAAAAAATGAAAATTACTTTTAGTCATACTTACCCTACCCACCATATCCTCCTTACCCTACTCCTGCTTTGAGGGTGAGAAACAGGCCGATAAAAAGTTGAAAACAATAGTGAGCTTGAAAATTTTTTGAAAAGTACGCCCGGCCCATTACTCACTCCTACCCTGCTTTCAGTCAATTCTATTTCACCAATAAAACCTTGCCCTTGTTATTCATATTTAAATGGCCCCATACTGTGTAACAAGTATCAGGCGTACAATCGTCAAACGTGTCGGTTGTTGATGAGACAACCATGCAGTCGCTGCTCTGTCCATCAGCTTCATCACAATAGTAACAATTGATGTTGCAGCTTGCAGTCGGGACTAAAATAATTGTAATTTTAAAAAAGCATTAGTCAAGAAGTTTATAGAATTAAAACAAAATTTGATTTTTTTGTAATTTTGGTCAAAAAACTGAATTTTCACCCAAAAAATCTTAAAAGTTTTTCCACAAACTTTTAGACCAAAAACAAAAAGTTTGAAATCGCCAAAGTAAAGCCTTTAACTTACACAAACACAACAGTACTAGAAGCACCATGCACGACATTCTACAGCTCCAACCTTCCATTGACCAAAACTTGCACAATCGACCGGCCAACCAACTTTCGACTCTAATGACCAAACAAAAGCCGGAACGGTGTCATTTCAACAGTGACCGCACTCTCAAAGGACTACTACTAGATGTCCTTGCAAAACGTTGGCGTTCTGTGTCAAAAATCAGGAAATTTTGACATTCATTTTTTGCAAAAAAAAACTGGGAAAGTCGGTTGTCAATTGGTAAAGGTTAGCTGATTATGGAATTCAGGGAACTTTGATGCTTCATATCTACCTTACTTGTTAGTTTTTACTTACAAGGTAGTAGAAAAAGCGTTATCCTTCGGTGATGCTGCCGCAGGTTCGAATCTCAATGCGTGCAAACTCCTACCTTTTGTCTGATTGTAAAAAGTGCTCCAAGAGCACCACTAAGGTCACAGTAAAGTTTTTTATTCCAAAAAAGTTTTGTTTTTGAACATATTTCCAAAGTAAAGCCTGCTGTAACATTAAAAATACACCTAAAAACATAAAATAATATATTTTATACATCTTCTCCCAATCTCAATACAAAAACACACCTTCACCTAGCCTTAATACACATAAATATTTATTACAATCTATCTTACACAGCATCACCGACAAGATACCGAAGCTCATCCACGGCCCAATCGTTGTAGGTAACGATGCTCTTGATATTGTTGGAGATGAACTTATCAAACGCATACTCATAGGCTCTTCGCGCCACCCAGTAGCAACAACAAACGTTCTCCTGCATCTGCACCAAGAAGTAGCATTTGCAGCCGGCTTCACGGTTAAAAATCCTCCACGAGTCGTAATCGCAGTGAGTGTCGTAGATCTCGTACACGATGGAGTTGTTCATGCGTTTGTGATGTAGCATGACCGCCCATGAGTTTGAGCTTCGAGTTTTTAGGTCTTCTAGGTCGGTGATTCTGTAGCGGTCGGGTAGGCCGTTGGCAAAGTAGTCTGAAAAGGTTTTTTAATTTAAAATCAAATATTCTTTTGGGACAACTTTAATTAGACCTGTAAATTCGAAAGAAGCCGGGCCGGGATATGTGGGCCAGAAGGCCGGGCCTAAAACATGACCCCTGTAACCCAACTCAGGTCCCACAACGAAACATTTCCCACCTCCCGGCACTAAGTATAGCAAAAAAATCTGTCATTGGGCATTACCTATATCTAGAGCTTTTTCTACTTTAAAAATTTTATCAAACCTACCATGCTTTCGCTCTTCTCCTAGCTTCTGCGACGATAAGCACCAGCCAAGAATCTCGCGCTCATAGTCCATTGCCGGATCGAATTCTTTGTGAAAAAACAATTTGTTCTCATCTACTTCATTGAAACAGTGCCTTATGGCCTAAAATATTGCGATATATTTAGTAAAAATGATAAAAAAATTCAGTCAAAATTTAAAAAAAAAATGTTTTTAAATATTTGAAATGCCTATGATAATATCACAAATTTGACTGCCTACCGTTCGATCCGACTGTAACACCTGACTCGATACAACATCAAATTTCTCTCGGATTTGTTCGTTGAATTTCGTTATCAATAGGGTACTGTTCTCGTCTTTGAAGCAGCCTCCTCTTAAGTCGCCTGAAATGCATTTTATTATGTTTGAAACTAATACAGTACTCTCTCTATATAAGCAACCCGAAGGGACTGGTCTTTTGTGTTTGCTATAGGGGGTGTTGCCTTTACAGAGAGACTTTTCAGTGCAAATTGACTTGGCGGGGCTAAATTTCTAGTTTACTTTACTATAAGGAGAGTTGCTTATACATATGGTTCACTATATAGAAAGACCACTGTAATTATAATATAATTTTTAAAATTCTGCTTAAAAATATACTACAATATCCCCCTTTTCCCTTAAAAAACAACCCCTCAAAAAATCACCCACCCATGCAACTTTTCAAAAACACATCGAACCGTCGCAACTGTTCATCCCTGCCCATCGACAGTTCGCCACCTTCGATTTGGTACAGGGTGTTGATGACAGCTTTGAAAAAGTTGATGACAGTGATCTTGTCACCTCCTACTTCTTGACCTTGTTGCAAGAACTGTTCCCCATCCGTGTCCAAAGTGAAAAACACTGATTTGACATCAAGGAACTTTTTGTAGATGGACTGGAAACACATGCCAAATCGAGATGGTATCTTTTTCAAAGATGACAGCTTTTTCAGTTGCATTTCGTGTCGTGTATGGACTCGGTTCTCGGAGAAACAATGTTTTGTGGTTATGCCGTTCTGAAAAGAAGTTGTTTTAGGGGAAAAGGCCAATTTTTATCTGACTCTCCCCCGGGCGAAAAAAAATTTTTTTTTGAAAAAAAAACTTGAACGTGGTCCCCCCCCCCCCTGTTGATGTTTCAAAAAACTGCAAAAAAATAACCCCTTCAAAAAAAATTTTTCAAAACAGAATTGAACCTGGTTCCCCCTGTCGATTTGTTTCTGAAAAAAAACTTTAAAATCAAAAAAAAATTTTTTGAAAAAAAAAGTTGAACGTGGTCCCCCCCCAGTTGATTTTTGCGAAAAAATTAAAAAACCAGAAAAAATTTTGTTACCCCTCCCTCCTCCTTATCAAAATTTCTGACCGCTGTTCACCGTAATATAACCCACAATAAAGTCCGCATGATTTCGTATCAATTCATCGTGACATTTGGGTTCGAAACATATAAAGGTATAGTGGATCTTGCCAGTATTCCTCAACATTCTTTCTTCTACCATGTATTGAATCGTGTTTATTGTGTAGTTGTACTCTTTTATCAGTCGATATTTTTTGGATTGAAACACTAACAAATAGAGAAAATAAAAAAAATACAGTATATCTAAATCGTTTTTTAAATCTGTTTTTTACTAAAAATTTTTAAAAATATTTTTTTTAATTTAAAAAACAAAAATAACACTACAAATTCAAGAATACTAACCAACATACTATACTGTTCTGTAGTCAAGTTACTGAACTTAAAGATGACATTGTCCCCATTTGAAGTACTGATAACTTCTACTGTGGTAGCACATGCAGTAGTACCGCTTTTGTCTAATGTAATTGGCTCGAACAGACAATCGTTGTGCATATATCGATCAGTTTCAATTTTCATTTCATTTGTAATGGTCTAAAACTTCAAAAAATAATTTTTTTTGGTCAAAAAGTAAATAGAACAGCCTTTATGACTAATTTTTTGACCAAAAGGTGCTGAGAATTAGCATAAAAATTTAAGATTTTGGTCAAAAAGTAAGTAGAATTGCTTTTATAATTAATTTTTTAGCCAAAAATAGCTGAAAATAACTAAAAAGCAATGATTTTGGTCGAAAAGTATTCAGAATTCTATAAAAACTATACTTTTCGATCAAAAACAGCCAAACAATTCAAAAAATTTGACTTTTGGTTACAAATTTTTAATATGTTTTAAAGATTTAAAACTTTTTTCATAAAAATATTATTCAAAGATAACTTAATATTCAAAAACCACATTTGTAGCTTTCTCTTCAAAACACTATAATAAAACAATATATATTGACTTACATAGTTGGCCAGAAAGTAGTTGAGAGCAAAGAATACCTTTTCCATGTGATTCGGAGGGAACTTGATTAGGTACTATAAAGTTACAGTTATAGTATTATCCTCATAGCCCTATTTAGTACTTAATAATAGATTTTAATAGGCGAGGGAAGGGGGGTGCAACCGGGTGTCAAAAAATTTTAAAAATTTTAAAAAATTTTCAACTTTTTAAAAATCAACAGGGGGGGGGGACCACGTTCAATTTTTTTTCAAAAAAAATAAAATTTTAGATCAAACCCCTTCCTCACCCCGTCCACACCCACAGCCCTGCCCTGATTGTTACACGAACTAAAATTATAGTATGAAATAGACCTGTGGCATGAACTAGTTCATGTTATAGTTTATAACCTCTGTCCAAACCCCTCTTACCTTCTTTTGCAAAGCATTGGCGAAGAATGGCTGCTTGACGGTCTCATTTGACATTTTGTACACGGGCGTGGAACTTACATTGAACTTGAAATGCATATACGGATCTTTGTCATCCACACTCAATATGAACAGTATGGAACAGCCCTGAAGATTAATAAAAATTACATTGAGTTGGCTAAACAACTCACATTCTCAGCATTTCGTGACAAGCCCATATTGTCTTCGCCAGTAAACTGTGATTCCTTCACCCAGCCTACTCCTGTGCTGATATTAAAGTGTTTTGTTTTGACTTCGCCGACGAAACACTTTCGTGTAGCGTGAATCCGCCGACACACTGCGTGCCCACTACAAACACAATACGTGTTTAAGCTGAGAGAGGTGCCCGAGGTCGTGAGAATGTACTGATAGCAGGCGGAGACGTGGGAGGTCATGAATTGACTGAACAAATAGCGTAGGGGTTCTTCCATTGATAACGACTGGTTGATGACGGAAGTGCCGGAACCGGAAGTGGAGTTGTAGGTGTATACCTGGTTCTCTTCGTACATGCAGTCGAGGGTGATGCGGAAGGATTCGACCTGAAATTTCTTGGATTAGACAGTGAAAAAGCTTTGGTATTGTATATTAATATGTAATATAAGACATACTTTATATCAACCTTTTCCCAATTCTACCTACAATAATCTACTCCCCCCCCCCCACACTGATTAGATCAAAATTATACACTTACAAAGCTCAGATGACTAGTACAGTAATGTCGTATTTGCAGTTTGCGATACTTTGTGTCCCAATCATGTTTTGTCCAACTGCGCATCATTTCCTGGGTCACTTCGTGTGTGGGGTTGTACAACATGTAGCCCTTCTTGCCGCCATTGCCGGTCAAAGGCAAAATCACCGGGTGAGTTAGGAGAAGCTTTCTTCGTCTTCTCGCAAATTCTTGAAAAACTTCCTGGATTTTGTCGATTAACTGAAAAAACGTTGTCTTAACTAAAAAATATTGAAGTTTTATGTTATCTATAACAAAAAAATCGTATAGAAACCTTGGTTTTCAAAAAAAATTTTAATTTAAAAAAATTTTGGCTGAAACTTTCTTTTTTTTTACCCTTCCCTAAACCAAAAAACCCATCCCAACACAATTTAATTTTTATTAATTTTCAGGGCTGTTCCATACTGTTCATATTGAGTGTGGATAACAAAGATCCGTATATGCATTTCAAGTTCAATGTAAGTTCCACGCCCGTGTACAAAATGTCAAATGACACCGTCAAGCAGCCATTCTTCGCCAATGCTTTGCAAAGAAGGTAAGAGGGGTTTGGACAGAGGTTATAAACTATAACATGAACTTGTCTATGTTACAATCAAGGCCAGGCAGTGGGTGCAGGTGGGGTGAGGGAAGGGTGTCCTATTTAAAATATTTTTTGAAAAAAAGATGAACGTGATCCTCTCTGCCAATTTTTTAAAAAATTTTTGAAATTTTCGGAAAACTAGTAAAAATACCTTACCCCAGAATCCTCATTAAAATCCACGTCCTTGAAAGTGGTATGAGTCAAAAACTCGACAATAATCGGATCTGTCGCAGCGAATTTGTGGGCTTTAAACACACAGTACCGTTGTTTATCACATTCGACCATGTTGATGATCTTTATTGGAGGTTTACCCTCAACGTCTCGAATATTTAATGTAATGAACGTAAAAACATAGAGAAACAGCCGTCCCACCATTTGAGTAACAGAAATATGAAGGAAGATGCATTTTTTCAATTTCAAATTTGAAAAAGTTGGAAATAATTATATTTTTGAAAAAGTTTGTGTTTTAGTAACCTAAAAAATTATTGATTGTGATGAGTTATTCCTCAAGGCTTCAAGCCTCAAATTTTCTTTAACTCCCCCCCCTATAAAAATTTATTAAACGCATGCCTTGCCTTGCCTTGCCTTGCTTTGTCCTACCCTACCTTACCGTACCTGTATGTTTATCGTACCTTTGTAGGTTAGGTTTGCTTCCATACCTTCTAAATAGCCGTCTGACCATTCTGGGTATGTCTATTTCAGCTCGGCTTTCTTGGTAACTTTTCTTTTGTCCTAAATAAGTCAATTATCAAAAGCCGGGGGATATTTAGTGCAATTCGTTGGTTATTCATGTTTATATCAATTTCAAAGGAAGTTTAAGAATATATTTTATACTCTTCATACTAACTGATTTTTACATCTTCATACCTATTTCAACAAAAAAACAATTAAGAATACTGTTTGACACTAAAATTCGATTTGATACTACAATGTAATATAAGTAGTGACTACATACTCTATACCTAGAAAGCTTTCTTTTTACCAACTTCAAAACGCTAAAATGAGTTTTTAATACACTCTTTCGTATAATATATTGACTCAAAGAAGGTATAGTTCGCGGTAAGCTGATCTGATTGCTTTTTGAACGCAAATTTAAGCAAACGCAATACCAAAAAGAAACAACGCTATATGAGTTTGTCGCATTTTATTTATAAACCATATAACGCTTACAAACCCATTTGACGGGTTTTGCCACTTTTCCATCATTCATATTGTTAAACGTCGTTGTAAAATGTTGATGAGCTCTTCTATTATTGCTCTTTTTTTATTTGCTACTACCCTTGGTCAAGGTAATCGACTAGACGACAGAGTGGTAAAGCGCTTGGACACCTCCTTAATCGTTACTGTGGACGACACAGAGGTTGGTAAAAACATTACTGACTTTATGGTAGTTCATATGCAACGAATCGAGAAGGTATTGTTAATAAAACAATTTTCAATGGTAAACGCTAATAACACAAGTAAGTTGTCTTGTATGAAAAAGTCTTTATATTATAGTATTTATAGCATTAATATTTGTTTTTGAATAGACAATTATTCTAAAGGGATAGTCTATACCTCCTCCCCGATTAGCTCAAAGTTTTTATAAATTTGTTGTATTAGGTGCCGACATAAAGAACCCGCTATTTTTTACAGGAAATCACAGGAAAAGTATGGCGGGTACTTTATTTCGGCACCTAATACTATCATTAGTACCCATAAAAAATTTGAGCTAGCGCTTTCGAGTTTAAAAATTTTAGTACTAGAGCTTCTTGCCAATTTGGCATTGTGTTTTGTGTTTCAAGCATTTTGTTTTACTTTCCAGACAAGCTACACTTACAAATTTAAGAAAATGTAGGTTCATATAAAGGTTTTCTATTAGTGTATTAATGTAAAATGATTAAAAGGCAAAAAATGACGAAGTTATAAACTTGAAACACAATGCCAATTTGGAGACAAATTCAAAAGGTAATTTTTTGCTCTCGATTTTCCCGATTTACTGGAAAGCGCGATTTAGTATTTTCCTGAAAACCTTATATTTACATGATCTTTCTTTACCAAAAGATTAAAATCAACCGGAGCGAGGCAAGTTGGGCTTACTTGTTAGTTAAGGCCCCAATTATTGGTATACAACAACAAAAAATAAAAAAAAACCACTCTTTATTGAACCATCATTCAGTAGCGTGTAACAAACACGCCCCTATGTTAGAAGACTTGTCTGACAAATGATCAGTCTGTTAGATGGTTTAGTAGCTAGATAGTTGATTTTAGTTATCATCCGGCAACAAATAAATAATATATATAAACTAATGTTGGGTTATAGTAGTAATAAAGGTAAAATACCTCTAAAATATTACTATTCTTAATTAACTCTTTTAGAAACATACGAATATGCGATTTATGTACCAAGTCCATCATTTATCAACGAGGATGACGTAGTAGATTCAGTCCAATTTTTTGTTAAACTATACACACTTGAAGCCTACTTCTATAGAATTGACAAAGCCCCTCAATCAAAGGATGTGATTATTAAAGGCCGCGTAGCTAACGCTGCTATCATATTCATAGTTGCTGCCCTATTTGTACTTGTGTGGGGTATTATAACGATTTCATCGATGCGTCGTAAAGAACAGACTGTTTAACTAACGACTCCTTTTATAAACAACCATCAGTCTCATATGTTTCTAAGAACAGTAACGTTTTACATGTGTGATTATTGTGTTTTTGTACCATGTATTGTTTTGTTGTACTTTGTCAATAAAAGTTGTAAACTATATTGTAGAAGTTACATTAGAGTGATTGTACTATTTTTTAAACATTTGAGTAAATGTACCATTTTTAACCTTTTTTCTGACAACTTTCAACATCAAATTTATATTTTTGTGTTTTCTTACACGTAAAACTACAAAAACAAATTGCTTCTGACTTTCAGGTATGCGATGTCTGTTTTTGCTTATGTTTAAAGTGCACTTACATAGTTTAGCTATATATTTTTGAAGCAACCTTTAAATTTGAGTAGAACAGGCTGAGCAATTTCACTGTAAGAAGGAAGGAAACTTTGTCTTTCAGCATACAACTTATTCTTTGACCATGTTTGACAGATGTTTTTCGAATAATCTTAAAAGGCAAATTAGTAAATTTTATGTACTATAAATTTCCTGTTTGTAAAACAATTTCATTTGATAACACCTGGAAACTAACTTAAACTTGCACACGTACTCACATCTCACTCTCTGTCAGACGTTTTGTGCTTACCTGTAAATATCTTGACAATGCTTTTCAAGTTTTGCTTTTCTCTCTCAACGTAAGGCTTCTCCGTTTTCTATTGTATCTTTCTTTGACTACACACAATATTAACTTTCAAATCGTATGCGCCAGTACAATATAAGCTCTTACAATTTCAAAGTTATTTTAAGAAGTTTGTTTTCAAAATTTTTATTTCAATTTTTCATACAACAACTGTGTGGTCGAACAAAAAAAAAGGGGGTTTGAAAGGTGGTTATTATATCGTGAAACTTCTAGTTTGCCTCGAGGGAACAGGTAAGTCAACTTAATTTTTGGTTTGCTAAATTTTAAACTTTTTAAAAAATATTCTAAATTAATGTTTTTACAAAGAGCAACCTCTTTTATGTTACAACAGTAAGTCCCGATATTCCTCCGGCAAAAATAAACTTTTCTTTTACAACCTTTCATCGTATAACATGTCTCTTTTTATTCGCAACACTGTTTTTCGGGATGGGCGCACATTTCATTTGGCCAATCTCGAATCCAAGGATAAATTGCAAATTGTTGATTTTTCCAGCCTTTCCCAAGTGCCATTTGTTAGATTTCTTTGAATTTACTGAATTTTTAATGCTCTTTTTTGTTAATTTTATAAAAAATTTGTGTATTATACATGAAACAGTTAAATTTTAGGTAAAACCAATGTTTTTCGTTCGAAAAATATTTCAAAGTAATTATTTCAAAAAGCAGAGTGTATAATTAGACGTTCTGGTACTTTTTAAAACGTCTTTGACGTTTTTAGCGGGCTTGATACATTTATATTATTTATAACAACTGATGTCAAGTGTAATATCAAGCCTTTTCAGGATAGCTAATTCAGGTATGGCTACTAAGTATGACAATAGAGAATTGGTTCTAGTCGTCAAAAGCGACAAGTTTATGAATAAGACTATAGTATTTCATACGCAATCACTTCAGGAGGTTGAGTATGACGTTTATTTAGCACAAGTTGGTGATTGGTATAGGTATGATGGGAACTTTGAGCCGGCGGTTGTTCCTGTTAAGTCTGCTGTGTATGCTGCAGCTAATGGGGATACTAGAATAGAGGTAAGTTTTTGTTTTTTGTTGTTTTTGAATTTAGGACTGTTTTTTTTTTGGAATGAGGATGTTATGGATGAATTTTTGAAGTATTTGGGCTAGAAACTATGAAAGATTTAGTAATGTGCTTCAGAAAGCTTTTCTATATATTTCACAATATTTTTAAAATTTAGATTTGTTAAAAAAAAGTAAAACGATATTATTTTAGGCTAAAATATTGGACGAATACTTAGGTACTATTATTGTTGCAGTTTTTGCGAATTATTTTCGATTTAAACTTGATAAACTGCTTCCAAACCAATTCATAACGCTAGAATAATTTATTCTTAAGTTTTTTCAGTTGACTATGAAGAAAAAACCATTAACAAGATGTTGTTTTAGATAGAAACATTAGGCATATACATTGGACAACCAGATGTGAGTATTGTGATAGATGCGGATGTACGACATTTTTTGTTTTCTCCATTATTTGGACGTATTGGTATAGCGTTTGAATATCCATTAACACCTGGAAAGTTATATCAAATTAAGGCTGTTTAGTAAGTTTTTATATGTTGTAGTAGATCATAAACCCAGATTTTGTTTGATCAATGGATTTTTATATGTTTATGGGTCTTGAATTGATTTTTTTGTTTGTAGAAGGTTTATAGTGTGGAAGATTGTTTTATTTATCGTTGTTGACGTATTAATTTGACCATATTTATTTTCAGCATACCCAATCACGACATTTTCTTTTTCCGGTATCTGAGAAAAACTGAAGCTTGCTTCTTTTTAACGTTTAAGAATGGAATCAGCGAGATAAAGGTAGGTTATACTAAGAGATTGTTTTAACTTGTAGCGCGTTAATTACAATAATGTGGGTAAAGCGCTACTTTAGGACATATAATATGAGTAAAGCGTTACTTTAGGACATATGTGATCATTACTTTGCCGACATGATGGATTATGTTGAATTGAGAATAGAAGAATGCCGAACAAATCTAGTTGCCGTTGCTACACATCCGTCAATGGCTTCGAAAGTTTTAACTTATGCAAAAACACCTGGTCTCATTATGGGTAGCAAGATCAAAGCTTTGTTATGGTAGGTTTTGTCATTTCTTTGTTTTTCTTGTTTTTAGATATTGGTAGGGTATTCAACATGATCTTTTGATTTCAAACTTGTCGAACTTTGCTTAATTCGCACTGTTCTCACAAAAAAAAATTTTAACAAATTTATTAAAGTTTTTCAGTTGTCTCCGTGTAACCAAAGATAAACGCCTTTATGTAGCCGTCGAAGTGACAAAAGCTCCAAGTCGCTTCGAAGTTGTTGTTAATCCCGATCCTCAAGTGCCAAAACACATCGTGCCGAAACAAACGGACTATGTGGAAGAACTGATTCAACAGTTTTCTGTTCAGGACGAGAACAAACCACTCCCAGTTCAGTCCAACCCCAAATATGATAGCGAATTCCCTGATCTCATTTCTAATACTCCTAAACCCACGCCAGCCGCCAAACCCGCTTGGGACATTGTGACGAAGAAGAAGGGCCTAAAATTGAGTACGTCGATGCCTAAGCAACAGGAAATCATCAAAATGCCAGAACCCATCGTCAGCTGGGATCATATCGGCTTCAATGACACGTTTTGTGGATTGGTAGTTTCAGTCGATACCCATCAGGACATGTTCTATATTTACTGTCCCGAAATTCCAAATGAACTTTCGTTGATCAATGTCAAGGGGAAATTGTCTGTCGCTGAATGGGTTTACTTTAGAATCACACAGGACACAAGGTAAGCATGGGTAATGTGTTCAAAATTGTTGTTGTGTGTAATATTGTAAAAATGACGATAAGAGATTATGGCAGATGTATTGTTTTTAAAACTTGGGTTGTAGTAGCGCAGAGGGTGCCGCAGTATTTCTACGTTATATGAGAAGGGAAAGGTTGTTCTTTAAATTTTGGTATAAATTTTCACAACTTATATATTTAGCAATATTATAGACAGCTATGTGTACAGAAGGTATATCTGAATGATATAAATTGACTATTATTTATAGTTAAACTGGATAATGTTACGTTTTTAGAAGGAAGGTGTTCAGTGGAGAGTTTATCAAGAAATGCCCACCGACTGAAGCTAAATATAAGGTGATCCCAACTGCAATGAAAAACTCCGTTTCTGTAGGTTTTTTAAATTTAAAATTTTTTTTGTATGATTGCGCCGAAGACAGTCCAAAACTCAAATTTTAGCCAGATGGTCCAAAATGTCCGAATTTTAGGTGAAATGCGAACTCAGCATTCCAAACGACTTTGACGCCGACAAAAACCGTCTCATCACAACCAACTTTGTGCCTCGAGTTCTCGGACACGGCATCAAGAACAGCCAGCGGAATAAACGCCTCTCCGGCACCATTGTTCGCACCAAATCCACCGGCGAAGAGGAGAAATATAAGAACGTGTACTGGGTCATAAACAGGAATAGTTGATTTGGCGGCTGTTGATTATAATAGTGTTACATTTTGTTCAAACCTGGTTCTACGATTCGGCACCCGATTCACGTGCTCTAAGACTATAATAATTAAAATGACAATATAAATGTTATAATATTGTTATTATATAAAGTTATTTAGAATTTACCCATCTCTTGGAAGTTCTTACCCAAAATGACATCTATTTTCAAAAATATATTTGTATTTCTATAATTTATATAAGAGTATTCTATATGTTAAGGCATCTTTTTCAAACCTATACCTATTTTACTTTTCTACCGTTGATATTAACATGTCGCATTTGTTGTGCTGTAAAACCTCAGCTTTACCTTGCCATAAGAACCCTGTTTTTACAAAAAAGAACCGACCGGTAATGTCTTTCCCTCCCATCTCGATCTTGTACCAAATAAAGTGCTGTAATAACATGTGTGGATAATAATATAACCTTTGGTTTTTTAAACAAACAAGTTAAATGTTAATGTGAAGTTATGATGTTTAATAATTTTGAGAGACCTGTGTGGTCTCATAATCTACATTAAAATACGTATAATTTGAGTATTCTTTTCTAACTGTGGTTTTAATTGTAACAAACACAACTATTTCTAATTGTTGTTATGAGACTAACAAGTTAAACCAGCCATAACTCTGCGGCTAACTCTGCTATAATACTTGAACAAAACTTTGTGTGAAAATTACCAACACTGTGTCCTCTAAACCTGAAAGGTTTTTTAAAAATAATCTGCACTTTTACAAATTTTATTTCAAAGTTTCTAGCGCTTGGTTCAGTTTCATGTCATTATTTAATATTGCTTTAAATTTCTAAAACTTAACTTTGATAAGTTTTAAAATTCAGTTTGATAAATAACGTTCGTTACTCTTGCAATGAGACCACGATCAACCACATATCTTCAAAAGTAAGAACATATTCCACCGTATAAAATGGCATCCATTTCCTTTTGAATCGGCGGGCTTTGCCTGATAAATAGCGCTCGTTGAAATGACCTCGAAAAAATAAAAAAATAAAAGAAAATATTTTTAAAATTGTATTTTAGAACTTTTTATGGTTTTTATGTACTAAAAATGTTAACACCGACCTTATTGGCAGATTTATAAAATTTTTGGCTTCTTGGAATTTTTTAGGTACATCCTCAGGCTTTAATTGGATTATTTTTGATAAGATGTTTTCGCTTGCTTCAAAGTGACTAATTTCATGTTTTGTGACGAAATTTGGATCAAGCTTTTTGCAAAATATTATTTTAGATTGTCCACAAAGATATTTTTACAGTTTTCAGTATTTTAAAAGAACTCTTGTTTACGAGAAAGTATTTTAGATATTTTTTGGTAAGAAAAACAAGAGTTTTTCTTTATTTCTTTTACGTTTTGATATACTCTTGTTTACGAGGACGTTATTCTTTTTTAGCACATTACCTTAATTTTATGTTTTATATTGTTGTAGATCAGAAGGCTAGATTAGCCATAATAGTTGTAAAGAATGGCTGATCTACCTCCTCCACAAGATGGACCTAAATACCCGAACAACCCCGGCAGTTACGACGAAATCCACAGGAAATGTCGTGATTTGTTCCCAATGTGTTTCGAAGGGGCTAAAGTGATGTTACAGAAGGGATTGTCTCAAAACTTTCAAGTAAGTTAGTTTGTTTTGTTGCTTTTTGGTTTAGATACAAGCAGAAGAAAGTTTGGAAGATAGAAATGAGTAGATGAATATTGTTTTTTGAGGATAAAAGCAGTTATTAAGGATAGTATCTGATTTTATGTCTAATTTTGCTTGTTTTAGGCAAATTTGGAAAGTTTTTAAAAATTTTTCTGATTAGGGATTAAATTATCTTTTTACTTTTATATAAGACGACAAATAGAAGTATTTTTAAAGCCATTTCAAAGACTTAAATTATGTTTTAGGTAATTTAATCTTTATCTTTCAGGTTTCTCACACTTTGAGTATATCAAAAGCCAACACCGGGTACAGATTTGGCGCTACATACGTCGGCGAAAAGGTCGTGGGCCCAGGCGAATCGTATCCAGTGATTCTCGGTGACACGGATCCTCAAGGAAATACCTCTGCCACACTCTTGCATCAGTTCGGCGACAAATACAGAGTAAAGGTTCAAAGCCAAGTCCAACAAGGAAAGTTGGCGGCCGCTCAAGCTTTCATCGAACGAAGAGGCGCCAATTCCTCGTTGGGATTAACGATTGTGAACCCTAATTTTATAGCTAATAGTGGTATTCTAGTAGGACAGGTGCTGCGAAGATTGACGGCACGATTAGACGTTGGTGCTGAGTTGATCTATCAGAGGGAAAAACAGATTCCAGGTATGGTTTTGAGATGAATTTTTGGAGATGTAGGTGCATATTGAGGCTTAAAAGTTATGTTTTTAAACGTTTTAAAAAATCTTGATAGTAAGAGTATTTAATGGCTAATATAGGCATTATATGGCCTATAATTGGCATGAAAAATGAAGAAAATTTTAAAAAAGACTTAAAAAAATTGCTTTAGGTGGCCAAATGTCGGTAATGTCGTACGCGGCACGCTACACAACGCCCAACTGGACAGCTTCAGCGAAGTTCGGCGAAACCGGTCTTCACTGCTGTTATCATCACAAACAAACCCAGAACCTGCAATTTGGTGTAGAATTCGAAACAAACTTCCGTCTGGGCGAAACCTTGACCACCTTTGCCTATCAAGTTGAGGTTCCAGAAGCCGACATGACTCTACGTGCTTCCGTGGACACCAACTGGACCGTAGGCGCTGTTATGGAGAAGAAACTCAGCCAACAATTACCTTTCTCACTAGCCTTGAGTGGCTTGTTGAATCATGTCAAGAACGAAGGCAAATTTGGTATTGGATTTATTGTCGGATAGAGCGGCACAAATTGTCATATAGAAGCGGATTCATCGTTGGATTGAGAACAATAAGACACACCCAGCAGATCTACACATTACCATTAGGCCATCTCCAATACATTTGTTTTTTACTTTTTTAATTATGGTTTTTGATTGTTTTTGTTGCCTAAAAAAGTTGAAAGCATATGTTTTTGGTTTGATTTCGATTGTTTTATATGTTGATTACGGCATATTCACATACATCAATTTTTGTCGTGATTTTAAGCAGTTTTGTTGGTACCTACATCAACGTGTTCTTTTGTCGTTATTTGAAGGGATATTGTTTATATGCTGGTTAAAATGAAAGAAATGGGCTTTAAAATGTTGTGAAAGGTTAAAGTTTTGTCAAGGATAGTAATGTAGTGGATATACAAGGTTAAATTTTAAGTTTTAAGGAGTGCATTATATTATAATTTTAATTTTATGTTTTTTATTGTATATTAAGGCTGGAAATCTGTTTTTTTAAGGAAAAATTTTAAAAATTTTGATAACTTAAAAATTTAATTTTCAAAAAATATTTTAAGTCTGTTTGTCCTAAAGCTTTATATTTAAAAACTCTTGTTTTTCAACACAATATTGACGAAAATTACAAAACAAACTTTGCTGTATAAGATATACAAAACTAACTTGAAAAGCAGTAATTTGTCGGTGAAATTGGGGCTGCCGTCGCTGAATGGTGGGGATTACAATTGTGCAGGGGAACCCTTGTTTTAATCGCCACGAAGGTGTTACTTAATGGGTTCGTTTCGCAGCTATTTTGACACGGTTTGTTCGGGCTGTAGATTGATTTTGTTTGGTTGTACTTTTATGATAGGAATCACTTTTCTTCAGTAAAGTAAGGAACTAATTTTACGGTGTTGTTGGGTTGGATGATATTTTTTGGGTATGTAGGGTAGAATGGTGATTTTTGTAAAATACGCGTCGGTCACTATGCGCTTCATAAGCAAAAAAGCGAAAGTAAAACTCTATTTTTTCCATTTTGTAGGGTATCATGATATCACGGTGATTTTTGACGTCAATTAGTTAATTGACAGTTAGATCCGCGCGTCATTCGTTAAAAGTTCATTTATTATTTGCTAAAAGTTCACCTACCTTTACACTTGATTATTTGGAGCTTGTCAGCTTGTATTCAGGCTTACGAAAGGTATATAGTGATCGTTGGTTCATCAGGTTAAAAAATAGTTTTGTGACTTTATAGTGGAGTTTATTGGAAAACGTGGTCTGTTATAGCTTCTGTTCTATTGTGTATTATAAAGAAAATATATTTTTGGTAGTAAAATTGAAAAAAAATGTTGTTAAAAGCAATCGGTAGGAGTAGGAAACGGTCCGGGCCCACTTTTGAAGCCGGACCTGGAGCTTAACGGGCTTGTTTTCATTTTAGGTCGGCCAAGGCTTAAAAAAATTTAAAAGTTTTTTTGGTCTGGATTTACTTTCCTAGCGCGGTTTGCGTGCCGGGGCCAACTTTTAAGGATGGCGCGTTTCAACTTTAGCTCAAGGTTGACAGTGCTTGTTTTCCACCCCTACCAATTGGCAAAGTTTTAGAGGCAAAAAATTTCAGTTTATACTTATTTGGCTTATTAGATAAGTCCTAAATTTGCAATTTAACAAAAACAACATTCATTTTAAAAAACTGAAAAAAATTTTTTTTTTTACTTTTTGACAATTTTACTTCGAAAAATTTCAAATTGTGGCAAAACGCGCATTCGCTATCGATGCTGTGTGCCAATAGTTCGCCCATAAACAAATAAAAATATCAAATTTTGTGTCGTGCTTTGACGTGAATCACTTTTTGCGAGCCACAAAAGAAATTAGAAAAAAATACGAAGCTTTTTAGGTATTCTTTTTGATGTAAAAGTGTCACATTTTCCTTGGTTAATTGTAGTTCTTGGCTTCTTTTCAAGACAATGGTTTAGGTATGGGTATTGGAATTAAAGGTAGTGTTGGATGTAGACATAAGTGTTTTTTAGCTAAAAATATGTACTATAATAGAAGTCTTGCTGTTTTTTAATTTGTAAAGAAAGTTCTTGCCATTTTTAGTTATGTAAACAATGTTCTTATTACTTCATGCTTTGTGAAGAAGGTTCTTGCCGTTTTCTACTTTGTAAAGAAAATTCTTGGCATTTTTTGTTTTGTAAAGAAAGTTCTTACCATCTTCTGCTTTGTAAACAAAGTTTTTGGTAATTTTTTGGTTTTTAATGACGCTAAAACTTTATGCCAAGGCTAAGATGATGCCAATTGTTTTATACAATAACCTCGAAACTCATTTCAAAAACTTTCTGACCAAGTCACTCAACCCAAACGCAACATTTTCCATACCGAAACGACCGAAACTCATAGACTTTGATCGTTTCGAAGCCATTTTTTGTCACTTTTTTGCCCTTTTTACAGCAAAGGTGAAGGCCGCGTGCGTCTGATGCACCCAGACCGGCTATTTTAAACGTTTTTTCTTTTGCGTTGCAAAATGTTCGAAATGAAAAGTTTCTTTTTTTTGCCTTCATGACGTCGAAGGTTTTTCCTTCAAGATCTTGGGGAAATTTGAGGAAAGTGGCTTGGTTTTTTCAACTTTTTCCAACTTTTTGAGGAAAATACTTTAAAATTGTTGTGGATTTCTGATGCTATGGGTCTGGAAAAGGGTTGGAAAAACGTTTATGATAGGGTTTGAGGTCAGAAAGTTTGTAGAAATGAGTTTATTGTATTGTTTAGTAGAAGTCCTTTTAAGTTTTTGGGTTTTTTGTTTTATGTGAACTTTTTGATTGAGTTTAGTGAGTTTTTGCTATTCACGAAGTTATTAAAGCTTGTATTTAAAAAAAATAAGAACACTTCATTTTTAAAAAGGCTTGGTTTTTCATTTTTTTATTTTTAAAAAGCTTTGTTTTTAAATTTTTAGCTTGTAATAGCGGTTAAAACCTGAAAAGTAGGGCTGAAACTTCAAAAAGAGGCCTAAATTTAGCAAGTTTTAATAAAGTTGGGTAAAATACAGTTCAAAAAGCAACATCATTTTCTCAGCATTTTAAAAAGTTGTTTAAAGTCTACTACTGCTTTGTAAAATTGCTAGGATTAACAAAATTTTTAAAAGTTGGTTTACATATATTTTTTAAATCGTTAATAATATTTTCAAAAATAGCTTTAAAACTTATAGAAACAGCTTGTTTTTCCAAAAAAAATTGAGCGAATTTGGTGGTTTTATTCGATTTACTCCCAACACAATTATGACTATTTCTGGAGGGCTTTGTGTGTGTTGTAGTATAATACTTCCGACGGATTATTCGCATATTTTGCTTGTGGAATTGTAAATTTGTGTTAAAACTGTTGAAATCCTTGTTTAAATTTGCGGTTTTTCTAAACAAAGAACGTGGTTTTTGTCCCAAAAACCGTAATTTGATATTGTTGACTACGTAAGAAAGTTTAATGCGTAAGAGTACGTGAGAATTATATTAAAAGTTTGTTTATGGCTCACAATTTTAAGCAGTTAACGTTTAATTAAGTTAGCGGCCAAGAATTATAAAACCACGAGGAACGATTTAAACGCTGTTTAAAGGTTTGGGCTTTAAAAATAATGATTTTTTTTGGGTAAAAGTCTAATGTAATTGCCAAACAAAATTTATAGATAATACAGTAAAGATGTAGGTTATAGCTGGCTAAAAATATTATATTGTATTAGGGTAAAAATGGCTTAATTTTGTGCGTTTTGGAAGGAACGGCCAGAAAAACCGAAATCAAGCCGGAACTTAAATTTTAAATTGACCGGCTTTAGCTCAAAAACTCAAATTTAAGAGCTCTAGTACATAGACGTGAGTATTAAAACAGTTTTTGAAAACTTGAAGCTTATGACAGACCTTCACTTATGTCATAGAACGCTCAAAAAATGTCTGAATTTACAATAATTAGTAGGTACTACAAAAGTACATAACCGTGTAGACTTTAAAAATAGACGTACAATCAGGGCCGGGCTGATAAATAACTTAATTAATCTTGTCTTTTGTTACAATAAATTTTTTAATTGATGCTAATTTGCAAGCCTATCTTGTATTTTCTAGTGATATCATTATCTTGTTCTTACGTAAACAAAACATACTTTACACCGGCCTTAAAAACGAACATACGCTAAGCTTTGTCAAACCGTTCCTTACAGAACACTAGGGTTTGACTAATTTTAACCTACTACAATAAACGTGTTATCCAGTTTCTACTAGACTTGGAAAGAAACATAAATTAAGTCCAGTAATAGGCTCTAAATTTTCAACAACTAGTTTAATACACACGGCTACGTACTATTATTCTTAAATTTGGGTTTTTGAGATCTAGCTGACCAATTTAAAACTTAAGTTCCGGCTCGGTTTCGGGGCATGTTAGTATGCTCCGAAACATTATTTATAAATCTACTTTTCGAGCTTGTAGTAATTCTGAGTACTATAAAAAGTAAAATGTATATAAAAAATTAATTTTTACTTTACTATTAAAATCATCATCTTGTACTTTAACGTCCAAAAAAACTTTTTTAAAACTTAAGACATCACATAAAACAACAAAGTCTTGAATTACATATCTACAATATAAACAGGACCGTATGTCACATATGACAATTATAAAGCAATTTCAACCAAATTTGGGGATTAAAAGCGTTCCTCCGGGGTGGTTTTTTGGGGACGCCACCTGACGGTTCCCATTTTTCTCATGGCTTCGAAACGTTTGCAGGAAGGCCTTGTGTTTTTTTGGGCCGGACGGTTTACTCGTCGGAAGGAAGAATTCGTTCGGAAATGAGCTTATCATTTCTTGGATATCAGTTTTTGTTTTTCGCGGCTAGTGTTCTAAAGGTATGCGTTTTGATCGATTTTGTTTCCGATGAGGGTTTTGATCGTTTGTACTCGTATTGTAGATTTTTGTTGACTCGGTTTGTATCAGTGGTGTTAGAGTTAGTATTAGGATGTTCTGATAGTTCAAAGTTAATAGATTTTTTGAACTTTTGGGTTCAATTTGGCTTGCTAGGTACTTTTGAAGTTGGCTTATCAAAAAAAAATTGTGATTTTATATTCATAGTTTTAAACCTAATAGTTTGTTCTAGCAAAAGTGCAAGCAGTTTTAACGGTTTCTTGGCCAACTTTAGACTTTGTTTACTCTCAAGTTGTTGTATGGTTTGATAGAAGAAAGATGTGACGTTGCGAGATGATGCGATAAACAAGTTTTGATACTTTGGCCGAATTTTTACGCTAGAAACCTAGTTTTAAAAAGATTTTTCTTGATATTTGAAAATATTCTGATTAGTTTCTGTGGTGTTTTGAAATTTTTTTTTGTATAGATTTGTTTGAATTCAGGGTGTATCAACTTGTTTCGAAGTGTTTTGTCATTATTATTTAAATGCGTTATCTTTGATCGCGTTTATGATTATGATAAGAGTATCATGTGGCTGTAGTAAGGTTTTTGATATTTAATGTTAATTAACTGGGTGGTTGATGAATTGTTCAATTTTATGATGTTTTCGGTTCTTTGTCGTTTATTTTTGAGTACAGTCTTTATGGCCCTCGATAGTGTCACTCTTTAGTACGGCCCTTGATAATGTGAAACTCTATTTCTAATGACAGCTTAACGGAATCAAGCTTATCTTAGCTTTCTATTAATTGTCTGTTGGTATAATACTAAAGTACTTACTTCTTTACAAAAACTCCATCAAACACATTGCACTGGAACTTTAACTTATAATTTATGGTTTGTGTTGTTATTGTTTGATTCCGCTCTTTAAACTCTTGCGCCTTTTTAAGTTGTTTATTAGTTGACAGCCGAAGAGGATTTCACAGCTTTTTTGGCGTGTTTTTAATGCTATTGTTGTTGTTTTAATTAAGTATTATGTTTATTTTACTGATTTTTGGAAGCATTTTTGGGCTTTGGGGTATAACAATATAATCGGGCTTTGAAGTTTTTGTTTTATCGCTACAAATGTTTTTAAAATTTTGATAAACTGCGCATATATTTTGAAAAACTTTTCGAATTTTCACTTTTTTTTATTTTTTTTCAAATTTCAGGTCTTTTGACCCTCAGCAGAGCCTGAAGGAACGCCCGGCTTGTCTCCGTTCGAACGGCTCTTCCCGAACGTTTCGTCGTTTCCTTCAGTCCTGATTTGAGTTTCACATACTCTTCAGATGACTTTCTTCAACATATCAGCTCTTCGTGAAGCCATCGATTCTCCAGGACTTGTTTTTGGTAGGTTTATATTGTTTTAGGTATAACAGTACTTTTTTGAAATGAATTTAATGTTTTTTTTGGAAGAAATGATGATTTTAAATGAAAAATTAAAATGCAGATCGTATTTTGCTTTAAATGTTCAAATATATTGTGAATACTCTTTTTTATGCCATTTTTAACATTATAATAAAAATCTTAAAAAAATTTTTTTTTCAATTTTTTAAAACTGATGCAACACTACAACAATTTGATTAATATAAACAAAATTGAGCGTTCCTTTAAACTTAATTTTTGTTCAAAGAAAACAGAACGTTCTTTGGAACGACGAGACTAATCTCAAATTACCCAAAATTTTTATTTATTTTTTTTGTCGCAAAAGCCTAAAGTCTGAATAGTTAGAAAAGCAATAAAAAATTATGACATGTTTCTAGTGGGCTTTGCAAAAAAAGTAAAATACGCATTTGTCAATTATAATATAATTTTAAAAGTTTGAATAAGTTAAAAAATATTTTTGAAATATTAGTTTTCCTATTAAACGAGGGTTTTAAAGGGCCGAAAGATAGACGTGATTCTTCAAGAAGTTTATTTTGAATATAAGAGTAGTAATCTTTGTTATTTTTAGGAACTGAAATCTTGAGAAAAGTCGAAAACCTACGAGTACCAGTCTGTTCAAAAAGCTATATCAGAGGCGAAGTATTGGAAAATGAGTTTGTAAGTGGTTGGCATTTAAAATAACTTATTTTCTTTATTATAACTGGAAAATAAAATATTGACTTGTCTATATTATATCTGTAAAGGGGCTTGGCCGCGTCGAAAATTGGTCATCATATATACTATACGAAATTTGGTTTATGTCTCGGACCCACATGCATTGGTCTAGTCTTTTTAAAGTGCTTTGACCCGGCTTTTTTCAAATTTGTATCGGTCCGGTCCTGTTCGGCTTAAGATTAGGACGACGCTTGGCCGGGCTTACTGAGCTTATTTTCAAGTCTAGCCTGAATAGAACTTTTTTTTGTTTTTCTAATAGTAGTATTTTTAAAAAAGGATTTTAGTATATGTACATATGTATACCTACAAGATGAAAGTTTATAAGGAAGTTTCGTATTTGTTATTTAAACATAAATTTCTCGATGAACAACTTGCATATCGTATTTTACTTAAAAAAGGCTACAAAAATATTTTTGAAAAAAATTTATTTACCTTTTTTTAAATTTTTTTGGAGACTTTGCAAAAATTTTTTGTTTATTATATTGTTTACGAGAACATGAATTCCACAAACGTTCAAAACAAACCACTTTTCTTTGGAAAACATTAATTTTTTGTCTGATTATTTATGCACTTTTGATCAGATGTCTACAGGATTTTGTCTTTGAACTTTTTGAAAATGACAAACAGGTGTTTTTGATCAATTCATATTTTGTCAACATCAATTTTTTTAAAATACTTCAAGAAGAAACATCTTTTTGTGGTATATTTTGATTAACTATGATCCACTCTACTCTAACACAACCAAATGTACCATACTTAATCGACCATATTTCAGGACCCAAGCACGGTAGAATGGCAGAACGGTGCGACGTTCCCGGGCGCGTTAGGCCGACCATTTGATTGTACGATACATTCGATTGAAGAGATTTCCTCGGAGCCGGACGTTCGAAAACCCAAATTCGAAGTTCAATTGGCATTCGAAAAGAATGAGCCGGCTGTCAGGAATTTCGAAGCCGGAGATTCCTTTTATGTCATTTGTCCGAACGCTGAAATGGACGTGGAATTCATATTGGCTAGGTAAGGTTTGATTTTTTGAATATTAGGTTATTCAAAATTCAACCTTGAAAACTTGCTTTGAGATGGGCACAGAATTATTTGAACAACTTATTTATTAGGCCTATTTAAGGATTTTATAATGAAAACTTTGATGAAAATTTGTTTCTTAAGGCAAAAGATTGTCTTTGACCTTATTTTAGATAATTATTAGGCTGTTCAAATAATTCTGAGCTTCTCAATCCCGGAAATTTTCTTTGGCTCGGAGCGCAGTATTATTTTAACAACTTAATATCTGACTCCTTTGATACAACTAGTGATATTCAATGAAATTTAGGCTAAATTTGACATCCAAAGCAAACCTACAGTACAAGTTTACGGTAGATGAGGATTCGGACAAGTCCCTACCAGATTACATTCCTTCACTTTGCTCAATACGATACGTTCTCACCTACTGCCTGGACATACGACGGGTACCTGGAAGGGTGGGTTAAAATGTTACTTAGTACGGTTTTGTTGCTAATTTGGCTTTGTTATTGTTGGTTTTTTAAATTTAAATGTTTTTATGTGATTTTGGTTTTTGACGGGCTAAAATTTTTTTTTGGGGAGGGGGTCAAGAATTGTTTTGCTTAAAATTGAAGTTAAAGTCGATGATCCTTTAGAAAAAATTATTTTTGTGTTTTTTAAAATTGTAATACTGGTTTTAAAATGCTGTTTTTACTTGCAGATTTATTTTTTTTTGAAGTTTTAAAAAATTTCTTTGTACAGCTTTTGAACTTTACGTATAAAATAACTATAATAAGAAGGCAAAGATTTTCTATTTTATCATCTTTATTAAAACATGTAGAATATAATGAAAATATGATATTTTTAGCCAGTGATACGAGCCTTGGCCGAATACTGCACGGACCCAAAAGAACGGCGGCGATTACTCGAGTTGTGTAGTGTGGACGGTGGAAAAGAATTCCAGCAGCACGTACAATCTGTAAGTTTATAGGTTTTATGTTTTTTTTAAAGTGTTTGATGTATTTTCATTTGTAAGGTCTTCTTATAGAGGCAACTCTTTTTTGGGGTTTTTCAAATAATCCTGTGCTCTCTAATCCTAAAAATTTGCTGATGATGAGGGCACAGAATGATTTTAACAATCTAATAATAAAAAAAGTTATTAAGTTTTGGTTTATTTCTTGCACGGTGCAGAATTTAATTTTTCTTTGAATTGTAAAATACGATTTCTGGAATTCTATGGGTTTTTTCTTATAGATAAGGTTTACTATATAGAAAGGCCAATGTATAATATTTTAAAGTTTAAAGAGTAGAAAAGTAAACGTTTTATGAAAGATGTTGTTTTATATAAAATTTTAGGCATCAATAAGTGTAATTGACCTACTAATCCACTTTGAATCATGTTCACCACCAATTGAACGACTTGTTGGTAAGTTTGTAAAATATAATATTAGTTTCAGATGTCAAATTTAGAAGTACGTATGAAATCAAAAAGATTTTTGAAATTTTAATTATCTGAAAGTTGTGAAAAAAATTTAAATTGCCTGAAATATGAAAATAAACGAATTTTTCAGAAATATTACCTCGATTATTACCTCGTGCCTACACGGTAGCATCATGGGACTTGTACGCCAAGAACCGGTTTCGTTTTGTCGTGTCTTTGATGAAAACACAGGCTCAGAATGGTGTTGTCTACACTCGCTTCGGCCTTTGCTCGGGTTACTTAAGGTCTCTGATGAATGGAGATCAGGTTCAGGTGGGTATTTTGACATTTTTCTTTTATTTGAATAGTAAAAGGTTTGTTTAGGCCTTTTTAAGAAAATATGGTTTGCAGGCTGCGCGGACATTTTATACGATGAAACATGTCTAACTCTTTAATTTATAGTTTTTTAATAAGTTTCTTATTACAATTTGGTCGTTCACATAATTCTGTGCTTTTTAACCTCGAAAATTTGCTTTGCGGCACAGAATTATTTGAACAACCTAATAGTATGTTTTACAAGTTTCTTATTACTAGCCTATTTTATCATCCTCAACACTATCTTTTCAGTTAATAGTAAAAGAGCCATCGAAATTCCGTTTTCCATTAGCTGTGAAACGAAATATTGCACTAGATCAAGCACCTATCATAATGATTGCACCAGGGACCGGAATTGCTCCGTTCTTGGCGTTCCTGGAACGTTTCAGGGATTTGAAACAAATGACCGGTGCTAAACCAAACTCAAAACGCTATTTATTCTACGGGTCTAGCAACTTTGACAAGGAGTTCATCTTTAGGTGAGTGTACTATAATGTTCATAGACGTTTAACAGTTTTAAGGGGTCTTTTGAAGGTAAAAAAGGGTAGTTTAAGGTCTTTTTTCTAACTTTTTTTAATTTAAAATGGCTAAAACTTATTGTTTGTTATCTAAAACTTCGAAATTTTTATAACTTATGTTAATTTTTTGATAAAATCTGATAAAAATTATTTTTTAATGACATTCCTCGTTGTTTCAGGAAAGAAATTGAGAAACTAAAGGAAGAAGGAGTACTCACCGACCTTATTTTATGTGAATCCAAGCCTACAGACTCGAATACACCAGCTCGATACGTTTATGACGGACTGGGTGACCAACCAAAAGAGGTAGGCTAAGTTTTGAAAGCTGATTTTAAAAAAATCAGAAAAGTTATGGTTACAGTAGCTAGATAAGCTTCTAAATTGAAACATGAAGTTTAAAGTGAAGCTTTTCAATATTAAAAGCTATATTATTAGGTTGTTCAAATAATTATGTGCTCCCTCTAAAAGCAAATTTTCGGGGTTAGTGGCACAGAATTATTTGAACAACCGAATAGCTCGAATATTGGGGCTGTAAAGTCGCTTTATTACTTTTAAACAAAGATTTTAACGTTTGGAAGCCACAAGACCTTTAAAACTACCATTTTAAGCCTATAATATACGAATTGGATAACATAAAAAGTTTTTTAAAATATTTTAAAACTCAAAAATTATTAAAAACGTTTCAAAACTCGAAATTACCAAGACATTTTTAAGTTCTTCGACTTCCTCTTTTCCTCCCCACAACCCTTCATTTACGCCTGCGGCGATGTGAAACAAATGTCGCGAAAGTTGTGGGACACCCTATCCAACTTGTTATCCCAACACTGTAATCTGACCAAAATGGAAGCAGTACAATATCTGACTGAATGGCGCAAAACCGAGTATTTCATCGAGGATGTGTGGTCGTAAAGTTGTGCACCAGTCCTTGTTTTTATAGCTAGAAATTAGTTTTTGGTCTTAACACCTACAGGATAAAAATGTTAAAGTCTAGGCTATATACAGGTTGGGTTTAGATACCTAAAATGTAGGTTTTGGTCCTAAAATTATTAAAAAATAGTCTTTCTCGTAGACTTTTGTTGTTATTGTTGAAACTTTAGTTTTTTTTATTTATGGGACATGGGCATAGAGGCATCGACTTGTAAAGGGACCGGTCCGTTTTGGCCTAGTCCACCGCAAAACGTTAAACCTAGCCCACTCTCAACCCTATGATAACTTTATCTCTTCGTATAACATGTCGTTTTTCCGTCTGTAAGCAATATTCTTTCCAAAAAACATAATTTTGTTCATGTGAAATTTGAATTGTTAAATTTGGCGGGAACTCCAAAGTAAGGGTATTTTATAGTTTTATCTTTTCTTAAATATTATTTTATCAAAAGAATAAATTTGTTGATTTTAAAATGATGTGGAACTTAAAAAATATTTGAAAAATTAAAAAAAAAAAATTTTTTTTAAAAATATTGCTACAGTAGACTGGACTTAGGTTAGGCACGAGGGTTTAAGAAGCGGGAGGCATAAACCACACAACTAGAGTAAGTTAGAACAAAAAGCTAGAGCTAGGACCGGTTCACACAAAAATAAATAAAAATTGGTCGAGCCAGCTGCTCAAGGCTGAGCAAGCCGAAAACTGGCTTTGAAAATCAGCTAGACCAGTAAATGTGAAGAAAAATATTTGTAAATATTTGTACGAAACAATAAAAATTAAAAACATCTAAAAATTCTAATCCGGTTTATACTAGCCAATCGCAAACAAAACTACAACTACACATTGAGATCATAAGCCTATAGAGATCCTACTCCGGCAATTCCAAAGAGAAGAGTACTAACAATCTTATATGGCCTTTGACATTGACATTCCTAGAAACAAAATCAGCATTGACAATATCTATGAAGCATTAGACGACGAAGGTGGCTTTTCTTCTCGAGTTGGTCTCCTGCTCCTTCTTCGCACCGACTTCTTGTAGAATTCTGTAAACTTTTTTCCCGGAATGTCGCCGGGGCATTGTAGAAAGTTGCGTGCTTTAATATGAGGGAACAACGCTTCATCGGCTAGGCTTTCTTGAGTGTCTGGGAGTATGCTTGGTCGTTCGATAGCTGTAGCTGGCTCTTCTGCTCGAGGTGTGTTTTCGTTTTGCGTTTTGTCGTCTAAAAAAGGTTGGTGTTAGTAGTGTATGTGTTATAGTATCGTTTTATAGGATGACTGGGTGTGTTTTATAGTATCGTATTATGAAAAAGTATTGTAACGAATGTTTCATAAGGACTACCTGATACTATTTTTATGTGAATACCACTAAAAAAGTTACAGTATGGACGGGAATAGTATTTAGTAAAAGGTAGCGTAAGACATCGTATGGTAACGCAGAGTACCGTTTAGTAGGATAGGGTAGGGAGGGTAAAATCTGGTAGGGAAAAGCAGGGCAGGGCAACGTATGGTAAAGTATGGTAAGGTAGAGTAAGATACGGCTGGGTAGGGTACGGTAAGATAGGGTATTGTAGGGTAGGGTTGGGTAGGAAAGTGAAGGGTAGGGTAGAGTACGGTTGGTTACGGAAGGCAAAGTAAGGTATGTACGGTAGAGTAAAGTAGGTTATATTAAGTTGTCCGAAGATGGACGAGCCAAAAATTTCAACGTTGGGCGCTTTGAATGGTTCATCCATCTTTGGGCAACCTGTTGTAACCGTTAGTAACTTGCCTCCATCGATTGCTGTCATTGTGGAAGGAGTGTTCGTGTCATTACTGTTCCGTGAAATCTCCGAACGTGAAGATTCCGAGGCGTTTGGTGCCGTTTCTTTCGACGTTTCCCAATCATATGGATCACTGAATCTATAGCCTTTCGCTCGAATTTGCTTCATAATCTAAAAATGTAACTTTGGTATGATAGTAGGTACACGTGGTACTGTTTCTAAGTATTTACTAGCTAAAACTTTTTTTCTTCGCTAAAATTTCTAGATCAAGATCACTCATCTGATAATAACATTGAAACACCTACCGAATTAAAGATCAGCAAATAGTCAGGCCGATCCCCAAAGCCGCATGTACTTAAATGAGCTACAATTGGCTTCAAACAGTCCAACTCCCTCATTGCGCTGTGGTTAGCTCCAGTATCGAATTTGTTCTTCATGATTATTAGTCGGTCCTCTCTGGTACACTTTATCCACGGTAATGGGCCTCGAAGCTCAGCCATCATATAAACAAGAGACCAAAGGTCGTCTACACGACCTTGGTCACGACGTTTATGAACGTTCACGGAACAGTAACGTAATGTGCCTCTGAGAGCGGTCTGAAATTTCATATTTAGTATAGGGTTTGTAAAATACGTTCTATAAAAACCGTTCAAAAAATATAGGCAAAGGGAAGGGTATATTCATCATGGTGGTTGTACCCATTTCACTTACATTAGACCTCGGCTGCTTGAGAACCCATTTGTTGTTGTGATCCTCCGAAGCGTATCTTCGTACCATGCCATAGTCAATCAAATACACTAGTCGTCGATCATGCTTCTCAACTCCGATTACCATGTTATTCGGCTTCACGTCGCGGTGAATGTAGCCAATTTCATGTAGCTGCTTTATAGCGTACAGGCAGTGAATCCCGATCCGTAACGTCGTGCTTTCGGTGAACCTTGGCAGACTGTGTAGCTCACGAACATTGTCCAAGTCTGGGCCACATAGGGTTAGGACTATGAAACTGAAATGGCATTTGTTATATTAGAGATAGGTAACATACGATAGGGTGTGGTAAGGTAGGTTAAGGCAAGGTAGGGTATGGGAAGGTAGGGTAGGGTAAGGTAAGGGATGTTAAGGTAAAGTAAGGTATGGTTGAGAAAGGGAAGGCACGGTATGGTAGGGTAGAGTAGGGTACGTTTTATAAGGTAGATACGAAAATTCATATTATGTTTTGTATAAGATAGCAAAACTTACCTGTAATCCTGCCGCTTCGCCGACTGTAACAGCCGAATCGTATAAGGCCGATCCTGTAGCTGCTTCAATACTTCTGCTTCGATCTTCAACACTCCACCCGCGGCATTATTCGGCTCCACCTTGAGCGCGGCACGCTGTGGCTTATTGTTCATATCTTCAACTTCATACACGATCCCACAACCGCCTTGGCCTAGGGTGCGGACGACGCGCCATCGACCCGCAACCAACTTGTCCAACGGGAACTGGATCTCGGCTGGATGTGACTCATCATGCTGACTCATCTAGGTGATACGCTGCTCGATTCAACGATCCGACCAGTCGGTGGGGCTACGAAAAGTTTGAAATGAATCGGGGGAAATTTGTTTTTTGGAGAAGATTTCGAAAAATTTAGTTTGAAATGCTAAATTTGCATATTAGGTCAAGTTTAAGGAAGTTAGTAGGGTAGGGTAGGCAGTTTAGGGTAAGGAGGATAGGGTCATCCAGGTAGCGTAGCGTAAAATAGGGTAGGTAGGGAAGTACAAGGCAAGAGCATGGCAAGACAAGGCAAATCAAGGCAAGGGCAGAAGAGGGCAAGGCAGGACAGAACAAGGCAAAGGCAAGGCAACAAAAGTTAGGGTAGGTGGAAACGAGTAGGGTAGGGTAAAGTTGAATACAATAGGGAAAGGTACGGTAAACTTGATGGTACTTTATTTACTCATGTCATGATACGTTTATTATTAAGTGATATGTACAATAGTTAAACCTTTTGGTCAACGTCGGCGGCAGATTCATCAACAGTTTTGGCCGAATCCACAGGGTTTAGTGGCTCAACTGACTCGTCTTTCTTATCATTATTTGAAGTGTTAAGGATTTGGGATTGTTGTACTTGTCCGTTCAGTAACCACTCTGTGAACTTGTTTAGATATTCTGTAATGACAGTATTGAGTATTGGTATTATAGTTCAATTTATAAGGTAGCGTATTCAATATAAGGTCGTAAGAACTATATAGTAAATATTACGTTGTTCAAATAATTATGCGCTTCTTCTCAATGAAAATTTCCGATGTTATGGAGCACATAATTATTTTAAAAACCTATTATTGTTTTTTAGTACTTTAAAGCATGTTATAGTACTGTATTTTACCATTTTTCTTCTACTTTTGGTATCAGTATCATAAATTTGGTAGAAAAAACTCACGATTTATCCCATTAGCCGCCACACGACACCATTCAAACCTCGGTAAAGCACTATCATGTATAAAGATCATGTACGCGGTTAATGCACAACATAGACAACCCAATCCAACAGCAGCGACATCAGGTTGACTTAAAATCGAGGTAACAACCAAAGCACTAGAGCACAAAAAGAAAACGATTGGCACGATCAGAGGACTTTTGATCCTTTGATCCGAGACCTGAAGGCCTTTATATCGAATGTACAGTAAGATAGAAACGGTAACGACGCGTTGTGCCCATTGCGTAAATCCAGCGTAGTTTAACATCTGGGGAATGTCGGCTGATAAGGCAATTATGAACGCTAGGGCCACTTGAAATACGATGGCAGCTCGTGGCGAGTTATGAGTGGGGTTCCAAACTGATAGAAACGGTGGTAGACAGCCGGCTCGCGATATCGCGTGGGTTATGCTGAAACGTGAGGTTTCGAGTTAGTGGTGTAAGGTTTAGATTACGTTATGTTACTGTCATTACCAAGCCAGTATTTTTCTTTACTTTTTATAGAGTTCAGAGTATGATAGCGTTGGATAGGAAACTGTAGAGTTTGCGGGTAGGGTAGGGTAATGTAAGGTGAGTTAAGGTAATATAGGGTAGGATAGCGCAGGGTAAGGTAGGGTAGAGTAGAGGAGAGAAAAGTATGGTTGGAAAGGATAAAGTAAAGGATGGCTTTAAAAAAACACTTACCGAGACCCACAGAACAAGTTACTGTTCACAGATCCAATCAGTACTACTGAGACCATTAAGGGCATTACAAATTGGAATGGGCCCATTGCTTCTCGAGCAAATATCTAAACATAAAACAATAAAATATTCGTTTTAATAAAAGGTTTTTGGCCATAACACTGTGATATGCATGTCATATGAGGTTGTAAATGGTAAAATTTGAAAGAAATAAATTTGTCATCAATTTTGTTACCAACAATTTTTTTAATCTTACCATGGCCACAGCGTCTGAGCCTTGAATCTGAGGCACGGTCAAAATGATAGAATATGAAAAGTTGACTAACACAAAGATAACGGCTACCAAGCCCATGCCCAAAGCGATAGCTATCGGAAAGGTCCTGAAATTGGGAAAATTGAAATTTTGAAAAAAAAGTTTTGAAAACATTGAAATTTGATTTTTCTACTGATTAGTCTTTGTTATCAGTGCGCGAAATGATAGTCCAATCGAAAAAATTAAATTTTTTTATTAGACTGTTCAAATAATTCCGTACCCCCTAACATCGAAAGTCTGCTTCGAGACGGGGCACAGAATTACTTGAACAAACTTATATAATATTTAAAAAAAAAGAAATTATCTATTTTTTTTTAATTTTCATACCGAAACCTACCGCCTAGGATTTTTGATTTCCTCCGCCCCCAAATTGAGCACGTCCCAGCCGTCGTACGCGAATAAACCGGCGAAGAAAGCGCTAGCTATGGAAGCCGGATCCGCTTTGGAACCGTGAAAAGGCTGGGGTAAATTGTCAGTTTTCTGATAAAATATCAACCAGTAAAATCCGACCAGTATGACCAATATTGTGGACGATACTTTGGCACAAGATGCCGCCATTTGAAATCGTGATACTACGGTTTTGATGGAGAAGAAGTTGAGACACATTAGGAATACTAAAAGTTTATGGGGTGTTTTTATAAAGTTTGCTTTGAAAGGAGCACATAATTAAGTGAACGGTTAATTAGGTTCATTTTTGAAATTTTTGGATTTGAAGGTACATAGAACAAGCCATTATGCTTAGAGGCTCCAGTCCAAGCCCAACGTACAGCTTGGATAGGATAAATGAAGTATCAAACAGTACTATCATATACAATTTTAAGCCTGTGCGATAAAGAAAAAGTTTGAAAACCTATCAAAAACTTACAAACCAAAGAGAAACTGATGATAATCTTGTACCAATAAGCTTGCGCTTCTGTTTCAAACCTCAACTGTAGCCCTTCTACAAGATATTCAGCAAAGGTGCGGGATTGAATTGCTGTAGTAGCTGGATATAGAACTGTAGCCAACATTGCTCCAAACGAAAATGACATTTTCTTCCTGAAAATGATTTTTTATGTGTTTACTGGTAATTTCAGCTTGTTGGTACAAAAATGTTAAATTTGAACAATATAAAGTACTACATATGGATTGTAGTACAACAATATTGTACTGGATACAGTGTCAAACAGTAACTCAAGCTAAGAAAGTAAAAAAGATGACTTACCATCCCATATGCTGCATGTAAGCAAAATCTCCACCTGATTTTTGAATTGCCGTTCCAAGTTCGACGTAACAAAACGCACCCATTACCGATACGATAGCCGAAACACCCCATATGGTCAAAGCTAGACCCATCTGAAACAGAATTTTCGTTAAAATAAGGTTAAGAATAGTATTCGCATGTTAAGAATGGCACTTTCCCCAGTACAAAGGAAGATTTTGGTCTGGCGAGGGTATGGCAAAATAAATTTTGGGGAGGGGTAAAAAAGTTCTTTTTGCGTGGGATTAGACCTAAAGGGGCTAGGCCGGATCCAATTTTTCAGCCCGGTCCGCTTCAAATCTGACTCGGCGGGCCCGGCCGAGCCGAACCTAGGGGGTCCCTTTCGGGTCTAGAAATTTTTATCATAGAAGCAGGGAAATCTTTTTAAAACTAAACTTACCGAACTAGTAGCCTTCATAACAGTAGAAGGCGATAAGAAGATGCCAGACCCAATTATCGCTCCACATACAAACGAAACCGCTCCAGGCACTCCAATCCGATGGTCGCGTGGCTGACCATTCTTGGTGTTGGCCATGAACGGCTAAAAATATTTATTGTAATGAAACTTCAGGGCTTTTACTTTATTCTTGATACTACAAAGAATCGAGAACAAATAAATAATTACTGTGGTCAAATTACAATCGATATAGCAAACAAATATTATATTATAGTATACAAGCATTAAAAAATGTTGGTTTTGAAAGTCCAAAACATATTGTTAGGTTGTTCAAATAATTCTGAGCCCCCTAAGCCCGCAAAATTTGTTTTGAGAGGGGCACAAAATTATTTGAACAACCTAAAAATAGTAACAACAACACTAATAATGTTTAGTAAATTAATGACAAGACTTTCTTTACGTCAAAAACTCAAGGTACGCCTCAAACTTTCTCATGAGCGAAGTTTACTATACCTAAATTCAATTATTTTACAACATTTTCAAACTAATCCAAAACAATGTTGAAAACAATAACTATCGGCTTTATATTACCTCAAATCTCCGCTTCTTACTACAAAGTATAAATGTACAAAAGTGTCAAATAGAAACTAGAAGTTTTTATAAATATTAGGTTGTTCAAATAATTCTGTGCTCCCTAATTTTGAAAACTTATTTTGAGTGAGGCACATAATTATTTGAACAATTCAATAAGAGGATATTTACATCGAGTAAAATATAAAAACTCTCAAAGCAAATTTTCATGATTAGAGAGCACATAATTATTTGAACAACCCAATAAGAGGATATCTATCAAGTAAATGTAAAAAAGACTAGACTTTATGCGTTGAAATGAACAACTCTTTTCAAGTACAAACTAAAACACTATAAATTAGAAGAAAATACGTTTCGGGTCAGAAAGCACATCTGCCACAACAAATAGAGCGCGAAAACAATTATAGCATCTACTGGTGATGGCTATTACATAAGTTTCGGAAACGTATGAGGAACAATAATATGGGTAAAACATAGTTCGCTATGATCGCGGTAGGGTAAGGTAGAGTAGGGTAGGGTAGGGTAGGGTAGGGTAGGGTAGGGTAGGGTAGGGTAGGGTAGGGTAGGGTAGAATACAGTAGAGTAATAGTTCTGTTATACTCTACTCTACTAGTGCCAGGGTGGGATGATTTTGGTATGGCGGCTTACGGCAAAAAAAACTTTCATCTCTCCCCCCCCCCCTTTTTTTTAACATTGGTCCACATAAGAGACTGTTACAAAAATTATTGGCAAGGCATCACTCCCCCAACCCTGAAGAACGTAGCCTCTAATGGTGCACTTCCAGCCAACCCTACCCAATATAACAGGTGGTGCCACAACAAAGATATGAAAATTGAAAACCGGAGGCCAGACGGTATTCGTACGGTTAGTCTAGTTATCAACTTATCAACAAGTAAACATAGCAAGTTTTACTATTTTAAACCGGTCAAGGCGAAACGTAAACAAATAACGTTTAAAACGGTTTGAAAGTTCGTAATATGAGCTTGGAATTCGAAATTTAAATTTATAAAAAAATTTTATGATTTTTGTTTTACAGTGCTATACAGAGTGCTGAGAGGGCTATTTTGGCCTCGGAGATGAAAGTGTTTTTGTACTAGCAGGCATGAGAAACGGGCTTGGCTTCAACATGGAGCCCGGACTGCCTACTAGAAGAAACGTTTTTTTTTGTAATAAAGGACCTTTTCAGTACCGTAAAACCTAATCTTTACAAAACTACCATTTCTCATCAAAAACCCGCCTTTTAACCCCCGAAAAACAATAACAATGACTAATCAATTTGGCGACAAAACCCAAATTAAAATAACGACAAAAGACCTATTAGACATAGCCAAGCAGTAGCAAAGAACGGTCAAAAGTGGCCCGAAACCCAACTTACGAATAACATAATACGAACAAAACAAAAAATATAAGTTTGAAAACAAAAGGCGGATCTGTTTGTGTCAATCAAAGTAACAGTCAACAAATTTAAAAGTACAAAAGATCTTAATCATCCTCAAAATAGTGAATTTTTGAGTGTTTTGGGGTTTCCTCGTCCATCGATCACCGTGATTAGCAGGGTGATCGATGGACTAGGAAGTTTAAAAGTAGGACTACCCCTGCTTTCACCCCTACCTTTACCCTTGCCTTTACTAGGGGTGAGAAACGGGCCGTGTACCTGGTCGGGCGTTGAGTAAAACTTACGTCGGGTCGGGCCTGATTTCGGCCTGGAAAAGCCTGTTTGGACGTAAAAATTTGGGGCCGAGCTTAAAATTTGGGCCTTTTCTTATCCCTACCCTTATCCCTGTATTTACCCTTACTCCTATTCCTAACTCTACCCTTATTTCCACTCCTACCCCTATTTTTACTCATACTCCTACCCTTATTTCTACCCCATACTCCTATTCCTAACTCTACCCCTATTTCCACTCCTACGCATACCCCTATTTTTACTTTTACCCTTACTCTTAATCATATTTCTACCCCTACCCTTTATCCTTACCGCTACCTTTACCCTATACTACTCTTACCATTACTCCTTCCCCTTCACATACATTATCCCCCCCCCCTACTTACTTAACTATGTCATACCCTGAAATATTCTATTCTACCGTTCTCTAAACTTATCTTACCCTGCATTACCTCGAACTCACGATGTCTTATCTTCTTCTACCCAACCCTATTTTACCCTTCCCTGCATTATTGTACTTCACTTTACCCTACCTTGCCCTATTATACCCTACTTTACCCTACTCTTCCTTATTATACTCGACTTTACCCTGTCCTTGTACTAAACGTTAAAATTCTTAACTTTTCGAAATGAAACAGCCCCATTGATCTAACAAACCCCATAGATCACCGGCAAGAAAACCTTTTAAAAATCAACTGACCAGGGTTTTTTTCTCCAAAACTGCCAAAGGGTAAAATGGCTAAAGTTTGGAAAAAAGAGGATTTTAATGAATGAGGCATTCCAAAGAGTGAACTTTTAATTCGAAAAAAAAACGTTTCCAATTAATTTCAACTTGTTTTCACTGAAACTTTACTGCCGAGGTCAAAGTAACAAAAGCAGTGATATTAATATACCTACTTTTTGTCTATAAGTTGTAAAGGTTTTGTTAAAAAGTAGCGGAACTTAAAGACAGATGGTAATGGAGTGGTAAAAAATGTGATAGCATTAGGTTGTTCAAATAATTTAGTGCTTTCTTTAAAACAAGTTTTTGTGGTTAGGGGCACATAATTATTTGAAAAACCTAATAAAACAATTACAGCTGGAAGAGGATTATGAACGATGTTATTTTATCCTAAAAAAATGTATTTATTTAGACAAGTGTAAAAGTTTGGAGCCACGAAAAAGTGGAAGAAAGCTCTTCAAAACAAAAAAAAAAGAAAAAAATGAATTTTTAAAAAGTTCAAACAAAGTCATTGGAAGAAAAAGTGTAGTTGTAGGCGTAGAAGAGACTGTAACAAGACGGATTGCCATAAGCATTACCGGACGAGCAATTTTTGTATCAGAAAACGGGTGGGTTGAGAGAATTTTTCTTTATGAGGCTGTAGGCTTAAGTAAGGCAAGGATAGGGAGATGTATGACATTTGTAACGGTAGGGTTGGGTAGATGTAGACTTGAGCAATATTAAGGGTAGGATAGGTTATAGTAGAGTAGGTTATGATAATTAAGGGTAGGATAGGTTAGAGTAGAGTAGTTTATGATAATTATAAAGCATGCTAGGGCAATTTTTGGGGTAAGAGTAGATGTAGACTAAATAGAATTCACGGCAAAAGTATGGATAAGATTGAACATCTATGTGCATGACTGCATAAAATAGGCTAGGGTACAGTAGGGCAGATCAGGAAAAGGCAAAATATGGCAATGATAACAAATTGTAAGCAGGGTAGGATAGGGTAGAGTAGGGTAGGAAAGGAATGAAGCATGAGACTGTTGTACATAATTTGTTGGGTCGTTTAACACCATGACAAATATGATATAAAGTCAAGAAAATGTTTTCTAATTTCTCTTAGGATATTTTATTATATCAAGAAATTAGGTAACACTTTACAAAGTTACACATTTTTTAGTTAAAAATTTTTTTATTATACTTTTTTTAAAGTTTGTTTGAAAAAAATTTGAGATGCTCGATTCTATTGCCACAGTCATTTTTGACTGACTTTTTGACGAAAACGGTCGAATCAGGTCTTCCTGATGTGGTTGGGCGCACTGATTTTATTGGTGCCGTTGGTGTTTGCTGAAGACAATGAAGAAGAACCTATTTTTGCTCCACCTGTGTTTGACTTGAACAATGTGAGTGACCTTTTTTGAATTATACGGAACTCCTATACGGTTTTTAAATCATAAAGTTTTGTAACAGAACTTTTGGCGCATTCTGTATAATGAATTGCTCGGGGGTTTAAAATTTGATTTGTTATAAAAGAAATTAGATATAGAGGCGTTTTTATAACTTTTAAGTTCTGCTATATATGTTTGTTATAAAAAAGCTCTACTGTATGTACTTTTTTGCACTGTTATTTTAAATTTAAATTTTTACATTTATAGGGCCAGCTCAAGGAATGTAACGTGGAAATGGCCATGCCTGTGTAAGTTGGCTTTTTATTTGAAAAAAATTTTTTAAGTTTGATTTGCAAAGACCTATTATATTTGGAGTTTTAAAATTTTTGTCGTTTTTTATTACTGTGTTGAACGTTAAAAAAACGACAACACTTTACTAATGCATTATTGTTATACCTGAAAGGGGGTTTGCTAGACTCGGCCTTAGCCCTATATAAAGATAATTTTTTATTAGTATGTTCGCATAATTCTGTGCTCCTCTCAAGAAAAATTTTAAGGGTTGAGTTTTTTGGGGCATAGAATTACTTATGCGTTTTTGATTATTTTTTAAAAGTTTTAATAATTTGGTTTTGTAGTATGGTCAACGATTGTCCCGAATACATGGCTCAGCTCATCATAAACGAGGATTTCGTGCGAACTGACCGTATCGGTTGGCCTTCTTTGTTGACTCCAGAGTAAGTTTTTTTGGCTTTTAATACCTAAAATGGCTTGAAACCTCAACTATTTTTACCTTTATTCCTACTCTTCTTCTTACCTCTACTTTTACTTTTTCAGTGTCGCACGTGATATTGTTTTCAATCACACGTACAAAGTGGACAATGTAGTGCCGGAAGCGAAACGGAACCATTGGTGGTTGGAGTACTATATAGAGGAGATGAACCCAGTGATTTATGTCTCTTTCAATACGGTTTGTTTTTTTAAATTATTGCTTAAAAATTTTTTGACATTGTTTTTTTTTATTTTTTACTCAAAGTTGCAGTTTGTGACGAATTGCCACAAATTTAATTGGAATTTTGAAACCGTAACGAAGTGTCACTAATTTTATTGGAATTTTTGAAATTGTTACGAAGTGTCACAAATTTTATTGGAATTTTAGAAACTTGTAACGAAGTGTCACAAAGATTATTGGAAAAATGGATTTTTTGTATAAAACAGAGCTGTGTGGTTTTAAAACATTATACTGTGGCATTTTTTAAAATATTTTTTACTTTTAGAAGGACGGCAGACAAATAAAATTGAACGGATCATCGGTTGGAAGACATGGCTTTTATCCGTTCAAGGTGACCTCGAAAGATCAGTCCAAAGGTATCAAAGACATTCATGTAGGTTCTGACGGATTTTCTATTTGAAACGACTAAAATTTTTTATGAAATCCTGAAATTTTTAAATTAATTTTTAATTTAAAATACTTTTTAAACATATGTCTTTAGGACTCGTTGGCAAATGTGTTTGATTACCACGATATGCTTGTCAACGATGATCTTATCGCTTTCGAATTCAATGTTACCGAGACCAGAGAGTATGGTTTGGATGACTACGGCAAGGCCATGGACTCGGTGATGTGCAAGTCTGGTTGCTTCTACATCTTCATTCCGGTCTTGGTCATCTTCTTGATCTGCTTGATCGCCTGCATCGTGGTCTCGATCTTGGTCGGACGTTCCAGGGTGAGTTAGAGGTTTGGGGCGTTCCAGAGTTAATTGTAGGCTTTGGGCGTTTAGAGTGAGTTGTAGGATTGGGGTGTTCCAAAGTGAGTTATAGGCTTATTGATAAGCTTGGGGTATCTGTAGTAGGTTCAAAAGTCTTGTCGTCGTTTTACACTGATTTTCACGAGGAAAAACGACAAGACTTTTATGAAGTTTAACAACGGTTGCTATTGTTGACTATCGTGAAGTTTTTATGAAAATAAAAGTTTGTAGAGTGTAGTCTAGTATAATGTTGGACTCAAGACGACTATTCTAATATCCTTTTGGGTTCAAGACGAATTTCAACATAATTTTAGGTAAAAGACGACCCTGCTCTGAAATCCATCGCACAAATGTCGAAAAAATCGAAGAAGGAATCGAAGAGTAAATCGAAGAATGGCAAGGATTCTAAGAAGGGCAAGGGTGGCAAGGGTTCAAAAGATGACAATTCCGAGTACCATACGGTTAAGAATTCAAAGGACAAGAAGAAGGGCAAAGGCTCGAAGGGCGGCAATGACAATTCCGTGTATCATACGGTTATGGGAGACACAAAAAGGGACGACGTTTCAGTGTACCATACGGCAGATGACTCCTTGCCTGATACTCAACCAAAACCAAAAACTTAGACCACTTTCGATTTTCGTCAAAAATAAACTGATTTTTACTTATTTGTTTGTTTTTTTTTGTCTAATTCTTCAGTTTTTTCATGTATATAAAGCACAGTGCAAGATATACAATGTTAAAACTATTCAAAAAATTGTAATTGAATAGTATCGTATTTTATAAATGTTGGCTAACGTTAATTCGATAAAAAATTTAAAAACGTTTGAAAACTATTGTTTTTGCGCCTACTTTGCTTGTTTTGGCGTTCCGCAGCAAGAGGAAAATAATTTCGCAAAAATAATTTTTCCAAACGAATATCCTTCTCAAAACCGACGAAAACAGGACAAATAATGCCTAAAATACGAGTAAGTTTAACAATATATTATCTATAAACCAAGACCTGTTAACGTATGACAATTTCAAAAAATTAAACGGTGTAAAATAAGGCTTTTCATCATGTAAAACATCAGTTTTGTGCTTTTTGGCTAAAGAACGTACGATTTTAGGTTGTTCCACTGGGAGCAGGACAAGATGTGGGAAGATCGTGTATTTTATTGTCTATGAACGGCAAGAACATCATGTTAGATTGTGGTATGCACATGGGATATCAAGATGAGCGAAGATTTCCCGACTTTTCGTAAGTTATTTTTGATTTTTTTGTTGGTTTTTAGATGCTACGGTTAATACCACCTTGCGTTTGGATTAAAATTGGAGAGTTTATTTTAAACGAATAAATAAATGTTTTTTACGTGCAGACGTTTTAAGAGCTTTTTACGAAGAAAGTTATAAAATATGTTGTTGTTAAGGGTTCTTGGTCAAAAATCGTTCTAAAGTTGATGTTAATGAAGACAAACTGATATAGCTTTGTAAGACTAGGAAAAGCAGAAATTTCTTAAGTTATACACAAAACTATGTATATCAATATTAACCTAAAACAATATTTTCAGATATATTGGAGGAGGTGGCGATTTGACAAGTTATTTGGATGCGGTTATCATTTCCCATTTCCATTTGGATCATTGTGGTGCTTTGCCACATATGACTGAAGTTTGCAAATATGAAGGATCGATTTATATGACACATCCAACCAAAGCTATCGTTCCTGTGTTGCTTGAAGATTATCGAAAGATTCAGACTGAAGTCAGAGGTGAAACCAACTTTTTTACGAGTCAGATGATTAAGAATTGTATGAAGAAGGTAGTTTTTAATTTTTTTTTGGTTTTTAGGGTGCTGAATCCTTATTATTTTGAGCAAAAATGATGGATAATATATAGAAAAAATAGATGAGTTATTTTTTGGATTAGAAACAAAATATTTTTGATGTTTATGGGCTATTTAGGTAGTAGAAGTTGGTTTACATGAAGTTGTGGAGATTGATGAAGGATTTTCTATTCAAGCGTTTTATGCTGGCCATGTTTTGGGAGCAGCAATGTTCCTTATCAAAGTTGGAGATCAAAGTGTTCTTTATACAGGTAAGCCTTTTAAACGAAAAAAAATATAAGAAGAGAATGGCAGTTCTGCCTATTTAAACTTGTCTTAAATACTTTTATGTTTTGTAAAATTGTTACGTTTAGAAGAATATTATTTTTGGTAAGGCATATTATACAAAACGTAGTAGATCTTGAAACTGCCTGCATTTATTATTATTTTTATTAACTTCTCATAAAGTATAAGAAGGTGAGTTTTTTGGTTTTATATTTTTGTAGTTATGACCAATTAGGCGCTTGTGGTAGTACCGGAAACGGCATCAAATTGGCACAAGTTCAACGTGAATGGATTTCCAGCAGGAACTCCATAAGTGTGGTTGTCAGAAGAACTGTGGTAGGCATCGGTACAGTCACTAAAATCATTTTGTTAGCTAGGCCATCAAAATGTTAATAAGAAAACCGATAATCACATTGCTATAATGTTGTTACTTACGCAGTAGCACATTCAGCGACATGACCTCCATCTTCAGGGATAATCTGCATACCAATGTCAAAGCCTTCAATAACGTTGAGATCGTAATTGCTGTTACCATTAGAGTTACCAAAGGAGAACTCGGCAATTGTATGACCAGATCCATAGTTGTGACGGAAGTTCATGACACCAGTAGTGTAGGTTTGAGAGCAAGATTCTCCAACAGCCAATTGACATTGAACGGCCTGAGCACCTCCAGTGACAGTCTTTACTACGGTAACTGGGTCCGTGCATTGGTTGTTGATGGTCAGAGTAGTGGCTGGAGCAGAAGCAGCGGAAGAAGAGTCAACATTGTCAAATTGGCACAAGTTCAAAGTGAAAGGAGAACCAGATGGAACACCATAAGTGTGGTTGTCAGAAGAACTGTGGTAGGCGTCGGTACAGTTACTAAAATACTGTAAGTAAAATTTAAACTACTTACGCAGTAGCACATTCAGCTACGTGACCTCCATCTTCTGGAATTATCTGCATTCCAATATCAAATCCTTCGATTACATTCAAATCGTAATTGTCATTTCCATCAGAATTACCGAAAGAAAACTCAGCGATGGTATGACCAGATCCATAGTTGTGACGGAAGTTCATGACTCCAGTTGTGTAGTTTTGGACACAAGATTCTCCTACAGCCAGTTGACATTGTGTTGTCTGGGCACCTCCAGGGACAGTCTTGACCACAGTAACTGGGTCAGTGCACTGGTTAACAATAGTCAACTCTCCTGCGTAACTACAGCAGACGGCCACGGTGAAAAAGATAACAAAAGACTTCATTGCAAACCTGAATACCTTGATTGAGTAATGATTGGTAGGGTTTTTGCTTTGCTTATATAGCAGTCTATTTGAATAATTCAAAACAAAACCTTGACTATTATGAGTTTGACACATTTGTAGAATGCTAATTTGCATATATAAAATTTCAAACATCAACAACTGACCTTCGGAATATTCCTAAGCCCATGTTTTTGTTTAGGAACTGACCTTTAACCATGTATATTTTGTGACATGTTCACTGTAAATTCGAATTGAAGTTTCGAAAATGGTTTCATGATAGTTTCCGTTAAGCATTAGGTTGCAAAACACATCACGTATTTTCCTATACATAATTGAAATTGTTATGCATAATACACCAAAAAGCGATAGCCAAAGGTCAGTCTCGAAATGAAACAACACTTTGAACGGATTAGATTATTTTTAAAGCTGAAATAGTAGAGAATACAGACTAAATTATTCAAATAAGTATATAAGCAAAGCAAAAACCCCACCAATCATTATTCACTCAAGGTATTCAGATTTGCAATGAAGTCTTTTGTTATTTTCTTCACCGTGGCCATCTGCTGCATCTACGCAGGAGAGTTGACTATTGTTAACCAATGCACTGACCCGGTTACTGTAGTCAAGACCGTCCCTGGAGGTGCCCAAACAACACAATGTCAACTGGCCGTAGGAGAATCTTGTGTCCAAAACTACACAACTGGAGTCATGAACTTCCGTCACAACTATGGATCGGGCCATACCATCGCTGAGTTTTCTTTCGGTAACTCTGATGGAAATGACAACTACGACTTGAATGTGATCGAAGGATTTGATATTGGAATGCAGATAATTCCAGAAGATGGAGGTCACGTAGCTGAATGTGCTACTGCGTAAGTCATTCTACTATTACTTAGGGTATTTTAGTAATTGTACCGACGCCTACCACAGTTCTTCTGACAATCACACTTATGGTGTTCCATCTGGTTCTCCTTTCACTTTGAACTTATGCCAATTTGACAATGTGGACTCTTCTTCCGCTGCTTCTGCTCCAGCCACTACCCTGACCATCAACAACCAATGCACGGACCCAGTTACCGTAGTAAAGACTGTCACTGGAGGTGCTCAGACCGTTCAATGTCAATTGGCTGTTGGAGAATCTTGCTCTCAAACCTACACTACTGGTGTCATGAACTTCCGTCACAACTATGGATCTGGTCATACAATTGCCGAGTTCTCCTTTGGTAACTCTAATGGTAACAGCAACTACGATCTCAATGTTATCGAAGGATTTGACATTGGAATGCAGATTATTCCTGAAGATGGAGGTCATGTCGCTGAATGTGCTACTGCGTAAGTAACAACATTATAGCAATGTGATTATTTTTATTGTAATATGTTGGTTTTTATTGTAATTTTTGGTGGCCTAGCTAATAAAATGAGTTTAGTGACTGCACCGATGCCTATCACAGCTCTTCTGACAACCACACTTATGGAGTTCCTGCTGGAAATCCATTCACCTTGAACTTGTGTCAATTTGATGCTGTTTCTGGTACTACCACAAGCGCCTAATTGGTCATAACTACAAAAACATAAAGCCAAAAATCTTAATTTATTCTTTTTTAATAATGAAGAGTTAATAATAGTAATATAATAAACGCTGGCAGTTTTAATATTTTGGTATTTTTAAATGTAGATGTTGTGAACCAAACTAGTTTAAAAGTTAAAGACGAAAGTAAATTTAAATAAAAGTGCGTTCAAGATTAAAGCTGATAAAAATGGAAACATTTTTAGGTGACTTTAACATGACACCGGATCGTCATTTGGGCGCAGCTCATGTCTTCGCCGGTTTAAAACCAGATCTTCTGATCACAGAAACCACTTATGCCAGTACGATTCGAGACTCGAAAAGGGCCAGAGAACGTGATTTTCTACAAAAAATTAGTGATACCGTATTCGATGGAGGCAAAGTCCTCATTCCAGTGTTTGCTTTGGGTCGCGTACAGGAGTTGTGTATTTTATTAGAGTCATACTGGGAGAGGTTGGGACTGAAAGTACCAATCTATTGTTCTGCTGGTCTTGCTGATAGAGCGACGAAATATTATCGGCTGTTTATTGGCTGGACTAACGAGAAAATCAAGAAAAACTTTGTTCAAAGGAACATGTTTGATTTTAAGGTAAGTTACTGTAGATTTGGAAGAGTTTTTTTGTATAATGTGCTTGACTGTTGCTAAAATGTTTAGCGTACATGCTTTGGCAAGATTTCTACTTATTTTATGGTAAGATAATGTCTTTTTCCTACATAGTATTTCAATTACAGCACATTTCCCCACTGGATCCATCGTATGTTGACGCTCCGGGACCAATGGTCGTTTTTTCAACGCCTGGTATGTTGCACGGAGGACAGTCGTTGAGAATCTTCAAGAAGTGGTGTGGCGATGAAAAGAATTTGATTATCATGCCTGGCTACTGTACTGCTGGTACGGTAGGAGCGAAAGTTATTGCTGGAGCCAAAAAAGTCATGATCGATCAGAAGGAGGTAGGATCTTGGATTTTATTGAAACTGTTCACTTTCTCAGTACAAAACTTTGGGCTTGTGGGTATGGGCAAGAAATATGATTGCTTTTGACATTATCTTACTTTTTTTCAATTTTTATTTATAAAATACGAAAGAATTAGTGGATTTATGTTTTGATTACTATATGCCACTTTTTATCGTTATATGAAGTAATATTGTAAATTTTCAGTACGATGTCAACATGCGAGTAGAATACATGTCGTTCTCTGCCCACGCCGATGCGAAAGGTATTATGTTGTTGATCAGAGACGTGGAACCAGCCAATGTTATTTTTGTTCATGGAGAAGAATCAAAAATGGAGTTTTTGAAAGGAAAAGTGGAAAAGGTAAGATTGCACTGTCATACCTGTAATATAACTTATTTTTTGGTTATTATTATGGTTTTTTCATAAGCTTAAAATGACTTTTTCAGCAATTCAAAATCCCAGTCTTCAAGCCAGCGAACGGCGAGACAATTGTCATCAACACGCCGTTGAAAGTATTCGTTGACATTCCCACTTCTCTGATTCAAAAGTCCATGGAAATTGTGGGACCAAAAGCGTCAAAGAAGTATTGTCCAATCCGAGGATGTTTCATAATGGATAATGATACGAAAAAGCTACAATTCGTGTCACAAGATGAAGCTGCCAACAAGTTGGGAGTAAAGCTTCATAGTATAACATTCAGTGAAGTGTTTGAGATGCCAAACAATCTTAATCTGAAACAATTGGCTATGATCTTAAAGAAATTTGATCCTGAGCTTCAGGAGAAAACGGTAGGGGTGCTAATAGGTGGATATTGTAGTAAGGGAAGATTTTTTGTATGGAGTTGGGTTGGTTTATGTGGAGCTAAAAATGTTTTACCAAATGAAGGTATGGGGCCAAGTTTACAGTATAATCAGTTTTCTAATACTGAATTAGTACGGGTTTGCCAGTACGAGCCTTTTACGGTGAGAAAGGACGTGGTTGACCTTTATACCGAAAACTTGGTACTAACTAGTTCAAAAAACCTGAATAAAAGTATTGAAATCTGACTTTTGTTTCAAAATTTGACTTACATTTCAAAATTCTAGGACGGAATTGACATGTTTGACAGCGAAGTCCTAATAGCATCAGTACCAAATGAACCACGACAAGTCGAGATCATATGGGACGATGATCGCGAGAATTGGCTGGACGTTTTGGTCGATGAAATCGGAGCTAAAAAGATTGGCGAAGCCGGTGAATTGGTCTAAACTGTCTTGTCTTTGTAAGTTCTTGTTAGATTTTTATTTGTTTGCATGTTTTTACTGTGTAAGGCGTGTCTATATTGAAAAATGTTCGATGTTTTGAATTTTCAAAGCTAATTTTGTCTTTTCAAGGACTTTTTTTAAATCTAAGGTTGGTAAAATAATTCTGTGCCTTTTCCTAAAGAAAATCTTTGGGGTTAGGGAGCACAGAATTATTTGAGCAACCTAATATTTTGGTCTTATCAAGGCTTCAGTTATTTTTTACTTTAAAATGTTATAGCGGTATAAAAAGTCTGTAAATTGAAGTAAAAAACAACTTATCTTGAGGTAGGCGAATTGTTTTTAAACTACCAAAATTTAAAGTTTGTAAACTGTTGGAACAGTCTAATGGTGTTATTTGGTCTCATTATGTAAATTATTAATTATTTTTAAAATTCTTGGATTATTTGTTTTTTGATCAAAACGTGTATAACTTGTAACGGTGAATAAAGTAATGTCATATAAATGTTTGGTTTATAAAATTTAATTGAAGCGAAATATTTTTTATTAAATTTTTTTTAAAAATTAAATTTTTAGCATTCTGTTTAGAAATGCAATATTTTTTGTTATTTTTTAAATTCGTTGTTTAAGTTTTGTTATTATATAAAGGTAAGTTACCTTTATGTTTCCAGTGAGTTAAAACATTGAAACTGCCTGCGTTTATTATTATTATTATTAACTGCTCATATAGTATAAGAATAAGGTAAGATTTTTGATTTTATATTTTTGTAGTTATGACCAATTAGGCGCTTGTGATCGTCTTTAACTTTTAAACTAGTTTGGTTCACAACATCTACATTTAAAAATACCAAAATATTAAAACTGCCAGCGTGTATTATATTATTATTATTAACTTTTCATTATTAAAAAAGAATAAATTAAGATTTTTGGTTTTATGTTTTTGTAGTTATGACCAATTAGGCGCTTGTGGTAGTACCAGAAACGGCATCAAATTGGCACAAGTTCAAGGTGAATGGATTTCCAGCAGGAACTCCATAAGTGTGGTTGTCAGAAGAGCTGTGGTAGGCATCGGTGCAGTCACTAAAGCCATGTTATCAGCTAAGAGAACCAAAATATTTTCAAGAAAGCTAATAATCACATTGATATTTTCATTATCACTTACGCAGTAGCACATTCAGCGACATGACCTCCATCTTCAGGGATAATCTGCATACCAATGTCAAAGCCTTCAATAACGTTGAGATCGTAGTTGCTGTTACCATTAGAGTTACCAAAGGAGAACTCGGCAATTGTATGACCAGATCCATAGTTGTGACGGAAGTTCATGACACCAGTAGTGTAAGTTTGAGAGCAAGATTCTCCAACAGCCAATTGACATTGAACGGTCTGAGCACCTCCAGTGACAGTCTTTACTACGGTAACTGGGTCGGTGCATTGGTTGTTGATGGTCAGGGTAGGGGCTGGAGCAGAAACAGCGGAAGAAGAGTCCACATTGTCAAATTGGCATAAGTTCAAAGTGAAAGGAGAACCAGATGGAACACCATAAGTGTGGTTGTCAGAAGAACTGTGGTAGGCGTCGGTACAGTTACTAAAATACTGTAAGTAAAATTTAAACTACTTACGCAGTAGCACATTCAGCTACGTGACCTCCATCTTCTGGAATGATCTGCATCCCAATATCAAATCCTTCGATCACATTCAAATCGTAATTGTCATTGCCGTCTGAGTTACCGAAAGAAAACTCAGCGATGGTGTGACCAGATCCATAGTTGTGACGGAAGTTCATGACTCCAGTAGTGTAGTTTTGGGAACAAGATTCTCCTACAGCCAGTTGACATTGCGTTGTCTGGGCACCGCCAGGCACGGTCTTGACTACAGTAACCGGGTCTGTGCACTGGTTAACAATAGTCAACTCTCCTGCGTAACTGCAGTAGATGGCCACAGTGAAGAAGATAATAAAAGACTTCATTGCAAAACTGAATACCTTGAGTAAATAATGATTGGTGGGGTTTTTTCTTTGCTTATATACTTACTCATTTGAATATTTTGGTTTGTATGATTGAATATTTTAATTTCGAACGTTCTCTAATCCGTTCAAACTGTTGTTTCATTTCTAAGCTGACCTTTGGCTATTGCTTCCTGATGTGTTATACGTAATACCTGCAAATATGTTTTGAACAAAGGTTTGTATTTCGCAGTATAATTTATGTAAAACTGGAATAGGCAAGTGATTTTTAAAAATTTTAAGGCTTTTGCTATGTTACACATAAAGCGCACCAAACCTGGCTAAAGGTCACTTTTCATAATCAAAAACAATGGATTATTGACTATTTCGAAGGTCATTTAGTTGACGTTTGAAGTTTTAAATATTTAAATTAGCTTTTTTACAATTATTTCCGAACAGATAATAGTCAATTGCTACTTTGAGTTATTCAAACAAGTTAGTATATAAGCAAAGCAAAATTTTTGTAAATCGTTATTCACTCAAGGTATTCAGATTTGCAATGAAGTCTTTTGTTATCTTCTTCACCGTGGCCATCTGCTGTAGTTACGCAGGAGAGTTGACTATTGTTAACCAGTGCACTGACCCAGTTACTGTGGTCAAGACTGTCCCTGGAGGTGCCCAGACAACACAATGTCAACTGGCTGTAGGAGAATCTTGTGTCCAAAACTACACAACTGGAGTCATGAACTTCCGTCACAACTATGGATCTGGTCATACCATCGCTGAGTTTTCTTTCGGTAATTCTGATGGAAATGACAATTACGATTTGAATGTAATCGAAGGATTTGATATTGGGATGCAGATCATTCCAGAAGATGGAGGTCACGTAGCTGAATGTGCTACTGCGTAAGTAGTTTAAATTTTACTTACAGTATTTTAGTAACTGTACCGACGCCTACCACAGTTCTTCTGACAACCACACTTATGGTGTTCCATCTGGTTCTCCTTTCACTTTGAACTTATGCCAATTTGACAATGTGGACTCTTCTTCCGCTGTTTCTGCTCCAGCCACTACCCTGACCATCAACAACCAATGCACCGACCCAGTTACCGTAGTAAAGACTGTCACTGGAGGTGCTCAGACCGTTCAATGTCAATTGGCTGTTGGAGAATCTTGCTCTCAAACTTACACTACTGGTGTCATGAACTTCCGTCACAACTATGGATCTGGTCATACAATTGCCGAGTTCTCCTTTGGTAACTCTAATGGTAACAGCAACTACGATCTCAACGTTATTGAAGGCTTTGACATTGGTATGCAGATTATCCCTGAAGATGGAGGTCATGTCGCTGAATGTGCTACTGCGTAAGTGATAAAGAAAATATAGCAATGTGATTATTGGTTTTCTTGGTAATTGTTTGGTGGCCTAGCTAATAAAATAATTTTAGTGATTGCACCGATGCCTACCACAGCTCTTCTGACAACCACACTTATGGAGTTCCTGCTGGAAATCCATTTACCTTGAACTTGTGCCAATTTGATGCCGTTTCTGGTACTACCACAAGCGCCTAATTGGTCATGACTACAAAAACATAAAACCAAAAATCGTACTTTATTCTTATACTTTATGAGAAGTTAATAATAATAATAAACGCTGGCAGTTTTAAAAGAGGAGTTGAGTGGTGGGCTTGGTGGGAGGGTTGGTGACCCTGCCCATCCCAGCACCCGTCGCAGTACTGGGCTTAACCATTTGTATACTTTAATTAACTGAGGAAATGGTTCCAGGACTAGTCCTGTGGGTTGTAACCAGGGTTGGACGCAGGGCAGGGCATGGGCCCTGTAACAAGGCATTTTTGAATTGTTTTTTGGCGCGCTTTTTTTTAAATTTTTTTTTGGCTAGGCCTAAAAACGCAAAAATTTCTAGAAATGGGTTTTAAACACTGCTAATCCATTTTACGTTGTTATTTTCTTGATAGCTATTACAGTTTTCAAGATATGAGTTTGGCGGGAAAACGAAATTCAAAAAAATGCCCTGTTGAAATGCCCTGCCCTGCGTCCAACCCTGGTTGTAACTTATATGTACTTTAACCTTATACCCAACCTTATACTTAAACTTATCCTATTATTTCTATCGACGCCGGAACGAGTTTCGGCTACAGTATCTGCAGAATCTGCGACTTTGCAAAGTCAAATAATCCAAGCGCTACCCAAAACCTAAGCCGACCGTGTGGTTGAAAACTGTAAAATAGAATGGGCAGAAGCCTGCCCAAGCGATCGATCAAGAGACATCGTGTTCCCGGCTTTTATAGCCAGGCACAATATCAGGCCTTTGCGTTTATCGCATAATGTCTCTCTTATCAGCGCTTTCCCTAAAGGCCGCGCGTGGGAAGGCCTTCTGATCACAAATGATTACATAATAAAGATATATCTTGCAAACACGAGGTACTGTAGCTATCGCAGGTAGCTACAAAACCCAACTGAGGTATATGAACTCCACAATAAGCAGAGCGTTCCAAAATTTCTCTTTGATCAGCCACTGAGAGTTCAGAGCCGAAACATGAGCTAACCTCAAACTTGGGTTAATAAACCGAAGAAGTCTACTTTATTTTTGCGATAATTAAAACGAAAGGTTACCTTTTGAATGAGAGCGACAGACTTTTGGAGTTGTTTTCTCTCTCTAACTGTCTCTCAAAAAAAACGTTATCTTCATTCACCTTTTTCATAATCTCTTTTTCTCTAAATTTTCGCTTACATTGTGTTTTAAATGTGCGTACATATCATTATGTTGTAAAATTAAGCTATATGCAGAGAAAAAGCAATAAAATAGGTCCATTTTTACTTGTAATATAACTTTTTTTATGTTTTTAAGGTACTGTAATTTTTATTTAATTTAGTTTTGATGTTTTTGTTGCTTAAAATGGCAGAACTTTTCGAAAAATATATAAATATTATTATAAGGTATAACAGGTAATATTATTATACTTCTACGTGTAATAAGGAGCAATTTTGTTGAGCGAATCCAATAGTTTATGTGGATTCATTTCGCGAATCTGTGATACCATGTGGATTACCGTCTTTTCAACTTCAATATAGTTGGCAGGGCTAAGTTTGGTCAGCTTTTGGGAAAAGTCATGTAAGTCGGTTGGCATTAACTAAAAGTATCGATCGCTTTTTAAACCTTATTTTAAGCTATGTTTTTATGTTTTTAAAATTAACTTTTTTTAAATTAGTCAGTGTAAAATGTCACATGTAACCAAACTTACGCTTAAAATATCGTCGAGGCCCAAAGGGGTCGTTGTAGCGTCGTAAACAACTTGTCGTTTACTCTTGAACAAGTTGCTGATGGCAGGTATACCACAGAAGCCAACTTGTTTACAAACTTTTTCGGAATTCCCAAAATATGAGAAAACTACAGCTCCAGCTACTACAATTTCACATGCCAAAAGGTTGTTAGCACTGTTGTCAAAAGTGTAAATTATTGGACATACTGTGGCTAGACCCTGAAAAAAGGCACAGAATTAGTTGAACAACCTAATGATAATATTGGGTTGTTCAAATAATTCAGTGCCTCCTCTCAAAACAACTTCTAGGGGTTAGGGGCACAGAATTATTTGAACAACCTATTATTTTTTTAAATAAAAAAACATAATTTGCATAAACTATAATAACTCACAATAGGAACATAAACGTTGTCCGTGATGTAAGAAGACACAAAGTCAATTCCCCATGTACAAGGTGTACATAGCACACCAAGGCCTTCGATTTCAGGTAGTAGTGGTACTGTTTTGACAGCACTTTTCACTTCATCTTCAGTGTTGTTTACGATGGTGTTGGCGAGTTCTGAAGCCGAAGAAACTTCAGTCTCAACTCCAACTATTGAGCTCCATATATCACTGAAGAAGTCCTGAAAATTGAAACTTTAAAATTTAAATTTTTATGAAAATTGGATTTATTGGACAAAAAATGATTTTTTTAAAGAAAAGCAAAATTACAGTACCCACAAAATATAAAAAAGTTAAGTATTACAAGTAAAAATGGCACAAAATGCGTAGGCCACTTGAGATTCCAAGGACGTCTCCGATCCAAGTACTAATCAAGCGCACCGTTGCTTAACTTGCCAGATCGGACGGGATGGCGTGCGTTCAACGGGCTATGGGCGTACACATTTGGTTCATCTTCTTTTTCGAAGACTGAAGAGATTCTGATGTCTATTGAAACTACCTTTTCTATTGCTTCTTCTCTAACTGTAGCTTAATTTTACTATACAATGATATGTACACACATGTTAGACATAATATAAATGAAAATTAGAGAAAAAGAGATTGCGAAAAAGTGGGATGAAGATAACGTTTTTATTAAGAGGCAGTTAGAGAGAAAACAACTCCAAAAGTCTGCCGCTCTCATTCAAAAGGTAACCTTTCGTTTTAATTATCGCAAAAATAAAGTAGACTTCTTCGGTTTATTAACCCAAGTTTGAGGTTAGCTCATGTTTCGGCTCTGAACTTTCAGTGGCTGATCAAAGAAAAATTTTGGAACACTCTGCTTATTGTGGAGCATATATAGCTACTTTACTTAACATTCTACTGTAAAACATATAATCATAAAGTTAGAAAGAGATAGCGTTTATGAAATAATGAAAAAGTTTTTTCATCAATGTAAAACAAGACCTTCAGTACTAGGAAATATACTTATGTCTTTTAATATTATTATAATAACTATAGTTAACGGTAGTTTTTTGAATGAAAAATTTACTACTTACTACAATACCAGCATGAACACCATGACTAAAGATGGTCAAGTAAAGTAACAAAGACATTGTAATCGTTTTGAGAAGCATTTTTCTAACTTTTTACACAATTGTCGATTATACAAACAATAGATACGATATCTAATGATATTTGTCGACAATAATATTAAAATTGGGATAAATGGCTTTATATATAGACATACTGTTCTATAAATTATGTTATGTAGGTCTGTCTAGAAGGGGTAAGTCAATATCGATAGCTTTTGCATACCATTGGCCTTGTTATGTTTATCTGTGTTATGCTTTACTTTTTAGGTGGATAAGACGATTTTAAGAACATGAGCAGTTTGCACTGATTCTAGCAATGTAAGTGGGACAGGTCGGGTACTTTCCTTGTAAGTATTACCATTGTGAGAACGCCTCATAGAGGCAACTCTTGTTATATTAGGTTGTTCAAATAGTTCTGCGCCCTCTAACCCCAAAATTTGCTTTGAGAGGGGGCACAGAATTATTTGAACAATTGAAAGAAAACAAAAAATATCTTTTGTTGATTTTATTGCATTCAATTCGGATTGCTGGTTCTATGATAACATACGTTTATTAATTGTTGACTATACCAAAAAATTTTTATATGTAGTATTTTATACTTTAAATAAGTATTTTACACTAAAAATATATTTTTTTTACCCCTGCAAACTTCGGTCTATGTTTACAACAGCCTTAATTTAGACCTATTTATCAAATAAACACCCATCTACCTCATTGTTTATCCTAACATAACATAAACTTTTGCACTAATCTAGACTGGAACTGTTTTTCCTTCCCCAGATTTCGAAAACAGAAGGCCTTTATGTTATACGCGTGATTAGACTCGTCCATTTTTGCGAAAAAAGCGGAGAAAACCCACTTTCAGCTCGATTTTCCCTCCAAAAACATGGACTTTTGGAGCTTTGGTAAGTTGTTTAACACAGTAAATGATGTTAATTTTGTATATAAATAAGATCAATATTTTACACAGGTCCTACACAACGTATTTGATTAAGTAGAGCCGGCTAAATTTACCGTTTTGTTGTATTTTTGAGTAAAAACGCGAAAACAGTAAGTACAAGGTGGTGGTAATGTAATATCGTTTGTTTTTGATGTCGTACTATTGTGAAAATTGGAGTATTCGTACAAAAATATTTGGTGAACTTTATGTTATAGTGAAATTTCGCTTTAAATTCGTCGACTTTAGTTTTGAGCTATTTATTTTGGAGCATGGATAAGATAGATGTCTATGATAACATAATTTTGCTTTATTTGGCGTTTTTAAGTAAAGAAGGTACAAACTAGTATTCTAGTACTAGCAAAAGAAAACTAGCAAATCTTTTCTTTAATAATACCACCTTCAAAAAGCTAATCAACATTAATTTGGGCGCAATTTGCAAAACGCCTTCAGGCGCGCGCGAAAAATTCAAAACTTCTAAAAAATTTGTCGTAATTACTTTATTTCTAGATGGTTTTTCTTTTTTTCTAATGAATATTGTCAGTCAGTGCCTTGGCTACTGTGATATTATCCTCTTATTACTAACTTTTTAGTGGGAACGGCTTCTTCGGTCGCCACCGGGGTTATTAACCATAACCTTGGCCGACGGACTCCAGGCCGGATTAACTTCACCCGTGCGCCTTGTAACAGTTGCCTTCGGCGTCAACAAGAACATATTGACGAGTACATTGCCACTGTAAGTAGTTTTTTTTATTTGTTTTGTTTCTTTAGGTTCATGAGGAATATTCTGAGATTCATTAGATGTTATGGTGATATTGATGTATTTTGGCTGTAACTCGCTTTATTTTAATGAAAGTTGAGGTCTTTTTGACCTGGAATGTTAAATACTATATCTTCTACGTTTCTAAAAGTTTTCATTTATTTCAGGAAGCCGCCAGCATTCCACGAGCTCCATTGTGCGAAGATTGTCGTGCTCGAGCTAGTACAATGTTTACTCCTGGCCGATTGCAAACTGGGTGGATGTCTGGAGCTGATTTGTTGCCTCATCTTGAAGTTGGTGATCTTATTGAGTTTCACAGGATAGGACCGGTCACTTATTGTGTGAGTTTCTTGTTATTTTTGTGATTTTAGGTAACAACATAGGTTCTTTTTGCTTTTTACGGGTAATAGTGGATTTTTTTCTTATTTTTATATAGAAAACAGCTTTGAAATTGATTTTTAAAACTTTTCAAAGGTGATACAATTCTCTCACAACCTTTTTCAACAATTAAAATGCTTAATTGCAGCACTGGGCAGTGTATATTGGACTAGACGAAGATCAAGGTATCAAAGTTGTGTGCCATTTTGCGAACGAAGGAAGTGACATGGGCGATGGAAAAGGTGAACTGAAGGGGAAACTGTTCTCAGGAAGATCAGATGCACATGTTAGAGTAGATCCTTTCATTCAAGTTGCTGGCGACTCAATGGTAAGGATTAACAACATCATGGACAACGAGTTCGCCGCTTTCCCGCCAATGATTGTCAAGGACAGATGTGAACATAAGGTATGTTTTTGAATTGTTGTTGAGGATGTTAAATTTATTTTTGGGTTTGATGTTTAAAAATAAGGATTTTATGCTAAATAAGGTCAATATTACTATTATATTGCTCCTTTTTCAGCTCGGAAGCAGTGGCTACAACTTGATCTTCAACAACTGTGAGCAATTTGCAAAATGGGCTAGATATGGATGTGCAGACAGCGATCAGTCCAATAAATTTGTGTCTGTTGCTGTTGGTGGGGCAGCACTCTGTATGGGAGCATCTTTTGGAGGTGCCATAGCTGTGGGCGGCCTTTTCTACACGGGTATTCGAGCAGCCAGGACTGCTTTGCATAACATGGAGGATCGTAACATCATCTAGGTAGTAGGAGGTTGGTGTGGCAGCTAGAAGTTAGATAGCTTTAATGGTATCTGAAATGTTGGTTGATATGGATGCAATCTATCTCTCAGAAGGCTGGGATGTTATGTAGAAGCTGGATAACTTTAATATCATCTAAAAAGGGTGATATGGGTGTCATCTAGCTACTATTATGATTTTTGTTATTTATTCTGATATTTTTCACACGTTTTTTCAACTTTTCATCACAATATTTTTTTGTATATTAACATTGTTCACGTATGTAATGATAGCTGTAATGTAACTTACTGTACGTGTAATTCTTTTGTCTACGTTAAGGTATAACCTATTTTGTCTATATTACACTAGAATGGTCTGCTTTGTCCATATTGTACTAGAACGGTCTGTCTTGTCTATATTATACTAGAAAAGTCAGTAGATATTAATTCCGGTTGATTCTACGAACTCTTTGATCAAGCTAGTATAAAATTATTTTTTAGTCAGCCAAGCAAGTTATTTAGCTTTAAATTTACATTAATTTAAACTTGTGATTTTGCATTTTTTCAACTACGGCTTTGTACGGGTTACTGTAATGTATAAAATAAATTGTACTGTAACAATCGGACTGAAGTTTGATTTTGGACGTTATAATTAGCATATTATAAAAACTGAGTTTAATATTTTTGCAAACGTGATGTATTTATTTGCTTTTTTAGAATTTAAAAGCTGAACCTCCGCGATGTCTGTTTTCGTGGCGGGACTTAAAATCGGCGAAGACGGGGATGGCTAGCGGCAAGGCCGGCCATCTTTTGGCGGTTCTTTTCATTTTGGATTGTAAAATTGACTATTTTCTACTTTTTTAGTTCGATTTGTATGTGTTTTTATCGTTACAGTAATGGGTTACTACAAGGTGAAGGCCGGAACGGCCATGACAAAGGACCTGGTCAAAAAGTTGAATGTTGGTGATATTGTTGAGGTTATTTACAGAAAAGGTGCGCATGATAACAGTGTAAGTTTTTTTACGTTATTATACGTTTTTTTAAATTTATCTTTCTATATGACAAGTTTAACGGCAATCAGAGGGGGGGGGGCAGGTCGAGTACTTTCCTTGTAAACTATTTTAATTTCAGCATTATGGAATCTACGATGGAGTTTAAGAAGATGGGACCAGCCAACTTCACAAACAACACGTTGTCTACCATTTCGCTCGCATCGATGATAAGGGCGGTCTTGCCGACCTGTTTTGTGGTTCTGGCGATTACATTATCCGTATGGATAGTCTAGCTAATTTTAGAGGGTAAGGATTTTTTTCTTATTTTCAGAAAAGCGGGGGGGGAATTGAGTTTATTTTTTGTCTAATTGAGTCTAATTTTTCTCTAATGTATTATCTGTAGATCGTCAGAGAACAAGGTTACTGTTGTCAACAATGACCATGACAAGGACTGTGCACCACTGCCAAAGAACGGATTCTTCTTCGCTGCCGGCTGAATGTAAGTTTATCGTTTATGTAGTGTAGTTTTTAGAGTTTGGGAGGGCAAATATATTATAAATGGTCGTTTTACAGTTTTCTCAAATGTTTAGTTGCGTTACATAAGCTAGACCCCTGAGACCTTGGTTTGGGCCTCACGCTCACGTGTGCCAGGCCGGCTCTTTTCAACCTTGCTTTATTTCGGCTTGAGGCCGGGTCTAGTGGACCTCCTTTCAGGCCTAATGACGTCTATAAAAGCGACTTTTGCAGTATAATATCAAGTATGATCGAAATTTTACCCTATTTTTTGTTGACATAGAGGCTCTATGTCTATGATAGAGCTCGTTTGCCTGTCTCAATGAGTAAAAGGGGGGGAGGGGGAGGGAGGTTGTAAGGTTTTCTATGTTAATGAAGAGTGTATTTTAGAACGGTCAGACAATTCATCATCCTTTCAAGCGCAACTGTTGGCAATACGTACAGCATTGTCGGTATGGATGCGATTGCAAGTTGAATCCGGTAAGTATTCTTAATTTAATAAATTTTTTGTTTTAAAAAATATTTTTTCAAGGTAAAAATATTTGATAAATTTAAAAATTCCTGTATTTTTAATTACTTTTAATAATTCTTTCGTATTTCAGAACTTTTCGTACATGGGCTTCGACTACAAAGTTTTCAAGAAAAGCAGCGAAATTGTTTGTCATAACGTTGAGGTACCGAAATGGATTTCTGATTAAACTAATGGTCAACAAAGTTTTCATGCTATAACATAAGTTTTTGGTTGAAATCTTGTAGAATTGCCTTTTTATGGTTGTTTTGTCATTTAGTTCACTTATTATTCTCTTTCGATTGAATTAATTTCATTTTATACTTTTACTTTTTAGTAATATGATTTGATCATTATTGTAATATTATTGTTATTATGAATATGTTACTATACCTTCTTTTTGTAATAATAAACTTTGAATTCAACTACTACTTGTTTTTGACTCAAAACGAAACACTTGACTTGTGAGTCAGCTGTCCCTCGGAAAAATATTTTATTTTCTAAAAAATTTCGGTAAAAACTGGATTTTCAGAAGTTTTTACAAGTAAATGGGCTTGAATAATGTTAAAATTAGGTAGAATACAAAGCAGATGGTTTTTATGTTCAGTACGATGTTATTCTGCTGCTCAACCAAAAGAAATTCCGGCTGAAATTCAAGTAGATGGTGTTTCTTATCCAACAGACGACTGGTACAACTTGAATCGGCCTATTCACAGGCTTCTTGAGGTAAGATTTTGCTTAGTTTTTAATGTTTAGGTATTTTGAAGGTTTTGGAATTGATTTAAGGCTTTGTTTGTTTTTTTTTCATAAAGAAGTTATCTGCTATATTGAGGTAGACAATGAAAAGTTCGGATAAACCTAAAATCTGGAATTTCTTTGCAGAGAAAGCTTCTGGCTGATCCTCAGAATCCTTTATCATTGCTAAAACAAAGTATTGTTAATCATTTCCACACGAATCATCGACGAAACAATCAACGAACACCAATATTCGCGGTTTGTGATAACGAAAACCGTGCAGTTTCGACGTTTGACAACTTTGACAGCTTATTAGTACCAAAAGATCATGTTAGTAGAAGACCTGCTGATACGTATTATGTTAACAAGGATGTGTGTTTGAGAGCCCACACTTCTGCACATCAGTTTTCTTTGATTCGAAAGGGTTTAGACGCATTCTTGTGTGTTGGTGATGTATATAGAAGGGATGAAATCGACAGAACACATTATCCTTGCTTTCATCAGATGGAGGGTAGGTTTTTACTTGTTTTTTGATTTTTAGGGTAATATGAGTGATAAGGATGAAGGTGTAGCATTTGCAACCTTTTTTGGGATGTTGCAGTCGCTAAAACAGGTGAAATGAGCTGTTAAACCGTGTCGTAAAATTAAGGTCCTTTACTTTATCGTTGCAGGAGTCCGCTTATTCAATCAAGACGAGTTATTCGGCCGTCATATTCAACCAAACGCTCAGATTTTTGAGGAAAATGGTGAACAAACCCCAGAAAAACAGGCAATCCACTCCCGTGACACAGCATTAGCATTATCCATCCATCTAAAACAATCTCTAGAAGCCTTGTGTCGAGAACTGTTTGGGCCAGAAGCTGAAATGAGATGGGTTGATGCCTATTTTCCATTCACGCATCCGAGCTACGAGCTGGAGGTGTTCTTTAACGACAAATGGATTGAGGTATTGGGATGTGGAGTAATGCAACAGGAGCTGTTGAGGAATGCAGGAGCTGCGGATAAAGTTGGCTGGGCATTTGGACTGGGTTTAGAAAGGCTGGCTATGGTTTTGTATGGAATTCCAGATATTAGGCTATTTTGGACCACAGATTCCGGGTTTACACATCAATTTGCCAAGTTGAAGCCTGGAGACAGTGCGAAGTGAGTTTTTTGATTTACCAAGTGAAAAGTTACTAATGATGACATTTTTGTATTTTACTATAGAAAAATTTTTAAAAAAGTCAAAGTCGTCTTGCTTATCATTTACTTTACCCTTCCCACCAATACCAATCAAAAACAAAGCCCTTTTTGAGCTGTGTATGCATAGCGCAGTTGGTTCGCACCTCGCCTTTTCTTGAAAAGGTCGCGGGTTCGAATCTCACTTGGTCGGTGATGCTTAATTTCTGTTGTAATGAGTCCGCATTGTTAGTGGGGATAATTTCAATTATTGAGACTACTTTTTGAGTTTTTTAATGTTGTTTTAGGTAATTGTGTTTTACTTTTTTAGTTTCCAGGTAATTTTTCGACGAAAATTCGGTCAAAAAGTTAAGTTTTTGGAGGTTTTTAAGGATTTTTGGTATTTTTTAGTTTTTTGTGGGGTTTCACGAGCTGTAGCGTGTTTTAAAAGGTTTATAAGTAATGAGAGATTGTCATATTTAAAAAATTTTTTTAATTTTTAAAAATTTGTAAAAATTTAATTTTTAACTTCAAATTTTCAGGTACAAGCCCTTCAGCTCATTTCCCCAAGCTCACCGTGACATTTCCTTCTTCATGGCGCCAGGCGTCGAGTTCCATGACATGAGGTCGGACGCGTTTGACCTTATTCGTGATGTTGGTGGTGATCTGGTGGAACAAGTTGATCTGATCGATGAATTTGAAAACAAGAAAAAGGGGAAAAAGTCGCAGACGTACAGGATCGTTTACCGGTCGAATGATCGTATCATGACGAGGGAAGAGGTCAACGAACTTCATAAGCAGGTCGAAGATCGACTGGTCGATAATCACAAGGCTCAGATTCGATAGGAATGTTAATATGAACATATTGTTAAATTAGGTTAATATTGTTGTTTTTGAATAAAGTTTTTATGAAAATTGGGTATATAATTGACCTTTGATGTAGCAGTTAACTCTGTATCAATATATGTGTAGGACTGGATTGGGGACGATGAAATATGAGGGAAGGCGATAAAAGTCTAGCTGAAACTAATTTTTTTATTTTATGTTTGAACCATGCAGTTTGGAATGGTTTTGATGGCTAACGCCAAGAATGATTCATAATGAAAATTTTTGCTATGTTATATTTTGTAAAGTTTTTACCAATTCTGATTTTGTAAAGAAAGTTCTTACCATTTATTATTTTGTAAAGAAAGTTCGTGCTATTTTTTGTTTTGTAAAAAAAGTTTGGGGCCACAGTAGAGAAAACCCCCCATGGTATTTAAAACCCCCATACAAACTTTAAAACACCCATTTCATTTTTTGAAACAGATATCATTTTCAATTGTGAAAAAGAAAAAGTTGGTCGTTTCAAAATTCTAAGACCAATTTTTTGTACTTTAAAATTATGCAAAATGACCCACTAAGTATAATAACCCCCAAACTAAGTATATAGCACCCCCAACTGAGTATGTAACACCCCCAACGGAGTGTATAGCACCCCCAAAAGTATATAACACCCCCAACTGAGTATATAACACCCCCAACTAAGTATATAACACCCCCAACTGAGTATATAACACCCCCAACTAAGTATATAACACCCCCAACGGAGTATATAGCACCCCCAAAAGTATATAACACCCCCAACTGAGTATATAACACCCCCAACTAAGTATATAACACCCCCAACTGAGTATATAACACCCCCAACTAAGTATATAACACCCCCAACTGAGTATATAACACCCCCAACTAAGTATATAACACCCCCAACTGAGTATATAACACCCCCAACTAAGTATATAACACCCCCAACGGAGTATATAGCACCCCCAAAAGTATATAACACCCCCAACTGAGTATATAACACCCCCAACTAAGTATATAACACCCCCAACTGAGTATATAACACCCCCAACTAAGTATATAACACCCCCAACTGAGTATATAACACCCCCAACTAAGTATATAACACCCCCAACTGAGTATATAACACCCCCAACTAAGTATATAACACCCCCAACGGAGTATATAGCACCCCCAAAAGTATATAACACCCCCAACTGAGTATATAACACCCCCAACTAAGTATATAACACCCCCAACTGAGTATATAACACCCCCAACTAAGTATATAACACCCCCAACTAAGTATATAACACCCCCAACTGAGTATATAACACCCCCAACTAAGTATATAACACCCCCAACTGAGTATATAACACCCCCAACTAAGTATATAACACCCCCAACTAAGTATATAACACCCCCAACTGAGTATATAACACCCCCAACTAAGTATATAAAACCCCCAAATGCATGTAACTTAAATATTATATTTTGAAAATGTTACCAAGAGTTGTGGAGAACAAAAGAGTTGCCATGAAAAAGTCTTATAAGAGCACGAAATTGAAGATATGAGCGTAGGGTATCATCTTGATCAAGATACCATCGTATGTCACCAGTATAACCGTGAATAATAAGCGTGGTCCAATTAGACAGTCGTTTTCGACGAAAAGAAAATGAAGAATGAAAAGCAAAAAAAAAATAATTTTCCTTTTGTGAAATTCAAACTTTCATGCAAATTTCTCAGGTCTTGGGGGTCTTCTCTATATGAGAAATAGGGTGTTTTAAAGTAATGGTTTGGGAGCTTTCTCTACTGTAGCACCGAAAGTTTTTACCAATTCTTATTTTGTAAAGAAAGTTCTTGCCATTTCTCATTCTGTAAAGAAAGTTCTTGTCGTTTTTTGTTTTGTAAAGAAATTTCTTGCCGTTTTTTGTTATGTGAAGAAAGTTCTTGCCATTTTTAAAATTAAAAAAAGCGCACGCCAATTTGAATATCATCCCAACTTTCCAGCCTTAATTACATTGACTCCAAGGGTTTTAGCTTACGTTTACTTTAATATTACTGTAAATTTACATTAATCTTTTAAATTACACTAATATTAACTTCAAAACCATTTCAGTTTACACGCCTTATTCGCCGTCAAAAGTTCTCGGAAAATGCACGGAACGCCGCAACTCTAAGGGTCCGAGGTGCCAGCTGTTGGCCAGGGGTCGGGGCAAGGTCGAATATTCAAAAGACCCCTCTCCTCTCCGCTTTTTCTACCGAAACGCGCCAAACTCGAAGCGAACGTGATTTCTGTGGCCAATTCTTGCGACTATTTACGAAAAAGGGGGTGGTTTTCGAATTGGAATCGTAATATTTGGAGGAGGCGTGGTATTTTACGGGAGAAGAGTAATATACGAAGCTAGAGGAGGAATTAGCATAGAGCTTGGAGACGAAAAAAGTGGCAAAAGGCACTGGTCAAAGAGAAGAGTTGGGAAAAAGAAGGTGAAAGATTACGGCCAAAAGGTTATCTCATTCTTTGGCTGACTGAGCTCCAATTTGTTTATGTAAAGGTAGGTCTTTTTGGATTTGGAATGGCTTTTTAAAGTTTTATTTGTCTGGAAAGTCAAAATTTTATTTTTAGTAACTAAAAAAGGTCGAATGTAGAGTGAAAGAGCATAAAAGTAACCGGGAAAATCATTTTAAAAAACTGCTAGATGATCTTGGCTAGCGAGTTACAAAGCTCAATATTTTTTCAATATGGCTAAAGGCAAAAAATACGACTTAAAAGAGGTTTTTTAATCAAAATGGCTAGCCAAAACGTCTTTTGGCTGCAGGGAAGACGCTACGGGTTTTCTCTGGTGGAGACCCAAAAAAATTTTTTTTTTCGTTTTTTCACGTACAGGTACCTAGCGGAGAAAAAATAAATTTTTTATAAAGATGTATGCTATTCTGTACCTTCATAACACAAAATCGACCAAATTTGAAGCTTTTGAAGGTAAAAGCTGACAAATTTTGCGTCTCCGCCGAACTCGACCAAAACTGTAAAATTCCAAAAATGGCCCACTATTGGGTACCATATAAAAAAAGAATCAGCTTTTTAGTACTCCTAGTTTTTGAGTACGAAGCTTTTACTTTCCTTCAAATTTCTCTAATGACCCTGTATTATGATAGCTTCTCATCTTACAGGTATGCTCTAAATCGTTATTATAGTAAGATGGTAAGGTAAAATACGCATTTTGCACCTGTTCTCTGTAAACTCTAACATAAACTCGAATATATTATAACTAAAAATGACATTTTATAACCAACAAAACCCTGAGAAACTTCTAGAAATTCATAGAAATACAAGAGATTTGACTCGAAATGAAAACTGCGTGATCTTTTACTACAAAACCCTCTCTAAACTGACATTAAAATACGCGGCGATCGACCTTTAGAAGATACCTCTAACGCTACTTCAAGTACAATATTTTAAGGGTTTCAAGTGGGACAGGTAACGGAGAGGGTTGTTTTGAAGTATTAGAGGGTTAATAAGGGATTAATAGGTATAGTTGAGTAACAGTTATTATGAGTTGGTAACTGCATCTTATAGTTTCTTGTGTTCTGGATGTTATACTTGATATTAAGCTTGTGTTATACGTAATCTAAAGCTTGTGAGACTATATGTAATAGGCAAATAGTAATTATGAAAATGAAAACGGTAACAACTTTTTTGAAATTTAAGTTTTTGATGTCATTTTTAATCATACGTTACCCCTACCCCTACCCCTACCCCTACCCCTACCCCTACCCCTACCCCTACCCCTACCCCTACCCCTACCCCTACCCCTACCCCCTACCCCTACCCCTACCCCCTACCCCTACCCCTACCCCTACCCCCTACCCCTACCCCTACCCCTACCCCTACCCCTACCCCTACCCCTACCCCTACCCCCTACCCCTACCCCCTACCCCTACCCCTACCCCTACCCCTACCCCTACCCCTACCCCTACCCCTACCCCTACCCCTACCCCCCTACCCCTACCCCCTACCCCCTACCCCTACCCCTACCCCCTACCCCTACCCCTACCCCTACCCCTACCCCTACCCCTACCCCCTACCCCTACCCCTACCCCTACCCCTACCCCTACCCCCTACTCCTACCCCTACTCCTACCCCTACCCCTACCCCTACCCCTACTCCTACCCCTACCCCTACCCCTACCCCCTACCCCTACCCCTACCCCTACCCCTACCCCTACCCCTACTCCTACCCCTACTCCTACCCCTACCCCTTCCCCTACCCCTAACCCTTCAAATTTTGTATCAAATTTTTAAAATTTTTAATGTTGGCTACTTCAGTCCAAAACCGACCAAGAAATGAATCTCCATCGTCTAGTAGCATTGGCTACATTCATAGCACTGTCTTTGGCCATAAACACTAAAAAGGATTTAAAAGTGCATTTGGTTACTGTAGCTACAGAGAATACAGACGGACTGAAGAGGTTGAAGGCTTCAGCTGAACATTATGGATACCAGCTGAACGTTCTTGGCATGGGACAGAAATGGAACGGTGGCGACATGCAGACTGCTGTGAGTTTTTTTTGGTTTTGAAAAAAGGGACAAAAAGTTGCAAGAACTTTCTTTACAAAACATAAAATGTCAAGAACTTTTTTTACAGAATGAAAATGGTAATAATTTTGTTTACAAAGCGTAAAATTGCAAGAACTTTATTTACAAAACAAAAACTGGCAAGAACTTTCTTTACAAAGCTTAAAACGGCAAGAACTTTCTTTACAAAGCTTAAAACGGCAAGAACTTTCTTTACAAAACAATAAATGGCAAGAACTTTGTTTACAGAATAAGAAATGGCAAGAACTTTCTTTACAAGGCTGAAAATGGCAAGAACTTTGTTTACAACTAAAACTTATATTTTTTTCAATTTTTTTTAAAATTTTAAATTTTCGAATTAGAAAAAATATTTTCAGGGTGGCGGCCAAAAGATCCGCCTTTTCCGTGAAGGAATCAAGCATTTGTCAGAAGATGAATCTACCTTAATCCTCTTTGTCGATGCCTACGACGTTGTCATAAACGGTGACATCCCAAAAATTATTGACCGCTTCACTTGGGAATTCCCAGAGAATCGTATTTTATTCGGAGCCGAGCCCTTCTGTTGGCCTGATCAAGAATTATTCAACAAATACTCTCAGGTCAAGTTTGGCGACCGATTCTTGAACTCGGGTTTGATTCTTGGATTCGCTCCAGAAATGACACAAATGTTGGATAGGCTGAAGGACATTAAGGATGAGGATGACGATCAGCTAGCTTATACTAATCTGTATTTGGATCCAAAGGTTCGAAAGGAATTGAAGATTGGACTGGACTCGTTGGCTAGGATCTTCATCAATTTGAATGGACAAGCTAAGAATGTAAAGATGGAAATGGGCAACAATGGAAAACCTGAGGTAAGGACGGGAGGGGGTGGGAAGGTTTGAAAGGGCAGGGTGGATAATGTAAAGTTGGAAAATAAAAAGTTGAAGATACTAAAACGCAGTATATATCATAGACAAGGTAAAGACGGGCCGGACTTGAACAAAATAAAAAACGGGCAAGGTTTGAGTTGTAAAATAAGGTATGTTGAGATAAGACAAAGATTAAAAAAAGTAAGGTAAGACGAAATAAAAATGTTGTAAAATTACCCTACAGTAAGGTTACCGTAGAGTAAGTTTATAAAGTTATTGTATAGGAAGGAAAGTAAAGTAAAGTAAAATACAGAGTAGGGCTAGGAAAGACCTAATAGAGCTGTAAATACATGCCACGGTAAGGCTTTGGTAGTTTTAGTAGAATAATCATAAGGTTATGGCAAGGTGGAGTAGGCTAGAACAGGAAAATGTCATGGCTCTGATAGGAGAACAAGGTTTCCGTAGGCCTACTGTGCGATAAATCTTAGAGTAGAGTAGGGTAGGGTAGGACAGGGCAGGGCAGGGCAGGGCAGGGCAGGGCAGGGTAAGGTAACGAAGGGTTGGGTATGGCAAAGTTTTTAAAAAGTTTTTTTGAAATCTTTATTAAATGATAGTAAATTGTACCTTTTACAGATCTACAACCACGTCTACAACACCCACCCTCTAATCATTCACGGCAACGGTCCTTCCAAAGTTCTCCTAAATCAATATGCCAACTACATTGGAGGCAAACAAAACCTTCTAGCCGGCTGCCTTGATTGTCCTGAACGAAAGTCAATTTCAGGAGCATTACCATCAGTAGCCTTGGCTATCTTCATAGCCAAACCAATACCATACATAGAGGAATTTTTGGAAAAAATCGAAAAATTGGAATATGACAAAAGCAAGATCGACTTGTTCTTGTATAACAATCAACAATATAACTATGAGGAGGTCAAAAAGTTTGTGGAAAAGTATGAAAATGAGTTTAAGAGTAGTAAGGTGATGAATTTGGAAGAGGTGGATGAGCGAACGGCCAGGAATTTGGGAATGTGAGTGAAAATTTCATTTTTTTTTAATTTTAAGTTACAGTAATCGACGATGATTATTATTTTGTGCCGTTTTAGTGAATGGGCAATTAAAACCGGCTCGGACTATTACTTGTCCATTGATGGAGACGCTCATGTAACTCACCCAAATGCGGTTACAAGACTGGTAGAAAGAGCTATCACTAGTGATACGTAAGTTTTCATACTACTTAGCTTGTCTTAACCTATCATACCTACCTACCTTATTCGTAAGCTAGCCTATTTTAGTCTGCACTACGTCATCTCATATAACACTATTTTATTTTGCTTTGTCGTATTCTGACATACTCTGCCTTATCTTGCCCTATTTGGCCTTGCCTTGCCTGGCCTGCTCTGCTTGGCCTTTCCTTGCCTTGCCTTGCCGTGCCTTGCCTTTCGCTGTCTTGCCTTGCTCAATTCTGTCTGGACAAGCCTTGCTTTGCTTTGCTCTGCCTTGCTCTGTTCTGCCTTTTCCTGCCCTACGTTATCCTTAAATATCTTTGCTTTAAAATTATTCTTCTCTATCTCCTATACCTTATCTATTCTACCCTAGTCTACCTTACCCTATCTTATTTTACCCTACTTTACTTTACCTTATCTTATACTATGTTACCCTACACTACATTAACTTAACTTGTTTTACCTTACTGTACTTTACTTTAACTTACTTTACTTTTATCTGCTTTGCACTGGCATGTTATAACAAAACTTTGGCTTGTGTTTTAATCTTTTTTAGTACCATGTAATCTTGTCATGTTCTTACTTTTGTATCCCTGGCTATTTTGTAGCGCTATATTTCTTTTCTCTTCCTTAGGCAATGATAATATAAGATAATTTTTTTTACTTTTTAGAGCCATAACCATTCCAATGTTGTACCAAAAAGGTCGCTTGTTCAGCAACTTCTGGGGCGCAGTAGCACCAAATGGCTTCTATGCTCGTTCTGAAGACTATGTAGATATAGTTGAGAAGAAGCGGAACGGTTTGTTTAACGTTCCGTTTGCAAATGGCGTGCTTTTGATTCAAAAGGAACGATTGGACAAGTTGAAGAACAGCTACGACTTCAACATGGAATTGGACGCTGATATGAGCTTTGCTGCTTTCTGTAGGCATCATGTGAGTTAGAGTAGGGTACAGTATACATTTTAGATTTTTTTTGAAATTTTGAAATGAATTTAAAATTTTTTAAATGAAAAATCGCTTTTGGTTGTAAAATACGCCATTGATCATTGATTGGTTTTAGGGTCACTTCTTGATGGTCGATAATCAAGACGAGCTTGGATTCTTGGTTTACTCCGACTTCTTTGATCAACTGACTCCGGAAACGATTCATAAGGAAGTTTACGACTTTCCTAATAATAAGGAGGTAAGGCTTTTAATTCGTATATTGCTCTATCTTGCCATACCATTCCTACTCTAACTTATTATACTCTTCCCTATCCTGCCCTACTCTACCCTACCCTACCCTACTCTTTCTACCCTACCCTACCTTTCCCTACCCTACCCTACTCTACTCTACCTTAATTTGTTTTACCTTAATCTGCTTTACTCTATATTACTCTATCCTATCTTAACTTACCCTGCCCTACCTTACGTTTCTCTACCCCACTCTAGCCCTACTTTAGCTATTTGATTGCCTGATCGTTACATTGTCACTTTTGTCGTATTTATCTTTTTTTTCTTTTAACTTCCCAAGTTTCACCACTACCGTATTTAATCTTACCCTACCCTAATCTACCCTACTTTACCCTACCCTACTTTACCCTACTTTTCTCTACCCTACCCTACCCTACTTTATCCTACTTTTCTCTATCCTACCCTACACTACCCTACCCTCTATTATATCCTACTGTACCTTACCATGTCTTTTCTTTCTTACTTTACCCAACCTGAACCTACTTTATCCTACTCGAACTTACTTTACTTTATCATAGCTTACTCTTTTTTACTCTACCTTACGTTACCTAATATTATCCTACCGTATTCTGATCTACTTCACTTTACTTTGCGTTAACATACTCCACCTTACTCTACTCTAAATTAGCCTTATTTACTCTATCTTACCTTACTTTGCTTTACTATAAGATTTTTTCGATCTCCTTCTTCCCCCTCTTAGAGAAAAACCGTAGCGACGCCTCTGAGCCTACGATTTCTCTCTCTCTACTTTATTCTACTTTTCTTTACCTTGTCTTAAATTTCTCTAGTTTATTTTGCTTTACCATACTTTACACACTCTACTCTGCTATATTCTATCCCTTTACGCTATCATCTTTCTCTACTTTTCTAAACTTACTATAACATGTTCAACTTGTTGTAAGCAGGTGAAACGTTAGATTTATTATAACTTTTTGTATCATAACTAACTTTCTCTCAGCTCTGGGAATCCCGCTACCTCCACCCAGACTACTACAACGTCTTAGCTCCAGGCGCTGCCGTCTCTCAACCTTGTCCAGATGTCTTCGACTTTCCATTTATTTCGGAAAGAATGGCACAAGAAATGATTAACATAATGAATAACTACGGTAAATGGTCGTCAGGAAAGAATGAAGATGAAAGGTTGGCAGGTGGATACGAGAATGTACCTACAAGAGATATTCACATGCGACAAGTTGGTCTACACCATCAGTGGCTAGCCGTTCTGGACAGTTATGCCGCTCCAATGCAGGAGAAGGTGTTCGAGGGGTATTATAATAGGGTAAGGGTGGGTAGGGGGAGAATAAGGGAGGGTAGGGTAATACCTTGTTTTAGGGGGGGGGGTTTGTTTTAGGGGTCAAAAGGGGCATGATACTGTAAATTTTTTTGATATTTTTTTTATTTTACGTTTTAAAAAATTTTAAAATTTCGAAAAAATTTTTAAAAATTTTAGCCAATCCAATCCGAAATGATGTTCGTAGTCCGCTACAAACCGGAAGAACAAAGCTTCTTGAGGCCTCATAACGACGCCTCCACCTATTCAATCGACATCGCTCTAAACAAAAAAGGTCGCGACTTTGAAGGTGGTGGTGTCAGATATGTCAGGTATAACTGCACGGTTCCTGCTGATGAAGTTGGTAAGTAAAAGTTTTGTTTTCCAATGTAAAAAGGGGGTTTAAAAGGACTTTTTAATGTAAAAAATAGGGTTTAAAATGATTTTTATGGCTTTGCACGGTGCAAAAATAATTTTTGGGGTTTTGCACAGTGCAAAAAAATAAATTGTTATCAAGCTGTTATTTTTCAATGAATTTTCATAAAATTTTAAATTTGGGGTTTTGGCAATGATAACTTTCTAATTGGCAAAAAAATCTTGTTTTATTAGTTGGAGCGATACGGAAACTTTAAATTTATGTTTTGCACTGTGCAAAAAATTAAATTTGTTAATACATTGCCATTTTTGATGAAGTTTGATAAAAATTTTAAATTTATGATGCTTACAAGGATAACTTTGCATTTGTTAAACATTTTTTACTTTGTTTCGTGACAATTTACCAATAGTGTTAATTTTGGTTTGCACGGTGCAAAAAGTAAAAATTGTTGTCACATTGCCATTTTTTGATGAATTTTGGAAAAGATGAACGTTTTGGACACTCAAAGAGCTAGATTTACATTTTCGATAAAAAAAGTAGTGTACTTGTTTATTTGCATTGTAAAAAACATGTTTAATATTTTGCACGGTGCAAAAAGCCAAAATTGTTTGCACAGTGCAGATTTTTCGTGAATTTTTCAAAAGTTGGGTTCACACTTTTTATTAGTCGTATTTTAACAAAAGAAAGCAAAGAATTAGCTTTTACTTGTAAACAACTCAAAGATAAAAAATTTATTTTCAGGACATTCCATGTTGTTCCCAGGCCGTTTGACTCATCTACATGAAGGTCTGCCTACAACAAAGGGAACTAGGTACATCTTGGTGTCTTTTTTGAACCCATAAGGCAATGGCAATTGTAATTTATAAGTTCAACTTTATATTTATTGTAGTATGGTCTTTTTAACCTTTAAACATTAAGTAGTAACTTGTTTTTTAACCATAGTACTTATTACAAGATGGTTATTAATGTTTTATATCAAAATAACTAGTTTTTTACTGTAATACCTTGAGTAACTTATTGGTTTATTATATAATAACAAGCTTACTTTACAGCAGTATTATATACTCGCAGTGAAGCTTAAATTGTAGGTCTTAAAACTATGTTTTTAATAATATTATACTTAATTTATACTGGTTAAAATCAGAAAAAGTGCTTTAACGTTCTCAATCTCTAAGATATCTTGCCATTTTACGTTCAAATCTCAATAAATTATGTAGTAAAACATGATTTTTTTATGTGTTGGGCTGTTCAAATAATTCTAGGCTCCCTTTAAGATTATTCAAATAATTCTGTGCTCCTTCTTAAAACAAATTTTCTAGATTAGGAGCACATAATTAATTGAACCAGCTAATTTTAATGTAAATGGCTACATTAACATAAATAAAATCAATGTTTTTGTTATGGTAAACGTAGTATACGACAAAATACGATTACAATACGATCAAAGCTTTATTTGAGAAGCCAATATGATGTATATAACCTGGTATTTATATAGTAAAAGATAAAAACTAGGGGGAAGATACTAAAAATGTTAAGCCTGATACTTATACTGGTGTGAACATAAGTATACGTACAGGATGTATGTTTATATTACTAGTATAGTATTATAAGATAGAAAGTTATGATATACTACCTGATCTGTATTGCATTTTTAAATACATACTATAACGTAAAGTAGATATATTTTGTTAGTTTATGTTATTAATAGTACTAATAAGGTACTACAGTTGGTGCGAATAATACTATTAGATTGTTCAAATAATTACGTGCCCTTAACCTCGAAAATTTGCTTTTACAAGAGAGGGGGGGGACACAATTATTTCAACAACCTAATAATGTGGTGCTTTAAATTATTGTGATATATATGTTATTATAGTACTGTTAGAGTACTATAACAATATTCCATAATATCATATGCTAAGTAAAAGTATAAAAAGATAGTGGACTAACAGTATGTACAATTATGTTAAACTTTCTGCTGCTTTTTAACTTCAGCTTGATCAATCACACTGATATTGATCTTGTGACTGTTCTTGAAGAGACAGAAATGCTGTACCATGAAGAGCACGTCAAAGGCTACCGATGCTACGCCGAGACCACATTTTACCGCGTTACCCATGAAGATACTCCAGTCATCTGGAAGAGATAGTATAGTACGATACTATTACCTACCCTACTTTACCTTACCCTACCCTACTTTACCCTACCCTACCCTACTTTACCCTACCCTACTTTACCTACCCTACCTTACCCTACCCTACTTTATCCTACAATACCTTACCCCACCCTACCCTACCCTACCCTACCCTACCCAACTCTACCCTACCCTACCCTACCCTACCCTACCGTACTCTGTCCTCCTACTGTATTTTATCCTGCTCTACCTTACCCTATACTAAGTACTTACCACTATTACTAGCCTGTAGTATCATCTGCAGAATAGTCAAAATCCCTCCACTAAAGTCCAGTAGTATAGTGCCAATCGACCACCCTACAGTACTTCTTCGTTGGAAGTTGTACAAGGCTGGTGGAATGTATTTACTACAGGTTACTGCCAGCTTGATATACGATAGTGCTGTAATGAATTGAAGCCAATTGAAGACGCCAAACACTTGTAATACTAAAGAACCTGAAGCTACAACAGCGAATACTGAACACCACGCCCAACATACGTAGGAGATGCGTTGGTTGCCTCGCTGAAAATAGGGTATGGCTAGGAATAATAGTTTTTAAACAGTATGGTATCTTGATTGGGTTATAAAGTATGAAGGCGGGGTAGATACTGTAGTACAGTACGGTCGCATAAGACCTAGGTACAAAATGAAGTTAGGGTAGGGCAGAGTAGGGTAGAGCAAGCTAGGATAGGGCAAAGATAAGGTAGGAGAATATAGGGTTGGGCAGCTTGAGGTACGGTAGTGCATGATAAAGTAAAGAGGGTTCAAGAATGCAAAAAGGTTACGGTAGACTAGGAATCGAATTTGTGTGATAGAGCAGGCTTAAGGCTACACTAGGCGTGCAATAAAATTAAAGTAATACTGTAGAAGGGTACTGTAACGAAATAACGAACAGAGTATACTTAAGGCCACTCTAGGATTAAAGTAGACTGAACACAGTAGGACAGGGTACGGTAGGGTACAGTAAAGAATGGCTTAGAAAGGGTACGGTAAGATAGGGTAGAGTAGTGTAGGGTAAGGTAGGGTAGGGTAGGTTAGGGTACGGTAGGGTGCAGTACGATAATGTTGAGTAAAATAACTTAACTTACAGTATAAAAAAAGCACTGTACCCCAGTAATACCAGTAATAAAGAAGGCATGTACAGCAAACACAACATCATTCATGAGTACTGGGATAGCACCACGTTCATGCTTTTCAATATACAGCTCCTGAACATACGGAACGAAGTAAAGAGCACAATTGTAAACCGAGTAACAGAAGAAGCCGATCACATTCAGAAGACCGTAGTCAAAGTTGAAGCCGACCACAGATTTTCTTTGGAAATTTAAAATTGCCTGAGGGTAGAATGACAAACTCCAAGCGATGAAGTAGGTCCAGCCGGTGATTTCGATCAATATCTTGTAGATATCGCTGTGGATCACGGTTACTGTAACGTAGATGGAGTCGGTACTGAAAAATTGAAATTTAAAAAAAAATTTATTTTTCAAATTTCAAAATTAAAAGAAATTGAAAATTTTAAGCATAAAGGCACAGAATTATTTGAACACTTTTTTTAGGGGCACAGAATTTTTTCAACGAGTTTTTGAGGGGAGCACAGAATTATGTGACAATATTTTGGGGGGGGCAAAATTACTTGAAAAACCTTTTGAAAGGGGCACGGAATTTTTTTTAACGACTTTTGTGGGGGCACATAATTATTTGAAAAACCTTTTCGAGGGAGCACAGAATTATTTGAATAACTTTTTGAGAAGGCACAGAATTATTTGAATAACTTTTTGAGAAGGCACTGAATTATTTGAAGAACATTTTAGGGGCACAGATTTATTTGAAGCACCTAATGTTAAAAAAAAAGTTACTGTAAAACTATTATAAAAAAGTAGACATGAGGATCGGGCCAGGCCTCAAAATTGAGCCCGTTCCTAGTCTATGAAAAAAAGTTTCTGTAATGATATAAACCCACCTAAAATTGCACTGTTGCGTTCTCTCAGCTTCAACATAGCAATCCTCAACATCCACAAACTCTCGACTTGTCACTGATAGTCCAGTCACATTGACAGTAACAGATGGTTTTTCTTCGGAAAATTCGAGAACGTTGTTTGAAAATGAAAAGTACTTTGTCTTTCGAAGGTACAGCTTCAATGACGTTTGGTTGGGGTTGCTGAAACACGGTTTTTTAAAATTTGAAAGAATGTACAACTGGGTTTTAAAATTTTTTAAAATTTTTATTGTCAAAAGCAGAAAGATCGTATTTTACAAAAATTTTAAAGCGTGCTAACTCCCGATATAACGAATCGCAAGGGGATTGAAAAATCGTTCGCTGGGGGATTTCGTTATATCCGGCGTTCTTTAAGCTTGAAAAAGTATAGGGTTGGCTAGGTAAGTCTAGAACAAAGATAATTTTGGGCTAGTACGACTAGAAAAAGCTAAAAATTGTTTTAGTGGAGCAGGTAATTTACAGGTAGCGCATAAACAAGGCAAGGGCATGGGTAAAGAAACGGTAGGAATAAATATAAAACTAAGACAAGGACGGCGAAGTCAGTTTTAAGGCTATCTTTAGGTCTGCAGTCAAAACCAGGGCCAGCTGGGCCAAGGGCAAAGCCAAAGAAAGAGAATAGGCTAGGGCTCTGAGCCAAGGCTCTGGGCTAGGGTTTTGGGCTAGAGCTCTGGGCTAGAGCTCCGGGTTAGGGCTCTGGGCTAGGGCTCTGGGCTAGGGCTCTGGGCTAGGGCTCTGGGCTAGGGCTCTGGGCTAGGGCTTTGGGCTAGGGCTCTGGGCTAGAGCTCCGGGTTAGGGCTCTGGACTAGGGCTCGGGGCTAGGGCTAGAACTTACGCATTAGTAAACTCGATTGATTTCGTCTCTCCAAGGACGATTTCTAACTCATTTGGCGATGTTAAAACTTGGCTGTCATGAGCTCGGCCTGAGGTTGCGTTCGGAACTTGAGTAGATAGTAAAAGCAATAGTAATGTTGACGTTATTTTTAAATACATTTGGCTTCTGAAATTTCCATATTATTTCAAAAAATTTTTTAAAATTTAAAATTATTATTAAGTTGTTCAAATAATTCTGTGCCCTTACTTTTCAGAGCTTTAAAAACAGTTTTTTAGGGTTAGGAGGCACAGAATTATTTGAACCACTTCATAGCTTGACATGTTTTCGCGACACAGTATCGTGCTACGATATGATGTTATAACAGTAGTACTACATACAATAGTAAAAACCTTCAGCTTGCTGAATTACAGTACCTTACAATTACGAAACAAAAATTTTTTTTTTTGAAAAAACGAGTATTCAAAATTGTTAATTACAGTTGAAACAAATGACAAAGTATCCACATTTTCTATTGGCCTTATCAGCTGTAACCGGAACTGCTGTCGGTCATTGTGTAGAATAGGTATTATAGTAAAAAAACTACTCGAACCGGACGTACGGAAAAAGAATTGTCATTATAATTAAAAAACGTTATCAAGAAGATTAGAATGTTTTTAGATTCAAATAGTGTTCAGTTTTTTCTTGACCTTTTAAACTTTCAGCAACAAACCCAAAACTATTTTTATATGTATGATACCACATTATAATGATGCGCTAGGGTAAAGTAGAGCTCAAGGAAGACCATGTTAGAGTTAACCTATTCTAGCCCAGATCCTTGACCCAAAGCCATGCCTTAGCTTTGGCCTTAGCCTTAGCCCAGAGCCCTAGCCGAGAGCCCTAGCCCAGAGCGTTAGCCCAAAGCCCTAGCCCAGAGCCCTAGCCGAAAGCCCTAGCCCAGAGCGTTAGCCCACAGCCCTAGCCCAGAGCCCACAGCCCTAGCCCAGGTTTAATGAAAGGATGAGACTAAGTTATAGTAGAGTACAGCTAAGCTACAGTATGATAAGGAAGATCTATTGCAAAGCTAATTTGAAACAGAACTTGGGCAAGATACGGGTAGAGCAAGAATAAATTACCTGTAAGTTTAAGATAATACTTGATTGTATTATAGCTGGAGTAAAGAAAAATAAGGCAACGCTATTATAAGGTTATGACAAGAAGTTTTGTGTACGGCTAGGGTAAAATACGTCCTGGTTACGTATAGTTAAAGGTAATCAACGTGTGTGATACATATGTTACTAAAACTTCTTTATTTGTCTAAATACAGTCAAGCCTTTGTTTAAAGACCTTCCATATGTTTAGAAACACATTACTGTACTTTTTCAAATAAATCTTTATAAAATTTTTAAAAATTTTAAAAAAAAATTTTAACAAACTAACCGCAAAAGTTCAATCTTTTTGAAAAAAATTGAAGTAAACATTTGTTAAGACAATTGAATTCCTTCTGAATTATATTAACTTTTACTGATAACGACTCTCAGAACAATAACCTTTGAACAAAGCACATGATCTTTGTTGATAAAAAATTAAAGTTTGTAGTTTCTTATCAAAATTCTTGAGATAACATTAGTAGTTCTGAAGGTGGTACTGAGTAGTACGAGGAGAACTTTAAAGGAGGTACTGAATGATGCTATTAAGTATATAATTACTGTAGTAAACATAGATGATCAGACCTCTTGTATTAACACTAGTACTTTTAAAGTTGGTACTAAGCAGTACGAGTAAAATTTTTAAAGTGGTGCTGTGATGTACGAGCGATTTTTGAAAGTGGTACTAAATAGTACGAGTAAAAATTAAAAAGTGGTACAAGATAATACAAGAAAAACTTTTTAAGTGATACTATTTAGTACCATAAAACATACTATAGTAAACATACTTACTATACTATAAAAAGATTTCCGTAGTAAAAAATTTAACAACTAAGGCTAAGGATTGACTTTAAATATAATGTAAATAGTACTTTCTGCCACTGACTAACTGCACATACGTACATTAAGACCAACTAAAGAACAGAGACATTTACAAAGTTTTAGTAATTGATTCATAAGACTCAGGAAAGTCTAAAGAACACTTCAGAATTACTGACAATGTTTCTGTTTGCATAGTAATCAGCTAGGAATTTAATTAATTTTTCATTTTTTTTTGAGTTGCAGAAAAAAGTTACAGTAATCCTTTATAAGTGCCAGTACCGTTTACTCATATGAGTTTTATATTCTATCTCTGCTTCTCTAACCCTACCCTACCCTACCCTACCCTACCCTACCCTACCCTACCCTACCCTACCCTACCCTACCCTACCCTACCCTACCCCTACCCTACCCTACCCTACCCTACCCTACCCTACCCTACCCTACCCTACCCTACCCTACCCTACCCTACCCTACCCTATCCTACCCTACCCTACCCTACCTTACCCTACCCTACCCTACCCTACCCTACCTTACCCTACCCAACCCTACCCAACCCTACCCTACCCTACCCTACCCTACCCTACCCTACCCTACCCTACCCTACCCTACCCTACCCTACCCTACCTTACCCTACCCTACCCTACCCTATCTTTGCCTTGCCTTGCCTTGCCTTGCCTTGCTTTGCCTTGCCTTGCCTTGCCTTGCCTTGCCTTTCCTTGCCTTGCCTTGCCTTGCCTTGCCTTGCCTTGCCTTGCCTTGCCTTGCCTTGCCTTGCTTTGCCTTGCTTTGCTGCTTTACCCTATCCTACCATGCCTTCTTCTACCTTACCCTATTCTACTCTACCCTATCTCGCTCTACTAAAAAAACTATTTTTGAACTTTTACCTCCCCCCCCCCTGCCCTCAACTCTAAAATTTTCAACAAAGTTTTAAAATGTAAAACCCGTCCTCTAACCAAAAACTGCTTCTAAACCTTAATTTTTGATCTACAAACCCATACCTTTATATACTATACTCCCACTGAAAATAAACAAATTTTATTAAAATTAAACCCATCTACAAACAAAAATCAAAAAGTATTTGATAATCGTTTTAAATTTTCAAAATTTGAAACTTTGAAACCAAAGCTTATGTCAACGTAAAAAGACTAAAAAAGCAAACAAATAAGCCATGCTTACAAAAAAAACAACAGTTCAAGTTCTTCTCTGAAAAAAAAACAAAAACAGTCATAAATTCCGACAAAACTACTTGAACTTCGCTAAATAAGACGCATTGAACTTGTAATACGTGTTAGTTTTTGAACTCTTTATAGTTATGTTTTGACCACTAGTCCAGAGCTCTAGCCCAGAGCCCTAGCCCAGAGCCCTAGCCCAGAGCCCTAGCTCAGAGCCCTAGCCCAGAGCCCTAACCCAGAGCCCTAGCCCAAAGCCCTAGCCCAGAGCCCTAGCCCAGAGCCCTAGCCCAGAGTCTGGGTCCAAAGCCCTAGCTCAGAGTCTAATCTCAAAGCCGTAGCTTAGAGTCCTAGCCCAGAGCCCTATCCCAGGGCAGCTCAGATTTCATCTCTACCCTCACTTCTTCCGCTCTACCCCTCAATTTCTCACCCCTACCCTTATTTTCCACCCCTACCCTCACATCCGACCTCTACCCTCACCCCCCCCATTCCTACCTTCAATTCCCACATTTTCTAAAGTCCAGGCGCGGGCCTCAAGGTTTAGGCTCGGCTCGTTTTTATTTTAACCTTCGGCTGGCTTGGCCTGGCCCGAATTTTTTACGTAATAACGGGCCAAGCTTTTAAGGCCGTGCCGGGTCTTGATTTTCAGGTCTGACCTTAATTTAGCTCGAGGGCGATTTAGGTCGGGCCGGGCCTAACATTCAGGCCCGACCCGTTTTTCATTTCTACCTTTCTCCCTCCCCCCCCTCCTTTCTTCCCACTCCCTCTACTATCTTTTTCTACCCTTACCCTTATTTCGTCACTCTTACCTTCATTTTTCACCCCTACCCTCACTTTTTACCCCACCCTCACTTCCATTGAAGTCAACAGCTCAGCAAAAACGGCTAACCACAAGAATAACAAGTTGTTCAACTGCGGCGGAATCAGATTAACTGTTTTTTCTTCATAAGCGCCCTGATTTTTGTGACTTTATACACTTGAATATTTATTTCAGGATGAGAATCGGAATTCGTAATTTTTTCACATTCATTTGCATACGTGTCGTTGATGGACGTGCGTCAAGTATGGTTATTTATAAGCTGATTATGATATGCCTTCTGGTGATACGTCAAAGTACGCATTGTTAAGGGATGGTAATCAGTTGGGAAGTGAATATATGATGGTGTAATGATTCTATATCAAATTATATGCTATAATAATATAAATTAGTCAGACAAAATTAAAAAAATTCATTAAAAAATTGAGAAAATAGTAACCATAAAGGGTTTACAATAGCCGAGACAGCAATTTGTTATCAGCAACGTAATAAAAAAAAGTTGTGTTAGCTACAACAAGAGTTTTCTTACAACCAAATCAGTAAAGGAAGCAAGCCGAGCCCTATCTGTCAGCCCGGTCGTTTTTAAATTTGCTTCAGATAGGCTTGGTCTCTGATATTAATATATATATATATTGAAACAATAATTGGGACGATATATATCGTACTGCGTCTGTGTTACAAGTCAACTCTTTCATTGCGAGGTTTAATCCGGCCCCTGGAGTTTTTATCTGCGCTTCGGCTATACAAAATTTTGTTAGGCCCTCATGTGGTGGCCCGGCACTTTTCAATTTTTTTTTGGCTTGAATCAGACTGACCCAGGATTGAGTTTCGTGAGCTTCTTTCAGGTCTACTTAAAAAATTTTTAACTATGAGCGTATTATTCTAAAACTCTCGTACTATATTAGTATGTATGTATATGTTAACGTAAATTTTCTCAATGATAAGCAGAGCAAATGTAAGGTAATATAAGGCAGCTTAAAGCACGCTAAAGTAAGGTAAATGTAGAAAGATTAGTCTTGCCAGGGTTAGATCAAAGTGTACTGAAGGTGTATTTCAAGACCAGACTAATCTTTCTACAGTAAAGTAGGTTAGGGTAGGGTAGTAAGGTAAAGCAAAGTAGGTTAAGGTAGGGTAAACTATGTTTTTTGTGTCAGTATTATGAGCTCCATAGTAAGCAGAGCGTTCCAAAATTTCTCTTTGATCAGCCACTGAGAGTTCAGAGCCGAAACATGAGCTAACCTCAAACTTGGGTTAATAAACCGAAGAAGTCTACTCTGTTTTTGCGATAATTAAAACGAAAGGTTACCTTTTGAATGAGAGCGACTGACTTTTGGAGTTGTTTTCTCTCTCTAACTGTCTCTCAATAAAAACGTTATCTTCATTCACCTTTTTCGCTATCTCTTTTTCTCTGCTTTTCATTTACATTATGTTTTACACGTCTGTACATATCATTACGTAGTAAAATTAAGCTACAAGTAGAGAAAAAGCGATAGAAAAGGTATTTTTAATAGGCATCAGCGTTTCTTGCGACTGTCTTTGAGAAAGAAGAAGTGCCGAATGTGTACGCCCATAGCCCGTTGAACGCACGCCATCCCGTCCGATCTGGCAAGTTAAGCAACGGTGCGCTTGATTAGTACTTGGATCGGAGACGTCCTTGGAATCTCAAGTGGCGTACGCGTTTTTGGCATTTTTAAACAAATTTTACGTAAACTTTTTGATAGAGTACTGTAATTTTAAATTTTTTTTACTAAACTGGTAACTGGCTTAGCTTGAAGGCAAAGAATAGACTAGTTTGAAAGGTAATATACATAGGGCTAGAGCCCTTATTATCAACCTTTTCTATTAGCTTGTTCAAATAATTCTGTGCTTTTTAATTTTTAAAATTTGCTTTGGAAGAGGGCACAAAATTATTTCAACAACAAACTACAATACAAGTTCGTCACATAATCAAAAACAACTCGATTATACCGTTTTTTACCTTGATCTACATAAAATATCACAAATTTTGTTGATAATTTAACGAAAAACTGTATAATAGACTTAAACCAGTATTTAAATACTAATTTTGTATGCGACAATAATAAATGAACTACTATAAAAAGAGAAAACATGTTGTTAGTATCGTATTATTCGAATTGTCGTGGAACATTACCATGAGATTCACTATTACTTTAACCTTGACTGCGGTTGTATGTGGTGTTGCTTATGGTAAGTGGTACTGTATTTTGGACCAAGTTTTAAATTTTTTGATTTGTAAAGAAAGTTTTTGCCATTTTATGATTTGTAAAGAAAGTTTTTGCCATTTTATGTTTTGTAAAGAAAGTTCTTGCCATTTTATGTTTTGTAAAAGAAAGTTTTTGCCATTTTATGTTTTGTAAAGAAAGTTCTTGCCATTTTATGATTTGTAAAGAAAGTTTTTGCCATCTTATGTTTTGTAAAGAAAGTTTTTGCCATTTTATGTTTTGTAAAGAAAGTTCTTGCCATTTTATGTTTTGTAAAGAAAGTTCTTGCCATTTTATGATTTTTAAAGAAATTTTTTGCTATTTCTTTGTTTGTAAAGAAAGTTCTTGCCATTTTCTGTTCTGTAAACAAAGTTTTTGCAATTATTAACTAACAATGTTAACTGTGACAAAACTTATTGAAGGCACCACCAAAAACCCCTTTCAATGCCCACCAGGTCTTCATTGCGGGCCAGGCCCAGTGAAACTGCCTCCAGGCTTCACCCCAGGAAGTCCTGAAGAACCAGTTACCAGTGAAGGCGGTAGCTACATCAATCCAGGTGGACCAGAAATCCCGGCTAGCTGGGAAGGAAGTGGCAGCGGCTACATCAACCCCGGAGGGCCAGAAATCCCAGCCAGTGGGGAGGGCAGTGGTCATCATCACAAACATCACCGTGGTGGGCAACATGGCTTCATACCGTTCTTCCCGTTCCGTCCACCGTTCTTCGGACCTTCTGATGAGGGTAGCGGCAGTGGCAGCTACTAAAAATGGCTATAACAACAGTTTTGGCAACTTTGTGAAGTGTGATTTGGCTTGTTATAAGATATTATTGTGATTGATGTATCTACTACTATGGTATATAATTTTATCTTATCTTACCCTAATTGCTATGTTTATATGATTTGGCTTGCTATATGATCAAGAAATTAAAGATAAAGTGTTGTTTTAAGCAATAACAATAGTTTTAGTAGATTTGTAAACCCTACCCTACCCTACCCTACCCTACCCTACCCTACCCTACCCTACCCTACCCTACCCTACCTTACCCTACCCTACCCTACCCTACCCTACCCTATCCTATCCTACCCTACCTTACCCTACCTTACCCTACCTTACCCTACCTTACCCTACCCTACCCTACCCTACCTTACCCTATCCTACCCTGCTCTGTTTTGTCTTACCGTAACTTGCCTTTCTTTACCATACTCTATTCTACCGTAAATTGCTTTACCTTACTATTTCCTATCTTATCTTACGTTACTCTACCTTTCTCCATCCTACGTAGTCCTCTCCTACAGTGCCCGGTACTGTTTTGCTTTTATCTATCCTTCTCTACTCTACCTTACCTTACTTTGCTCTACTGTATTTACCTTATAATATCTCACCTTAGCTTACTCTTTCTTTACCCAACCCTACATTAAAAAGGCGGTAGCATCTCTACAACACATAAAAATCTCAAAAAATGTTTGCAAAAACTTTATTTCCATCTTAAAAATCAAAACGTGATAGTCTCGTAGCTCAAGTGGCGGTTTTAGTGACAGACATTTGGGAGTCGGCGGCGGTGGTGTCCGACTTCTTGCCCTTTTTGGACTTGACAGCGGTGTCGCGACATAGCCAAATGAAGTGATGACGGAACATGACAGCGTAGATTAGAACGGCCAGCAGAATGACAGCGGAATAGACGATTAGAAGGACGAATATGATAAAAGCCATCACGTCCAGGTCTTCTCCTTTACATCCGGCAGTCGCTGAAAAATGCATAATTTTAAATTACTGAGGCTGTGATCACGGTTATGATCAGGGCTACGGTTAGGACTATAATAAAGGTTATGAGCAAGGCTGTGATCAAAGCTATGGCCAGAACTATGGCCAGAGCTAGACCAGAGCTAAGCTTATGATCCAAGTTTTGTTTATGATTACAAGTAAGATCAGAGCTATGATCAAGGCTATAACTAGAGTATGATCAGAGCAATGTTATAACCAATAATCATAGATAGGATCAAGTCTATCGTCAGGGCTATGTTGAGGGCTATGACTAAGCCTATGAGCGAGGCTATGGCCATGGTTACGATCAGGGCTATGGCCAAGGCTATGATCAGGGATCGGGTCAGGGCTATGGTTAGAGCTATGGCGAATGATTAGGCTATGATCAAGACTATAGAAAAGGCTTTGATCAAGGCGATGACTAGGCTTATGGCCATGACTAGGATAAGGACTATGGTGAAGGCAATAGCCAAGGCTATAAGCTAGGCTATGAGCATGGTTACGATCAAGAACATGGTCAGGGCTATTGCCAAGGCTATCGTCAAAGATAGTACCTTCCAAGCCACCTTCCATTTAAAGACAATCAAACCTTTCTACCTCCCCTAACCCTTTAATAGCATACATACATAGTACATTAAAAATGAAAAACTCAACTTACTACTAACAAGACTATGAGTGTTGGTGTAGACATTGTTTTCGATTTGAAGTCGTCTTCCTCAACAGGTTCTACGGTTTACCAGAATGAAGAACACCGCCTTCTGATGAATCGAATTGGAATAGTGGGCCGAATATTTCAAATTTTATTTTTAATGTTTTCTGAAATTTGCATATTTGAAAAAAATGAGAAGTTGGGGTTTCTAAAAGTAAAAATGAAGATTTCTTCCAAAATTTAATATCATAGTGGGTACAAATGTGGACAGGGGTGTGGGTATGGGTATAAATATGAGCGTGGGTGTGGTTATAAATGTCAGTAGGGGTGTGGGTATGGGTGTAAATATGGGTATGGGTGTGGGTATAAATGTGGGCAGAGATGTGGGTATGATTTTAAATATGGGCATGGATATAAATATGGGTACGGGTATGAATACAGATATTGATAAAGGTAAGGTAAATTCAAAGAAGTACCGGGTTTTTAATTTTTTTTACAAACGGGTGCTAAAGGTAACAATTTAAAAAACAAAATGAATCAAAGTGTATCATACTCAAAATAGTTTCAGAATTCATACTGCATTGAAATAGCAGAATATTAGATTGATTCAAAATAAAGTCGATTTTAAAGTTGAAATCTAAAGAGACGCGCGACGGCCGCAGGCCGGCGCCTTTTTCAACAAATTCTAACGTTTTATGTTATTATAACATAATTTACTTTATAAATATTCATAAATATTGTATAAAAATAATATACAACAAAAATGCACAGACCATAGCGGGCCCGTAGGGCCCGCGTTGGTTTGGTATCATATTATAGATATACCCACTACAACTTTGTCTGTGACCATATCACCATCTTAAAAACTTTATTTATGTCATTATAAGTATAATTTTGATCTTACTATAGCCATAGTTACTACAAAGTCATCTATGACTAAATCAAAGCCATTACAAATCCAATTTTGACCATACCATAGCTACAGCCACTAAAACTGCATCTATGAACATATTATAACCTTTACAAACTCAATCTTTACCATACTGTAGCTCTAGCCTCTACAACTTCAATTATCACCGTACCAAAGTCATTGCGAACCAAATGTTCACCATACGTAGCTATAACCTTTGCAACTTCATCTATAACCATATCAAAGTCATTACAACTTCAAACTTGATCATACTATAGCTATATCCACTACAACTTCCTCCATGAGCATATTATAACCTCTATAACTTCATCTATGATCATCTCATAGTCATTAAAAACTCAATCTTAACCACACCATACCCTTTATTACAAATAGATCACATTTATTTTGTTGTACAACACTGGATGACAATAGAGTTTAAGCCCGTTTTTCAATTAAAAATGTAGAAAAAATAAATAATATTGAAAAGAGTGATAAGAAATCAAAAAATAGATAATCATTCGGATTCTTCTCGATTTTGTTCGAGATCAGGGTCGATCAGCGAGGTCTCGTCCATTGGCTCCACTTCGATGCCCCAGAACCTGGAGCAGAAGAGGCCTGGGCCTCCGCTGAGGCGGGGTAGCAGGTTCTGACGAATGTAGGGGCCAAAGAGGAGATCGTTGTAGATGAACATGCCCAAGATCAGGAATCCGAAGCCAAACAGCTGAAAAATGGGATGGGTAATATAATTTTACATTTTTTAATAATTTTAGTCTTTTTTGAAAATTTAAATATTTTTTAATTGAAAAAATGTTTTAATTTTTCATTTTTTTACATTTTTAAAAATTTTTTTTGAAATTTTTCAAATTTTTTAAAAAATTAAAAAATCCACCCCCTCCTCACCTGTGCTGGAATAAACTTCTCTCCAAACAACGGAATTGACAAAATCCAAATCACCAACGTTCTCACACTGTCCAACACCATTCTCGTCGTGGCTGACAGTCGTTTCGTCACACTGACACCAGCAAAGTTGAAGAAGGCGATACTGACAATGGTGCAGAACAAAGCCAATGCAATCATGGGTTGTTCACGAATGTCATGAATAGCATTGATCACATCTTCCAAACGACAGAACGGATTGTGAGAGAAGGTGTGGGGCACGTGAATAAAGTACATTGGGATCATCAGAAGGGACAGAATGGTCATGCCAAAAAGACCTTCCAAACCGACAGCCAGAAGAGGTGGGACATCGTATTGTTCTAGGAATACTTGTTCTGTCACCATTTGAATTGCCACAATGATCTGGGCCATGATAATCAGCAGGTCTCCTAAAAAAATAACGAAATTTAGGTGAAAAATATATTATCCATGCCTAAAAACATAAATAAAAATCAAAATCGGCAAAATAATACCCAAAATACCCCTACAAACCTAAACAATTTATTAATCTAACTTTATATCCCTAATAAAACGTCAAAAACTAACAAAAAATAATTAAATTCTGACCAAAATCTGTGTTAACATACCGGTGATGACAGCATTGGTGTCTTCAGAAGCATCACTATCGTAAATATCACACATTCCAACAATAACCAAGCCAACAGTCACAAAAACCATTCCCAACCATTTGAATTGCTGTAGATACGCTCTCAAGAAGGCTACGGATAAAAGGCCTGTGAAGATGATCACTGCTCCTAAAACAAGGTAAATTAAATGTTTTAAAGCTAAATTTCTATTAAATTATTAAAATTTAGTGAGAAGAAATTAATAAATGTCTCTTCGTACTAAAAAATCTATTTGAGAAAAAAAGAGTAGATTTATGAGACAAAATTATATTATCCATGCCACCAGCCTCTAAGTAACATGTTTTTTAAACTTTTAGTAAAGAAAACCAAAAATTTTTAGAATTATCAAATTAGGAAACTCTTCTTTATCAACTTATCCACCTTTTAACACAAAAAAAACTCAATAAAAGCATAGTTTAAAGACTAAAATTATATTATCCATGTGATCAACTTCCTTCAAACCTAAAAGACAAAACTCAAACGAAGCCCTTACCTCTAAGCATTTGAAACGACGAAGCAGTAGTCAAATTCAAACCAATGTACATCAACGAAGTAGCCAACACATCACAGCAGGCCGGAGGCAAGAAGATGAAAGGATTGATGTTGGGCAGCTTTGGTTCCTCAACATCAATGTCGTCCAATTCGTAAGCTCCATCAGACCCAACTTGATTCCTATTGTTATAGCGTCTCTTTTGAAGGTAGTACAAAATGAAGAACACCACAAGACAGCTGAATTCGCCCACAAACATACAAGTCGCTTGGAAGAAAGGATGATCAAACTTTTGACCGTCTACTTTGATGCTATCGGCCCATCTAAAGAGTAAAATAAATATAATGAATTAAAGGCTTACTTTGCTGCAATCGTGTTTAGGGAACCTGTGGTTACCATTAAAATGGCAATCGAAAGCGTTATAATCTGGCTCCTTTCCATTTTTTCAAGTGGAACCTGAAATTACATTATTCTAAATATGTTCTTATACTTTCAAAGATATCTCTAAACATATTCACGCAAAATTAAAAAAATTTTAGCAAACGTTTGATAGCATTTCAAAGAAACTAATTCAAATAACAAAAACTTCTAGTAAACACATAAACGAATTTTATAAAGGATAATATATTGTAGTAGGTGTATCAGTAAGTAGAACCTCGATATATGCTCACATACCCCAATTTAAACCGCAAAAGTTTAAATTTTGTTATCAAAGACAATAGAAAACATGTTTTATGTCACAAAGCACCAAACCTTTAACACCTGAAGAAGTTATTTTGTAGTAAGTATACCTATAACACACCGATCTGCATCTTATAGAATAACTCTTAACAAGAACAACAAGACTTTTAAAAAAGTCTCCTAAAGCCTTTAAAAAACGTATTTTACAAAATCAAAAGCAATATCTAAATTTAGATTTTCTAAATCTCAAAAAACTATATTGTAGTAGCCACCTCTTATGACTAATCCTCTATCTCAATATATATCTCATAAACAACATTATAGCTTCAAAATCCGCATATCATAAATCTAATAAATAGTTTTTATGCATAAAAACAACCAAATTTTATGAATCAGACCAGATTCTAGCTCATAACTGCCCCAAGCCATCAAAATGAACGAAATTCGTCCCTAAATTGAAAAAAACAATGTTATCTAAAGCCGAACAACAACGATCTGATAAGGGAATGGTCAATTAGTAACCAGTAGACCTTTGACCTTCCTTGTGTCTCGATTCTTAAACTAAACTTTGAAAATTCAGCGCTAATTTTACGAGATAAACAAGCAAAAAACTGACAAATAATGTGACATTCCGCTACGTTGGTATCGGAAAATGGCAGAGGTGGTGGCGGGAATCGTCGTTTTTATGTTGTAAATTGATGTGTAGGTAATTGTAAAGTGTTTTAAATAATTTTATAATAAATTTCACATTGTTTTTGACTTAAAATTTTAGGTATATCAACGTTTGGTTCAAGTTACACTGATTTTTAAAGGTTTTTATGTTGTTATTGCTTCATTTCTTAATATTTTTCCAAATTTTAATCAAGTAACCAGTGAAAATCAATTTATATTAGAAAGTATATTGCTACATAACTTTTTTTTATATAATTCAGTCTAGAAACAGCCAGTTTTCATTGATAACTGATCCAATTCCGCTTTAAAATGTAGCTTACATTGTTGTCGTTATTATTTTTTGTTTTTTAGGGTTGCTGACTTGACGATTTCCTAAAGTTTCTTGCGAATTTATATTACACTTGACATCTGATTGATGTCAAATGTAATATTACCTAAAGTTTTTGTTTTTAGGTGTGTAATGGGGGTAAATTTGTATCGAAAATGTAGGTAATTGTTAGTTTATTCTATTTCGTTCGTTTTTCCGTAATTTTATATCTATTTTAGTGAAAAATTATAATTTTTCAACATTTTAGGTAACAAATTTGTGTTCTTTAAAATTTTGCATTTTTAAGAATTTGATTGGTTAAAATGCAACGGGGCCCAAGACTTTCCATCAATTTCGCAAAAAATTTGAGTAATCAAGCCATTTCCAAATTTAAAACTAGTCTTTGTTCATTTTTATTTTCTCCTTCATTTCGACGTTTGTTTCCGCAACTATGGGCCGTGATCGTTCATCGGGCTCAGCCATGTCTCAATCCAGCGCGACGTCGGTCGCCAACGACAAGAACTCCAAGTGCGCACCCTATGGCAAAGAACTGCCGAGGGAGTCGGTCAAAACCGTCACGGCCAAAGTCCCAGTGGACAAGGGAAAAAATGTAAGTTAAAGCTTTGGATTTTTTTAAAATTACTCGCTAAAGTAAAATATAGTACGCGGAAAGTTAAGGTATTAGGCGCCGTCATGAAGAACCCGCCATTTTTACAGGAAATTTCAAGAAAAGTATGGCGGTTATACCTAAGTTTAACTTTATACTAGCTTATTACCTATTTAAATTTAAAATTTAGTTTAATTGTTTTTAAAAGAAGGTTGATTCGAAAGACAAGGAGGCCAAACACCTGAAGAGACTGAATCATGTACCACCAAAGCCGGAGCAAATCTACGCCGAATTGCCGAAGAAACGGACCTTTTGGGGTTACTGTGAGTTTTTAGGTAGGGTAGGGTAAAGTAAATTATAGTAGGGTAGGGCATGAAACAGTAGAGCAGAGTATGGTATGATAGGGTAAAGTACAACCTGTGAAGCCTCTTTCTATTTAAAAATTTTTAAATTTAGAAAAATGTTTAGTTGTTCCACCCTTGTACATTTTGAGTATTTGGACATTGTTGGCCGCCATGATGTTTCCTATCATGTTCTTCATACCTATAATTTACAAAGCTAGTCCGGAAAACATTGGACCAGGCAGCTTTTTGAGTAGTGTGCCAAGTAAGTTATTTTTTGTTTTGTAAAGAAAATTCTTGCAATTTTACGCTTTGTAAAGAAAGTTTTTGCAATTTTACGCTTTGTAAAGAAAGTTTTTGCAATTTTACGCTTTGTAAAGAAAGTTTTTGCTATTTTTTTTGCAAAAAAAGTTTTTGCCATTTTTTGTTCTGTAAACAAAGTTTTTGCCAATTTTTGCTTTCTAAAGAAATTTCTTGCTATTTTTAATTCTGTAAAGAAAGTTCCTGCCATTTTTTGTTTTTTAAAGGCAGTTCTTGTCATTTTACGCTTTGTAAAGAGATTTTGCGATTTTCGTTACCAAAAACTATTTTTTAAGAACTGATTTTTGAACCGAATGTAGCCCGTCTGGCAACCTCTAAAACTCGGCAAGAAGAAGTGGAGGCACGTCGAGCAGACCCATCAGAGATTTACTACGTTGATCGTCGACCAATCACATACGAACCCTACCTCACTCGGCTACGGTTCCTACTTACTGATGGTGAGTACAAAAGCCTTGGCTTGTCTCGCCGTACCTCATGCTCCCCTTCCCACAGGGCAGACCTGTTATGGCGGGTTCTATCTAGGCCTGGCCTTATACCAAATTTGAACGGACCTTACTGATAGTAGGTAATGCTGATATTGTTTTAGAATACGGACCGGAACGCTTTGCTGAATGCCACAAGGACAATATTCGTATAAAGTCGGGCTGTCTGGTCGATTTGAATTACGACAACTTGGAGCTGGGCTATGGAGCTTGTGCCGTGCCTCGAGGCCAGACAGTTCAATCATTTTCGTTTGGTTTCGAAGATCAACAGCCTTGTATCATGATTAGACAGAATAAGGTGGGTATTTTTAATAGAACTTGATGGTATAGTACGTATTGTGGCTTATAGTAAAAGTAATAGAGCAAAGATACTGTAACAAAGGTACCGTAGAAAGTAAAGGGACTGTAATAAAAAATAAATGGTATTTTAGGTAAAGTAACAAAAAAATTGTTTTTGCATTGGGTACTGTAGCCGAAATTATGCATATTGTAACAAAAAGTATTAATTAGGTACTTTGGGCATCATACCGTAATCATCAAATAATACGATATTTGGTGCTATCTTACCATAGCCCTTCATTACCTTGTTTTACCAGAGAATACCCGACCGTATCATGCCCTACCCTAATGTAATTTACCCTACTTTATCCTACACTACCCTAACCTATCCTAACCTACTCTACCATACTCTATTCTACCCTACCCTACTCTACCATATACTACCTACTGTAACATAATCTTCTGTTTCCAGATGCTGCACTACATGCCGCCGATGGTGGATATTCGCGACGAAGTGACGGACGAGCGAATAATGAACGAAATTAGCATATTGTGCGAACGTGAACATTACAATACGGCACCGGACGGCGACTGCTGCTTTTGGTACCGCTCACAGTTACGATGCGAGGTCCAGAACGGCGATATTCAAATATTCCCGGCCTTTGGCGTACCAGCTTGCCACTTCCCGTACCAGTCTGGCGCGGACGAGGACGACATTAAGAGTTATCAACAGCCAATTCAGTTTGTTAGGGTAGGTTTAGGCAAGAATTTTGTTTACAGTGGAAAAAATGGCAAGTACTTTCTTTAAAAAACAAATAATAGCAAGAACTTTGTTTACAGAATAACAAATGGCAATAACTTTGTTTACAAACGAAAACGGCGAGAACTTTCTTTACGAAACAAAAAATGGCAGGAACTTTCGTTACAGTGCTAAATTAACTAATAATTTTTGAGTTTCTATAAAAGCTACTATTATTGAGTCTTCAACCGTGCATTACTTGCAGGTATCCCCCCTGAAAGAAGGTGATACAACCGAAATTAAGTGCTACACCGACGAATCGCTGAAGGACGACGAAAACCACTATGTCAAGTTTACCGTTCAGATCTTTAACGCCAACAACAATGCATAATGCTTCTGAATTCGCCATGCCCGTTCTGGCAACTTTTTCCCTCATTTTGGCTTTGATTTTGGTACATTAAAGGGTTTTAACTTCAATAGCATTTTTTGTTGGTTTAGGCCTGTTTTATCAAGTTGTAGTGTTCTAGTCTTGTTTTATCAAGTTTTTGTTATTTTGGGCTTATTTTCTTTAATGTGTGTTGTTTTAAGCTTGTTTTATATAGTCTTTGTGGCTTTAAGTTTGTTTATTTTTGTTGGTTTAGGCTTGTTTTTTGGCGGTTTTTTTGTTTTTTGAAACTTTGATATTACCTCTTTTTTCTATTTTTATATTCGCTCTTTTCTATCATAATATTGGTTACTTTGAAGATATGGGCATGTAAAGGTTAGTGATCCTGGTAAATGTAGGCGGTTTGATCTGGCGCAGTCCGTTATACAATAGTTATACTGTATTTTTGCTCTCAACCAAAATATACAGCCGTTGACAAAAAAACAGGCAACTTTCTTACTTTTAGCATAACTTTTTTATTTGTTATCCAATTTTTATGAAACAAAGTTTACTATGGTTGTTTTGATACCTAAAATTATACAAAAAAGACAAATTACATAAAATATGTCAGCTTATATAGAAACCAAAAATAATCAGTTGGGGACTTTTGAGGGTTCTATCTAAAGGGTACTGTAGATTGTCCGTATATTAGTCTTTCTAATATGTCGTAAACAGAGATTGTAGTTAAGGTATAATAAATATTATGTATCATCATTAAGAAGAAACCTTATCACTTTACCCAATGATATAGAGATAGGTCAGCAAGTGAAAACTACCCACAAGGCGCAGGCTAGGTGTACTACCTTTATAGTACTAGTAGGGACTTACAATAGTACCCTAAGGGGTAAATGGTTAACTTAACTCCAAAAGTATTTTATCCAAATATTTGGACTCTTTTCAAATTTGACATTTTTCATTGGTAACAAGATTTCACCTATTGGGTCGTCAGCACTGAACCTGTCTTAGTCCATGACCTGCATCACCATGGTCATGTCATTTCGCCTTTTCATGGAATGTTTTGTAAAAATTATTATATATTGGTATATAAGTTGTGTTTTATATAAATCAGTCTAGAAACAGCCGATTTTTATTGATAATTAATCCAATTCCGCGTAGACAAAAACTTTGTTTACTACACGTTATGATAATTAACCAGATGGTCTAGAAAGAAATAAAAATGTATGTTAATACCTAAAATCTGCATAATATTGAAGAAAAATTAGAGTATAAATAGCTGGAAGAATGTCGACTTATTCGACGTTGTGGTTTACTGACTATAACAAAAATGAAGTTTACTGCATTGTTAACCGTTTTTGTTATTGTTCTTGGAGTGATTTATGGAGACGGTAAGTTGTTTTTACATTTTTGGTCGTTTACAGTGTCATACACAGCCTAATATAAGGATTACAGTCGGACAGGGTAGGGTAAAATGAAATATGGTAAACTCCTCTGAAGGAAAAGCTGATCCACAAAGTCCAGCCACCTTTATTATGTTATTAAATTTAATTTTTAGTCCATCAACAACGTAGAAACCAGCATGGTTATACACGTCAGTATCACCATAAAACCGTCCAATCTGGCGGTCACCGTACGCATACTGGACCCGTCTCCGGTGCTGTACCACAACCATCGGCTGGTTCTAACTCTGGAACTGGGCTCGTTGACACATTGAGTGGTGCTGGAAATCAAATCAGAAACGCCAGAGGGATTTTTGATTACTTCCCCGGCAGTTCTTATCTATTGTCTTTTGAAGAACCCCTCGAAAGTTTGAGGTCTGCCCGTGCTATCCACAACAACAACAACCATGGCCAGAGAAGACAGCCAATTCGTGGCCACGCCCAAGCTCATCCTCAAGGTCATTCTCAAACTCATCCTCAACGTCACCCCCAAATTGGAGGTCAGAGAATCAACGCTGGATCTGTATCTGGTTCTGTACCCAAGCCTGTATCTACTGGTACTGGAGCGAGCTCTGGAACTGGAATTGTTGACACTTTGAGTGGTGCTGCTGGAAGTGTCAGAAACGCCCGTGCTATTCATAACAACCAACCTTTTAACCATGGTAAACAGCCAATTCGTGGCCACCCCCAACGTCATCCTCAAGGTCATGCTCAAGCTCATCCTCAACGTCATCCCCAAGTTGGAGGTCACGGAATCAACATTGGATCTGTGCCCAAGCCTGTATCTACTGGTACCGGATCTAGCTCAGGAACTGGAATCGTTGATACTTTGAGTGGTGCTGCTGGAAGTGTCAGAAATGCCCGTGCTATCCATAACAACAACCAACCTTTTAACCATGGTAGACAGCCAATTCGTGGCCACGCCCAAGCTCATCCTCAAGGTCATGCTCAAGCTCATCCTCAGCGTCGTCCCCAAGTTGGAGGTCATGGAATCAACACTGGACCTGTATCTGTACCCAAACCTGTATCTACTGGAACTGGCTCCAACTCTGGAACTGGGATCGTTGACACCTTGAGTGGTGCTGCTGGAAGTGTCAGAAATGCTCGTGCTGCTCATAACAACATCAATCGTATTAACCACGGTAGACAGCCAATTCGTGGCCACGCCCAAGCTCATCCTCAAGGTCATGCTCAAGCTCATCCTCAACGTCAGCCCCAAGTTGGAGGCCACGGAATCAACACTGGATCTGTTTCTGCGCCCAAGCCTGTATCAACTGGTACTGGCTCCAACACTGGAACTGGAATCGTTGACACTTTGAGTGGTGCTGCTGGAAGTGTCAGAAATGCCCGTGCTATCCATAAGAACCAACCTTTTAACCATGGTAGACAGCCAATTCGTGGCCGCGCCCAAGCTCATTCTCAAGCTCACCCTCAACGTCATCCCCAAGTTGGAGGTCACGGAATCAACACAGGATCTGTGTCTGGTTCTGTACCCAAGCCCGTATCTACTGGTAGCGCCACTGGAACCGGAACTGGAATCGTTGACACCTTGAGTGGTGCTGCTGGAAATGTTAGAAATGCTCGTGCTATCCATAAGAACCAACCTTTTAACCATGGTAGACAGCCAATTCGTGGCCGCGCCCAAGCTCATTCTCAAGGTCACGCCCAAGCCGGTAGCCATGGAATCTACACTGGACCTGTATCTGGCGTCGTCTCTAAACCATCAGCTGGTACAGGATCAAGCTCTGGAACCGGATTTGTTGACACTTTGAGTGGTGCTGCTGGAAGTGTCAGAAATGCTCGTCAAGCTGAACAGCCAATGCCAATCGACAAGCCAGCCAAGAAGGGACTTCTTGGTTTGGGCTTTATGGGACTCCTTTGAGAAAAAGTAGAAAATCAACAAAAAACATCACGGTAAACCAACAACGTCGACAACATTACAATTCATCTTGTAAGACTTACGAAACATCTTTATATCATATTCACAATAATATGTCACGTAGAATAAACGCTAGCGATCGCAATGAAATCGGTTTTAAAAAAAGTATAATTACTATAACATAAATATGATTATAACAAATTAAGCTGTGCTCAAAAAGACGTAAAAACGACAAACCTTCCAGCCTTTCCTCAAAATGTTCTGTTGGGATATGACCGACTCTAGTTATTATTCTGTTTTGAAATGGTTTATCCGGCCTATAAAAGGCTGGGATTTTACTAATAAACTTTACTCCGGTATTTTGGGTTTAGTGTTGAGCGGTCGGCAAGAGTCGCCGACTTCAACATGTTCAATAAACCTTCGTTTGTTACCTAAAATTATTTTTTGTTGCCAAAAAACCCTCTTTACTTCCTCATTGCTTTGATAACATTCATTTTATCTTTTAACACATTAAAAGCCTAAATTCAAGGCACAACCAACAAAATCTTTGATGAAGATCATGGATAACATCAATAAGCTTCAAAATTGACCTAAAACAAGAAAAAATTAATAAAAAAGACTTACGTTTAGTCCTATCAATTAAAAACCAAATTTACATCAACAACTGAAGCAGCTTCACCTTTGCATTCCAATAATCTTCACCTTCAACTGTCTCCACCAAAATCGACTCGTTTCCTCAATGATTTTCAAAGTTATTGACCTAAAACGCTTAAAAAATGAAAAATAAAGCAATATTGAACCTTTATCTTCAACTTCACTTCGAAGAAACATTGTTTGTTGTGCAATATTGTCTCCTAAATTACCTTTCTCGACCAAAAACAAGGAAAGTTCAAGAAACAGCGAAGTGTCAAAGAAATAATTGCTGAATCAATTATTGAATTCCGTCAACAACTGAAGATTGGTAACGTTTTTCGTCGATTGTTCTTGACCAAAGCTGAAGGATGTATTTTTTTAAATATACATTAAGTTTGTGTTATTTTCAAGCTTGGAACGGTAATTTTTGTAATTTAGGGCAATTTCATCATGGATAATATAAAATTGCTCGAAAAATCGACGGTTTTTTGGTACTGGATCTAATTCTGGAACTGGAATTGTTGACACTTTGAGTGGTGCTGCTGGAAGTGTCAGGAATGCCCGTGCTGCGCACGGTGACTATATTATTGAAGGCCCGGCTTTCTATGGAAACACAATCGTACCTACTGACTCATCTGGAATTTCGAAAGAAGCCTTTGCCGCTTTCGATTCTCATGTTACTGCAGACCCGAATTTCGATGGATTCACAATTAATGCTGACTCACCTGAAGATTTGAAACTCGATTTCAAAAAACCTAGAAACCATGGTGGAGGACTTCTTAATTTGGACCTTCTAAAAGGCCATAATTGAGAAAACATAGAAAGAGAAGAAAAAAAAAACATCTTGGTAAACCATTAACGTCGACAACTTTACAATTCGTCTTGTAAGGCTTACGAAACTTCTTTATATTATATTCATATTGATATGTCACGTAGAATAAACGCTAGCGATCGCATTAAAATTGGAATTTTTAAATTTATTTCAAAAAATTACAGTAGTCTTTCAAAACGATTAAAAATCTTTTAAAAAATAGCAAAACGCGTACGCCACTTGAGATTCCAAGGACGTCTCCGATCCAAGTACTAATCAAGCGCACCGTTGCTTAACTTGCCAGATCGGACGGGATGGCGTGCGTTCAACGGGCTATGGGCGTACACATTCGAATTTTCTTCTTTTTCAAAGACAGTGGAAGGGAACTCTGACGTCTTTTAAAAATACCTTTTCTATCGCTTTTTCTCTACCTTTAGCTTATCTTTTGAACGTAGTGATATGTCCGCACATGTTAGACATAATATAAGTAAACATTAGAGAAAAAGAACTTTAAAGAAGACAAAAGGTTTAGATAAGAGGCAGTTAGAGAGAGAAGATAACTCCAAAAAGTCCGTCGCTCTCAATCAAGAGGTAACTTTTCGTTTTAATTATCGCAATAACAGAGTAGACATCTTCGGTTTATTAACCCAAGTTTGAGGTTAGCTCATGTTTCGGCTCTGAACTCTCAGTGGCTGATCAAACAGAAATTTTGGAACGCTTTGCTTATTGTAGAGCACATAATATTCGTTATAAAACTATTGTTAGAACATATTACAATACCAATCAGATCGTATGTTACTAGCTAGTAACATAGTAGACTAAGAATAATTTAAAAATTAACGTTCATTGATAGAAGTACCAAAATTTAAAAGTCTCAAACTTTATTTATCGGAAAAGTAATAAAGTTTAATGGACAAAACATAATATAAAAGTAAACATTCAAATAAAAAGTTGATATTTAGAAGTAACAATCATATATAGGCTTTTTAAGTCATACATTGTTATGAATAATAACGTTTTACATTAAATAAAAAAATAAAATTTTTTAATCGTTTTAATTCAAGCCAAGTTGACCGAAAAGTCCTCCAAGACCACCAAGACCTTGTCTCTTGCGGCGCTGTTCAAAGCCGGCTTCCCTTTTGAGTATACCAGCAAGCCCGAGACCGAGAAGACCACTTTTCTTAGCATTTTGAGCAAAAGTAGAAGAAACAATCACAAACAGTAGAGCAAATACGACAAAGAATCTCATTTTGGTTACTTGTAGCTGAAGCAAGTGTTGAAAACTTTTTAAAAAATAGCAAAACGCGTACGCCACTTGAGATTCCAAGGACGTCTCCGATCCAAGTACTAATCAAGCGCACCGTTGCTTAAATTGCCAGATCGGACGGGATGGCGTACGTTCAACGGGTTATGGGCGTACACACTTGATTCCTCTTCTTTTTCAAAGACATTTACAAGGAACAATGCCGTCTATTAAAAATACCTTTTTATCGCTTTTTCTCTACCTGTTGCTTATCTTTTGAACGTAGCGCTAGATACGCACATGTTAGACATAATATAAGTGAAAATTAGAGAAAGAGAAATCCCGAAAAAGGTGAAAGAAGGCAGAAGTTTTAGATAAGAGGCAGTTAGAGAGTTAAAACAACTCCATAAAGCCAGTCGCTCTCAATCAAAAGGTAACATTCCGTTTTAATTACCGCAAAAACAAAGTAGACTCCTTCGGTTTATTAACCCAAGTTTGAGGTTAGCTCATGTTTCGGCTCTAAACTCTCAGTGGCTGATCAAACAGAAATTTTGGAACGCTTTGCTTATTGTGGAGCATATAATACTGACATAAGAAAGCTATGCCTACTAGTTGTAAGATAAGTTTATTCAAAGTAACGTCATATAAAATAAGTTGTGTATGTTTAAGGAAAAATTAGAATAAATTTTTGTAGCTGCTGATGTTGTTGTTGTTGTCGTTACTTTAGCCTTCGATTGAGCTTTGTTGCCATGACTTTACAAATTGATAAGGGTCGAAAGAGCCAAGATCGAATATTTTCTTGAGTCTTGCGTCTTCAGGTTCTTCTAAATTTTTTTTGAGGTTTTATTTAATAAGAATTTTAAAAAACGGTCCAATCTTGCTGTTAGGTTGTCCAAATAATTCTGTGCTTCCACTGGAAGCAAATTTTGTGGCCAGAGGGCACAGAATTATTTGAAAAATTTAATACAAAGGGAATTGTCTGTGTGAGGAATTTTTAAGATGTGTATACTTACTTTCTCAATATTTTATCTACAAACTCAAATAAAAACTGTAACATTCTTGTATAATATGATGAGGTAACACTATATTATATGCCACTATAAACGACCAATAAAGTAAAAATGTAAAACAGCTTACCGTTTCCATAAAGCACTCCGAGAACAATAGCTAAAATGGTTAACAATGCAGTAAACTTCATTTTTGCTATACCCAATCAACTACAACATAGAGAAACTTGACATTGTTTTTGATATTTATACTCAAAATTTCTTTCAACATGATGAAAAGTTGAGGTATTAGCATATTTTTCTATTTGTTATTAGAATTCATGATGAATTTTCATAGTTTTTTGTAAACAAAGTTCTTGTGTAGGCGGAATATGATCAATTATTAATGAAAACTGGCTGTTCCTAGACCGATTTATACAAAACATAAGTTATATAGCAATATACTGTTTGATATAAACAGACTTTTACTGGTTATTAAAGTAAAATTTGGGCAAACATAAAGAAGCGAAGTAATGATAACATAAAAATCTTTAACAGTCAATGTAAACTAAATCAAAAGTTGATATACCTAAAATTTTAAGTAAAAAGAAAAGTGAATCGTTATTATATTACACTTAAAATATTATACAATTACCTTCACATCAAGTTAAAACATAAAAACAGCAATTCCCGCTACCTCAGCCACTTTCCGATACCAACGCGGCGGAATGTCACTTTATTTGTCAGTTTTTTGCTTGTTTATCTCGTTGAATTAGCGCTGAATTTTCAAAGTTTAGTTTAAGAATATAGATACAAGGAAGGTCAATGGTCTACTGGTTACTAATTGACCATTCCCTTATCAGATCGTTGTTGTTCGGCTTTAGATAACATTGTTTTTTCAATTTAGGGACGAATTTCGTTCGTTTTGATGGCCTGGGGCAGTTATGAGCTAGAATCTGGTCTGATTCATAAAATTTGGTTGTTTTTATGCGTATTACTGTATTTTTTTCTAGCTTATAGTGCAAAACTTAAAATTTTTTAAAAAAATTTATGCTAATTTTAATTCCAGTACAAGCCACTACACCACTATAGTAGGATAGGGTATTTTTTAAAAACACCCAAAATGCGCTTGTCAATATTTATTGAAATAAATTGATGAAATGACTTAAAACCTTACAATGCCATTTGTAATGATAAGCTTAAAAACCGCCAAAACGTTCTCATTGACGGCCGCTGTGCCTGTGGAACGAGCCACCGTGATGATGTCTGTGATGGTGCTCGTAGTCGCCGGATCCGCTGCCTTCGGCCGAATTGTCGCCGGATCCGCTGCCTTCTTCAGACGATGATGAACCATGGTGGTAGCCACCATGAGGTCCACGTCTTGATCCACCGAAGGGAAAGCCAATGCCAAAACCGAAGCTACGTTTCCTTCTGAGGCTAGATAAGGAAGCGGTTTCTGGAACAGCTGGAGCTGCGGGCTCGCCGCTTCCGCCAAAGATCCAGTCTGAAATTGGGTTTTTAAAATATATATGTAATTTAGTAAAGAAGAGTGAGTAAGGTAAGGTAAGGTAAGGTAAGGTAAGGTAAGGTAAGGTAAGGTAAGGTAAGGTAAGGTAAGGTAAGGTAAGGTAAGGTAAGGTAAGGTAAGGTAAGGTAAGGTAAGGTAAGGTAAGGTAAGGTAAGGTAAGGTAAGGTAAGGTAAGGTAAGGTAAGGTAAGGTAAGGTAAGGTAAGGTAAGGTAAGGTAAGGTAAGGTAAGGTAAGGTAAGGTAAGGTAAGGTAAGGTAAGGTAAGGTAAGGTAAGGTAAGGTAAGGTAAAGTAAAGTAAGGGAAAGTAAGGTAAGGCAGAGTAAGGTAGGGTAGAAAAGTGGGCGTAGTGTAAACTAGGGTAGAGTAGAGGAAAGTAAGTTAATCAGGTAGGTTAGAGAAAAGTAGGGCAGGGTAGGATAGGGTAGGGTAAGGTAGGGTAGGGTAGGGTAGGGTAGGGTAGGGTAGGGTAGGGTAGGGTAGGGTAGGGTAGGGTAGGGTAGGGTAGGGTAGGGTAGAGTAGAGTAGAGTAGAGTAGAGTAGAGTAGAGTAGAGTAGAGTAGAGTAGAGTAGAGTAGAGTAGAGTAGAGTAGAGTAGAGTAGAGTAGAGTAGAGTAGAGTAGAGTAGAGTAGAGTAGAGTAGAGTAGAGTAGAGTAGAGTAGAGTAGAGTAGAGTAGAGTAGAGTAGAGTAGAGTAGAGTAGAGTAGAGTAGAGTAGAGTAGAGTAGAGTAGAGTAGAGTAGAGTAGAGTAGAGTAGAGTAGAGTAGAGTAGAGTAGAGTAGAGTAGAGTAGAGTAGAGTAGAGTAGAGTAGAGTAGAGTAGAGTAGAGTAGAGTAGAGTAGAGTAGAGTAGAGTAGAGTAGGGTAGAGTAGGGTAGGGTGGCGTAGGGTAGGGTGGCGTAGGGTAGGGTAGGATGCAGAACTAAACATTAAAAGCTATAGAAACTTACCGAAAATTCCGGCTTCTGCGACGCCGAGAACAATGACAAAAACGGCAAACAAGATAGTAAATCGCATCTTGGTTAAGTGAACCAATGTATATACTTTCACCAATTACAAACTGTCTATATATACTATTTGAGGAAGCCAATTTGCATATTTTTAATAATTTTGTTTTTAACATATTTGCATTTTTGACCTTAATGTTATGTATATCTACAGTCTGGACAATTTTGATGAGTAATATTGACCTGTATATATAATAATACAGTTTTTTCGGTTTTTGGTGCAATCATTCATCGTCTGCTACAATATTTCCACACCTTTTTGAAAAAGACTTATACTACATAAAAGAGTGTAAACAACAGCTTAAAAAAAAACTTTTAAAACCTGCCATAGCGTTAGCGTGCTACAATCCATTATTCTTTGAAATTTTTTTTTAAAAAATATGTTTTAAGTTCTCTCAGTCAGTCTTGGCTTGACCCTGATCAGAGTGACTTCAAACTTTTTACACAGAAAACTCATGTAAACATCAGGTCTTCAGCAAAGTACTAACTCGCGCTTTCCAGTAAATCTAAATTAAGTTTTGAATTTCTCGCCAAATTGGCATTGTGTTTCAAGCTTATAACTTTGTCATATTTTGACTTTAAATTTTTTTCTTTGATATACTAGTAGACACTTTAAATATACCTAAATTTTTAAATTTATAAGCGTCTTTTGTCTGGAAAGACGAAAATGCTTGAAACATGAATTTGGCGAAAAATTCAAAACACAATTTTTGGATTTCGATTTTCTCAAAGCTGACCGCAAACCGCAGGAATTGCATAAAAAGTTACATTTACATGATCTTTCAATAAATAAAATTTGAACAAAATCTGACGGTCGGGTACCTTCCTTATTAGTACAACATAACCCAGTGCAGCTTCTGCATACTAACACATCTATAGAAAACAATGTTCAAATTTTCCAGAGATTTGTTGTACAAGAGTTACACTGTCTTTACACATTACGACCTTTTTGTGTGCCTGTTTATTAGCTAAAACTATTCATAATATAAAAAGCTATATTGTGAGCTAATGGGTTCTAGTAAGGGAGTTCTCTGCGTCTGAAGCGTCCAAATGGCTCTGAAGCAGATGGATCAGCTGACTCAGATGCTGATGGTTCAGATGAGTCAAAAGCTGATAATTCATCTGAGTATACAGCATTTGTTTCAGCTGAATCCGGAGCACCATACTCGTAAGGGTTGGTACCGACATCATACTCTTCACTTTTGCTCGATTCGATAAAACTTGAACTGTCGCCGGATTCACTAAAGTCATCACCGTATGACAGCAGAACAATGTAAAATTCTCCGTCAGCTTCAAATGTATCTTCACTACTGTCATCTTCTGAGTTGTAGAAACCGGATTCTAAATCGTATGAATCAAGATCAGCATCATCGTATTTACTTTCATCTTCATCAATCTCGCTACTGGCTTGTCGCTTCTCACGGTCTTCAGAATCTTCTTCATTGTACTGATAAGGATCTAGTGTAACATAGTCTTCCTCACTTGCCTCTTCATCGATTTCACTGCTGATTTGGCGCTTCTTACGGTCTTCAGAATCTTCTTCATCAATCTCACTACTAATTTGTCGCTTCTCACGGTCTTCAGAATATCCTTCATTGTCATTATCAGGTTCTAGTTCACCATCATCTTCTTCAATGCCTTGTTCATCAGCCTCGCTATTTTCTTGTGATTCAGAACCATCAGAATAGTCTCCAGAACCATTGTCATCATGATAAGAAGAGGCATCTTCAACATAAGATTCATCACTCTCATAAGATCTAGATAACTCTTCACTGCTATCGTAGTACTCTTCACTTTCATCAAGTCCAGAAGATAATTCACTGTTATCATCGTACTGTTCACTGTCACCCAATCCAGATAATTCTTCACTGCTATCAGATTCTGAGTCATAGTACTGGTCAATGTTTTCTGAGTCATAGTACTCTTCACTTTCACCAACCCCAGATGTTTCTTCACTAGATTCTGAGTCATAGTATCCATCACGGTCTTCTGAGTCATAGTATTGGTCGCTATCCTCGAATCCAGATGTTTCTTCACTACTATCGTAGTCAAAGCCGTAGTATCCGAATTCGTCAGAATAATCAGCCGAATAGTCTACAGATTCATCTGCATATTCATATGAAGCAATTTCGATTGATGCTTCTAATTGTCGTCGTCTTCTTTCAACGGTCGGAAGATCGTTTGGTACGGTTTGTGGTGCTTCTCTGGACTTGTCGCTTCCCAACAAGAAATCTGAAAGTAAAATACTATTGGTTTTAGCTATAGTAAATGTAGTTGGACTAAAAATACGTTTAGGCTAAACGTTTTATTAAAGAAAACATTTTTATTTTTATTGTGAAGTTTTGGGAATCCACATGATATGTTTTATCACTGTTTAACTATACCTTCGATAAGACCTGAAAATACCCAAACAATGAAAGTACCCTACCCGCCCTGTTCAAAATCAGCTCAAAATTATTAAATAATTTCTTTGTACCACCAATAGTACCCTAAAAAACTTTTAGCTCACCCTTTTGAGTTTTAAAATTAAAATATTTGAATTTCCCGCAAACTCGGCAAATTTGGCATTGTGTTTTTTTTTTTTATTTGTTTTTAATGACAAAGTTATAAGCTCAATGCCAATTTGGCGGGAAATTCAAAATGTAATTTTTTGATCTGGTTTCTCTCGGGTTTGACTGGAAAATGCGGTTGAGTACTTCGCTGAAGGTCTTATATTTACATTATTTTTCTTTATAAAAAGTTTGAAGTCAATCAGAATGGAAAAGGTAAGACCTCTTTCTCGTAAGCAATGCTTGCCCTACTGTACTATTATTAAATGCCGACATAAAGAACCCGCCATACTTTTTCTGTAAAAAATGGCGGGCTCTTTATATCGGCACCTAATAGATTGTTCAAATAATTATGTGCCTTAATTTTAAGAGTAAAGAACATTTTAAAAGTTAAAAGGCTCAGAATTATTTGAACAACCTAACATAATAGTTAAAGTCCCAAATTCAAAACCTTACCAAAAAAGCCACCCTGGGCAGTACCAACAACAATCAATAATAAAGTAGTTGCTAGAATAGTTTTCATGGTTAAACACTAAATGTTTGGTGAAGAAAACAGTTCATCACTGTGCTTATATACTGTACGTTTTTGTGTCTGCATCTTGTTTGGTGGGTTGTTGTTTTTGTTGTTATTAGCTACATCTTATGCAAATACCTTATTATACTATTCAAATCTGGTGTTAAGCCAACCATAAATATATTAATCTTGCAGTAAAGATTAAGGTTAGTGCGTGCTGCACATGGTATAAAAAAGATCACTATTTATGAATGAAAGGATACTTTGTAAGGGAGTTATGGCATGTAGTAGACATGATGAACAGGCCGGGCCTTAAGCTCAGGTCCGGCCCGACCTAAATTTGGGCTAGGCCCGGCCCGTTCCTCATGTCTTACAAGTAGAGGCTGTCGGCCCAGTCAAATGCATTTTCCAAATAATCCGGTCAGCTACCTATAAGCCTGCGGTCTTGGTTTTAAGAGTCCAAATCAATCACTATATCCTCTTTGATAATCAATTTCGTTTGAAGCAAAGATCAGCTTCCATTACACCTTATTCATCATTTCTTACAATAAGAATATGAGGCACTTCCCTTGTCAGAACTTTAGAAAAGGCCCTAAACCTAGATCACCACTTCAGTTCTTCAAATCTTTCAATCGGTAGCAACGGACGAACCAAAAACAAATCAACATAAACACTAGTCAGCCCTTCCAAAAACGACTTTATAAGTTACAGTAGGTATTGTCAGCGAGTTTTAAAAATTATAAAAATAAATAGTGTACAAAACTTGTTAAACGTGAGGTTTTTCGTCTTCAAACTGTTCAATTTCTTTTGTGACTGGCAAGAACCATAGCGTGCCATCATCATTCACATCCTCGTCGCTTGAGCCAATATCAGCCGGGTCTAGGCCTGTAACATCAATCTCGGCTTCTTCATCTTCGTCCAAGCGATCCTTGGTCTCTTCAGATGCATCTTCATCCTCAACATCGAATTCAAACTCTGTTTCCACGTACTTTCGGTTATCATCAAGTTCGACAAAATCTGGAGCAAAGGCAGACCAGTTTTCGACATGGGCTTGGGTCCAGATGGAGACGACACCATTGGCTACGGAGAGGATTATTGAGCGAGATGGGTGCCATTGGACGTCGGTCAGAAGCTCTCCCTGAAGAATATGTTGTTATTTTTCTGTTTTATAAAATTCAAACTTCAAAAATTTTTTTTACCCCTCCCTCAAAGTTTTTTACCACCCCTTCCTCTTCCGATTTTTTTATCCTACCCAATCCAAAAAAAACTGTTTCCAACACTGGCGCTTCAAAAACAATTATCATCCCCAAAATTCAAAAAATCCTCCCCTAAATAAAAATTTTACCCCCCCCCCCCCCGCACCCCAAAACCTGTAACAACGCCCCTAGTCGCACATTACCTTAGGTCCATGCAGAATCTTGATCAAATTCCCAGAATTCCTTTCCCAAATGTGCAAAGAATGAGATTTGGCACTAGCTCCACACACATAGTCTCCTTCGTTTGAGGCACATATCAGCTTCCATGAGATCTTATTCACCATGTCTTGGAACTTTTGAAGCGGTTCTATAACTTGACCATCACTTGCGTTCTTAAAGTCTTCCAAGCGGTAGCAACGGACAATTCGATCGTATGAATTTGTCATTACAAACCCATTTCTTCGTGTTACTATGAAGTTTCGGATCTGAAAAGGAGAATAAATGGTTGTAACTTGACTCTCAGCTTAGATAAAAGGTAAAACTGCTTTGGAACGATGCATTGCTATGTACAAAATAATTTTTTTAAAGAAAGACATCAATGTAGTTAAAAACAGCCAAAATCAATCAATTGCCTTGTCAAAAACAGGTAGAAACGTATCCAAAAGCTAAAAATTAAACTCACCATGTGATTCACAGGTTGTGCCAAGGTCTTCAGAAGCTTTTTAGTCTTTGTGCAGTACATTAACACTCGTCCCTAAACAAATAATCTTAAATATCATCCTTTACTTCAATATTTTAGCCAAAGCCCTACTTCTAAACCAAAAAATCTAAAAAACTAACCAAAAAAAATTTAAAATAACCTTAAAAAATAAAGAATTTTAAACCAAAAAATACAAAACAGACCTTAATAGTGCCCAACATAACAAACTGTCCTCTTTTGTCAAAGGTCGCAGCTGATAATGCGTCATCTTGACTTGGCAACTGAGCTCCTAACCTAACTTCCTCTTTCTTCGAAATGTCACGAAGAATGCACGAACATACAGATGAAGAGGTTTGAGTACCAAAAATTAGCACCAAAAACTGATTTTCATCCCTAAAAATTAAAATAATCAAAGAGATAAGGCTTACCTTGGATTAAAATGAGCATAAGTAGCAGTAACACAAGTCCCAAAATGAAATCGATCCACATGACCATTTGTGTCCACAACATTCCACAAAGCTACTGCACTTTCAGCACTTCCTGACAACAACATACGACCATTACGACTAAAGTCCAATGAGGCTATCGGCTTCACATGGGCTGTCCAGCTCTAAAATAATATAATGAGTAAATGCTCATTTAAATTAGCTTGCTGATACCGAATTTTGTAATAAAAATCTTGTAAAATCTGCTAAAAAACTATTAAAAATTATATCTTTCAATTTATCAACTGAAAATTAACAAAACACGTTCTTTTAGATATTAACCATGATCAAATATTGTTTCAATATGTTATAGCTGCTTTTGGAAATAAACACCTAGTAAAATCTTCTAAACTTTGTACTCCCAAGAAAGCCAAGACTGTCTAAAATCCGAATAACATAATTTTAAACCTTACTTTAATCAATCCACGAGTAACAAAGTCGAATAAAAAGATACGACCATCATTCGATCCGACCGCAACCAATGTGCCAATTCTATTAAATTTACAAACGTTAGCATGGCCATTAGCCATGTCCAGTTGGCCATCCAGCTCTTCCGGATAGCCTACTGCAAAGTTTTTGTCCAAGAGATCTGTATTCATTGTGATTTATATTACCTAAAATGTGAAACGTAAAAAATTAGACCAGAAGAAAGTTCAATATATATTTAGAGATAGATTAAGGTACTAAACAGTATTTTTATATCGAATATGAAGAAGAATTCCGATATTTTTAGCGCGAAAATACTTTCGAAAAAAGAAATTATATTTTGGGCGCAAACGAGTCGTTTTGTTTAAGTGCAGCCTGCGAGCGACGTCTTATACGATGAAATATATTCATGCTTTTTAAATTTTTTTGTAAACTAACAAATAATTAAATCAAAATTGCTAAAATATATTATATTTATTGGTTTTAAACATATTTTTTACATAATTTCAAAAAAGCATGGCTTGGAAAGACGATTATATTATAGTAGGTAGCTGCTGTAAAACTACATTGTGGCAAGATCAAATAACGGGCAAAAAGCATACAGTTTTTGTTATTAAACAATTTTAAAATAAAATACAAACTTAAAATTATAAAAAGTTTTAAAAAATATTAGTCTTTCTTTTTCGAAACGATGAAAACCGGATAGAAGTTGTTAAGAACGTCCTTGAAGTCAATGTTCTGCTTTAAATTCTTGCCGAAATCTTTCTCAATTCCTAACAAAGTCTTCTGAATGTCTTCTAAATTTTTTTCAATGTTTTCATCTTTTTTACTTTTCTTTTCCGTCTTTAAACTATGGGTTTTGTTCTTCTTCTGTTTTTCTTGATGTTCTTCTTTCTTTTCATCATTTTCTTTATTCTTTGTTAACTTTAAAATCTTCGTCTGACGATTTTTAGTTTTTTCAATGTCTTTTTTACTTTCTGTGTTTTTAAAATGTTCAAATTCAATGTCGAACATGGGATAACCGTCTCTATTGTCTTCTTTTACTATGTTTTCTTCATGATTATCTATGTTTTTGGGGTTTGTTGCTTCCGTTTCTTCTTCTTTTTCTATTTCTTCATGATTATCGTTGTTATTGTTCTTTTTTGCTTCTGTTTCTTCTTCTCTTTCAGCCAAAAGGTCTAGTATTTTGGCAGAATCTAGGTTTTCATCACTGTCAATGTAGATTACTTCTTCTGCTTCTCGTTTTACTTTTTTATCGTTTTTTATCTTCTCTTTCTTCATTAGTTCCTTCTCATTGTTCTTTGATTTCATCTCATTCTTCTTCACATTCAACTCATTGTCTATTGGTTTCGTCTCGCTCTTTTTGGAATTCTTCTGATTCTTCTTCACCTTTATCTCATTCTTTGAGTTCTTATGAATCTTAGTGAGTTTAGCGACAAATTTCGTGCTAGACTGTACTGGAAATGTCGTAGAAGCTACAAGTTGACTGTCTTTTAGTTCTTCAGGCTTTAAAGAGGAAAGAGCATCATTATTTCTATCTTTAGAAGTGGTAATAGCATCTGTAGTTTCAAAAGAAGTTTCCTTATCTTTCTCTGGACTCTCTAGTTCAGATGCATTACTATTGTCATCAACAAGGGTAGGCACAATATCAGTGACATTATTGTTTTCATCAAGAAAGTTAGAAACCTCAAGCACAGTGCCACTACTATTGTCATCAAAAGCATCTTCAGTAAGCTGTACCTCATCACTTAAAACAATGTCCTTCATTTTCGAAATGTCATCTTCTTCTTGTTTTGTTGGCATTCTACTAGTCTTCTGAACCTTTTCTTCTTTTTCTTGAGTGTTTTTAGTAGTTTCGACCGGACTTTTGCTTAATATTGATCTTGCTTCTGATGTTGCGTCAAGTTTTATCGAATCTCCTTTAGAAATCCTTTGTTTTGAAGCTGGCGTTGAAGCAATTTGCAGCTTGTTAGCTTCATCAACGCCAAAGTGTTCCAAGTGTTTTTTGATGTTTTGAGCATTCAGCTTATCAGCATTAGATTCAAAGTTTATTTTATCAACAGCTGATTTCAATTTCAAACTTTCTGGTGTTTTGGAAGTTATTTGAAGCTTCCTAAGACTGTCTTTAGTAGTTCTAGAATTATTCTCGGCTGATTTGGTTGTACTTGTACCGATAAAGCTGCTTTCGATTGATTTGACGGTACTTGAACCAATATTTTCTTCAGAATCTGGCTTTGATGGCTTCTTACCATTTAGCTGAACTCTAGAAGTTGGTCTTAAACTGATACCTTCAAGCTCTTCTTCACTTGACTTCTTATTCTTCAATTTAGAGCCCATTTTCTGTTTAGTATTGTTGACAAGTTTAGTAAAAATAGGGGGACCTAATGGGTATGAGCTGCCGTCATTATTACTAGTACTATGAGTACTACTTAGACCAGCACTAGTGCTAGCAAAAATGCTTCTGACTAGTTGAAAAACTCCACTGAATGAAGGGGATGGTTGTTCTTCTGAAAAAATTTCAATTTTAATACGATAAGATTTGAAATTTTATTTATTTTATGAACAGGTTCTGCCTTTCTCACCACTTGGCCTTCTTACCGCCCGGCCTGATAACGAAAGTTAATGTATTAAGTTGTTCAAATAATTCTGTGCTCATTCTCTAAGCAAGTTTTTCGGGTTTCAAGCATAATAGGGGCACATAATTACTTGAATCAATCAACTCTTTTGTTGCGGGACCTAAGCTGGGCCTGGTTTCTTGATTCGGTCTCCGGCACTTTTCAAATTTGCGTACAGTAGGCCAAGTCAAATCGGACCCAAGCTGACCCTCTGGGACCTTAATTTAAACCCTGACCTTCTAGCCCGCGTGTCCAGCCAATTTTAAATTTGTCTCAACCCGGCCCAGTGCGGCCGGAAGCTAAGCCAGGTCATGCTCTGTGTTTTCTCTACCAATCCTAATTTCGAGCATAAAACAATATTAAACTCACTTTCAGTACCATTACTAACAATAACATCTTCAGTACCATTACCAATAATAGCGTTGAAATCAGTATTGTTACGATTTGAAACAAGCACTCTTCCGTAAGTTTGAGTAGCTGATAAAACTAAAGCTAATATTGCTAAAAAGTACAGTTTAAACCACATTTTATACTGCAGTTGTATCTGAATCCGAGAATTTCTTTTATATGACATACGACAATGGAAATGAGTCAAGACGGTTTGCGGTAAAATAAACAACAAAACGGCTGTACGATGACCTTTTGGGAGGAAAAAACAGCATTCATTGCTTAAGGGCTTCTGCAATAAAACATCAAATTGATTTTTTTGTAAATAAGGTTCAAACATCTGTTTTAAGTTGGTACATTTTTGCTAAATTTTTTAAAAAATAATTGAAAAGTGCAGCCCAGCTCATCACAGTTTATCCTTGTCTCCTTGTCTAGTTCAGAGATGCGCAGACTAGTCCTAACTCGTTCCAGCCCAGCCCCAGCCTCAGCCCCAGCCTCAGCCCCTAGCGCAGCGCAGCACAGCCCAAATTAGCGCAGCCTCAGCCCGAGATTCAGTCCAGTTCATCCTAGAACAGCTTAGTCTAGCTCAACCAATTTTTTTGTGATATGGTTGTGTCATGCTTAATATTGTGGTTTACTATGTCATCAATGGCTTTGTCGACCATTTTCTCTAAAAAAATCTTTGGGATAGCTTAAAATTAAAAAAAAATTAAAAAATTTGCATAATTTGTCTCTCCTAACTTTCCAAACCTTTATTTTTGAAAATCCAGTCCATTGACTTTTGTGCGTTGGCGGAGAGTGGTGGTCGCTATGGTTCAATCAAGCAACTGTACTGGAGTGGTAAGTTATAGTCTATAAGTTATATTTTGTGTTATTTAAGCCTATTATGCTTAACTATGATATTTTTTTCTTTATTCTTTACTTATCATTAAAAACGTCAAAAATCTGTAATTTTTCATTGATTTTAACGTATTTTTAAGCGTTTTTGAATGGTTTTTGTTTCTTAAAACGGGAGTTTTTGCTTATTTTAAATGGTTTTGTTAACCACAACAAGTTTTTAAAATATTTGTTTAGTTTAAAGTAAAAATGGTCTTTTTAGGTTGATATGAGTGGGGTAAACAGCCAGCAAGAACAATGTGGACAACTACAACAATGTCAAGCTTGTATGCATTTGGCACGGAAGCGTGTGGTAAGATATAGAATATAAAAACGTTTTTTTGCTTAAAATTTGAATTTTTGAAAATTTTTTTAAATTTGAAAAATTAAAATTCCAGGTCCAGCCCAACCAAATTGCCCAAAGACAAAGCTATGAAGAGGTCATTATCAACTTGAACAAGCGCCTTGAAGCCGAGCGTAACAAGGCCGAGAGCAGTCGCTTTAGCTACTTGATGATTCGTCTGGAAAAGCAAGAATTGGAGAAGAAGCTAAAGAAGGCGACTACGGCCAATGCTCAACTTGAGGCCAGGATTACGGCATTGTCCACTGAGTTGGAGTTGGAGAAGGACACTTCAAAGATGTGTGTGGCTCACATGAATGAAGTCAGGTTGGGTGCAGCTGAAGCTGTCAGATACTTGCAAAAGGCTTTGGAGAGGTAAAAGTTATGTACTACTTTAAAAAATATTGTTTTGTAAAACTTAGTACCATTTTTTTTAAAACAGTACTAGTTTTATTAAAAATAGAACCATTTTTTAAAAATGGTACTGATTTTTATATATTAGCACTGCTTTTACTAAGTTTAGTACTCGTTTTATCATAAAAGCATTGTTTTGTCAAATATAGTACTAGTTCATAAAGACTAGTACTAGACTATTAAAATTAGTACTAGTTTTTAAAAATCGGTAACAGTTTTGAAAATTCAAGGTTTTTTAGCAAACAAGTGCTCATTACCGACTCGAGTGATTCGTTTGCCAGCATGATTAATACCTCATTCCCAAACACCACCGCGACTTCAACTACGACTCTTGACAACACCACCGAAACCACCTCCACCAGGACTAGTCCATCGCTCGAGCTGGTGTCATTTGATTCCAATTCGGCTCAAACTCCACTAGCTCTTCGTTGTTCATGCAATCCTCATTTGCATGCTCCGGTCGATGAACAGGCTGGGGTAAGGGTAAAATTTGAATTTTAAATTTTTGAGATTTTAAAATTTTTAATTTTATTTAACTTTTGAATTTTTTAAAAATTGTGTTTTTTCGGATATTAAAATTTTTAATTTTATTGGAATTTTTTTTTGAAACGAAATCACTTATCAATTTTAGCCTCCAAAGCCGGTAGTTCAAGAAACCAAAACCACCAATACTGACACCTCCTCCACGTACACGTTGCAGCCTCGAAAACAGGTTCGGAAAAAGAAGCGCAACCAACTCCGCAACCCTCGCAACTTTTCGCCGCAATGCCATTGCACTTGTGTCTGTAGTTCCACCGCTTAAAGTGAAACGACTTCGACTTGTTTTGATCACTGATTGCACATTAAACTGATTTTTGAATTTTTTATAATTTTTTAAATGGGGGGAGGGGTAGGGGGGTAATGTAGAGTAGGGAAGAACAGGGAAAGGTTAAAAGGTTTTTTTAGACTATTAAAAAATAAAATACAGTACCTGTCATCTCAAAAAATATTTGTTATTCAATTTTTTTTAAATGACAAAACGCGTACGCCACTTGAGATTCCAAGGACGTCTCCGATCCAAGTACTAATCAAGCGCACCGTTGCTTAACTTGCCAGATCGGACGGGATGGCGTGCGTTCAACGGGCTATGGGCGTACACATTCGAATTTTCTTCTTTTTCAAAGACAGTGGAAGGGAACTCTGACGTCTTTTAAAAATACCTTTTCTATCGCTTTTTCTCTACCTTTAGCTTATCTTTTGAACGTAGTGATATGTCCGCACATGTTAGACATAATATAAGTAAACATTAGAGAAAAAGAACTTTAAAGAAGACAAAAGGTTTAGATAAGAGGCAGTTAGAGAGAGAAGATAACTCCAAAAAGTCCGTCGCTCTCAATCAAGAGGTAACTTTTCGTTTTAATTATCGCAATAACAGAGTAGACATCTTCGGTTTATTAACCCAAGTTTGAGGTTAGCTCATGTTTCGGCTCTGAACTCTCAGTGGCTGATCAAACAGAAATTTTGGAACGCTTTGCTTATTGTAGAGCACATAATATTCGTTATAAAACTATTGTTAGAACATATTACAATACCAATCAGATCGTATGTTACTAGCTAGTAACATAGTAGACTAAGAATAATTTAAAAATTAACGTTCATTGATAGAAGTACCAAAATTTAAAAGTCTCAAACTTTATTTATCGGAAAAGTAATAAAGTTTAATGGACAAAACATAATATAAAAGTAAACATTCAAATAAAAAGTTGATATTTAGAAGTAACAATCATATATAGGCTTTTTAAGTCATACATTGTTATGAATAATAACGTTTTACATTAAATAAAAAAATAAAATTTTTTAATCGTTTTAATTCAAGCCAAGTTGACCGAAAAGTCCTCCAAGACCACCAAGACCTTGTCTCTTGCGGCGCTGTTCAAAGCCGGCTTCCCTTTTGAGTATACCAGCAAGCCCGAGACCGAGAAGACCACTTTTCTTAGCATTTTGAGCAAAAGTAGAAGAAACAATCACAAACAGTAGAGCAAATACGACAAAGAATCTCATTTTGGTTACTTGTAGCTGAAGCAAGTGTTGAAAACTGTGATACTGCTGCTTACTTTTATAGTACTGAAGGGTTACACATTTCTATGAATTTCTACGAAAGGATTTCCATTAAAAACTAATTGATCTACGTATTTCGATTGTTATATCAAAAAGATACTGGTTTTTGATTTGAAGTTTTGTTATTTTGATCAAAGAACGAGGATTTTAAAGCTCTTCCTAGAAACATACGATTTGAACAGTATTGTAAAATGTTGCGATGCAAATCCGCGACATAACAGACTAGTTTTTAAAAACATTACTAAGTTTGTAAAACCGAGTTTTTATGGTAATTTTAAGTATTTTTAACGTACAGTAACATTTTTGTTTTTTTTACTTTTGAAAAGTGCCAATTCCGACCAATTTGAGTACGGGAACTTCAAAAAAGTATATAATTTTTAACTTTTCGGTACTGGCTAAGGGTTTAATTGTAAACACTTACAATAAATTACTACTAAATTAAAAATTGTTCAAATAAGACACACAAAGTTTTGATTCCGACTAAATTAGGTATGGGAAATTCAACAAAAATAAATGTTTTCTGCTTAACGCTTTAATTGTAAAATGTTACGATATAATACTATGATTTTAAAAAGTGTTCAACTTGAACATATAAAATGCCAATTTTGACTGACTAAAAAAAATATTTTAGATAGAAAAATATAAATCATTTTTAAATTGGTTACGGCGTAAAAGTTTAATTGTTAAAACTTACAATATTATATTATTGAATTTGAAGTCACCCAAATTAAAATTTTGATTTTGTTTAAAAAGTTGTTTGTTAATTTTTCAGTGTTTTGTGAAAAAAAATTGTTTTAAAAACGAAACAGCGATCTAAATATGCATATGACGCTCTTACGCAATGGCGTCCTTTATAATAAAAAACGTACCATACGTTTACTTCATTTATTCGCTATATTAATTTGGGTTGTGTTTACAATTATGTTGTCTCCGCTTATTTTACCGGCAACTACATTGTTTAAAAATCATCAACTCAGTACATTGACAAAATGTTATTTTTGCTGGTTTTCTAGTGCTCTATTAGTAGTTGGTTTTATTGTTTTTGGGGCACTTTGGCAACGTGGGTCAGAAGGGTTTTATTGTCCTAATACTCAGAGTCCAGTAAGTCTTTAAAATAAATTATATTGGGAGGACGGGAAGAACAGAAACTTTTCAAATAATAATTTGCAAACGAATGATTCAGTAGTTCGTACAACATTGCTAATTTAGGCCTTTAAGGCTGTCTGTCGTGGAGGATCAGTTTTTGAACGACCAGAGAATTTTACGGCTAGTAGCAATACTGTTGAAGAAATGGGTCTTGATGTACGCGCTTTGAAGGGTAAATTACTGTATAGCCGTGAGTTTCTGCCTCACTTTGTTGCAACATTGATAATGGGTTTTGCCCATGCCGTGAACAGCGCATTAGCTTGCGCAGGTCAGTTTTGCATACATAATATTAGTAATTTTTTGGGAAGAATTGTTTTCTGAAATTATGAGAAGGTTAGCATGATGAAATTGAAAGCGTTCTTTTTTATTTGTCACAAAATAAGCAGGGAAGAGTGCTCTTTTCATTCTTTTTTTCGATTTTAAAATATAAAACAGAATAAGAATTATAAACGGTTACGCACTGTTAGAAACCATAATGCACTGGGCGATCCTTCATTAGCCCCAAAATTTGTTGAAAAATAAATTTAAAATTTTTTACTTAGTGTCGTTTGAATAGTGATATAACATTTGGTTGCATAATTTTATGAGAATACTTTATACCAAAATAGCTTTAAAATAAATCCACATAAACAATGTACTTTAATTTTTTGGCATCACTTGTAAGCTATGGTATCCGGACTTGGATGTAAAGAGTGTTCTGTAGCTACTTGTGCCGATTTTTTTCGAAAAATGTTTTCTAAAAAAAAAAACAATTCTCTTCAAAATCAACATACTCGATAATGTAGAAAGAAGTGAAAAGACGGCTACTAGAGGAATTTGGATCGATGTCTAAAAGTCACAGCAAAACTGTAATTACTGATCGTGAGATGGCTTCTATGGCAGCGCTACTAGAAGAGATTCCCGATTGGAAAATCAGTAACTGTCGATTCCATAAGGCGAAGAATATGTTACTGAACTTCAAACAAAAGGTTACTAGTGAAAAGAACTTGCTGCTTGATGATGAGGTTAAGAGTTGGTTCAATCGCCTCCTCGGGTTGTCGTTTTTGCCAGAATCTGTAGCAGTAGAAGCTGGAAATCACATGTTGTCACAGTATTCTACAACTGCAGGAATTACGAATCACAAGACGTACAAGGACCTTGCTGCGTTCCGTGCTTACGTCAGCACATGGCATAGTAAGCACGGTAGACATTTCAACTTTTACGACGATCCTCTTAAACCAAGAACAACAAATTATTGTGAAGGTTTTAACAGCGGTTTGAAGAAGATTGGAATGCCTAAACATCCACCGACACGCATGGGGTACGAGCAATACAGACAAATATTAGAAAGAGCTGGCGTTTTGTACACACATCCCAAGCAAGGAATTATGGTCAACAAAGAACGTATCGGAAAAAGATAGCCTGCTGAAATAAAAAAAGATCTTTTGTTGAAAAAATGGCAAGAAGGACAAGAAGCGTTTGTAAACGAATGTGAAAAGAATGATGTAGATTTCGGATTAGACGCTTGGCTACGGTAGGTTTTTAAAAAATAAAACTAATAATAGGGAGACGATTGGTGCAAAATAATTTTTATTAAATTTTAAAAAACTAAAAAATTTTTATTTAATTATGCCGCAAATTCCGGCGGTTGTGACCCCGCGGCGGTTGTGACCCAAAACGGCGGTTGTGACCCCATATAATTAAAAAAATAAAAAATATTTATATACTTTAACCTTACCTCTGACCTGACTCTATTCTTGACTTGTTTGCCTTTGCCCCTACGTGACCCTATTGTAGCGGTAGGGTTTTTCCCGATGTTCTGCCTCTGGTGCAGTTGCCTGTCTTGCTCTTATTACAGTTAGAACAATACAATAATTTTGTTAAAAATATTTATTCCTCCATTTAGATGTTAAAACGGAGTGAGAACGACAGACGCAGCTGCCGTTCTCGCCTCCAGGAGGGCCGACTGGCGTTTGTAAGGCAAAGCAGAGGTCTTACCCTAGATGATAAATGACCTCAGCTTTGTCCCACAACACTATTCTTGACCATCTTGGCCCCGCCTGACCTTAATCTTGACCTACCTGACCCTATTTTTGACTTGTTAGCCCCTACCTGACCCCATTCTTCATCAATTCGGCCATACCTGACCCCATTCTGCATCATTTTGGCCATGACCCTATTCTTGATCATTTCGGCCCCACCTGACTCTAATCTTGACTTACCTGACTCTATTCTTGACTTGTTTGCCCCTACTTGACCCTATTCTTGATCATCTTGGCCCCATCTGACCCTATTTTTGACTTGGGTGGTCCTACCTGACCCTATTCTTGACCTACCCGACCCTATTCTTAGGCTAATACATAAATAATAATATATAAAATTTAAAGATAATATATTTATAGAAATTCGAGAGTATTGCACTGAACCTATGGCACCTTTAAGTATGTATACTACACAAGGATTTATCGTTTTTATCGTTATTCTTCTATGCCTTACATATCAGTTCGTAAAAGTTGTTCAAAAGTTGTGTATTTTTCTACCAAATGTTCTAAAATTTGGTAGAAAAATACAGGCAGGGACGGGCTCTGGGTTTGAGGGGGCAGGTAGGGGGAGGGGGGGGGGATTTTCTATGACGCTTGCAGACTAAAAGTTTTTAACTTATAATTAGAAAAATTTTAGCACCGGAATGGAAGAAGGTTGATAGTGAAATGAACGATTTAAGGATTACTTCCCATTCAGCCACTATTGACAATGCATTGACAAATTTAGCATTCTACCTTACAATTGATGTTTTACACAACAAGTATCAAAGCAAAACGTATTTTTTGGCCGTAGGATATCTAATGACAAAATGCCTGTTGTGTTGTTTGATCATGGCTTATTGCTACTGTTGAATTCTGAATTAAGGAGGTGGGCAATTAATTTGGCTTTTTCGAAAAATATCGCGATTTTTCATTTATTTCGATTTATGAAAAAATGAATTTTTTATTTAAATCTGAAAATATAAGAAAAAATAATAAAACGTAAAAAAATCATAAAAATTTTTAAATCACAGTTTAATTAATTACTCAAACACTACTTAAATTTAAAAAAAACCTGAAAAATTTAAAATAATCTTTAAAAAATTTCAAAAAGTTTTAAATGATCTATTAAAATTTTTGAATTTTTTTTGTTTTAATAGGTTATTTTTTAAGGGGTTCCTACTTCGCTAATAGCTTGGCTCCGACTTCTTGGGATTGTGTCTTTCCGAATAAAATTGTGGGTGAACATTACGAAATTGAGCTCTACAGCATCATTCCCAACATAAGCAACTTCATATTAGCATGTGCCATTCCTCCAATTACAATTTCATTAATTTTTCATTGTTTGGCACTTGTTCAATTGATTACTTTGCCATGCCGACTGAAAAGTAGGCTAGTGGATTATACAAAAACGTTTAAAGGGGACGAGCGAGATGTCGATTTTATAAAAGGTGTACGTAATTTAGATACAGCTTTTATGTTAGATCAATTACAGACCAAAATTCCATCTACTGATGTATCGACGCTTTTGTCCTACGTTTGTAGGCTTAACCGTGGTTCGGTCATTCCTTGTTGAATTGTTTCTGAAATTTTTTAATCTTGTAATCTTTTTGTGTAAATTCACTTTTTTCAATTCATTTTTTTTTAATTTTTCGAATCACTTTTTCTCGTTTTAAACTTTATTCACCTATAATTCTTTTTGTTTATAAGAAATTGCATTTTAAAAATTAAAAATTTAATTCAAAAAACTATTTTTTGTTTTACAAGCTGTACATTTGCTATTATTTTTTGTATATTGTCATATGTTTTCATAAACTTTCTATTGTGTAAAGGTACATTTATATATACATAACGATTTTTTGTGTTTACCATGCTCTATTTTTTATGATTAGAAGGTAAATTAGGAGTAAGGGGAGGGGGATTGGACAGGGGTGGGACCTTCTTGGCCCTACGTTTAGGTAAGATCTAGAATAGGGTCAGGTATGGCCTAAATGATCAAGAATAGGGTCAGGTATGGCCGAAATGATGAAGAATGGGTCAGGTAGGGGCAAACAAGTCAAAAATAGGGTCAGGTCAGCGGTGAGGTCAAAGTATATAAATATTTTTTATTTTTTTAATTATATGGGGTCATAACCGCCGTTTTGGGTCACAACCAACGCGGGGTCACAACCGCTGCGGGGTCGCAATCGCTTTTAGTGGTGATAATCGTCTTTTAATCGGTTTTTTGAAATTTTACGTTTTTTTATTACCCCAGTTTTTTAAACTTCTATTTTTATACACATAGTAATATATATTTATACCTTATTATCAATCTATAACTTTTTAAGTCTTTTATACTTAAATTGATTTTACAGTACACATCATCGCTTTATATGAAAAAATTGTTTATTAACAAACATCACAATATAAAATTTACAATTAAAGTATTTATTATATCATACTTGAGAACTATGGGCTAAACCCTTATAAGGCAATTCAATTTAAAATCTCACAAGAATAAGTTAAAATTTATTATATTAGTACGTACAAAAAGTATTAATCAAAATATTAAAATACATTATTATTGTCCTTTATTCAAATTTTTCATTCTCTAATACGAACGTACCATGCCAAAGTTAGTAGGAATTGACCCTTTACTTGTTTAATTTGAACAATTTTTAATTTAATAGTAATATATTGTAAGCTATTACAATTAAACCCTTAGGAAGTAGCGAAAAGTTTTAAATTATATTTTTTTTTTGAATTTCCTTACCTAAAACAATCGGAAATGGACGGCTCGTTCCATTTTCCGTGCTCTAGAGACGGTCTAACAAAAGTAGTCCAGTTACAAACGGATTTGGTAGAGCTGGTTGTTCCCATCTTCAGATGATCTTGTAAAGCTTCTCTGTCCTAGTACACTTTTGGTACGGTTTATTTCTTTGATACCTTTTTTGAGTTGTAGCAAATGGGTTCTTAAATTCTTGTTCATATAGCTTCATCTTCGTCTCGTTGTTTATCCATACACTGAAGCGAGTTGAGTAGAACTTCCAATGAATTGAATCTTCAAATGTCTTTGAATTTTTTTGAAAGGTCGGCTGTAAGGGCGGTTATGTCTTTAGATACGTACATCTTTAAAAATTCGGATTCCAGTAAGAAATTTGTAGTGCTCACGGTTGCTTTTTGCATATGTTTTTGTTCGGCGCCTTGTTCCAGAAATAATATTTTTGGCAAATTTGTATGATGATAGGTTCTTCAAGTTTAAAGCGTTTCTTGGACTGTTCATTGAGGGTATCAGTTCCCATTTGGCTACGTCGTGACCTCTTTTACAGGACGTAGTAGATGGAATCCGTTGTTTCGATTCCTACAAAACATCAGTACTGCTGCTGGTTCTCTGGTGGTTGAACGTTACGTTTTCAGGAACGTTTTAAGATTTCTCTTCTTTACCGCTCTTTTTACGTGTTTGACCATAATTTCGGCTTGACCATTTGATCATCGTGTATACGGCGTTGACGTCATGTGTTTGCTTCCTGTATATGTTGTAGTATAAGTTACGATATTCTTCGAATTTGGTTGATACTAGGCTGGTAGTGGTTGGCCACGATCTCAAGGTCGATGGTAGTCTTACGTCTTCAAGTTCGGCACATAATTTACATTACTTTATGAACTTCTCGATGTCCAAATTGATGTTACATTGGAATTAAAAGATTGTCCAAAATTACGACCAGTGTTATAATAAAAAGGTTCCGAATATAATGTCTTATTAGGAAGATTCGGGGGTTTATATAGTGCAAACATATCTTATCAAGTCGTATTTCAACGACATGAAACTACTTTATTTACGATATTAATGGCAGTGGTTTACGGAAGTTGTCGTCTTATCAAAGTAGAATGTTCTAGAAAGTTGTGATACTACAGATAGAAAGGTATATTTAGTAACCTTCAAAATCCTCTTCACTGTTTCTGATAAAAAAATATTGATAATGTGTGTACGCCTATAGCCCGTTGAACGCACGCTTTCCCGTCCGATCTGGCAAGTTAAGCAACGGGGCGCTTGATTAGTACTTGGATTGAAGACGTCCTTGGAATCTCAAGTGGTGTGCGCATTTTGCTTTTTTTAAAAGAACATTGCTTTCTTTGAAATGAAAAAAATACTGTATTTTTTTATTTTTTCAGGTAAGAGTACTTTAATGCGATCGCTAGCGTTTATTCTACTTGACATATCATTGTGAATATGATATAAAAAAGTTTCGTAAGTCTTACAAGATGAATTGTAATATTGTTGACGTTGTTGGTTTACCGTGATGTTTTTTGTTGATTTTTTATGTTTTCTCAATTACAGTGCATGCAGAAGGTCCAACCAAAAAGTCCGGTCTTGGCTGGCTTGTTGATTGGCAATGTCTGTTAGGCTTGACGAGCGTTTCTGACACTTCCAGCAGCACCATTCAAGGTGTCAACGATTCCAGTTCCGGTTCCAGTCGCGCTACCAGTAGATACAGGCTTGGGCACAGGAACAGATCCAGTGTTGATTCCGTGACCCACAACTTGTGGATGACGTTGAGGATGAGCTTGGACGTGGCCACGAATTGGCTGTCTACCATGGTTGTAATGTTGGTTGTTGTTATGGATAGCACGGGCATTTCTAACACTTCCAGCAGCACCACTCAAAGTATCAACGATTCCAGTTCCTGAGCTAGATCCGGTACCAGCTGATGGTTTAGGGATGGTACCAGAAACAGATCCAGTGTTGATTTTGTGACCTCCAACTTGGGGATGACGTTGAGGATGACCTTGAGGATGAGCTGGGGCGTGGCCACGAATTGGCTGTCTATCATGGTTAAAAGGTTGGTTGTTGTTATGGATAGCACGGGCATTTCTAACACTTCCAGCAGCACCACTCAAAGTGTCAACGATTCCAGTTCCAGAGTTAGATCCAGTACCAGTTGATACAGGCTTGGGCACAGTTCCAGTGTTGATGTCGTGACCTCCAACTTGGGGATGACGTTGAGGATGAGCTTGAGCATGACCTTGAGGATGACGTTGGATATGACCACGAATTGGCTGTCTACCATTGTTAATTTGATAGTTATGGTGGTTGTTGTTACGGACAGCACGAGCATTTCTAACACTTCCAGCTGCACCACTCAAAGTGTCAACGATTCCAGTTCCGGTTCCAGTGGCGCTACCAGTAGATACAGGCTTGGGTACAGAACCAGATACTGATCCAGTGTTGATTCCATGACTTCCAACTTGGGGACGACGCTGAGGATGAGCTTGAGCATGACCTTGAGGATGAGCTTGGGCGTGGCCACGAATTGGCTGTCTACTATGGTTAACACGATAGTTGATGTTATGAGCAGCACGAGCATTTCTGACACTTCCAGCAGCACCACTCAAGGTGTCAACGATCCCAGTTCCAGAGTTGGAGCCAGTTCCAGTAGATACAGGTTTGGGTACAGATACAGGTCCAGTGTTGATTCCATGACCTCCAACTTGGGGACGACGCTGAGGATGAGCTTGAGCATGACCTTGAGGATGAGCTTGGGCGTGGCCACGAATTGGCTGTCTACCATGGTTAAAAGGTTGGTTGTTGTTATGGATAGCACGGGCATTTCTGACACTTCCACAGCACCACTCAAAGTATCAACGATTCCAGTTCCTGAGCTAGATCCGGTACCAGTAGATACAGGCTTGGGCACAGATCCAGTGTTGATTCCGTGACCTCCAACTTGGGGATGACGTTGAGGATGAGCTTGGGCGTGGCCACGAATTGGCTGTCTTCTCTTGCCATGGTAGTTGTTGTTGTAGGTAGCACGAGCAGACCTCAAACTTTCGAGAGGTTCTTCAAAAGACGATAGGTCATAAGAAGAACCGCCGGGGAAGTAATCAAAAATCGATCTGTCGTTTCTGATTTGATTTCCAGCTTCATTTAAGGAGCCAAAAATCCCATTTGCAAAGTTAGAACCAGTGTCAGATAGTGTTTGAGGCTTGTAATTAGAGATGGGGTTAGTATTCGCACTGTCGGCATGCGTCATGAAGCTTTCATAGAGATTCTCAAGTGGATAGCCATATTGTTTCGTACGTTGTTCATGGGCTAAAAGTTATAATTATAATGTAGGTGGTTAGACTGGGTGGGTCGGAGGACTTCACCATGCTTTTTTTTAAACCCTACATTGATTTACTATACCATACCTTGTTTTACCCTACCCTGTCCAACTTTAATTCTTATACTATTGGTTGTACAAATAATTACGTGCCCCCTCTCAATACAAATTTTTGGTTTTGAGGCGCAGAATTATTTGAACAACCTAATATAAGGGTTAGAGTTGGGCAAGGCAGGGTAGTATTATATATATAATATATGTCTATCTAGAAAAGTCATTTAGCTATCAAATTTTGGTCAATATGTCAATATTAGTCGATATATGACACTAGAAACGACCAAAAAAGTAAAAATGTCAAACAGCTTACCGTCTCCATAAACCACTCCAAGAACAATAACAAAAACGGTTAACAATGCAGTAAACTTCATTTTTGTTATAGTCAGTAAACCACAACGTCGAATAAGTCAACCTTCTTCCAGCTATTTATACTCTAATTTTTCTTCAATATTATGCAGATTTTAGGTATTAACATACATTTTTATTTCTTTCTGGACCATCTGTTTAATTATCATAACTTGTTGTAAACAAAAACTTTGTCTAGGTGAGGATCAATTGGTTGTCAACAAAAATTCATTTTTTATATTTTAAAATTGGTTTACAAGAAATTTATAACTGTTAGCCAAGGCAAGTGCTGCCATATCGTAGCCTGTCTTATCTAGACCTACCTTATCGTAGCGTAACCTGTCTCGGTCTCTCTTACACTTATCTTAGACTATAATGTCTTACTCTACTGTACCATTATCAGCCTTATTATACCTAACCTTCTTATCCTATCCAAAGCTGGTCTTAATGTAGCGTGTTTTATCTAGAACTACCTTGTCCTACTTAATTGTACCATAACATTTATTGGTTAAATGTCATGGTACAATAAATCATTTATTGGTTAAATGTTGTGCTAAATTTCCTACCTCACCCAGACTGTATATCTTAACCTACCCTACTCTACCCATAACCAGCCTTCTTCTACCTTATTTCACCCTACTTTGCTTTCTTATCCTCCCCAAAGCTGGGCATATTAGCTTACTTATACCGTCTTATCTGCACCTAGCCAACTTTATCCTACTTTTATATAACCCGTCTTAATTATCTAGACCACCTTGCCCCACTATAATGTCTTGATCTCTCCTCACCTCACCGTAGGCTAATTTAATATATTTTACCCTACTCTACTACAGCCTACCTTACTTTACCTTACTCTCAGGGGCTACTCTACCATAGTTTGTCTTAATCTACCTCACCCTCTTCTGTCTTACCGTACTCTGCTTTAACCTACAGTACCATACTCATAAAAATGACGCATAATTCAAGTCCAAAAAAGCTTCAACACATAAGTATACTGAAACCACCCACAAAAACAAAAAAAGAGGCCCCAAACAGTCATCATGACATAATTTATGTACAAACTAAATATTTTTATAAATCAATATGTGATCTTCTACAATCTCAATATAAACATTCCCATCAAACCAGAACATTATCAACTTCTTTGTTTCTTGGCCAACTTGTAGTAGAGGCCCTTCATGCCCAGCAAACCTTGGTGATTGCCCTGTTCGATGACTTTACCAGCACGACATACCGCGATCTTGTCCGAGTTTTGAATGCTCGACAGTCTGTGGGCGACGGTAATCGAAGTGCGGCCTTTGCACGCCTTCTCCAACGCTTCTTGGACCAGTTTTTCGGATTCTGTATCCAACGCTGAAGTGGCTTCGTCCAGTAGCAGAATCTTCGGGTTTCTGACAATGGCACGGGCAATGGCGATACGTTGACGTTGGCCTCCTGATAGACGAGAGCCTTTGGGGGCCTACTGAGGTTTCGTAGCCCTAAAATAAGATTTTGTTTAAAAATTTTTTGCTTTTAATTTTTAGGGTGAGTTTTAGCCATTTTTTGTTTTGTATGGAAAGTTCTTGCCATTTTTTGTTTTGCAAAGAAAGTTCTGGCCATTTTTTGCTTTGTAAAGAAAGTTCTTGCCATTTTTGGTTCTGTAAAGAAAGTTTTTGTAATTTGTTGTTTTGTAAAAAGTTTTTGTCATTTTTTGTCTTGTAAAGAAAGTTTTTGCCATTTTATGCTTTGTAAAGAATATTCTTGCTATTTTTAATCTGTAAACAAAGTCCTCGCCATTATAAATCCCAAAACTGTCAAAATTTAAACTCTAAATTACCTCCGGGAACTCCGAGATGAATCCATGAGCGTTCGCCATTTGAGAAGCGGCCGTGATCATGGCTTCGTTGAACTCTTCCTTGTTCAAACCATACAGAATGTTCTCCTTGATACTCAAATTAAACAATACTGGTTCTTGACCGACCAACGCAATTTGTCGTCTCAGATGTCTAATATTGATTTTTGTAATTTCAATTCCATCCAATAGCACCTCCCCACTGATTAGGTCATAGAAGCGTTCCAACAACAAGATTGTGGTCGATTTGCCACATCCACTCGGTCCGACCAGAGCTAGGGATTGGCCTTGAGACACGTCAATGTTAAAGTCGTGGAGGATCAGCTTCTTCTTGCTGTTCGGATAGGCAAAGACGCATCGTTTGAAGTTGATATTGCCTTCGAGTTCCTGAAATGAAGTTTTTAGAACCAAGCATTTAAATTTTTGATTTCCTTATCTTACTTTTGCCCTACCTACATTTTACCACACCCTACCTAAGTCTTTCCTTACCGGTTTCAATCCATTTTCATTCATTCCATCGATCAAAGTTGGTGCATTCATCAACTTGAACATGGCACCAGCTGAGACAGTGGCACGAATGTACTCTGGGAAGTACGAGGCTGCACCCATAATGGCAATAAAGCCACTTGTCATGGCTTCAATTACTCTGAAAATTGATCAAAATTAAAAATTTGTTACCTAAAATACGATTTTTTTTGAAATCACAAAAATCACTTTTTCAATTTTTTAAAAAATTTCTTTAACAAATTTTTAAATTTAATAAAACCAAATTCAAAATCCCTCAAAATCTTACTGAAAACTCAAGAACGGATTGGTGATCTTGTGATAGATCAATATCAAGCTCAATGCGTATGCGATTCCAAAGTTAAAGTTGATAAAGGAAGCGATTAGACCATAGCTAGCTGCTTGTAATTGAACTCTGATGATATTCCTTTTGTAGGGCAGCTGATTGATCTGTAGGAATCTTTCGTACATCCACTTCTGTCTGGTTAGGGCTTGCACGGTGCGAACGTTTTCAATCGATTCTGATGCCATCTGAAGACATATACTTAAGAAGTTAGAAAAAATAAAATATTAGTTACAGTAATCCCCACTGACTAAAAATGTAAACTAATAGCGTCCAGAAAAAGGCGGAGTTAAAAAATTTAGATTATAGTAAGGTGAAGACAACTATAATTCAAGTAAAATACGAAACGTTTTGGTGAAATGTATTAGAAGCGCCAAATTACAGTACCCTTTCATTTAAAAAAAAGTAAGTCTTTTAAAAAATGCCAAAACGCGTACGCCACTTGAGATTCCAAGGACGTCTCCGATCCAAGTACTAATCAAGCGCACCGTTGCTTAACTTGCCAGATCGGACGGGATGGCGTGCGTTCAACGGGCTATGGGCGTACACATTTGTTTCCTCTTCTTTTTAAAGACACTGACAAGGAACTCTGCCGTCTATTAAAAATACCTTTTTATCGCTTTTTCTCTACCTGTTGCTTATCTTTTGAACGCAGTGTTAGATACGCACATGTTAGACATAATATAAGTGAAAATTAGAGAAAGAGAAATACCGAAAAAGGTGAAAGAAGACAAAAGGGATAGATAAGAGGCAGTTAGAGAGTTAAAACAACTCCATAAAGCCAGTCGCTCTCAATTAAAAGGTAACCTTTCGTTTTAATTATCGACAAAATAAAGTAGACTTCTTCGGTTTATTAACCCAAGTTTGAGGTTAGCTCATGTTTCGGCTCTGAACTCTCAGTGGCTGATCAAACAGAAATTTTGGAACGCTTTGCTTATTGTAGAGCACATACTCTGCTTTATATAAACTGCCATAAACTGCTTTATATTTTTTATTTCCTGCCCTGCTTTATCATCTTCTACCTTACTTTATTTTACCTTGCCCTACCTTATCATACTGTATTTTACCATACTCTGCCCCGCTTTACCTGGCCATACTATTTTTACTCTATCCCGCCGTACCCTACCCTGCCCTAAATTACCATACCGTAATGTACCACATCCTACCCCCCCCAACTCCAATAAACCTACCTTATTAGCCTTCTCAGTAGCCTGTAGATCTCCAGCTCCACGATGTTTCAAGTAAATGGCCAAACCAAACTGTAAAACCACCACAGTAGAAGCCGCGACCATACCGCACAATGACATTTGCCATCCAAAGTAGAAGGCAATAGCCAGTCCTATCAATAAACTGACAATTCCTTGTAGACAGTCCGATAATCGCATATCTATGGCTGCTTGAACGTTCGGAGCATCAATGGCTAGACGATTGGTGAGTTTACCGGTCGAATGATGTTGTTCGTCAAAGAAACTGGCGTCTTGACATAAGAGGTTCTGAAATTTGAGAAAATTAGGCTTAATTGGCATATTTATAGTGTTAAGGTTTAGGAAGCATGATAATTTTTTTAATAGCCTTAGGCACTTTACAAACCCAAGTTTACCTTATAAACAGCCAATCTCATTCTTTTAGTCAACATTTCTCCACTGAAACCCAAATATATGCCAGCCAGCACCGTAAACAGTCCACTGATGACTCCCAAACTACAGTAAGAGATGGCCATATCTCTGTTCATTCGCTCCACCTCTTCTCCATTCGAATCGATGGCTTTGGCCAGGGTTTTGAACAAATGGCCATAGATGATGGAAAAAGCTGGCCATACACAGCCACGTACCAGGGTGCACAAGAGGCCTACTGTGAGGTAGCAACGTTCGTTTTTGGCGAATTTCAAAATTTGCATAATTGAAGCCGGCTTCACATGATCTTCGATTCTCCTAGAATTTTAAAAATTGAAAAAATTTTTTTTATTATAAAAAATCAAAATTTTAAATTTCAAATAAAAAAAATAAAAAAAAATGTTTTTGAATTTTCAAATTTTTTAAACTCGATACAAACCAACAATCGTATTTTACAAAATTAAATCCCCTTACTCCTCCAAATCCAGCTCTGGCGGTTGCTCCAACTGAACGGCCATTGTCGTAACTTGAGGTACGACAATTTTGATGCTACGATGATAACTCGACTCGATTTCACTCGTTTCATTGTCTGCTGCTGCTGGTGTGTCTAAAATACGATATTATCTCAATAAAGTTACCATTTAAAAATTTAAAGTTGGAATTTACACCAATCAGCGTGAAAACCGTATTTTACAATACAACCTTATTTTATCACGCTATTTTCATTAATAATTTCCAAAACACATTTCATCGTATAACATGTCATCCGCAAGCTGCGGAATACATTAACTTTACTGATAAAGAAAAAAAAGATAAAATAATTTAAAGCAAGGCAAAGTAAATTTAGGTTATAAAATCTAGTAAAACAGGGCATGGTTTTTTTGGAAGGGGTGGATATTTACCCCGACCAATTTTTTTCCAAAATCTTTCATTTTGTTTTTCCTGTTAATTTAAAAAAAATTTTTTTTTCACTCGCCCCCCCCTCTCCCAAATCACCCCCCCCATTCTCCAAAACCACATTTTTACCCCACCCTCATTCACTTCCTTCAACTCACCCCTCCCTCTCCCAAACAACACATTTTGTACCAACTTACTATGCTGTCCTCTGTCGATCTCCTGAGCCGTAACCAAACTTCTGTAAACCCCGTTCATTTGCATCAACACCCCGTGATTGCCACTTTCAATGATTTTACCATGATCAAACACGAATATCTTGTCCGCATTCCTCACAGTCGACAACCTGTGAGCTATAGTAATTGTTGTTCTTCCTTTACTAGCCTTTTCGATCGCTTTTTGTACATGTCTTTCTGACTCCGTGTCCAATGCTGAGGTGGCTTCATCTAATAGCAAGATTTTCGGGTCTCTGATCAAAATTCTGGCAATGGCTAGACGTTGCTTTTGACCTCCGGATAACTTTACTCCACCTTCTCCTACTCGAGTCTTGTAGCCTTGGGGCAGTTCGGATATAAAATCATGGGCATTCGCTTGGCGACAGGCTTTTTCCATCTCCTTTAAGCATATTATAGTAAGTTTTGTTACCTAATTTAATAAAAACTTAAACTTTCTTAACCTCAATAGCTGTAAAAGCAATCATCACTTACCTCCATAGTCGCATCCAGCTTGCCCAACTTCAGATTCATCTCAATGGTCGTGGCAAACATTACTGGCTCTTGTGAAACAACTCCAATAATGTTCCGAAGCCATTGAACGTTCATCTTCTGAACATCTACACCATCAATTCGAACTGATCCACCTTCCTGTGTGTAATACCTCATCAACAGTCCAATCATGGTCGACTTTCCACATCCACTGTGGCCTACTAGAGCAATGGTTTGTCCTGGATTGGCTGAATAGCTGACTCCATGAAGGATTTTCTTGTCTGGACGGGCTGGATAGCGAAATTCCACGTTTTCAAACTCAATTAGGCCTTCGACTTTCTTCAATTTTTGACCGTCATCACTACAGCAGTCTAGCTCTGGCTCCTAAGAGTGATTTTGAAAATATTGTAATAAAAAGTTAAGAAAGCCATAAACTTTTTTAAAAAAATCTGGAAAATAGAGATTTTCAGTGAAAAAATCAACTTTCATAGTGAAAAATGAGCTTTCTTTACACTTGACCACAATTTTTAAACTTCAAAACCCAAAAAGTTCAAAAACAATGACATTGACCTAAAACGATCAAAAAATTTTTCTTCCGTTGCCGGGAATCGAACCCGGGCCTTGCGGGTGAGAGCCGCAAATCCTAACCACTAGACCACAACGGAACACGCCTCAACCTTCTTCTTTTCGAATTTTGAAGATCAGGTAACTTTCGGCATTTTGAAGAGACTTTTCATTGCTTTAATTCCTATTTTTAACCAAATTTCAATTAAAAATAGTGACAACTGGTTTATTTTTATTCAAAAATCAATGATAACATCAATTTCAAAAATAAAATCAAATTAAAATCAAAAAACAAAAAAAAATTGAAAAAAAATTTTGTAGGGATTTACCTGATCAATCATTTGAAGTAACTCGGCCATGGCCATTCTACATCCAACAACGACATTGACTTGGGTTAAGGCTCCACCCATTCTCAAAAATCCCATCATAATGGCCCAGAAGGAACCGAACACGATACCAGCTTCCAGTACGCCGTCCATTACCATCTTTGTGCCAGCCCTATAAAAAATAGCTTTCAAAAACAAAGAATTTAAAAAAATTTTAAAATTTAAAAAAATTTTCAAACTTCAAACAAACTTAAAACAGCCTCTTTAAAAAACCTGAACTTTTTTACCCCACCCTTACCAAAACGCCACACCCATGAAGGTGAACAACAAGAACATGACAATGCCCAGTCCAATAGCTGTGACAACTTGTTTTCGTTTCCCAAACTTGCAGCCTTTTTCCAAAATATTGCCATAGCGGTTCAGCTCGAACTCTTGGCCATTCATTGATACCACCGTTCTGATTCCGCTAATCACTTCTTCCGCTACTGATCCAGCTGAAGCATAGGTTTCTAGCTCTCCTCTTATCGAGGCTTTTACTAGCTGAAAAAAAAGAAAGGTATACTTAGTTGACACACTGAAAGTAAGAAAAGTTATCTATAAGCTTTTCGTAATAACAAGGCCAATATGCCAGATATTTTAGGTTTCCTTACAACAACAGACAACTATACCTCAATTTATAACATAAATTAGGTAAAAAAAGACAGTTCTACATCTACTTCAGCTTTTGCAAACTTATCTCGGTCAATAACATAATTTAAATCATCAAAAACTCCAAAAAACTTTCATTTTCTCAAGAGATTTTAAACTTTTATCAGATTTTCAACTTTGACTAATAATATCTCAGTCATAAAACAAGATATCAACTTGAAATTTTCAGAATATAAACTTCTTTTTATGCTCTACAAAGCCTATTTATCCAATTTTTACCAAAAGTTCCTAAAATTTTTAAAATCAAAAATGGCCGTATATTATCATTGACCCTAAAACAACATAGTATTAAAATAATAACTATTTCAACGCCTTTTCAAAATAAAAAAAAATCAAACTTAAAATAACTTACATGTCCAGACACCAAAAAAGCTCCAAAAGTAACCGGCACGATGCAAAGCATAATCAGAGCCATTTGCCAACTAAAATAATATTATCTTAAACCTTAATTTCAACTTATATGTTAATAAAACCCTTGAATAACATAAAAAAATTTAAGACACATCAAAAACTGTAATATAACTCAAGTAGAATTATTTTTTCTTCAAGTTACACCAATTATGGTTGTGTTTTGCTCGTGAACTCAATGTTAACATAGCTCTATTTGGAAAAATACGTATTTTAACACCTACCTCAATATGAATCCAATAATAAATCCAGAAATTGAGCAGGCAAAGGCCTGAATTACAACTCCAAGCTTTTCACCACTTCCATCACGGATTCGATCTGCATTTCTGAAAAAAATATTTTTTCAATTTTCTTAAAAGTTCGGCTCTTTAAAATGCCATAACTTATTTGAACATTGTTCAATTTTGCTAAAATTTTGGCTTTAGCTTACTTATAAAAAGGTACTGTCAGTTTTTGCCATGTTCATATTAAAAATGGCAATTCAAACTAAAAATCCCTTTTTAAAATTCAAAAACTCAAATTTCCCGCCAATTTTCGCCAACTTACGCGCTCAGCTTTTGAGTCAGCTTTCCCACATCATTCTTGTCAAACCAGACCATGTCCTGATGTAGGACCCGGTACAGGAACTTCTTCCTCACGATATCAACCTGTCGTTCGCTGTTCGAACTCAAACATATCATGCCACAGTAAACCACCAGGAATTGGGCGACGCCGAGCAGAAAGTACAGTACGATAGGTCTGACCAGTTCGCGACGAAACTTGTCAAAATCAAAAATGTCTTTTTCAAAGTCCGCCTGAGCTTGGGTGAGGATGTTGCAAAGGTCGTAGAAGATGACCGAGCTGAGGGGTGTCATGGTGCCACCGAGGATGTTGAGGAGAATACCAAATATTAGCAATAGCCAGTCGAATGCGCTACCGTAGCGCATCTGAATAGAATTTTTTTGAAGCAGTATTTAAAAATAAAAGCTCATTTCATTGTGTAATGTAAAATACGATCACTTCCAACGTTTTTACAAAGTCTTCCTTACCATTTGCTTGATAGAAGCCGGACGAATTTCTGCTTTTTTCGCGGGATCTTCTACTTTTGGATGCCATTGCTGCTTTTTACGATCTCTGGAAATATAAGTTGTTTTGTGTTACATATAAATACTTTTAAAGTGAACTCATACAATTTTTCAAATTCAAAAAAAGTCACACATTATGCCTAAAATATCTAAATGAAAAGTGTAAAATTAAGACTAATAACTTAAATCTAAGTCTGAGGCTTTAGAACTAAATCAAGAACTTCAAAATTAATCTTAATTCTAAGCTTGAAGCTGTAAAAGTTAACCACAAGCAAAAATTCAGCCTAGAAGTGGAAAGCTAACTGTAAGTTAAAACTTGAAACCTCAAAGTTAAGCCTAAAAATTTAAACCTAAGCTCGGAACTTCCAAATTAAGTTTGAAAATGTATATCTAAGATTGATAGTTCAAAAGTTACCCTAAAATGTCAAAGTTAAACCTAAAAATTTAAATATAAGCCTAAGATTCCAAAACTAAACCCAATGCCTCAAAATTAAACCTGACGTCTCAAAAACTAAGGATTTCAAAATTAAGCTTAAAATTTATAGAATAAACCTAAAACTCAAAATTAAGTCTAAAGCCTCGAAACTGACCCCAAGAACATGGCAGACTCGATGTCCTTGATCGGATCCGTAGTTTCGCCTTCCGATGAGCTGGCATTGCTTGAGCTTCTTTTATGTAATCGGCCAGTATGCAGGGTTGCGGTCGACATCTTGAAAATTTCAACCGATAGTAACGCAACACACCGACCAGTAAAACGTTTGACAGAGAAATGAGGTCCATTTTGTTTTGACCAAAATTTTGTAATTTGTTTTTGAAATTTTTGAAATGTTTTGCAAGTTTCAAAATTTCAAAAATTTTAATTTTACGTAGGCTCGATACTGTAAAGTAGGGTCAAGTCGAGCAGAATACGGAAAGCTAGGCTAGGGGTAAGGTATAATAGGGGGGAGTAGGATAGGGTAAAGCAAGGCAAAACAAGGCAAGGCAAGGCAAGGCAAGGCAAAGCAAAGCAAAGCAAAGCAAAGCAAAGCAAGGCAAGGCAAGGCAAGGCAAGGCAAGGCAAGGCAAGGCAAGGCAAGGCAAGGCAAGGCAAGGCAAGGCAAGGCAAGGCAAGGCAAAGTTTGAATATTATTTCTTCTGATTTTTTCAATTATGCAAATTTTTAAAAGACGATTTCTACCAAAACGGTTTTTCAAAATATTTTAATTTTGCTCACTATTCCAATTCGATTCATCAGAAGGCGGTGTTCTTTATTCTGGTAAACCGTAGAACCGAGAGCCAGTTGAGGAAGACGACTTCAAATCGAAAACAATGTCTACACCGACCACTCATGCTTCTGTTAGCAGTAGGTTGAGGTTTTTATCTTTTTATTAACATTTATGTAATGTCACATGTCAAAGACTATGTCCTTAATTATTACCTTGAACATAGCTTTGCCCGTTGCTCATAGCTTTTCTTATAGTCTTGATCATAGCCCTGGCCATAATCCTGGTTATAGCCGGATAGTTTAAAATTTGCTCATTTTTCAGCCACTGCCGGATGTAAAGGAGAAGACCTGGACGTGATGGCATTTATCATATTCGTCCTTCTGATCGTCTACTCTGCTGTCATACTGCTGGCTGTCCTCATCTACGCCGTCATCTTCCGTCATCACTTCATTTGGCTATGTCGCAACACCGCTGTCAAGTCCAAAAAGGGCAAGAAGTCGGACACCACCGCCGCCGACTCCCAAATGTCTGTCACTAAAACCGCAGCTTAAAACATGGTGTAGCCATTTGAATTGTACTTGAATTTTTAAAGAAGAATAATGTTATTGTATATTGTAATGGGGTTGATGTAAAGTTGTGGTTGATTAGTGTACTGTTGTAAAGTTGTGTTACAAAACAGCAACAACTTTGTTTACAAAGTCGATGTTTTGAAAAATAGCAAATACATTCTTTACAAAACTATATTTTTAGAAAAACCGCAAGAACTTTGTTTACAAGTCTAATATTTAAACTTAACAAAACTTTCTTTTCAAGACCAACTTTTTAGAAAAATTGCAAGAACTTTGTTTACAAGACTAACATTTTAAACTTAGGAATACCTGTCTATACAAAACTCATGGTTGTATGGCAGGGTAAGTTAGGATAGGTAAGGCAAATATATTTCCTCTCCTATGCTTATGATATATATAGTGATATGCTTAATAGAAGAACGTTGGATTGAAAAAAGAAATTAAATGCAGGTGTGTGGAAGGCTGACAGCCGCTGATGCCCGCCGGCGAAGGTCTCTTCCAAGGAGAGACCCCAAAGGAGCGTGGGCGCTGCGACAAAATCTCTTGGCCATTTTTTGAACAGAGACGATTTTTTGAATGTTAAGGAAGAAAAGGGATAAACTGGTACTGGACACTACATGTTCCAGGATAATTGGCGGTTTTTTCGGGTTTTTCTAGTGATTAGAGTTGAAAAAGTGCCTATTATATTTTGACCGGTTTCTGACCGAAGCAAATTTTAAGGGGAGCTCGGGCTTGGACAAATGAGCTCAAAGGCAGGAAACTGAAACTAAGCTTTGCCATGTAGGCTAGGCCTAAAAACAAAGCCCGGTGTAGTCCCTTTAAAAAGGGCACGGTTTAGTCCCTTTGCTGTTGATGTAAATTATTGATTTTGTTTTACATTCGACTATTTTTACACCATTTATGATATTTTTTAAAAATGTTTGCAAATTTTAATCTTAAAAGTTGTTTACAAGGAAAGTGCCCGACCTGCCCCGCTCTGATTGACTTGAAACTTTTTATATAGAAAGATCATGTAAATATAAGATCTTCAGCAAAGTACTAAATCGCACTTTCCAGGAAATCTCGAGAAAATCGAGATTGAAAAATAACATTTTGCATTTCCTGCCAACTTGGCATTGTGTTTCAAGCTTGTAACTTTGTCATTTTTTGACTGTTAATTATTTTTCTTTAATATACTAGTAGATAACCTTTAAATGAACCTACATTTTTAAATTTGTAAGCGTATCTTGTCTGGAAAGTCGAAAAAAGTGCTTGAAACACAATGCCAAATTTGCCAAATTGGCGGGAAACCCAAATAATTTAAATTTAAAACTCAAGAGCGCGAGCTAAAACTTTTTATGGGTACTATTGGTGGTACAAAGAATTCATATAAAAATTTTGAGCTGATTCTGAGCGGGGCAGGTAGGGTACTTTCCTTGTTAGTTTGTAAAATACGCAATTGGTTCTTATATCCGTATTGGTTTCTGTCTAAACTAGTCAAATAAAGTTTGTAAAATTTCTTGTACAGACGTTTTAAATGAAATGTGTAGTATTAACCGACGATTTGAAAACTGTTTGCTAAACAAAAATTTTACTCTGTTTTTAAAAACGTACTTTTGGGAATCTGTTACAGATAAATGGACTTCTTATATCCAAAGTTCATTTATCTTAAAATCAGTGCGAAATTCTTTTATTTAGAAGATTCAAAAACAGTTGTTATAATAAGGGTTTCATTGTAAGCGGAGTTTTATTAGCCAAGTTTCACTGTATTTTAAAAGTTGCAGTATATGTTGTTTTTAAAGAACGTAAACAAAGAATATTATGTTGACTATTTATAGGCTGAACCAAAAGTAGCGGGACACTTTTTTATTTTTTTTCCAAATAAAAGTATCCCGCTACTTCTAGTTCAACACGTATCATGGAGTTGCTCTAAATATTATTTTTAATTTTTTAAAATTTTCTGTAAAGTGATACAAAAGTTGTATCATTATATCAAGCTAGATGGACAATAGTTTGGTATGTCATTAAACTTGAAAGAGGACCTAAACCATGACCCGGCTTGGCCCCTTTACAGTTCTATATATCGTGAAGTTACCTTTAATTCCTAAAGTTTTGGAAAACTGTTGTATAGTGATGTTTACAGTGTTTCCCTGTGGCGACAACGGTAACCACTACTGGGCTCAACGTGAAAACGACTACACAACCAAACGTCTCCTGATGTCCCATCTTTCCCCCCTGCCACAGTATTTCACACCAAGGTAAGGGAGAGGTTTTAGGATTTGTTTAGTACTGTACTTACTGAACTGTATTATACATACTGAAAAAAAAGCTTTTTTTAATTTTACTTTAATTTCAAATTTAATTTTGAAAATTTAAAAAATTTCAAAAGTTTAAATTTAAATTTTTAAAAATTTTTTTAAAAAAATTTTTTTAAAGTTCTTATCTCTTATTAGAGTATTTAAATATGTTTTGAAAACATCGCATTCACCTTGCGATAAAGATCGTTTTCTCGATTTCGGCGCATTTTTGTCGCCGATTTCACAAAATTTGACAAGACGATATTTTTTTTCGTTTTTACGTAATTCTTATCTCAAATTGTTCGTAATTTCCGCTGGCATTATTTTCAATTTTAATTGATATTTAATTTTATAATTTTTAAAAATTTTTATGATAGGGGGAAGGGTAGATTTGGAGAAGAAGAGAGGTAATAGGGAGCTAGAGGAAAAAAGAGATAATAAGGAAGAAGGGAAGAGAGATAAAATTATTTTTGAAGATGTTAGACAGAACAAATTTTTTTTGAATGATAAGTAGAAAGCAGAACAGAAGGTTTTGAACTACCTTTTTGCAACAAATCGCACTAATTTTGTATCGACCTAGTGAGTTACAAAACTTCTGATTTAAACCTTTTCAAAGTAGATGAGGCAGAGAAGGGGATGGTCAGTTCCAAAACAAAAAGTTGAGCTTTTAAGGATGAAGACAAAGGACGATACTTGGTGTTAAACACGGTACTGATTAATCCATCTTTTTTTCATCAATGGGTGTTGCCTTTACAGAGAGACATTTTAGTGCAAATTGACTTGGCGGGGCCAAATATGTTGTTCACTATAAGGAGAGTTGCTTATACAGATGGTTTACTATATAGAAAGATCAGTGTATATTTATCATTTTTCCCGTGGTCTTTTCTGAGGTTTATATACAGTGGAATTTCTGTACATATAACGAACTGTTTAGTAACGAAAATCCTATGTGTCATAATAATAACGTACATGATTAAGTTCCTAGACAACATCACACAGTGCATTTAAAACTCTTGTATAACGTAACACCTTTATAACAAACGAGTTTTAAATTCTTGAGTGATTTGTTATACAGGAGTTTCACTGCAATGTGAGGCGCCGACATAAAGAACCCGCCCTTTTTTACAGGAAATCACAAGAAAAGTATGGCGGGTTCTTTGTGTCGGCTTCTAATAGTTTAGTAAAATACGCATACATATTCGATGGTTAGTTTGTTGAACAAATTTTAAATCTTCAAGCCACTCTCTATACAGAAATTTCACTTTATTCAACATCAATCAAATATAACAATATAAATTTCTAGAAACTTCATGCTCTCCTAATAGCTCAACTTATAGTAGAAAGACAATAAATTTACATGTTGATCATGAACACTTTTGTTGAGACATGTGTTTCTGGCCTTTTTTTGTGTTTTCCAATCCAAAGGGCGATGCAGAGTTGAAAAGAAGGGTAAAGTGAACGTGGATGGCCCAGCTGTTACCTTCGCTTTGGCTCTAGTGGGTTGGAAAACATTTTTTTCGATTTTATAGATGATATGATTTTAATACTGACTTTTTGATTTTAATATTGATTTTGTTACTAAGATTTTATTTGTAAAAATAACCTTAAGGCTAACTTTATTTAAAAAATGATTATTATAAGTAAAAAAAAGTTTTGTCGCTGATTAACCAAGTTTTGTAGGTTAAAAAACGACAAGACTTTTTTTGCGTACAAATTTTAATGGATTTAGCTACAAAAAAATAGGAGAGAGGTAGAGGAGGCCAGGGAGGGTAGAAAAAAGGACTCTGAAGAGAGGGGAGGGGTGTTTTTTTTATTTTCAAATTATTAAATTTCAATCAAACTTTTTATGAATTTTGATTGAAAATGAATGTCGAAGCTCTTTTTTTGAATGTTATTATCACTGCTTTTGGAGGTCAGTTTTTGATATTTTTGTTTACTAATCTTTTACTTTTTTTATAAAATTGATTGTACCTTTATGGCAAAAGTATAACAAATTTTAAAAATACGGGTTTTCTAAAACAATTGGTAAATATCATACTTGAAGCATCACTTTTTTATTTCTGTATGGTAAATTATAGTAGAGGTAGCGAAAGAGTAAAGCAAGAGAAGCTAGGTAAAAGAACGGTATGTTAGGAAATGGTAGGGTAGGGCTATAGGGTATGAGTAGTAAGGAAAGCGAAGTAAAGTAAAGCCATTAGTGGGACAAGTACGGGACAAAAGTAAGGCATGAAAAGGGTAAGATACGGTATTGTAGGGTTAGAGAGGTTAGAATAGATCAGGGTAGGATATAGAAAAGGTAGGGTAGGGTAAGGCTGGGTAGGGTAGGGTAAAGTAGGGTAGGGTAGGGTAGGGTAGGTTAGGGTAGGGTAGGGTAGAGCCTTTTTTTAGCATTTTTTAGTTATAAATAGGTTCAAATAATAAAAACACAAAAACTTTAAAAAGCGATTTTAAAATTCAAATTGAGGAATTTAATGTCTATGAGCTTATTTTTGACGTTCACGGAACGGTTTTTTTGATATCAAACAAAACGTTTTATGTTATCAGCAAATGTGAATCATGAAGAATATTTTCGATTTCTTGGAAATGATTTCAAGGATTTTGATTTACAACTCATTTTAAATGTCATTTGAACTCTTTCTTCGAAACCATATTACCATTATAATATTACTATTGAAAAGGCTCGTGGTGTAAGTCAAAAAAGTTTTTTTAGAGCGGGGGAGGGTAATTTTAAAAAAATTGTCAAAAAATGTATTTTCATGACAAAATGAATGTTTAGTGCCATTTTATAGGTTCTAAAACAAACAAAGATCTAGGAAAAACATTGTTATTTTGTTTTTATGCCCTTTCGATTCCAAAGCGTTCTGGTTCAGCCTTTAATCGTTCTTGAACCTCATTCTGAACCATTAGTAGCATTGTCTTATATAAGATATTTAATGCTTCAGGGGAAGGGTATTTTAATCAAAAAAGTTTATGATAAGATAAATGTACTTTTTTTAAGAATTGAAAACCAAAGAACTTTTTTTCACCCCCCCCAAAAAGTTGAACGTGGCCCGCCCTGTGGATTTTTGGAAAAAAATTTTCGCACCTGTGCCGATTTTTTCGACCCCCACCCCCAGACCTATAGTCCCTGCCCGGCACTGCACTTACCTGTAAATACTCCTCTTCTAATAATACTGCCCCCCCCCCCTCTTTATTAATACTCTTCATCTATTAATACGCCCCTACTATCAATACACCACCTTTTTTCCCGCTTGTACTACTATTCCTTACTATTAACACCTTTGTCATTACCTCTTCCTTATTATCATAGTACTCCTCCGCTATTAACACCCCTCCCCTACCAGACGAAAACATAACACCACACCCAAACACCTAATAGACACTCCTGAGTCGGATTAGATAATTTATGCCACTTATTGACAAATTATGCAAATCGTATGAATCAGAGAGTTGTGTTTGTCAGAAATCAAATAATCTGAATTCGATCGCCTGGGAAGAGACTTTGGGAAAACAAAAAAAGCGTTTTGCGGCAAAAGTTTGAAGGGTAAATTGAGGGTATTCGAATATGTGAAGGTCTCCAAACAGCGAACGTTTAAACGTTTTTTTTCTCAGTGACAAACGGAGGTTAGTGGGGCTTTCCAAATGAGTAATATAATGAATATGCGCGGTTGGAATTGTATGGGTTATTGGGTTTGAAGATATTTTAATATTAGTTTAGATTGCTTTTAAATGTTTGTAGGTAATATAAAAAAATAGAAGTTAAGGTAGATATTGAAGTAGATCATGGTTTAAAGGGTAGAGTAAGCTAAGGTCGGGTAGAGTAAGGTAAGGTAAAGTAGAATACAATAAGGCAAAGGCTGAGTCAAATTAAGTGAGTTATGAGATAGGAAACGGTAGAGTAGAGTAAGGTTACGGCAAGGAAAAAGAAAAGATAGAAAAGATTAGAGTAAGGTAGGGTATGGTTGGGTATGGCATAGGAAAAGTAAGGGTAGAGCTACGGAACAAAGGAGGTAGATATAGAACAAATCAAGAAGAACAGGGTAGGGTAAGATATTGTGAAAGACACGGAAAGGTACGACAGGACAAAAGAAGGTAGAATAGGGCAGGCTGGGTAGTGTAAGGTAGAGTAAGGAAAGTTAAAGTAAGGCCGGGTAAGTTAGGGTAAGTTAGGCTAAGGTAGGGTAAGGTAGGGTAGGGTAAAGTAGGGTAAGGTAGGGTAAGGTAGGGTAAGGTAGGGTAAGGCAGGGTAGGGTAGGGTAGGGTAGGGTAAGGTAGGGTAGAGTAAGGCATGTAGTTCACGGTATGCTACAGTAGTCAACCTCAAAATAAAAATCTAAAAATTTTTTTCCTTTCTTAGGCATATGTTACCCACCCGACACTAACAATTTTTATCACTGATAAATTATCAACATATACATAATAAAATAAATAAAAAATTAAATTTCAAATTTTCAGGACTCGCAGCGTCTCCTACACGAATCTTCGCGCCGCCGCCCTACAAGACCCGGCTGAAACCCCCGAAGCGTTAGCATGGCAAGCACCGCCCCACCCCCACCGCCTCCTCCACCCCCTGTATTCAGCGCCGTAAGTGATTCATTTCGCAAAACATAACTTTCATTTTCAGCCAAAGGCACTGGCGAGTAGCCAACGGCCATCAACCAATAGTCACAACGTCGGGAGCGTTCGTCCCACCCGTAGGTTTTAATGGTTTGGGCTTGGATTGGGTTGAACTGGGAGTGTGGGCATGAATTTTGGATTGGTATGGGCATATTAAAAACGTTTTGAAATAAAAATTTTTTTTTAATCAACAGGGGGGACCGAGTTCAACTTTTTTTCAAAAATTTTAAAAGCCTACTCTTGAACAACTATTATGTTTAGAATGCCCTTATAACAAAAAATAATAACCGTTTTAATTTCAAACCACCCCTAAAATCAAAAATCGATCAAGATTAAATTGATAAGCATTGACGTTCTGTTTCATTTTCAGAAAACACGCAACCTCGAGCCCCTTTTGCCGGAATACACCCTGAGACATTACAGGTAAGAGAAGTAGGGTGATGTTGTTTTAGGTATTGTCTAGGATATATAGCTTGATGCTGTTATTAAAAAAAATTTTTTTTTGGGAAAGGAGTGGTAAAAATCAAAAAAAAATTTGTTTTTGAAATTTTGAAAAAAGTTTACAGGGAGGACCAAGCTGATTTTTTTTGAAGTTTTTTTTGGGCTAGGGTAGATCTATAAAGAAAGACTTAGCCCAATTTTTTGGCTAAGCTTTTAAGTTTCAACTTGCTTTGGCTTGACCCAGTCTGGCGCAGAACCTGGACCAACCTAGTTTTTTATGGTTCTTTCAGGTATAACTAAGGGAAACCTATAATATTGAAAAATATAATTTGTAGTGACAAAGATTCTGTATAGCATCAAATATCTAAATTTTATAATACATTTTACTTTTAAAATTTAAAAATAATCATTAAACATACTATTATATTTTTCAGCACGCTGCCGCTGGTCTGCGCAAGACCCAGTACCGTGAACCGCTTCTCGCACCTGAACAAGAGCCGAGCATGGGACGACAGACTGAGCTTCCTGCTGGAGGACATCGGCCGTCTGACGCGCAGCATGCGCGGTTTCAATGGCCTGCGGCCGGAGCGCCGCTACATGGCTCGTACGCTGGCCCCAACCCATCTGCCCCGCTCGGTCAGCACAACGGAGCTGGCGTGGCGGTGAGTATACTGTAGTTTTGTTACTGTATTCTCGTTTTTAGTGTTTTAACTCATCTGTATGGGCTTTATTATGATTTTTTTGAGGGCGGGGTAAAATGTTTTGGGCGGGGTAAATTTTTTTGGGGGGTGTTTAAAATTTTCTTTGTAAAAATTAAAAGAAAATTCTTGATGAAAATTAAATGTATAATACTACTATAAGAACAAAATTTTAGTTAAACGGTCGCCCCGGCTACACAGTCCAATCCTACACCACCAGCTACAACTCGGTTCCAGCTTATAACAATATTTCAACGTCTCCTCCACCCCTGCCCAACTCTCAACCCCCTCCATTGTCTCCAACCAACTTCAACAATAATAATCAAGTTTCAGTTCAGCCCATCAAAAAGGATTACAGTTACTCGTCCGGTCCAGGACATCAGGTTCAAGTTCATGAAGAGAGCTATCAATCGCCTCCAAATCCGTGGGTTTTTTTCCTAAAATTTGTTTGAAATATAGGTTTAAAATTGAAAAATGTCAAAATTTTATAGGTTTGAGGTATTTGGATGATGAAAATGCAAGTGTGACGAAATGTCACAAAAATTATTGGAAATATGACGAAGTGTCACAAAATATATTGGAAGGCAATAATTTTTTAAATATCTTCAACAATTAGTAAAATGACACAATTTTATTAAGAAAGCAAGAAAAGTGACTATGTTATTGGATTCTTTACGAAATTCCACAAAAATTATTGGAAAAATGACGAAGTGTCACAAAATTATTGGAAAAGCAAAAATGTTTAAAAATTAAAAAAAAACTTCAAAAAAAGTTAGTAAATCAACAAAATGACACAATTTAATCACTAAAACACGGAAAGCCACACAATTATCGGATTTTTTACGAAATGTCACAAAACTATTGGAAAAATTTAAAACTTTTTTTTAAAATAATATTTCAGAAACAGTTCAAGCTCTTATTCCTCGTATTCAAAGACCGAAACCTACAATTACAACACTCCACAACAACAACAACCACGAGTTCAAACGCAAATATACACCTACAATCCACCACCAGCTCCTGCTCTCTCGCCTCATGTCTATGCTCAACCGTTTGCGTAGGTTTAGGTTTTATGAAAGTTTATTGAGTTTTAGTAGTAGATTGTTGTAAGTGAAAGATAAGAGAGAGTATTTATGTTTACTATGGTGAAACTTCTTTATAGGCAACCTTTTTAAAATTTTTTGAAATTTTAGGTAACAAAATTCATTTTTTATAGTAAAATATAATTTTTATTGTACTTTTAGTAACGGGAATGGCACAGTTCAACCATCGCAGCCAAGTAATGTATATTCATCTAGCTATCAATCGTCGAACTCTTCTACCACGACCACTAATAACTACATTAAACCAGCTAACAATAAGTACGTTTTTTTTTCAAACACAGGACCTATTTGCGTATTTTACAATTTTTTAAAAATGGCTCTTACAATTCATGAGCATGAGCATGAGTAATTTCTCCTCCCTTATACCTATTTTTACAGCCCTAACCCTATCCTTCTCTGACAACTTTTGTTCTCGACTTTAACCTTATCTCAGTCGCTTTGTCCTGCTCTATCTTCAAATGGTGTCGCTGCCTAAAAAGTAATAAAATTTTGTGTTTTCAGTGACTTCATAGCCAATCCAAAGCAATACATCTACGACTTTGCCACACGAACCCCAATAAAGTCACCTGGACCTCAACAACAAGCTCAAAGTTCACCACAGCCAGGCAGTGATTATCAACAACGTTTCTCTTCCAGTTCTTCAACTACAACAACGAGAACGACTGAACAAACGTCACCACGCCGTCCTTACGACTTTGCTACTGAATTGAGGGATAATGGTGGGTATTATAACTTTTTTAATTTTTTTTTGAATTTTTTAAAATTTAAAAATTAAAATTTTCAAATTTAAAAAAAATTAATTTTTTTAGGTAGCGTATGCCATTTTAAACAGCTTTTTTAGTATTAAAACTCATGTTTTAGGCTTAACAAGCAGTCAAAAGTACTTCAATCAGTTCCAAAAATCGAGTCAACAGAGTAATCCACCCCCGTCTTCTTATTCCAGCCGTTATGAAGTGAGTTTTGACTGTTTAAACAATAATATTCTTAGTTTCTATTTTTCTATTTTTTGGTCTTCTGTCTAACTAAGCTTATATAAGTTTGGCAACATCAGAGTCTTATAAATTTTGGCGTCAGACATGTTTCTATTCTTGTCTTTTCTTTGCTTCTATTTTAGGCTTTTCTATCCATTTTTAAAGTTTAGTCGTGTCATCTTTTGACAAACTTAAAATTTTCTTTTTGACTTTGTACTTAGTATGGGTTGTAGCGTAAGTTAGGGCAGAAAAGAGTAAGGTGGAGTAGGAGAGAGTAGAGTAAAGTAGGGTAAGGTAGAGTAGAGCAGAGTAAAAAGGTTGTCAGAGGCATTACCGGACTTATGGTTTTATTATCTGAAAGAAGGTTGTTTAAAAATGTTTTTGATTATATAGTATGTTGCCATAGGATAGAGGTGGACAAACTATGACAACTAATAAAGCAACGTAAAGAAATTTTAAAAGTATGGTGAGGTAGATGTAGATTTAAAAATATTGACTGGAAAGTGCGATATAGTACTTTGCTGAAGATCTTATATTTACATGACTTTCCTATATAAAAAGCTTGAAGTCAACTAGTCCAGGGAGGTCGAGCATTGCTTATAAGAGAATCTTACAAACTGTTCTTAGTTTATAGTCTAAACACTGCTTATTTTTATGACATACTATGTACAACTAAGACCTTGTTTTAAGACTTTGAAGCCCTTTACAAAGTAAAAGAAGCAAACTTTGAACGTTTTTTTGGATCCGTACTATCAAGTTTTATGCCATTCTTTTCTCGTGTTTTTTGGAGCGGTTCATGTCAGAAGTCATTCTTTATGTGTCCTTTCTGGTGGATTGTTTAGTATTGTTTTCTTGCGAGAGCTTCAAACCCTGGCGCGTCTTTCAAATAAAGCCAAGAGTGCAGATTAAGTTCGACCGGCTAATTTGGAAAAGAGTCGTTTAACTTTTCAGTATCCTTTTTTAGAGGGGGGTTTGGAATGGGGATGAGCATTTAGGAGGAGTTTTTTTGTCTCATCTGCTCGAGTTTGGGCTTGGGCTTGAGTTTAGGTTTAAACTAAAAAACTAGGCCTTAGACTGTAGTGTTTAGGCTATGGTTTAGGCTAGGGTTTGGGTTTTGAGTTGGGCTTCGGATTGGGTTTTGGGTTTGAGTTTGAGTTTGGGCTTGGGTAGGGGCTTGGGCTTACGCTTAGACTAAGAGCTAGATCTTAAACCAGTGTTCAGATTATGGCTTAGACTAGAGCTAAAGCTAAGGCTAAAGCTAGGTCTAAGGCCAATGCCGAGGCTTAGGTCAAGGCTATGATCAAGCCTAGAGCGTAGGCGAGGGTTACTGGCTACTTGCTAGTTACTACTGGCTACTGTCTACAGGCTACTGGGGTTAGGGCTTTGGGCTAGGGCTCTGAGCTAGGGCTCTGAGCTAGGGCTCTGGGCTAGGACTCTGGGCTAGGGCTCTGGGCTAGGGCTCTGGGCCAGGGCTTTGGGCTAGGGCTTTGGGCTAGGGCTTTGGGTTGGTCTTCCTAAAATCTGAACAGTACATGAAATTTGTTGAAGTTTGCTCATTTACACAATGTCATTTATGCTAACTCACCAAACGCCATCTTATTTTATTCCTCGAGGCATCAGAACCGGACGGGCCGGGATTCCGTCTAAATGATTTATCCCTTTTTTGGAAGCCCAAAAAAGACCAACGAAACATTGTTCATTGTATGTCAAAGGCGCTTAGTTGTCCAGTCTTAGTTCCGTGATATGATATATAAAGCTACATGTTTATTTGGTATGACATGTTGGTCAAAGTGTTGGGCTAGTTTTTTAGAAATGAAAATTTTAAAATTTAGCTTGGCTTTCGTGTCAGCTTTAGCTTTAAGTTTAGCTATAGTCTTAACTTTAGTATGAGGATGAGCATGAGCATGGGCATGAGCATGGGCATGAGCATGAGCATGAGCATGAGCATGAGCATGAGCATGAGCATGAGCATGAGCATGAGCATGAGCATGAGCATGAGCATGAGCATGAGCATGAGCATAAGCATGAGCATGAGCATGAGCATGAGCATGAGCATGAGCATGAGCATGAGCATGAGCATGAGCATGAGCATGAGCATGAGCATGAGCATGAGCATGAGCATGAGCATGAGCATGAGCCTTGGCTTTAGCCTTCGTCCAGAGCCTAGTCCAGAGACTTAATCTTAGCATGATCTAGAGCTAGAATAAGGGTTAGCCTTAGAGTTTGTCTGACCCGCAGTCTAGCCTCACACAAGCCATACTTTTGTTTAAATCTCTTTATCATTATTTAGTTCATCACATTTTTTAAAATTTATTTTTTTAAATTTTTTTAAGAAATATTTACACCTAACTCCAAAGATAAAAGCCATATTTAAATACGTGTTTATTTACGTACACAATCATGTGTATCACTGTGTGAGATTCTCATTGAAATGCTCGAATTCGTGGGCCTCCGGGGAGATGCGTAAAATCTGTTATCGGTCTTATTTTCACATTCGAAAAACTTCTTTTTTTATTTTTGCAAAAATATTTTTCAAATTTTAAATTTCAAATAATTATTAAAAATTTTTTTTAATTTGGAACTAATCTTACACTTTTAAATTTAAACAGTTTTAATTTGTTTATGTTTTTCAGGAGATCATCAAAAGAAACCGGCAAAACGACACATTCGACGAGATCTTCAAGGACATGGACACCAAGATGGCTCGGAATACCATCAGTAACCAGACGACTGGTCGAGGTGGGTTGAAATTTTAAAAAATAGTGAAACTTTGAATTTTTAAAAACATTGAAAATTTAAAATTTAAAACATAAAAAATTTTTAAGCATCTTACTGATTATAGGCTTAAATTTAGGGTTAAAATGAATTTTTGTCAAAATTTTGAATTTCAAAATTACGTCAAATGACTTTATTGTCAAAAAAAAGAAAATTGTCAATTGTTTGAAAAAAACGGTTCCGGAATTTGAAAGAATTCAAAAAAAATGGGAAAAATAAGGCTTTGTCAAAAAAAATAAAGGCTTTGGCAATTTAAAATAACAAAAGTTGTAAAAATCATAATTGCTATAGGCCACACAGGAATTGTTTATATTGTTTTAGATGAAGGTCTTGATGATAAAGACGGTTTTCGAATTTTAAAGCTTTTTTTATATTTTTTGTATTACACATGAGTTAAAAGAGGTCTTTTTGGTACGCAAACGTAGGGTAGGAGCTAGAATGGAACAAGGAAGGTTACAGGTAAGGCAAGGGTAATGCGAGGGCAAAACAAGGATAAGACAAGGATAGGGCAATTGTAGGGCAAGCGTAGGGTAAGGGTAAGAAGAGTAGGGCACGAGTAAGTCAAATGTAGCGCAACGGTAGGTCAAAGGCAAGGGTAAAGAAAAGACAAAGCAAGAGTAAAGCAAGGCGAGGGTAGGGCAAGGGTAGAGCAAGGTTAAGGACAAGGGCAGGACATGAGTAGAGCAAGGTTAGGACAAAGGGAGAAAATAAGGGTAACGGAAGGGTAGAACAAGGGTAGGGGAAGGGTAGGGGAAGGGTAAAGGAAGGGTGGGTTAAAACAAGGACGGATTTAATTATAGCGTTACTTTTTGTTCTAATATCGGCACAACATTATTAAAATAGCATTATTTATATTTCTTTTTGTAGCTTAAAATTAAAAAAAAAATTTTTTAAAGTTTTTGGTAACTTTTAAAAATTGTGTCTTCAACGTTCTTTTATCATTAACCACTTAAGTTAACTTGTATTTCTATCTTTATATAATCACTATTCTTCTGGTAATCACCAACTCTTAGCAATAAGCCTCTTTTTTACAATCAGCTGACTTCAAAAGTTATGATATTACAAGTCCAACTTTGTCGTTGTTTACAAACGTTAAAAGTGCTTCATGCCCGCGGTGTTTGCTGGTGATTATGTCTTTTGTTCGTTTTTAATAGAACACTCAGGGGCACAACAACTGACCTGCATGATCCTCGAGAATTGTTCCTGTTTATGACATTAAAAACGATTGAAATCCGCCTCCGACTTTTGTCTTTTTTTTGTTTCTAAACATCATTTTTTGAAGGCTTTTTCTTGGGAAAATTAGGTTTTGAGTTCTTTTTGGGCTGAAAATTATTATTTTGAAGTATTTTTGGTTTTTATATTTTAGTTTTGTCATTTTGAGACAAAAAAATTCTCTTTTTAAAAACAAATTTTTCTATAAAAATTTTAAATCTCTTGGTTTTTCATCATTAAAGTTAGGTCAAAACAAGAGTAGGGCACATACCAAACAAGAGTTTAAAGTATGGCATAGGCTTGACAAGAGTAGGGGATAAGGGCAGTCTTTGGTAGGGTGAAATAAGATGGAGTAGAGTAGGGTAAGGTAGAGCAGTTTTCATTTTGTAACGATTTGGCACTGATGGTTTTAAGGCGCATTTTTGAACGTTCTTTGAAAGGTTTTGTGGCACATATTTTAACGTTCTTGATGACTTTGAAACAAAAAGAAATATTTAGTTTTGAAACGGCTTTAGATTATCTATAACATCAAGGAAGTCTTGATGACTTCTTGATGGTTTATGGAGCTTTTTTCATTTTTGGAAACTTTTATTAGTTTTCATCCTTAGTAGGGCATTTTATTGTCTTATAAATATTGTAATCATCTTGTAGTCTAAATTAGCGTAGGGCAGCGTAGGATAGAGTAGAGTAGGGTAGACTATTTTTGAAAAAAATTTTTTTTGTAAGACAGACGGACCGTATGATTTTCAAATTTTAGTTAAAGTTGTATGGTTGGATAACTTGCTTTTGCTTTTTTAAGGCTATGGCCAGGGTAGGACAATGACTAAAGCTGGGCTATGGTTAGGATTTTTTTTCTTCTATTTTCCATTTGCTTTTTTTCAAAAAAACGAATTTGGTGGCCAAAGTCGATTTAAAACGTTTATAAAGTTAAGTGGAACTCCTTAACTTTATGTATAACGAACTCCTCTATAATGAAACTCCCGTATAACGAAAAACTTTTGAATCCCCGTCTACACTACACAGTGCATTTAAAACTCCTGTATAACGAAACTCCTTTATAACGAACAAATTTCAAGTCCCCGAGCGATTCGTTATGCAGGAGTTCCACTGTATATGTTATATAATTATTCCTTTTTTCTACAACGTAGCCTTTACTTTTCAATGCAACTTGATTTTTCTTTCACAAAAATAAAACAGTCTTCCTAAAGCAAAAAAGCATCAAAAAGCATGTTTTTTTTAAAAGTTTTAAGAATTCAATCCTTTGTTTACTGGAAAAAAGTTTAAACTTTGTTTAATTTAAATTTGTTACAAATGACGTTATGTTCGATTCAAGGTGGTTTTTACAATAATGTTGTTTGGAGTAAAAGTATAGGAAAAGAAGAAGAAAACAACTTTATGTTATAAGTTTTGTTTTTATGATTACTTTTTGCTTGCTAGGGTGGGTAATACATATAACTTGTAAGTTTTTTTCTAAAATGATCTTGCTGTTATGGTTAGGGTGGATCTGGTGGAAAATTATGAAAGGAGTAATAAGGGTAGGGTAGGGCAAAGGCTGGACAAGAGCGGGGAAAGGGTGGGACAAGGGCAGGGCAAGGGTAGAGCAAGGGTATGGCGAGCGTGGGAAAGGGGTGAATGGGGAAGAAATCTCCCCTCCCAAAAAAAAATTTCGAAAAAAGTTGAGCGTTGTCCCCCCTGTGGATTTTTTGACCCCCCGCCCTCACACCAAAAGTTCCCATCCGGCCCTGCTCATACCCAACCCTTCTGACTGTTAACTGATTCTTAACTTGTTTTTTTAAATAATTTGATTGACACTTTACTGTAATACCTTTTTGTTGTCAAAAAAGGTTTACAGAGGTCAATAAAGAGCTGAGATTGTTTGTTTGGAGCGAAGAAGGGGGGGGGGGGAAAGTTTTAATGTCAGTTAAGATTATGTAACAATCGTTGTAAAATACAGTTTAAAATGGCAATTAAAAGTTGTAAACTTAATGGCTTTTAAGTTTTAAAAGTTTTACAGTGACTTTTAGCATTAGTTTAAAACATTGTAGTTAGATGATGACTAATGCCATTTTACATGTGATAGGGCGTTGAAGTATTTATTTTTATGTGTTTTTCTTTTTGTTTACAGTTAAGATTCGGGTTATCAAATAGAGGGTTTTAATGGGTTAGTTTTGACAGTTGAAACAGGAAAAATGATTATCAATTGAGAGAAAGGTTTTAGGGAAAATGACTTTTTAAGGTTAATTTACGTTGGTAAATCTGGCTTTCTTTTTTAATTTACTTTGAGATGTAATTTTTGTTTTAGTCTTAAACTGAGCTTGAGCTTGCGTTTGAGCCTGAGCGCGGGTCTGAGCCTGTACTTAAGCTGGAGCTTGACGCTGAACCTGGACCGAGGCGGCCGAGCATGAGCTTGAGACTGGACTGTAGCACGAGCATGAGCATGCGCGTGAGCGCAAAGATGAGCCTGAGCTCTGAACGTGGGGGCTGGGCTGGTCTGCTTGAACTTGAGCTTGAGTATAAGCTTGAGCCTGAACTTGAGCCAGAGCTTGAGCTTGTGCTTGTGCTTGTGCTTGAGCTTGAACTTGAGCTTGAGCTTGAGCTTGAGCTTGAGCTTGAGCTTGAGCTTGAGCCTGGGCCTGAGTTTGAGCCTTAGGATTAGTCTGAGCTTCAACATATGCTTTAGTTTTATTCTAATCCTTAGCTCAAGTTCTAGCTCTAGCTCTAGTTTACGCTCTTGCCTTACAATTGTTAGTCCTAGCCTATGCCTTAGCTTAAGCACAAGTTCTAGGCTAAGTATAATTTATAGCTTAAACCCTAATTTAAATCTTAGCCTAAACCTTAGCGTATGTTCTAGGCTTAGTCTTAGGTTTATTTTACATAAGGTCTTATTGTTTATAGTACTCTACTCCAGCCTCTACCTTACTTTATCCTTCTCGCGTTTCCACAGCTCTCTCTACTCTTTTTGCTCAAAATAAGCCTAATCGCTCCGCACAAACTAACTCCCTCCTTCTACTATAAAAACGGTTTTGAATACGTTTGTTCCGTACATGTTGTTGTTCCATCAAGCCCTTCCCAAATTGAATTTTGTGGCCGAAACGAGGGGGATTCTGAATATTTTTAATGTTTAGTCATCTATATGGCTTTCTACAACACAGTTTTTGCTTGTTTTCCCTGGATGAAAAATGTGTTTTTGTCTTTTGTTTACACGTATATCAAGGGGGTATGATCGAAATTACTTACAAGTTCCACTGATCCACATTAATGTGGTCTGGGGGTTATGGATGGGAGGCTAGGGAAGAAAATATTTTTTCTTTTTTTTCTTGTCGGGTGGATTTTGCTGAGTATTTTGTGTCTGAAGGGTAATTTTGGTTTGGCAACGTGGGGATGAGAGAGGAGAGGGGGCAGGAGATAGGGGTTTTTGGATTTTTTTTCGTTTTTGTGCAAAAATTAAGTTGAAAGTGGGGTAGGGGGGCAGGGCAATTAATAGAAACTTTTTTTTGGACGACGTGTGACGGAGAGGGGGGGGGGAAGGGGGGAAAAGATGAAGGTAAAAAAATATGTTTTTGGTTTACTTCCCTACTCTACCCTTCCCTATCCTACCCTACTTTACTCTACCCTACCTTTCTTTACTTTACTCTACCTTGTCTTACCATAGCATAATCTATCCTACTCTGCCCTATGGTGCCTTAACAGACCTTACTTTACATTATTCTACGCTACCCTGCCTTACTTGTTTTACCATACCATACCTTACTCTATGGTGCTCTACCTTGTTTTACCATACTTTACCCTACCTTGCTTTACCATACTCTCTCCTACGTTGTTTTGCCACATCCTAACCTTTCCTTTTTTCTCCTGCTTTATTATCTAACCTATGATAAAATTTAACCATACAGTACATTTTTTAAAAATTTTAAATAACGTATTTCTCAAAAAAAACTTCTTTATTTTTTTATTTACTCGCCTCTCTGTTAATTAATTACTTTGTAGCTCTCATTGTCTTATTCAATTATTTATTTGTCACTGCGTTTTGTTTACTTTATTCTGGGCTATTGTTTGTTTTTCGGACCTTATTATTTGTTTATTTTTGAGAATTTATCGAGATCACGAAACGAATTTCATGAAAGTAATGTCATGCTTTTTAGAATAAGTAATTATGGCTGAAGCACCACCTAAAGATGGAGGTTTGTTTTAAGTTCAAGTTTTAAGTTTTAGCTTTGCCAAATTTTGAAAAAGGAAAAATTTTAAAATTTATAAAATGACTTTTTAAATTTTATAGTAAAGAGCAAATAGGAATACCCTACTTTGACTAGGGCAGAGAAGATGCTGTAAAATAAATCAGAATGGGGTATATCTTACTATACGCTTACCCTGCTCTAATTATGTCTAATTTAGGGCAGGGTAAACCTATAGTAAGGCATGAGCAAAACAAAATTAAGGATAGGGTAAAGCTTAATATTAAAACAATATATTTTATAGGGTAGGTTAGGGGAGGTTAGGGAAAGGTAGGGTGTAGTAGAATAAGATAGATCTTAGGCTGGGGCTTCTGGCTATGGTATTTGGTTGAGAATAAGTTGGGGGTAGAGATGGGACTAGACCTAAACTTAGAGGTAGATTTATAGATTGGGTTAGAGCTAGAGCTAGAGCTAGAGCTAGAGCCAGAGCCAGAGCTAGAGCCAGAGCCAGAGCCAGAGCCAGAGCCAGAGCTAGAGCTAGACCTAGAGCTAGTGCTGTGCTATGATCAAGGCTAAGATTTAAAATGTTTATAATTTTAGGTTTAACATAGCTTGATTTTCTATACGGTAGACTAGAGTAGGGCAAGGTATTATATTTTTTACTTTTTTCAAGTTAAAGCATGGCTGATTTTACAAAAATTTGTGTAAAATACGCCGATAATAGTAAGGAGTCTCAAAACTCATGTCATTAAAAACCCATAACATGGCAGTTTGTCATCAAAACTCGTCGTCCTTTGTCGAATGTCACACAAATCCCCAAACATTTGCTATTCATGGCGGCCCGAAACCGCATTCCTCTACACTTTGGAAAGAAAATAATCTGTAAACACTCGGGGCGAGGGGAGAAAGCGTAACGTGAGGATTAAAAAAGCGGCCTTTCTCCTCGCTTCCACAAAGTCGCGGCCCGGAACAGCGGCCGAACGTTGTTTGGAGGTGGAGCGGAAAAAAGGTGCGGAACGTTCGCAAAACGTTTTTTTTTCTATCGTTATGGCGAAACGTGCTGGAGAGTTTGGTGGGGGTTTGGGAGGTTTCTTTTTGTGCGGGGGGGGATTGTCAAAGTCTTCGGGGCTAAAAAGTATGGCGATATTGGAACTTTCAAAGGCTTTTTTATGGTAATATCGGAAATTTTTCTTTAAACTTTTGGGCAAAATTTTAAATTTTAGAACTTTAGATAACATGAATTTTTTTACGTTACCTCCTCTAAATTCTAAGATATTCTAAAATAATAGTTCATACTCTCTAAGCTTATCATAATATTAGACGTTAGGCTAGACGAGAATCGTTTTGGACTGATATTGCTTTTTTTAATTGATATGTATTAGTGAATTTACAGCCAATTTTCAGTCAAAATTTACTTTGTTTTTAAAACTATACTTTTGTAACGAACAAAGTGTAAAAACCCCGAGAAGTTTGTTATACAGGAGTTCCACTGTATATTGAAGTTTGGATAAGTAATGTCACGTTTTAACTTATTTTTTTAATATTTTCATACTTTTCTGCCCATTTTCGGTCAAATTTTCTTAAAGTTTAATTAAAATTTTTAAAAATAGCTAAAAAAAGTGAAAAAAAAATCAAAAATTTTTTTCAAATTGTATTCTACTTTACCTTACCCTAGCAAAAGCAAAAAAAAAATTTTTTAAATTTGTATTTTTTAAAAATTAAATACAAATTTAAACTTTTTAAAAAGCGCTCGTTTAACCTTTTGAACTATTTTGTCATTCTTTTCATGCCAAGTTTGAAATTTTAAAACCGGAAATTACGTTTATAAACGTTCAAAAACAAACTTATTTTTAGTAGTTTTGGCTGTTTACTAATTTGTGAAAGGAATCATTAGGATAAAGGATTAGAGCTGTCATCACGAAAATGAGGCTTTAACCAGGATTTTCAGAGGGTTTATAGCTTAAGTACTTTTAATGGATGGCATGAGTATTAATGGTACTAAACTGACGTTTATGTGTTATAAATGACTTTTTTTGGTTTTAAAGTTATAGGCTTATAAATTAATTTTTAGGGTAAGACAGTGGGTTTTGATCAGGTGAGAAAGGGTATAAGATATAAATGTTTCTAATCTTGTAGGTATAGTAAGGTAAGGTAGGGTAGGGCCTTGTAAAGTCTTGTAAAATAAGGTATGATACATATAAATAGGAAAGTTTATTCTAGGGCAGGGCTACTAGAAGCGGTAAATCTAGGGTAGAGGAGGAGAGAGTAGAGAAGGGTAAAGTATAACATAGAAAAGGTGTAGCTAGGGTAAAGCTATGGCAGGGCTAGGGTAATTATAGAGAAGAGTAGAAAGGGTATGGTAGAGTGAGGTACCGTAGGGCAAGGCAGGGTAGGACGAGATAGGACAGGCTAGGGCAAGACAGATTAAAGTAGGGTAGGGTAGGGTAGGGTAGGGTAGGATAGGGTAGGGTAGGGTAGGGTAGAGTAGGGTAGGGTAGGGTAGGGTAGGGTAAGGTAGGGTAGGGTAGGGTAGGGTAGGGTAGGGTAGGGTAGGGTAGGGTAGGGTAGGGTAGGGTAGGGTAGGGTAGGGTAGGTAGGTGTAACTCTACTATTACAAAACCCCCGTTCCAAACCAAAAATTCCCAAAACTTTTGCCGAAATTCGACCGAAAATTGGCTGAAAAGGCGGTCCAAAACGACGACAAAAATATTCTCGTCTTTCCTTCGCATTTTCGTACTGCCACCGTGCCGAAGACTCCATTTCTGTTGATTTTTCTTTAAGTTATTGTTGTGGGAAAACACGAAAAATTATATTTTCTCTCACTTTTCGCTGCCCTAACACTGTTTTGGTAATTAGAATATGGCCGACGATGACTGTAAGTTTGGGGACAATCCAATTTTTTAAATTTTTTTTTGAAATTTCCAAGAGTGTGGTATTTTCAAAATGTTAGCACAAAAGTCTTGTCACTTATTAGCTACGTTTTCAACATGTAAAAGCGACATTACTTTTTTGAGCAGCATAAGATTAGGTTGTTCAAATAATTCTATGCTCATTTTCAAAGCAAATTTTTGGAGTTAGGGGCACAGAATTATTTGAACAACGTAATATTAAGCTTATTGAGGTTGGTAAAACTTTAAAAAGTTTTTTTAGGACACCTTTAATACTATTTTTCAGTTATGTTAGGGTTGAAAAGTTCTGTCGCTTTTTAACAAGAAGATTCTTGTTTAGAAACGACAAGACTTTTTGCAAATTTTGTTTTGAAAAGATGGAAAATTATCGTTTTTTGAAATTTAAAATTAAAAAAATGGTTTTTTAAAAAATTTTTTAATTTTATTTAGAAAACGAACTAAAAAATATATAAAAACTTTTTCAGAAAGGTTTTGGTTGTTAACTAGTTAAAATATTTACGTCAAATTGTAAAAGTTTATAATTGTATTACAAGTGAAATAAAAAAAAATAGAATGTCTGGGATAAATAAAAATGAATCAATCGACGTTGTGATGACAAATTTTGTCTAGGCGGGAAGAGGGAGAGCAAAAGTCAAATTGTATAATTAAATATAAAAAATTTTAATAGAAGTTTTGTAATTTTTAAAAATTTTAAGAAACTTTGCAGTTTTAAAACTTAAAATTATGGCTATGGCTAAATTTGCCATGAATTTTTCATCTTAATACAATCTAATGTTTAGTCTGAACTTTCCTTTTGTCATCCAAAAATGGCTCATTGCGTACGACTAGGTTCGTTTCCTTTCTTTTGCAAACTCTGTGAATAAAAAAAAGTTCATCACTAAATTGCTCTTTTTACGTATTTTGTCCTACTACTGTTTCGAATTGGCTTTTTTTTGCCCAATACTACTTTCACTAAAAGCTTTGGGGCATTCTTATGTAAACATTTTTTTTTTGTTTTTTTTTGGGAAAAAAGTGATTTTTATGTCAAATTAGAGCATTTTTGACGGGATTTTTTAGATTTTAAAATACGAAATTTTTAAATTTTGAAGTTTTTCAACTTTTAAGTTTGAAATTTTGAATTTAATGTTTTTAGGAGTTGTGGGAAGTATTGGTTGTCATTTTTGTAACGAGGACGGGGAGGAAGAGTTTTTTTTGAGATTAACAAATTGTAAGAAATTTGTTTTATAAACGAGCGGGCTTAATTGGGCAGGGTAGAAAGAAAGTTTTTTTCTTACCCCCTCTTTTTTTTCTTCTCCACCCCTTCTCACGCTTAAAATAACGTTAGCGCTATTTTTTGGGCAGTACTATTTTAAATTTGAAAATTTAATTTTGTATCAATATTTTCCCATCTTTGCCAAACCTTATCACAGTACTACATCTTCCCCGACTTTACTCTTAAAAATGGCAAAAAATGACAAAATTAAGATTGTTTAGATGAATAAACAATGGCGTTATATAGCGCTTATGTAAGAATGAGGCCTTTAGGGCTTTGTTGTTTCCGGTCGTTCTTTTCGAAATTCATACAACAATACAAGTTGACGCCCTTACTGTTTAGGGAAATGACTTTGAAGAATGAGCGGTAGAACAATAGGGGGTAATGAGTTTGAGGTTATTTGAGGTGATAATGGGTTTGAAGTAATTGGGGTATTCGGGGTGGATAAGGCAGGTCTTGGGTAGGTCTACGGTACGGAGAGGGTAAGGGAGGGTAGGGTTAAGTTAGAATAAGAGGTTGGAGTTATTATGGTTGGAAAAGGTAGTGAGAGCAGGGGTACGCCATGGGGGGTAGGCAGGAAGCGGGGGGGGGGTAAGGCAAGGTTAGATAGTAAGATAGTGTAGAGTGCAGTACGGTAAGCATATAACATAAATAAGGTAAGAGACGGCAGAATAAAGTCAGGATATGAGTTTGGAGTTATAGGGGGTGGTAATTAGTACTGGGTAGGGATTTTAATTTGGGGTTGTAAAAGGTGGTACTAAAACTGAGGTTATTGGGTTGAAGTGATAAGGAAAAAAATTATAGGACTGTAAATGACGTTGTTCCTAAATATTTTTTTGGCAGGGGTAAATTTTAAAATTTGAGAATAGGGGCGGAATAAAATTTTTTTTGTGAGAGTGTAGTGATGGAGATCTTAACCTTTCATGAATTTCTAAAAATTAGTAAAAAAATTTTTTCTGGGTAAGGGGGTTGACTTTTTTTTGAAAAATCCGCTTCTTTAATTTTCTAACGTTTTTATAGATCAACATAAATTTCAAATTAAAAAAAAATTAACTTTACTTTATTAAAAACAAAATTTTCTCTTAAAAAGAGAAGACATTAGTATTCGTATTTTACTATGCCTAACTTCTCAAAATTTTCAGATATCTGTGCCAAATGCTCCAGCCCGATTGTGGCGGACACTCCGGGCGTGACGGCGTTGGGCAAACCCTACCATGTGAATTGTTTTGCGTGTGATGTGTGTCAAAAACAACTGGCTGGATGCTCCTTCTACAACGTGGATGGCAAAAATCTTTGCCAAGTGGATTACATGGTATGTTGTTTACATGACAGCTCCAGATAGACTTCACAAAACACATGAAAAATGGCTGTTTTTGGGCGGGGTAGAGATAAATTGGCTATAAGTTTATGGTTTGAGAAAAAATTTTGGGCGGGGTAAAAAAAAATTTTTTTTCGGTGGGGTGTTAAAAAATTTTGATAACTAAAAAAAATTGCACGTTTTAAATGTGTATAATATAAATTTTGGACACTACTTCCCTTGCTCAGCACTGTAATTTCCAAAAAAACGTGGTTTACATGAGTACACAGATTTTAAGGCCCTCAGGGGATTTGCTCAGATTGCAGCTGAAACTTCTCTGCAATCCGTAAAAAACTCGTTCGAAATTATGCCTGAGGGAATTTGGGTCCGATAGGAACGGCCGTTAGTCATTGTTATTGGGATGGAATATCAAAGAAGTTAATGGCTGTAAATCTCTTTTTATGGCCGTATTTACTGAATGGAACGGGATATGAGCGACTTTATGAACTGGCATGGCAATTAAAGAAAAAAAAACAAAAATTTAAATTTTCTTGAAATTTTGAAAAAGGTGGAGGTACGGAGAGGGAGAAGTCTAAAAAATCTAAAAATTTTTTTGATCGTTGTCTGTTCTACCCTATCTACCTTGATTTCTTTCTTGCCGAACCCATACAATAGTTTTACCTTTTTCATCACCCATAACCTCAAAATAATTACCGCTCCCCCCAATAACCTTATAATCATTACTGCCCTGCGCTGCCTGTGCCTTTTTTCTTATCCTATCTTACTCTGTCCTGCCATACCCTACCTGACCCTTCCATAGTTTTCCCTAATCTACGCTACTTTGCTTTAAACTATCTTATTCTGTTCTACACTTATTCACTCTAGCCTTCTGCGCCGTACCGTACTATTAAAAGGTTTTTTCCCTTTCTACCCTATTCTATTTTTATAATTTTAAAATTTCCAGTCCAAAAACCAAGTTATTTTTGAAAGTTCACAGACTGAAAGAATCAAATTTCAAAGCCAAATTTAACATTTTTATGGCGCTTTAAACCGATTTAAAATTTATGATCCTCAAATTGGATTTGAATTTAAATTTGAGAAAATATCCGCTGGGAAATTACAAAGGGCAAACATTAAAAACATTGTCAAATGTATATGGAACAACATATTTTTTATCGATTTTTTAAATTTTTTGATAACACAAAAGGCGTATTTTACAAATAATTTTGCAATTTTGGAATTAAAAACTTTTAAAAATTTAAATTTCGAAATTTTTTTTTCGAATAATTTTTTTTAAATTTAAAAATTTTTCAGAATTCCTTGGAAAAATGTGAGAAGTGCCAAACCCCAATTACCCAGAAGATCCTCCGAGCATTGGGAAAACCCTTCCACCCTGATTGTTTTGTCTGCCCCAGCTGCCAGAAGTCCCTGGACGGTATTCCATTCACAGTCAGTAAAGAAAATGTGGCTTACTGTCTCGACTGTTATCATGAGTAAGTTTTTAAAATATCTTTTCAAAATTTTTTTAATTTTTCAAAAAGACGTGCTTCTCGTATTTTACAATAACATAGCATGGTCATGCCAATATTGAATGACTAAAGTAAATCTAGGTTTATATAGGCCAAGTTAGGGCATGATGTTGCTAAATGACTCACTTTTTAATGCCAATATTGATTTTAGCTTTTAAATGATAGGGTATGTAAGGGCTATAACTAAGGTAAGGTAATGCAGCACAGGGCTTAGGCTAGGGCGTGGCTCAGGGTTTTTGGCCAGAGAGTTTGGCTACTGCTTATGACTAGGGCTAGGACTTATACTAGAATTCAAACTAGTCCTAAGGCTTACCCAGAATATGGCTCAGGGTTTTTGGCCAGAGAGTTTATCTACTACTTATGACTGGGGCTAGGACTTGGACTAGAGTTCGAACTAGTTCTAAGGCTCAAGCTAAAGTTCAGGCTAAAGCTCAGGTTAGGGCTCTGGGCTAGGGCTCTGGGCTAGGGCTCTGGGCTAGGGCTCTGGGCTAGGGTTCTGGGCTAGATCTTTCAGCATAACTTAGGGCAGGGTAATTTAGTTTTAATAACTAAAAACCTAATTTCCATACTTAAAACTCTCCTATTTTAGACGTTTTTCGCCTCGCTGTGCCGTCTGCCTAAAAGCCATTGCTCCATCGGCCAACGAAACCGAGGTGGCACGAGTGATTGCCATGGATAAGAGCTATCACGTCGGTTGCTACAAATGCGAAGACTGTGGAATGCAATTGAACTCGAAAGTCGAGGGTGCGGCTTGTTACCCATTGGAGCAGCATCTCTTTTGCAAAAACTGCAACTTGAACCGTCTGAAGGCCGTACGCTGAAGTTTGTCATCTTATGGTCAAGGAATGTCATTTTATGGCTAAAAATGTCATTTTATTGTCAAGAAATGTCATTTTTTAACTAAAATTTGTCATTTTAGTCAATTTGTTTTGAAAAAATTTGACTAATTTGACCAAAAAATGTCATTTTTGTTATGGTATAGTATGACAACGAGATTTTTTCGAATTTAAATTTTGTTACATTGTAAAAATGTACATTGTAATCCCTCTGAAACTTGAAAATATTATATTTCTATCCCGCTTAGTTTTACTTAGATCTTAAAATTAAAAAAAAAATTTTTTGAAATTTTGAATTTTTTAAAAATTGAAATTTTGAATTTTTTTTGAAATTAAAATTTTATGAAATTTTATTTTTTGCCTTTTAAACTTTAACCCATATTTTTTCTCTACCCTCTCCATCTTTTCCCTTATCTTTCAATCCCTCTCCCTCTCTCTCTTTCTCTCCCGTCTCTCCATTTCCCGTTATATTTCCCCAGAAGCCTTGTGAGTATTATAAAATTGCCAATTCCTTTCTTTTTTTATAATTATTAGCTGAAAACCGAGTTGCATCGAACAACCTTAAACTCCAATATTTTTATCCATTTTGAGCACATTCGTTTCGTATGTCAATTGTAATCTTTATATTGTGCTTACAACTAGTGTAGTCGTTTCTTTGAATAAACAAAAAAGGTGGTAGTTGGATTGAATTTATTTCCTAGGTTTAAAAAATGATATGCTAAGGCAGGGGAGGGTATAGAGATATAGAGAAGACACAACTTTGTGAAGGAAAGTAAGTTCATTGTGGCAGGATAGAGAATGTAAATTAGGGCGAGACAGGGTAAAAAGGAAAGAATACGGTAAGGTATAACAAACTAAGACAATGAAGAATAGAGAACCGTAGGGTGGGGTATGGTAAAATGAGGTAGGATAGGATAAGGCAGAGCAAGGTGAACCCAAGTAGAGTAGGATAAGGTAGGTAGGGTAACAAAACAAAGCAAAGGCAAAGCAAGGGTAGGGAAAAGGCAAAGGCAGGGCAAAGGCAACGGCAAGGCAAGAGTAGGTAAGCCAAGGCAATGTATTATAGGGTAATGAAGAGTGGGGTAAAGTAAGAAAGACAGGGCAGATAAAGAAAAGTACAAAATTTTTTTAAAACCACATTTCAATTCTTCAATTATATAAACGGAGAGGCGGTGGATGTTGCGGGCCAAAAAAAGTACATTTTAAAATTATTATTTTATATAAAAATTTATGGGAAAATCGTTTAAAATAAAAAATTTACTACCAGTCTTTCCCAAAAAGAATGTCGTCTGGAATGACCAGGTCCCCCCCCGCCTCAAACAGTTCCCCCTATCGATCAGGTCCCCCCACCGAACAGGTCCCCCTTTTAAAAAATAAGTAAATTCGAAAAAATGGCGCTACTTTATGTCTTGGAACTGTATGGTACTAAATGGTACGGCCAGCGGAGGCTTTAGGTCATTCGGCGGAGACTTTAGGGGATTCGGCGGAGGCTTTAGGGCATTCGGCGAAGACTTTAGGTCATTCGGCGGAAGGTCGGCGGAGGCTTTAGGGCATTCGGCGAAGACTTTAGGGGGTTCGGCAGAGGGTCGGCGGAGACTTCAGGGGATTCGGCGGAGGGTCGGCGGTCATAGTAGGCCGGAAAGTGCTAAAAGTGACAATGGCACTTGCTATTTTTATGTTAGTTCATATTTAGAATATACGGATAATATGATCCTCTGACATTCCTAGCGAGTATGAGTTTGCTCGATGACTTCAGAATACGTTAATTACTGTAGCCGTTTATTTAGAAACGGCTTTTTAATGTGTAACAGACGCCAAATGTATGCTTTAGCAGCAACATTAGTCAATGGGAATACTAATACTATTCTTAATATGCTCTATAACCAATATATTGTAGTTTATGCAAGAGTATTTATAGTATCTTTACAACTCAAACTCTGTGAAACAAATTTTAAGCAAAGGCATTCCCTAGTTAGCACAAAAACGGCCAAAGTCGAGTTAAAAATAAAGCAAAAAATTCAAAAAATAATGTATTTCACAAAGCAAAAGTTGTAGCAACAACAACATAAGTTTCCTTTTTCAAAAAATTTGTTTAATTTAGATTTGTAAGGCAGAAAAACGAGCATAAGTTGTCATCAAGTTATGTATTATGGTTTCATACTGGTGCCGCGCATCATTAATGGACTCCTTTGTAACTTGACTTTCGATAATCTTAATGTTGCTTAGTATAAGGTAATCAAAGCCCATCGCATTGGAGTTTATAGGTTGAAACTTCTTCCAAGTGAGATGACCTTAAAATTGAATTTACTGTCAGGATAATTTTTAAGTTGTGCCATAAGCTCAGTAATTAATTCTATGAATTAGTTTTACCTGAAGACCAGTCAAAATGCGTCAAAGTTACAACTCCTTTTTCTTCAACACATTCTATTGTTGCACATAACAAAAAGTTGAAAAGAAGGCCACTTTCCCATTTCTTCCCAATTGTTCTTTTTTCTTATTGTAACCGATAAACTGAAATATGGAATAAAAATTAATTTTTTATAAAAAACAAGGCGTAATCTGCTACAGTGCACAGCATTCCGAACTTTTAGAAAAAATGTTGGTTGTAAATTATGGGTTAAAATGCAGCAGCAGAGGAACTGCTGTGTAATGGAAACTACCGTATATCGAACAGAGCTTTCAAATCCCCCGCTCCCACTACACAGGGCATTTGAACTCATATCAATAGTTGTTTTTATCAAATATGTCGCTTTTTTGCTACAAAAAAATATGGCGTACCGAGTAATTCGTTATATAGAAGTTCAAGTAAAAAATTGCCGACAATGTCAGCATTTATATTTTTCCCATAAGTTTTTACAATATCACGGCCTATCCGCAATAAAATTTAAAGCAAACTTTTAGAACTTCCATATTTTAATTACATGCGTACTTACTTTACTGTCTTTATGAAAATGTATCCCATCAATACCTTTTGCTCTGTAATCATCATATACGTTTGAGATCTTTAAAACGTAAACGTAAGTTCTAGTTGTAATGTCATAAATTCGAATACCCACGTCTGAAAAAAGCAATTGCACGCATATGAAAAAAATATTTGAATATCAAAGAAATCCTTACCTAAATACATCAATTGGTTAAGATTATCCAAGATGCGTAGTACAGGACAATGTGGGTCTGTAAAACGAAGTATGACGTCCTGTCTACCGGTAGATATGTGTATTAGTATAAGATCGTCTTGGCAACTCCGGTACGCAACATACTTCCTGTATCCATGTATGTCAACGTTTATTACATCACAAAAGTCAAAGTTGGCAGCCTTGACTTTGTATTCTTTCTGATTATATAAGTCGACTAGAGTACCGTCACTGTAATATAACGTATAGTAAGTGTAACGTTCTTCAGCCAATGCACTGTAGACTTTGATTATCTTTTTCTTGATTAAGTCGTATATTACATACGACGTTTCCATATCTACCAGAAGTTGTGTTGATTTGTTTATCAGATGTAATTTATCGATAGTACCTTCAACGATGTTAAAGTCAATAAGTTCGAAAGAATTCTTTCCAAGATCAATATTAGTTATCAATATCTGTTTATACTCTAATATCAGCGCCATCGTTCCGGTATATGAACAACATATCGATTGCTTTTTAAAAATAAATGCATCCACTTGTTCAAGATTCTTGTCAAGTGTACGGTAGTTTGTGCTAAATAAAACTTAAAGTAGTATAATCTTAAACTTAAGAAAAAATCTTAATTTTTTATTTTAAATAGGTGGAAATAACTAATAACAAGCTTCTGCCCAAGTTTCACCACGAAAACGGTATACCAAGTTTTTATAACACAGGCTTCGAAAGTCAGTGTTTATTAGCCGGTAGAATGATTTATTAAGTGCTGCAAACATACAAAACTCTTCCATTTTTTCTATATGATGGATTACACGTAGCCATACCTAAAAATAAAAAGTAACTAAAAGCAGAGATTAATGCTGTGAATCCTTATTAGTGCAAATGCCGATGGATAAAAAAGTGTTGTAAACTTACTTCAGTTGGCAAACTTTTATAAAAAATCATTTTTGACTTAACCTAAAATCAAAAATTACTTTCGTGCTTTCATAGAGTCTATAGCAATAGTTCTTATCGATCTTTTTTTTCTTAGAGAGCTTTCCCACGATTTGTGACACACGTCAAACCAGAATGGAAATCAGAGATAAAAATAGACTTTTAGCGCATAAAAACAAGAGAGTGTGCATAGAAAAAGCAAACTAGGAAGAGCGTTTGGGATTGCAAGCGATTGCGGGGGAATCTGAACGGTGCAGTGGGATAAAAAAGGACGCGATTTTCCCAAGGACTGCATCGTGCAGTTGTCAAGTTCTTTAGTGGAACGACTGATAATTTGAGTATGATACTAAACATTATGTTAGATCTTAAATTTTTTAAAATTATTGATTTTATGATAAAAAGTATAGGAATGGATAAGGATAGGAATATGGGTAGGGGTATAAGTATAAATATGAGTATGAATATCAAATTATTAAATAATCAAATCACTTTTAAGTCGAAGCGTACCATACTCAAAGTAGCTTGAGGGTTCATACTGCACTGAATTAGCAAAAAATTATTAAAACATAAACATTTGATTTTAAAGTTAAAATTAAAATAAAAGTGCGAGGGCCGTAGGCCCGAGCCTTTTTTTTACAGATTCTAACATTTTATGTTGTTATAAAATAATTTTACATTAAAATAAAACAAAACTATGATATCCAGACCACAGGATGCCCGCAGGGCATCCGTTGGTCTGGATTTTCAAAATTTAAAAATGAAACACCCATGCTGGAAAGTCAAAGTGTTTAACCCCTCCTTTAAAAACATACCAAAGAAAGCGTTCGTAGTCGAAAGGTATCTTGATTACAACGACCTTGAAGATATAATAAGTCGACTCAAGTTCGAATTCATCGACCTGTCAGGCAGCTAATGGTTTTCTCTGATAAATTTGCACGTGTTTAAACAGGCCAACATTACATTACCTATTACTGTGACTATGCTACGTAGCATTATAATGTAGTAGCGTATAATTATAGTGTAAAACATATCTTTTTTGAAACTTTTAGAAGTTTAAAAGAGTAGCCAGCCCATTGTATTCATTAAAAATGGCATGAAAAAACGGTAGAGTTTGGGTAGAGCCAAGTAGACAAACGATAAGACAAGGCACGGTAGGATAAATTACGAAAAAATAGGTAAGGCATTGTAAACCAGTGTAAGATACGAACATGTCAGAGGTAAAAAATTTATTTCGAGTTTCATTGCAATTAAAACAAATTTACAAAAGCAAAACATTAGTTGAGATTTGAAAAAATGAGAAAAGTAATTGCCAATGTCATCAAGAAGATGATCGTTGAAGGTTTGTCTTGTGCTGAACTGTCTGGTTGTGTAGTCTGAAATTTAGAGTAAAGTCAGATGGCATAATAATCAAAATTGTCTTTTAAAAACCAGCCTAAGTTACCTTATCTACCCTGTTTGACTCACAATCAGCTCTACTGTGTAGTAACGTATCATAATATACTCTAGCTTACTACCTTCGTAACTTTTAATTTACTCCACGTTATTCAACCGTAAGATAGTTTACCATACCTTGCTCTACCGTACTTACTTGGCCCCTTACCCTACCCTATCTTACCGTATCTTATTCTACCCTATCCTACCCTACCATACACTACCCTACCATACCCTACCCTACCCTATCTTACCGTATCTTATTCTACACTACCCTACCCTACCCTACCCTATAGCCTACCTCCTGCTTATAAACACCACAAGAATGTGGATAGTTAGCCGGTGGTTGTGGTATTTGTTCATGAGTACCAACTCTGTACGCGAAAGCAGTACCACCCATATGATGTAGCATCAGATGGCAATGAGCAAACCACCATCCTGGATTGGTGGCTCTAAATCTTATCGTAATGTAGCCACCCAATGGTATGTTGATCGTATCTCGGTAGGTTGGATTTGCTTCCATACCTTCTAAATGGCCATCAGACCATTCTGGATAGGTCCATTTTAGGTCTACACATCTGGTCTGAAAAGGTAAAGTACTTTGAGTTACGGTATAGATAAGTTTTTTTAAAAGTTACTGTAGTTGTAAAATTGTTTATTGAGTTATGGTAGTGTAGGGTGGGGTAAAGCGGAGTAGGGTAAGTTAGGGTACGATACTTTAAGTTAGGATATGGTAGGGTAAGGCAGAGTAGGATAAGGTAGTGTAATATTGCAATAAGTAAAATATAAAGCTTAGTGTACTGTAAGTTGTAAGATGACACTCAATATACCGTAGTGTTCAAACAAGGAATGTCCGGATTCATGTCAGTAACCATCATATTTTCATCGTGACTCGGAAACCCGACCTTAACCAAGTAAAAGTGAGTGCCATGAAGATGAAACGGATGAGAATAACCCTCGCCTCGCTTACCACCGTCTCCCATGTTGTATATTGTCATCTGAAACACCAAAAGTAAAATTTTTAAAATTTTAAAAATTTAACTTTACATTTTTTGGAATTAAAAATTTTTTGAAAATTTTTTAAATTTTCATTTTTGTGAGAAATAAAAATTTTTTTAAATTCAGTTTACAATTTTGTAGCCTTTTATAAAACTTTTCAGAATGCTAGCCGCCAGGAAAGTAACAAAAATTAAAGTTTAAAGTTTTCGTTGCAAGACCGAAGCGAATATCGGGTTTTCCAGGATTTTTGATATTTTATTATAAAATTATCTCATTTTCAACTATCTTTTTTCATTTCCGACCGGTTTTATCATTTTTCTCTCACTTTCGGCCGTTTTTCACTTTTAACTCATTTTCGACCATTTTTTTTTAAAATGCAAATTTCAGAAAGTCCATTTCCTCCAAAATGAAATCTAAAAAATTCCGATTTGGCTCATTATGCAAGTTCGATTCCACAGAAAGCGGTCCTTTCAGCGTGGTAAACCGTAGAACCGAGAAGCAGTTGAAGAAGACGACTTCAAATCAAAAACCATGCCTACACCGACGACCCATGCTCCTGTCAGTAGTAAGTTTAGATTTTCATAATTTAGGACTGGGAAAGTAAAAATAAAATTTTTTTTGAAAGGCACAGGGGAAACATTCAACTTTTTTTTTAAATTAAGAGCAAGGGGAGACAAGGAGGAGGGGGGGAGGGGGGGGGGTAAAATTTTTTTTTCTTGAAGTGGATATTCATTTTTAAAAGGGAGGGCCAATATCAAATAGAGCAGAAAATATCATAACTTTTCGAGCAAGGAGAGGGCAGAGAAGATCATATCCCTGTTCATAGCCCTGGTCACAGCCCTGACCATAACCTTGATGATGGCCCTGGCCATAGCCCTGATCATAGGCCTGACCATAGCTCTGTCCCTGACCATAGCCTTGATCATAACCTTGATCCCAGTCCTAAACATAGCCCTGACCATCGCCTTGATTACAGACTCAGTAATTTAAAATTTTTTCATTTTTCAGCGACTGCGGGATGTAAAAGAGAAGACCTGGACGTGATGGCTTTTATCATATTCGTCCTTCTAATCGTCTATTCCGCTGTCATTGTGCTGGCCGTTCTAATCTACGCCGTCATGTTCCGTCATCACTTCATTTGGCTATGTCGCGACACCGCTGTCAAGTCCAAAAAGGGCAAGAAGTCGGACACCACCGCCGCCGACTCCCAAATGTCTGTCACCAAAACCGCCGCCTAAGCCATCAGCTAAGCCAGGAACTTACCGAATTTTTTAAATAAAACTATTTGGAATTGTGATATTGGGTGTTGGATGTTATTATATAATACTTGATGGTTGTTTGAGAAATGTTATCTTAGTAGTATGATAGTTGATGGGGTATGTGGTGGGAATTTAAGGATGGCAAGTTAGGGTAGGTTATGTTAGGGTAAGGCAGGAAGGTAGAGTAGAAAAGGGTAGAGTAAGGCAAGATTAAGTAGAGTAAATTAGGGTAGACCAGGGTAAGGTAAAGTAGGTTAGGCTAAATTAGAGAAGAGCAGGGTATTTGATTACTAGTGACAGCTCGAGAGCTAGGACTGATGCTGGACCGTCATGCCCACAACTTTTTTTCAAAAAAATTTTTTACTTGGCACCAAACACACCCTCATCCTCCCTCTGTTGTATTACCCTTCTCCCTATGTTTTAACAACCTCTCCCTCTCCCCCATCCTTCCTCACTTACCTGTACAATATCATTCAAATCGAACTCGTAATGAAAGAAGCAATCGCAATTGTGGTTCCATTTGAATGAATGGTACCGGTCGCATTTGTACGGATCACAAGGCAAAGCAACCGAATTCATATTACCGTAATGATAATAGGGAATGCCTTTCGGTGATTGATACATATACCCATCGATGTGATTATCAAAGTGCATGTTGGCGAAGACTTCCTGGAAAGGTCAAAAGTTGTTTTTAAAGAAGGTACCCCACCCTACCCTATCCTACCATACCCTGCCGTACCGTACCCTATCCTATCGTACCCTCCCCTGCCCTACCCTACTCTACCCTGTTTTCCTCTGCTTTTCCTTACCTTGTTCTACCTTGACCTACGGTCTGTCACAGCCTTTTCTAACTTATTACAGACTAAGACTTCCTGCCTCATCCTACTCTACAGTATTCTACCGTAGCCTACCTTACAAGTTCAAACTTACCCTAGCCCACTTTGCCCTACAATATCCTTGCTTATTCTACCCTAGCCTATATTAAAATTATAACCTTATAGTACCCTAACTTAGTCCACCTCAAACATCTTTTATTCTATTCTAGCCTTCTTTACCTAATTACCCTAACTTAGCCTACCCTACCCCAAAACCTTCATGCCAAAGTAAAATCTTCAAAATCCTACCCTAAACCCGCTTCTAAACCTCTTCTTCTCCAACATTTCCTCATCATCCTCGATGACCTCAGCATTCTTGAGTTCGTGAGCTCCGTAACAAGTGAAGTTCAATGAACGTTTGAAATCCTTGAATGGACAATTCAATATTCTGCACTTCCTAGCCTGTGTACACTCTCTATGATCAAAATCAACTATATTACTATCGGGAAGGTCCACCTCTTCATACTCCAAGTTGGCTAAACCATGTTGAATTGGTCCGACCGTCCAGTCCCAGTTAAAGTACTCTATAGTATCGATTATAAAGCGATACTGCTTTTGGGTGGGGTTGTCTAGTCCTTGAATGTGAAGATCGTAACGTTCTCCTGGGAATATGATTAGGGCATCTATCTGGAAAAGACTACTGTAAAATGACAAAATAAGGTAGAGTAAGTTAGGGGATAGAAGATAGGGGTAAGGGTAGGGGTACTTACCTGAACAAGCTCCACATCAACTCCATCAGCAGCGATCACACTCATGTTATGCCCTTCACACCATACAATTAGACCTTGACTTACTCCACCATTCACAACTCGGTATCTTTGATGTTCTCCTCGCTTTATACGATATGTGGTCAATGGCAAGTTTTGTGGTTGACTTAATATGTCATCTTGATTGTACCAACCTAAAAAATAAAAATTTAAATAATTCTGTGCCCCTTTTTCCAAAAAATTGTTTTAAATCTTTTAAGTTCCTCTTACCTCACAATCAGTAGGCTTAATATTATGTTTTTCAATTAATTCTGTGCCCCACCTTTAAAAAATCCGCTTTAAGAAGAAGCACAGAATTATGTTAACAACCCAATTAAAATCACCTTTATTATTAACCAAGATAGCTGCCAATGGAATAGATCCACCTATGTTTGACCCATCGTATGTTCGTTTTGGAGCCCAACACTTGTTACGAGCTTCGTCATCAAACCCATGACCAACCCATTTCATCGTCATATGCACGTGCATCTCCCAGGTTTCGCCTGAGGTCAGCTCTGACCAGTCCTGAAATTTATAAACATAATTTATTTAATTTTACATTATTACAGGCTATGGTAAGTTAAGGTAAAGCTAGACTTAGATAGGGTAAGGTATTAAAGCATAGTCCATGCAACTAACCTGAGCCGTAGCGTAAGCCCTAGCCTAAGCCCTAGCCTAAGACCTAGCCTAAGCCCTAGATTAAGCCCTAGCTTAAGCCTTAGCCCCAGCTCACGCCCTGACCTAAACCAACCTACAACCATATAATGTTACCTGAAGGACCATGATGTATTCCCTTTCTGCTTCAAACAAACTTTCATCCAGATTTTTAATCCTTTGGTCTTCTTTTTCGACCACAAATCCACCAATCAGACCGTCGGCACGGTCGTTATTTAAATGACCGTGATACCACATCGTTCCTGGCGTGTCGGCAATAAACCTACAATTATATGTTAGTTTTGATTAAAACATTGGGAATATGAGCTATGTCAACGTAATAAACCGTAGTTTTTGGTTAAAGTTTGGCTTGTATAACCTACTATAATATAGTATTTAAAAAAATTGTCTAAAACATTTTAAATAAGCTGCTTTAAACTAAAAACAATCTAAAACATTACCATACCTATAAGTATGAGTACTGCCAGCCGGTACCGGGCACTGCTGAACAAATGCCACCCCATCCGTGTACCACATAAACTTCTTGTCCATGCCATGAACGTGCATCGTGATGGCTTCAGAATCCAACCTGTTGATCATCCTTACTATCACTTCTGATCCCAATGGTACCACGATCGTTGGTCCAGGCGTTTCGCCATTCAGAGCCACTACTCTAACATGCTTTCCTGTATGTTGAAGTAGGTTGGAGAGCTCTACAACCTCGTCCATTTTGTTCGAATATTCATTTAAGATGGGCCAACTGGCATTGCATGGAGTCGAGCGGTCTGGATCACGTTGGCTCCATCGCGTCTGAAATTTCAATTTTTTAGATTAAGTTTTGAGGCTAAAAATTGAAAAAGAAGATAGGTTTAGGGCTAAAATACGTATATCAATTTAATTTAAAGATAAAAAAGATAAATCAAATTAAAGTTGAAGCTAAAAGAAAGAATAGAAGCTTCTATTACTTCTATAGAAACCTAGTTTAAAGTTATAATTGCTAAAACAAAACAAGAACACGTAAAAAGAACTAAATTGTACCTAAATTTTCAGCTAAAATCAATAAAAAAAAAGAATTTCAGATATAAATAGATAAAATAAATAAGTTATAAGTTATAGTTGATAAACAAAAGGTGTAAACAGATGAAAGAAGTAAATTTTTAAGCCAAATTAAGTAAAAGTAATAAAATGTATACCAAAAAATGCAGATAAATTGGAGAAAAAAGAAGAATTTGAGTTGAAAACAGGTAAAGTAAATAAACTTTGAAATTAAAATCAATAAAACAAAGTTAAAATAGATTACAAGAAACACAGTTTCAAGCCAAAATAATTAAAAGGACTAAATTTGTACCTAAAAATGCAGTTAAACTCAAGCGAAAAGAGAAAAAAAAAAAGAAATTGAGCTAAAAACAGGTAACAGATATAATATCAGCTTGAACTTAATAAAACAAGGTCAAAATAGCTAAAAGAAATACTGCTCCAAGCTAAAATAACTGAAAACAAATTAAATTATCTTGATTAAAATCCGCATTCCACCAAGGAAAAGGCAAATTACAGAGAAAACGGAAGAAACCGGGTAAAACAAGATAAAAATTAAAATCTAGAGCCAAAAAAAAGTTAAACAAAGGCAAGAATAGGTAAAAAAATAAATTAATGTATTTAATATAATATTTAAAAAAAATCGTATTTTACAAAAAGGCGTTTTAAATCTTACCAAAGATGGGTTATAATCAATGACTTGAATTTGGCCGTTGTTTGTCATTCGCGTCATGCTGATCATGTTGGTCAGGGTAATATTAATTTCGTAAAAGCCGTTCTAAAAAAAATTTTTGAAAACTGTTTGTTTATGGCTTAGACTAGGGCTTAAGCTACGATTTAGACTAGAACCCAAATTAAGGCGTAGGCTAGGGATCAAGCATGGCATACCTCATTAATAGGTAACGTCTTCAGAGGTTTTTCGTATCGCTCCCATGAGTAACAAGTAGTAAGTAAGATGCCAAACAGTAACAACAACATCTTTTTTCTTGTCATAGTATCAAGAATATAACACTTACTTTTTTTAATATAAAATACGTTTCTTTTAGTGCTTAATGTAATAGACGTCAAAACAAAGTTTAAAATAGTATATAAGTATAATATTATTGTCTAGCTATCAAAATATTATACTTCGCTTGCAATACCCATAGGAAATGTCTTGTTTAAAAAAATATCAATAAAACGAGGGATTTGCATGATAATATAGCGATTGGGAAATGGTCAGCAAGGCCTTGAACTTTAGTCGAGTGATTGCGGTTTAGTCATAGGAGGCAAGCGAATGGCAGAAAAACGTGAGTTAGTTTAAATCTACGTATAATATTTGAGATTGTCATGGTGTGGTCTGCTAAAGCAAAAAATCAAAATATTATAAAATGAGAATGGTAAAATAAGTAGGCTTGAATAAGGTAGAGGACGATGAAAATAGTATATTAGAGTATGGTAGGGTAGGGTAGGGTAGTGTAGGGTAGGGTAGGTTAGGGTAAGGTAGGGTAGGGTAGAGTAGGGTAGGGTAGGGTAGGGTAGGGTAGGGTAGGGTAGGGTAGGGTAGGGTAGGGTAGGGTAGGGTAGGGTAGGGTAGGGTAGGGTAGTGTAGGATAGGGCAGGGTAGGGTAGGGTAGGGTAGGGTAGGGTAGAGTAGGGTAGGGTAGGGTAGGGTAGGGTAGGGTAGGGTAGGGTAGGGTAGGGTAGGGTAGGGTAGGGTAGGGTAGGGTATGGTAGGGTAGGGTAGGGTAGGGTAGGGTAGGGTAGGGTAGGGTACATTAGGGTAGGGTAGGGTGAACGATCAATTTTTTGTATAACAAGTCTAACCATGAATAATATAAAATTTATTATTAAACACAACCGGCGTGATATGGTTTTATACTTATTATTATTAAATTATTATTACATTTTTGGTATTGAAACCAGTACTATTAGGCATCAAGAAGCGTTCATTGACAACTTTTGTTTGACCTGGCACAGCTTTGGCAACTAGCAGTTTAAAAACTAAATTTAAAAACGGCAAAATTTTTTTTTTAAATTTTTTAAAATTAAAAAAAAAATTTTTAGATTTTAAATATAGTTCATAAAATTATTAGTTGCTCCACCCCATCAAAGCTAGTTGTGCCATCTCAGCCTTATTAATGGCCAAGTTTTGTAGTGGACAATCTGCCCCCACTTGTTGTTGTTTCCAAACATAACATTCAATATACTCAAAGCCATAGGCATGTTCAGGATGCTTTTTGTAGTATTGCATCTCTTGCTCGTCTACTGTGTACAAGTGGTCTGAAAATAAAACTTCTTTTTTCGTATTTTAGAAGCTGTGAAAAAAAAACAATTTAGTTATGACCTACTTTACTCTTCCATGACTTGGCATACCTTATCGTGTCTTGTCCTACCTTGCTTTACCATGACCCGTTCTGCCCTACTCTATTATGGTTAGCCCTATTCTACTGTATCCTGCCCTGCTCCACTATATTTAATCATGATCTGCCATATCCTACTCTATTATTTTTTGAAATGCCCTCCTCAATCATGTTCTGCCTTACCCTACCTTATTAAAATATTTTTGAAATTTCAAACCCACCTTTGGCAATCGGATTGTAAAACCGATAAAGTGGCATGTAAGCCCCACACCCCGGTTCCTTCGTACAGAACCCGAGTACCTTATCGTACTTGTAACCCAATATCCGCTCTGCAACTTCTTTTTCGTGCTCGCGCGACGTGAGAAGATGGTCTTCTAAAAATACGACGAGTTATGTGTGAAAACGGGATGTTCTCTCAATGTTTACATTAAAAAATGCGTTTTTTTACATTATTGAGGATGTCACATTCAAATGCACAAAAATATTAACATATCTTGGGAGTTATGGTAGTATTTGGAGAGGTTGGTAAAACCTTTTTAATATTAATGGTCGTGTTAGAGGTAGACATTACAAAAAATGTTAGGCTTGGCTTCCGGACCGTCTTAGATTAAACGTCAAGCGAGTCAGACCGGGCCAGGTTTAAACGGGCCGGGCGGGAGAACAAATATTATGGCTCAGCTTGACCCTCAAGCCAAAACTAATCAAATTGAAAAAAAAACGTATTAGAGGTGGCCCTAACTCATCCTTTTCCCCTCTAGAAGCCTGAGTAGACTGGGTAACAGTAAATTTGTAAGGGTCGAAAAAAAGCAAAATCGGCACATGGGGTTCTGGAATGGGCAAAAAAATTTTAAAAAAATTTAAAAACCGGGCCAAAAATCTAAAAAAAAGTCTAAAGGACTGGACCAGAAAATTGTACTAGGCTTGGTTGCTTTAAATGTAAGCTAGGAAGCCTTTTTAATTAGTGGGGCGGGTAAAATGAAAAAAAAATTAACTTTGCAAAATTTTCTCAAAACTTTTTAATATAATAAAGGCGGGACGGGGGGAGGAGGGGGGGGGGAGAAGTAGTGTTAAAAATTTTGAAAAACAAAAAAATATTTTGTATATAAATTTATTTAAAACAACTTACTTAAAAAGTCGTTGTAGAGTCGATACAACGGCCTTAAGCAAGTACACGTTGGGTCGTTTGATGATTTTCCGATGAATCCCATTGGAGCTAAATTAATATTATTTTTTTAATTGACATAAAGGCCATTTAAAATTATTAAAAAAATTATTTTAAAGCAGACAAAGTAAGGAGGAGAATATACTAAAAAGGAGGAGGGTTCTATAATACTAGACCAAGCCGAAGCAAAATTTAATAAGTTGGTCTAAAAAATTGGGCCCGGCCGGAACTCTATACGGTTTAGAAGAAAGAAGAATATGTTGCCCTCTACTCTGCTTTTATTGATATTTTGCGCAGATTTAGTGATTTTAAACTTACTTTGCAATAAATAACCATCGAGGACCTTATTCTTTTGTTCTACTAGGTCTTCGGTGTAGAAATGATCTGTTATGCCCATTTTGTCATTGTAAGACCTTCTCAATGGTATGACTCCTCCTGAAAAAATAATAATGAAAATTTGTTAAAAACTTTTTTTTGTAAAATACGAGCTCTTGGTTTACGTCGAAAAATTTGATTAGTGGATACTATAGACTATAACGTATTGGACTCTAATTCTAGTCTTTGTTCTAGCTTTAGTCCTAGTTTTAGTTGTAGTTTTAGTTATATTTCTTGTTCTAATCCTAGTCTTAGTGTTAGTACTAGTCCTGCTTCTTGTCTTGGTCATAATCTTTGTTTTAGTTCTAATAGTACTGTTTCTAATTTCGGCTTTAGCTCTAGCCCTAACCCAGAGCCGTAGCACATAGCCCTAATTCAGAGTCCTAGCTTATAGCCCTAACCCAGAGCTTTAGCCCAGGGCCCTAACTTAAAGTTCTAGTCTATATAATAGTTTATATTTAACTGATGTTACTATAAAACTTACCAGTATAATTGCACGGACTCCCACAAGTCCCGACCGGTCTATCATCCATAGTCATATCCGTAGGCAGTGACTTCATTTTGTAGCTTTTCAACCCATCTTTGTGAGATATCTTTCCTCGTATACCTATTTGATTCTTCGGAGCAAATGTTTGAGTAGTTACTTTGGCCTTAATATGAGTAGTTTGTACTATTGGTACCAGTTCATGAGTCTCTTCTGTAGCCACTGGAACCTCGGTGGTCATTTCAAGTACAGTATCTACAATTTCAGCTGTAATTGGCTGAGGCGTGGGCGGATAGGAGCTCATCGGACTAACTACCCCAGTCTCACTTGGCCCAGAATCTGAAGTTTGTTCAGTTGTAGCTACAGGTACTGTTAATGGTACCGTTGTAGTACTAACAACATTAGCTGGTTCATTCGTAACTTCAGCTACTGTAGTTATGATTACTTCTACTGTAGTTGGCGCCAAAGTCGTTGTAGTAGTAGCTTCGGTAGTTGTTGTAGTAGGCGGGTCGGGGGTAGGGGTGAGAGTGAAGACTTCTAGTTCCATTGGTGGTGTTGGTGGAGCTGGCGGTGAAGATGAAGGCAATGGAGGTGGAGTAGGAAGTTCAATGTGTGGTGGGAAGGGAGTATGGGTTTTGGTTTTTGATCGAACCTTTTTCTTTGTTGGAGGGGGTAGGGGTATTGGAGGTTCGGGGGTTTCTGCTGGTGGGGGTCTGAAAATTTTATAATAAATCTTTGGTTTCCAAAGCAAGGCAATTGCAGATTTTTCAGAGTAAAAGCTAACTTTCTAAAAAAACTTACTGTGGTAACGCCATAATAGTGTTCCCAGCAGGACAAATCGGGGAATGTTTTCTGTGCCTTCGTGGACAATTATATAAATGGTTCACGTATTCAATGTCACAGTCCGAGAACACTTGATGTGGTTTGTAAGGCCACCTCATCGGGGCTAAACATGATGGACCGGCATTGACGGCTACGTGACCATGGTTCTGTTCGAACATGTTCCAGCATCTAAAAGAATGGTATGACAGTATGTTCCGTATTTGGCATAGCACATTATAGCGTTAAAAATGACGATTTTTTGTATGAATCTATTAAAATTTAACTATAAAAAGTTAATTTGTAATTTTTCTAGTTTAATACTATTAAAAATGGCATTTTTGTTTAAATTTTTATTTTTGCGCCAACTTTGGCATTCTGCTTCAAGTGTTTCAACATAACGAAAAATGACATTTTTGATTATAGTCAAGCATAAAAAATGTTTTTTCTCACTTATTTTAAGCATTAAATGACATTTTTATTTAAATTTTCCTTTTTTTGCCAAATTTGGCATTCTGTTTTAAGTCTATAAAATCTCAAAAAATGACATTTTACAACATTAAACAGTAAAAAAATAGCATAAAAATTTATTTTTGATCATTTTAAGCATGAAAATATTTTTTTTAAATAACTTACTCAACATCCATGCCAAGGTCTGTAAAGTAGACATAATCCCTTTCGTTCTTCCGCGGCACAAACTTGACACAAGTTCGAATCTGCAAGTCCATCCGTGCGTTATTCAACGCTACCGCTTGATCCTCATTCTTTACCAAATCTGGATCATCCACAAAGGGTATCCTCCCCAATGGCCACAACTGTGGCCCGGCTTCGGCTACGGGGACGACGGTAGAAGTCATCACGACGGGCTTGGGATCTTCCGGTACAAAACCATAGTCTAAAACATTGCCATCATAATGCACCGTGGTTACGACGTGCTGCTTCAGAAGCGTGCTCGGCTGCTCTTAAAGAGATTCGATTGATTTTTGTTTTGGAATTGGCGTTGGGGTGAGAGAGAGGGGGGGGGGCAAGAATGAGAGAAGCTTACTGTACTTTTTTTTGAGATAGAGTAAGTACGTAAATACTTTGTTGCCAGTACGATAAGTGTAGTATATTAAAAGTGTTAGTAAGGTAAGTGTAGTACGGTACTTTACTATATGTAAGCTAAAGGTAGTACTGTACTTAGAAAAAGGGAAACAGAAAATAGGATATCAGCGCTGTTGTTGATGATATAAAGATACAAGACACTACAGCACTACTAAGAAAAGGAGTAAGTATAGTAGAGTACCATACTGTACGTAGACATGAGAAACGGGCCGGGCCGAGCCCAGTTTTCAAGCCCGGCCCGCGAGCCGGGCCTAACTTTTAGGCCCGGCTCGTTTTTTATTTTGGTCAGGCCCGGCCCGGCCCGTTTTAAAAAAATTTAAAAAATTTTAAAACTTAAAAACTAAACGTATAATTGGCTTTAAATTGTTTTTTAGATCATTTATGGATCATAGGACCCAATAAAATCTAAAAACATAAACGGGGATTGAAATAAAAAATTTTAAAAAATTTAGAAATTTTTTTCCAGGCCCGGCCTAATTTTTAGGCCCGGCCCGTTTCTCATGTCTAACTGTACGTAAGTCAAAGGTAGTACTATACTTGGGAGAATAAAAGCGTTACCGTGTTGTAGATAAGATAAAGCTAGTAAAGTACTATTAAAACAAAAAGTAAGTGTACTACGGTACTATGCTATACGTAAGTTAAAGGTAGTACTATACTGGAGAGAAGAGAAAGCATTACCGTGTTGTAGATAAGATAAGGCTAGTAAAGTACTATTAAGACGAAAAGTAAGTGTACTACCGTACTATGTTGTACGTAAGTTAAAGGTATTAGTGTACTTGGAGGGGGGGAGGGGAAAAATACAACTGTGCTGTTGATAATATAATGGCTGTATAGTACTGTTAAGAAAAAAGTGAGTGTAGTACAACTTCAGTAAGGTAGAGTACGGCTAAGGTAGAGCAAGGTAGAGTAAAATAGAGTAAAGAAAGACAGTGCAGAACAGCATGGTTGTACCAGACAATTTATAAATTTTTGCAAAATTTTGAATTTTCTAATTCTGTTCATAATAAATGAACTCAGCATGACAAACATGTTTATATTGAACATCTAATTTGCTACTAATTTCTAGTACTAATAAAAGATTAATAGGCTGAAACACTTTTGCATTCTCACGCACGTCTAAAATCAGAAATGAGGACATTTGAACGCTAAGCTCTATATTTACTTTAGTAAACAGTAGTATAGTAAAAATTTTTACAAAACTGTAAAAAGTTAAAAATTTTAAAAAATTCAAAATTTGTGTCACACTACCCAGGCTACTATAACTAGGGTGTCACGCTACCTAGGCTACTTTGACTAGGGTGTCACACTACTCTGGTTACTATGACTAGGGTGTCACACCACCCAGTTTACTATGACCAGTGTATCACACTAATTTTTGATAGAAGTCTTATTACAAAGAGCGGTCAGGAAGCTGTTAAATATTAAATGCCGACATAAAGAACCCGCCATTTTTCACAAGAAATTACAAAAAAAGTATGGCGGGTTCTTTATGTCGGCACGTAATATAAAGAGGGTATTACACTACAGTACTCTCTCTATATAGACAACCCAAAGGGACCGGTATTTTGTGTTTACTATAGGGGTTGTTACCTTTACAGAATAATGTTTTAGTGCAAATTGACTTGACGGGACCTAATTTCTTGTTACTATAAAGAGAGTTTCTTATACAGATGGTTTACTAGGTTATACTAAAAAGATTTTACCGTATTCTATCATACATCTTTCCTTGCGTTAATTACCATGATGGGATTGTACTGTGCATTAAATATTACCCATAGTAAAAAAATCAAAGATTAAGCTGTCTACACTAATATAGACATTAAAAGCGCACGTTAAGCGTGATGAACATAAAACAACATATTATTCTTGATGGATAAAGCATTAGATATTAAGCTTGACAAACATGAAATTGGATATTAAGCTTTGTGTTCATCAGAAAGACATATTAAGGCTGGTGAACATAAGAAAAGGGTCTTCAGCTTGATGGAGAAACCATTAGATATTAAGCTTGATGAACGCAAAATTAGATATTAGGGCTAGCGTGACAGATTGGTGCAAATCCACTTACGAAAACGTTTTGGCGTTCTTTTAGCTTCAGCACAGCACCATAAGCACGCCACAAGGACATGTAGAACCTCAACAGCATTCATAAATCAATCTCCGCAGGGAATGGTGAGGTTTAGTGAGTGGTAGAAAAGAGCTTGTAGTACTGTAGTGGTTAGTAGGTAAAGTAGAGTACTGTATTTGGTAGTAGGTATGGTAGGGTACTGTAGGTGGTAGCAGGTAGGGGAGGGTATTGTAGATAATAGTAGGTAGAGAAGAGTACTCTATATTGTAGTACAAGCGTTTAGGTACTATAACAAGTAGAAAATAGGCTTTAATACTGAAGATGGAAGTAAGTAGTGTACAGCTGGTAGTACAACAGCTCAAGGTACTATAACTAGTACAAAAACGTTTTGGATACTGTAGTAGGTAGTACAGAACTTAGAGTATTGTAGCTAGTATTAAAAAATCTTGAGTACTATGATAAACAATGGGTTTCTGAAAGTACTACAGTTGGTACTAATAGGTTCAACGTATTGGCTCCAGTACTAACCGCCTCTCAAAATTCAAAAAAATTTTAAAAAATCCAGGCCAATAGACCAAATTAGCGAACAATCAAGCCTTCCAGAAGTACACGGAATAAGTGGAGGATTTCGCGATCTTCTCCCCTTCGTCCATCTGTTTTCCCAAAAGGTTGGTCGCTTCCTGGATTGCGTTGTTTGTTCATGAAGTTTGCGCGCGTGAAAAGTCGCGCGGCTTACAGAAGTCGCACGTTCGAATTAAAGCCGTTCCCAGAAACATATTGCAAACGTGACTCGAATTGTTACATTGAGTTTTGGCAACACATTTTTGAAAATATAGTATACTATTAGAGTGTCAAAAAATGTATGACCGAAATTTTCAAAGTTGAACACTTCGAATGGCTCAGTCATTTTCGGACAATTTGGTAGTTTTAAACTGGACCATAAACAGAGGCAATTTAAAAAGGTTAAGCTAGGCCAGATCGTGTGGGCTCAGAGTCAAGCCTGAGTAAACGTCACATGGCCCAACTTAGGTCCCGCAACGAAAGATATGAAACAGCAAACAGTTTAAACAAATCTTTTTTGACCTTTTCAATAACACGCATCCTAAAAAACCACAAAACATGCAGATGTAATAATCGTCACTTCCATTTCCGTTACCTTCTTGTAATTGTATGTTATCTATTTTGTGTTTGCTAGACCAGGAAGGTGTTTTGTGGATTTTATAAAGAACCAACTAAACAATCTATGTTATCTTTATCTGTCCTCAAATTAGCTGAAGATAACAATTTATGTTTTTTAAGCATTAGGAGTTCTATTTGCCATATTCTAGATTTACCCTTAATTTAGATGTTTGCAATGAGATAGGGTAGAACTAAGGTAAACCGCTCGGGGCAAAAAGGATAGTAATATCGTTATTTATAAATTTTAACAATTATAACTTGTTTTATTCTTGTTACCTTTAAATTATTGTTGTGTGAATTTAAGTTACTTTTTACTATTGTAAAATCTTGTTGTTTATGGTTTTTTTACGTTTGTAAAAGGAATATTATAGTAACGAGCAATGTTCTACAAAAAGTTATGCTTTACTTCAGCGTTACCGTATTTTAACTCAAACTTACGCTAGCTCTACCCTCGCTCTTTTCTAGCTTTACTCTGGCCTTAACGTTGCTTTATCTTTGCTCTATCTTAGCGTTACCTTAGCGGTATACTTGGTTTAGTTTTCGATTAACCTTGGCTCTGCTGTAGCTTACTTTGGCTTTAATGTAGCCTTATCCTAGCCCTATTCTTTGTTTACCATAACTTTACTTTAGCTATACTTTGGTCCTATCATAGTAATACCATATCTCTATAATAGATTAGCCATACTTTAGATCTACCTTTGCTATACCTTTGTCTTAAATTCTTCTTAAGCTTCTTTGTAGCATTTTCATAGTTCTACTCTAGTCTTAATTTTGCTCAACCCTACCCTGACCCAAATTCCACTTTAGCTTTGTGCGTTATCCTAAAAGCTTTACTCTAGTCTTATCATAGAGTATTGTAAAACCATCAGAGTACAATTTGGTATAACCCAACATCAACTTCTAATTTTTTTTATTTTAAACACTCAAACCTGGCACGTCACGTTAAAACGTGTTGAAACGTGTTTAATTTTAGAAGCAATCATTTTGATTGCATTTTAAGCGTCCTACCGAGTTAATAAGGGCCGTTCGAATTGAGGACAAATACGATTAACATCATCAAAAACATATTTAGTGCGATTTAAGAGCGTACGTCGATTATACTGAGCTTTTGCAACGTTATGAAACTTTTTTGGTTTTTGATGCTGAGTACTGTAATTACAGTAGTTTACATACGCTCAGTAGGCTTATATTGTGGTAAAGATGGTGGTTACTGTATTTTTGTTTTTGATGTTGCATACTGTACTCTAATGTTGATTACTTTACTTCAATTTTAAGTACCGTACGTTAATATTGAGTACTGTACATACGCTCTGTATTCATAACATACGTGTACATATATAAACATTAATGACGTACCAAGCCGGCTACTGGCAAAAAACAAACCATATTATACTGTAATTCTGGTTTAATAATATACCATCTCGAAAATTGTTACAACTGTGTTGTTATTCTATAGTATACAGTTTAATCCTGTATTTTTCTTTAGGGATTTTGTACGATTTTTCAATTTTACTAAGTGTTTTAGTCAACTGATACTTCAGGGATTGGTAGTTTTGTATTTTAAATATTGCAACAAGGTTGATACGACTTTTGTAAATGAAATGATTAAGGTAAGGGTAAGTAGAACTTATGCAAGGCTTGGGTATCGCTAAGTTTAAAGTAGGGTCAGACTGAATAAGGCTTGGTTTGAATTAAGGTACGGTTCAGGTTGGGTTACAGAGGGTTAGAGCAAGACAAGACAAAGGTTAAAGCAAATTAAAAGCGGTGCAAATGTAAGGCTGTGATAGGGTCAGAACAAGCTAATGTATAGCTAGAGCAAAAATAAAGTAAAACTTAGAAATAGGGCTAAAATAAGGGTAGGATAAGACTAGCAAAGCTAAACTAAATCTATGATTAAGCAGTAAGAACTTTCGTTGGGAGACCTTCATTGGTTTTGCCTGACTTGCACATATTGCTTTTGCCTGGCCTTTGCTTTTTTGGCATTAGCTTGAGTTTTCATTTTGAGGCCCACATGGATCAGCCAAGCTCGGCTTTTTTAAGTCTGTTTTGGCTTCGCTCGGTATGAAACGTAAATCACTTTTTAAGCCTAATTAAAATAAATTTTTAAAAATTTTATAAAATGATAGTATTTACAATACTCTGTAGTTTTGTTTAAAAATAAATGTATGTACGTAAAAATTTGTTCGCTTATGCCAGCTCATCTCACCCGTAGATCGACTTAGTACGTTTCTCACAAAACATACGTTTTCTTTGTGTTAGCCAAGAAATGACGATTTTATATTATTGTATTTCATAGTAATACATAAGTAGGGTGTTGTACTTGTTAGTCTTCTATCTGTCATGAAGCTACAAAGTGTTGCATCGTTAAAAAGTTTAAAAACCGTATTTATTAGGTTGTGCAATGAACTATGTGCCTTCTTAGGGAGCACAGAATTATATGAACAACCTTATACGTGCAATTTTATATGTTTATATGTATTTTAAACTTTATTTTGTTTACTTTTCTACAATATTTTGTAAATATTTCTAAAAATTTTTATTTTTTGACACGCATGCTTTATTATTACAACAAAGAATGCGATGTTTGTTTATTGCTTACCCTGTTACAAGAACATAGTTTATTATTAGGCATTTTAACTGTGTTATTTACTGCTTTTAAAGAGACATGCTTTTGCTTTTGCTTTATTTTATTTTTATTAACAAACTACATAACAATCTTGTTGCAGATTTTTTACATTGGATTGTTACAGTGCAGTTGCGCGCTACGTATTTTACATTTTTTAACTTAATTCCTTGAATATATTTTGTTTTTTAAAGCTCTAGCTTGCCTTTGCCTTTGCCTTTGCTTTTGCCTTTTTCCTGTCTTATCCATTTCTTTAAATTCTGTCATCTCGATTAACAATTTGAGCTCAACTAGAATATTAATCACGTTGAGATGTTTGTAGACCAGTTGGAGTTACTACGGTAGATGGGAGTGTATAAATAATTGATCAAATTTTGTTAAAAATGCTTTAAAACTTGTTTTAAGATATTAAGGGGAAATTTGAATTCGAAATGAGCTGAATATGTGATAGAGTCGGAAACGAACATACAAAGATTAGGAGAATAAGATGATGATGGTGGTATGTTCTTTCATTTGCAGCGTGTGTGGCAGTGGGAGGGAAAAAAATGGGTTGGGTGGAAGAAAAACCTTTTTTTTTAATTTTAAAACAAAGGTAAAAGAAAAAAAATTTTGTTTTGGGGGAAGGGGAGTAATAAATTGTTTTTTTGGTTGAGGGGGGGGGGAGGAATAATAGGTTTCCTTATTGTATAAGCCCTATAAACAACTTTTTAATACAGTAAAAACCATTTTGTAACAAAAACAACCACGTTGTCACTAATCTATACCTACGCACTAGCATTTGCACAATGTCGTAACTTGCCCATTTTAACATCTACAAAGATATAAGGCTATTATACGCCTCGTAATCTGGTTTATTTTTACAGATTTTGCTTGCGTCCAGGTTTTGAAACTAATTTTAAATTGCCACAAAGTATTATATGTATCAAATTATACTTGTGGTAGATAGTAGAACAGATAACTAGCAGAGTAGTTGGAAGTTAAAGCCGGGTAGAGTAGGGTGAAGATAGAGTCAGGTAAAGTAGAGTAATTCAAAGATAGAGTCGGGTAAAGCAGAGCAAAACATGGTTAAAGTTAAGTATAGTAGAGTAGGGTGAGGCTAGAGTCGGGTGGAGCAAGATGCAAAATAGGAAAGGTATGGCTAGAGTAGGGCTGCGATAAGAAGGGAATAAGGCTAGAAAACAAGACAGAGTAAGGTAACGCAAGGTATGGCATATGAGTTAGGGTTAGGATAAGGCTATGACACAGAAGAGGTAAGGCTGGCGCGCAGTAATGCAGAGTCG